CCAAAGTTGTACGCCCCAATGGGGGGGAATGCCATCTACGGGGGGGGGGGGGGGGTTTCAGTAACCGGGTTTTCGCGCAAGGAAGGGAAGGGACTGAGGCTCACGTGGTCCTTGTGGTTGTTGCTGTCGAGGTTCTTGCCGTCCCAGCACGACGGGAAGAACGTCTCGGCGCGCATTCGGCCGCACGGCAGACGGCTCATGTGCGGCGTCTAGCCCTCGTTGGGCCCCTCGAGGCAGAAATGGGCAATCGCCTGCTGCTCGAGACTAGACGCGTTGTATGTCCTACAATTCGAACCCCGGTTAACTCTCCCCCCCCCCCCCCGGCTTCATCCACAGAGAATCAACTCTATACAGACACACAAGCGTACCTGAGTAGAGGATCACCCGTGACCATGCGGAGGCCTCGCGGAGGCGCAATCGGCGTAGCCGCGCCGTCGCAGTTTTGTCTGCCGGGTGCGTAGTCGCAAGCGCGCTTGATGTAGTAGGCAGCCTGTGAAATTCTTGCCATCAGCTACTAAGCATTCTGTAGTAATGGAGAGCCAGGTGGCGCACACTGCCTTGCATCGTGACCAGCTCAAAGCGGCCGTCATGACGCTCATGATACAGCTGCGGCTGCCAGTAGTTGCTCCTGTCCAGGAGCTTGTCGCACGTCGTCGCCTGCGCGTCGCGCGCTTGCTCGTTGGACTCGGTCCGCTGGAAGGCGGTGCCGCCCGTCACGACGTGGACGTGCGGCGAGACTTGGCCCGGCCAGACGATCGGGTCGCCGCGCTGGATCGTCAGCGGCGCGCAGTTGACCGTGAACACCTGCGCGCGCACCGTGCCCAGCATGGCGGCGCCGACGAGGGCGGCGGATAGAATGGATGCGTCGGAGGGCATCGCACACAGGAGTAGACACGGCACTTCTCTGGACAAACCAAACCAAGGGACAAGCAGAGCGGTGGTCGGGTCACTTAGGTATGCGGATTCCTTCCGAGAGGGATTCGGAGTCAAGCTTTATATACCTGTAGTCGACAGAAGCACCTCCCTCGGCGTCTTATCGTATTCATATCAACTGACACATGCCTCCGGACACTGTCTGCCTTCGCAGCTTACCGCCCCATGCGACGTTGACTCCGCTCCGCGCTGATATGAGTCGTCGCGATGGCATATCCCATGCCCTTAAGCTGGCAAATCCGAGACTCCCCGCCGTAGTGTTGAATTAGATCGACTTTTAAAGGTACTATAAGAAGTGATGTAACCTCGACTGTTGGTGAAACGCAACATTGCAACTTGGTGCCCTATAGCGTCAGTAGTTCGAGGACAATGGGCCGATTCACTGCCTGGCATGGCTCGCGATCCCAATTCCAGCTCCGGTCTCTAGTCGTCTTACCAACAAGGGATTACTTTGATGCGATATCCACGTTTGCATTATCCGGAAGAACGTTCGTCATCAAGGGCCGGCCAGAGCGATCCAAAGTAACCGACCTCTTCGCTCTCTGCAACAGTCTAGGTCAGATCCTCTTTCGGAGTTCAGCATCTTAGCTGAAATGGATCCCCAGTCTTCTATGCAGGCACACGTTTTGTTGATCAATCTTCTCTTAGCAGGTGCCCGGTCAATCCGGGCCAAGGTTCGCCGAGTTTGACTATCAATCCTGGTGGTAGTTGAAACGGCGGGTGACAGTGAGCAAGGGCGCGTAACATGCCCGATTATGCAGAACAGACGGCTTCCGGAATGATGGCTTATACGTAGCGTCGTTTCTCAAATGGCTGTATCCGAGGCCATGCGGGAGCCCTTCAGAAGCAAACTACGGTTCGCATAAACTCACGTGTTTAGTTAGGGCTTGCATCTAGCACAGGCCGGTTCTAGCTAGCCGTTCCGAAGCCTTGAGCCAGCGTGGTCGCCGAGTTGGCATGATTGGTAGGAAGCTCCGCGGATGTCAGAGGTTGGCGTAGATAAATCGGTCCGTCTCGTCACGAGGGCAAGCCGGTCAATTCTTTCTCGAAGCTAGTAGGCACAGGAATCTTGCTCGAAGCTAGCAGGTGCAGGATTCTTCCCCGGAGCTTGCAGGCACAGGATGGTTCGTTGTTATTTAGAGGAGGCCGACCGACGGGTTTAACATGGAATATCGTGCTGTCCTCATTGATGTTGGCGAGGACTGCACCCTCCTTCTGATGCACCAGCCCATCTCGCTGCTGGCAAGTAAAAGGTCGTGTTTCATGGCACGTCTAATCCGTGCCGCTGACACAATTCCCAATGGGCAGATGGGAGACTGAATGCGGGGAAGCGAAGCTAGATTGGCGATGGAGTCTGTCCTGGTGATAATTGGCCGATGGCTGGGCTATGGCTCACCAGCAGCATGTCCAATGACGTCGAGGGCCTTCTCCGAATTGGGAAGCCGGTGCTCAATCCGCAGGGCGGGCATTTCGCCTTACCTACCCTATACCGAGTCCCCTCCTGCGAATAGTCTCCTTTGCCTGCGGAATATCGCGCCATGCCTGCGGATTATGGGAATAAGGAGAGCCTGGTGCTTTTTTTGTTTACCGCTCTTGATGCGATCTTTCTGTTCAGTCTCGAGCCTTGACGACAGCTGGCTCAAATGAGGCTGGTTTGGTGCAAGCGAACAATCATGATTGTGAAGAAGGGCCAGTCGGTAGTCGCCGGCTGGCTGCCGTACGAGCCACACACAAAGTACGAGCTTGTTTCTGTTACTATTATGACGCATTCATAACCCGTGCACTCTTCCATGTCGGAAAATAGACACAAAGCGCAGCGCAAACAGAGAGGCAGCCAACAAGGGCGGATTCGGACTCGCCTGCACGTTAACTTGGGCAATGCGGTGGAAGACGCGAGGCAAGTATTGGGGGCCAGAAGCCGCCAACTTTATTGGCTCACCGACATTTACAAGGCATAATGGGCCACCTGCCAGCCACGCACGCCGAAGTCAGCGCTCATCTATTTCAAGTTTGAGTGCAGGCGGCGCACACACACGCCAGGCATCTCACGTGGCAGGGCGCAGAGTAGAAGCAAGCAAGGTATGCGGAAGTGGTGATCGATTGCCAACTCGAGCTTCCCTTGCTGTCGACCTGCCTGGGGCGCAGCATCTTGGGTAACCCTGGCATTTACCGACAACGGACAGCCATCTCATCGTCGTGTAACAAGTTTCCAAGTATGGCATCACTCCACGGCTGCCCAACAGTGGAGACTTGACAGTCACGACGAGGGCCCGCAGCCACCGCCCCAACCGAAGCCATTGTCGGCACGAGTCTTTTTCGCGATCCCCAGCACGGTATCGGCCAAGCAGGCGGATATGCTACTATGTTAGGTTGGACGATTGTCTTTGATCTGACGGGCAAGCCTGACGAACGAGTGGATGGTTCCCGTAGCCCAAAAGGACGGACCAGTGGCATGGCACAAACATAGCTTTGGACCAAACCTTGGGCATGATAGAAGGATACTTGTGGCCATACTGGGCTCTCAGTGTTTATTAGGCTAGTTACGTGTGATGGTAGTCTTGGGAGATGGTGTGTTGTACTGTCGGTTATCGTTTTTAGCTGGATTGACGAAAGATGTGCCAGCTCATCGTACGGTTTAGGTAGACAAGCCCGCGGGGGTCGTCGATCGCTCCCTAAAGAGGGGAACGAGCAACATGAAGCTTTTGCCATTTCTAATAAGAGGTATCAATAGCGGTTGGCAATAAGGCATCGGGCTGCTGGGGTTGGGAAGTTAGCTGGCAGGCAGGTTATTATTAGCCACGCAAGAGCTTGCCTAGTTAGCTGGAATGGCTGTCGTTTTAGTGGTGGTATTGGCAGCCCTGAAAGGCTGAACGGAGATGAGAATGAGCTAGACCAGGGACGTCGGGCAAATGGCGAGACGGAAGGGCATCTAATTCGGCAACTGTGATTTGCCACCAGCGTCATTTCTGGTTTCGATTTCATCTTCCTTGTTCTTGTTCCATGCATGCGGCCGGGTACTGATGACGACTGAGCGGGATGGATGGATGAGAAGACGGGCTTCACCAGGGGGCCGAAGGGACGGCATGCTGCGAAGCACCGTGATGGCGGTGGTGGTTGCTGGTGGTGACGGTGGGAGGTGCTGTGGTGTGCCGTTCCTGTTTGTAGCGGCGACGGCGGTGGTGTGGTAGGTGGTGGGAGGGGAATGAGGGGCGGTGGGCAGAAGTCTGGTAGGAAGAAAACTACAGACTCACATTGCCAGCCCAGGTTGGAGGGGAGATGGACATGGCATGGCCGTTGAGGTAGTCAGCAGTCATGCAACAGAACAGAAGGGAGGAAGGAGGAGGGAGGAGGCGGGCAATTGTCAAGAAGTGGAGCAAGAGAGGACGTGGAACAAGTGGCACGACTTCTAAATGTGTGACAGCCAATGACAGATGCGGATGCAGCAGCCAGCGATATGGACCCACAAATGAGCTGAATCAGCCAGTCACAGGGCTTAAAAGACCTACAGCCCCCCATCCCTCAAATCATGTTGAGGCATTTTGGTTTTTCTCCTCCTGCACGGTCCAATCAAGTTGACGCAACCATTCCGGCTTGTTTCTTTTCTGCTTTGCGACAGCAAAACCACTGGTTGCACAGGGCAGACACTGGCTGCACAAAACCTGTCAACGCGCATTCGAAGAGAAAAAAAGGAGAATCTGGTGCAAGGAGACAAATATTTTGGACGAATCAGCGCTCGGCAGTCAAACAGTGTTTGTGGTCGCTGTCAGTACCAACACGGCCTGGCCTGGTCTACCAACGGGCGGAATCCTGGACCAACCACGAAGGTCGGTATCCCGCTCCACAACCGAGTGAGTTTGGTCCGAGGAGAGTGGCCGCTAATGTACCTCAGGCAGGCAGACAGCCAGTTCAAGCAGTACAGACAGTGAAGCAGTGCAGCGACGCTATTGTATTGGTTTTGAGCGGCGAGATTGAGAGTAAGGTGATCCCAACTACTGGTAAGTTGTCAATTGCGTTGTCGGAAAATCCCCCTTCCATTTCCCTCTCTGCAACAGGCAGGCTTGGCTTTTCCTTTGCCTTGGTTTGTGCCATGTCCGTCCGGCCCCCGCCCCCCTCAGCCTCCGTTTCCGCTGCGCCCAGTTGATTCCGCGCACCGCGGCGGACACAGCAGACAGCAGACACTAGCAGCCAGCAGCCAGCGAAGACAGGCATGGAAGAAAGGGAGCTCGGCAATGCGCCGGGTTGGGTGTGTGAGCTCCGAGCTGGTGTTTGCGACCGGCGGCGGCCATGACCAAGACCAACGACGGCATAATGCCCACGATGGGAGAGTCACAAGCATCGTCAGCATTGCCGAAAACGCTAGCATCAGTATCAGCATCGTCATCACCATCGGCTTCTTCATCGTCGTCGCCTTCATCATCATCATTACCACCACAACAACCCACTGCCTCGCCATTCTCATTCTCCAATTCCTTCCATTATTACAGCCAGCCAGCCAGCCAGCCAGCCAGCCCCCTGTTGGTACTGCTGCTCTGCACTTGCCCACCCCCCCTGCTAGCACCATCTGCACTCTGCAGCCCACTGTGCCCGCTGAAACCTCCAAAACCTATTCGTACTCGCTCCTCCCATTCATTCTTCACGCACCAACCACCTTCTTCCATCCACTAACCGGCCCCCTCCCAGCCAGCAAATCAGCTTCTCGCTCCGCGTCTTTTCTCAAAGCCATCGCATCTTCGCGATACAAGAGGCCTATCATCGTCTCTGTCGCCCTCTTCTTTCTCATTGCCATTGGAGCATTTATCATCGTCAGCTGACACGGCGCGTCTGCGGCGTCTGGTTGATCAACTACCCTCGACATTGTTAACCCCCCAATTCTCAATTCCAGCAAATCACGCCTTTTGCTGCTTTTTTTTTTCCCGCTGCGACGCGCGAATCTTCGGCCCAACACCCGACAGTCGCACAACTTTCAAGGTGAGCCTTTGCACTTTTCTTGTACTCACTCACGCCCATCGTCATTTCCATACTTCTTGGCCCCTTCATCGCCCACCCCGTCGTCTCCCTCCCTCACAGCCTCTCTGCGCGCCGCGCACTTGGTCTGCGCGCTTTTCCCTGCGCGCTCGGCTCGTCCTTGTTAGAACACGCCCAACCCAACACAACAGAAGCTCACGGTTTGTTGCGCCTTCAACCCGGCCGTTGCTGCGCCTTGGCCTGGTCCTGTGCAAGTCCAAAAAACCTGTGCGCCTCTGTTGTGTAAGTTTCTTACTTTGACGGCTCTCCCGCGTCACCCTCCCTCCTGTCCCGGCTCCCGCGCCGCCTGTCAGCCCAAAGTCGACTCGCTGCTTAGCCTACATGTCCTCTATGCAACATCGCTGCAAGAGCCCGGCTTTCTGCGACAGCATCATGCCGCTTCGAGCATCACGATGGATGCCCGTTTCGCGACGCGTTGCGGACCCCTCCCCGATATCGTCACTGCTCTTCCTACCTGGCGCATGCCCGCTGGGAGCGCTCTTGTCCTTATTGGCCCAACAAGCGGCCCAATATCGCCATCCATCCTTTGCATCGGGCCTCTGTGCACCTCGTCACACATACACCCTGGCCCAAACTGCGCCGGCTTCTCATGGCCGATTCATCCCCTCTCGCTCCCGCTCCTCAACAGGGTGTTTGAGCATCCCCCGCTGTCGTGCAGTGCCTGTCACGTTCTGCATGAGCCTTTGCCAGCGCATCGATGGGGAGGGGCAACACCACCACATCCAACCACATACCACTACCACCTACTACCACCGCCACCACAGCCCGCTTAGTTGCAACGGCTTGGGCCGTGTGCCACGGCATAGTTGACTCCCTACCTATGCACTCATTAACCTCCTCCTATCTGATTATGCCTAACCCCTCATAAACCCGTCATGTAATTCGCTAACGTACTCGGCATTGGTAGACGCTGTGTGCCTTCTTGGTCATCTCGCCCTGTATAGCTACGTACACGCCCACCACTGGCGTCTCATATACCGCGACCCTCTCTGTACCCCAAGGTACCCGCTGCGTCAACGCGTCGCACAACCGATCTCAGTCGCTCAGCTCATCCGCCCGCTGCCAATACTCTACGACGACAGACCAATCTTTTGGTCTATAAGCGCGCATCATGTATCAACACGGATATGGCGTAACGCAACAAGGCATGCCGCAAGTCGCCTACAGCATGAACGGCATCCAAGCTGCCGCAATGGCCGCTACTGCCGCTGCCTCTGGCTCAAACTACCCTTACATGCACTCCGACCCCAACATGCCTCAAACATCTCCCCGCATGGGCGGCAAGAAGGACGGCCGTGCCTCACCTCGAATGAACAACCAAATACCGCGCAGAGTGAGCCAATCTGGAGTTACCAACCCGCAAGCCATGATGGGCCGACCTGGCGTTCCCCAGGCGCAAATGACCATGGCCCATCCGCAGTCTCCCGAGATGCCTGCCGGCGGCGTCGAGGAATCCCCGCTCTACGTCAATGCGAAGCAATTCCACCGAATTCTGAAGCGCCGCGTAGCGCGACAAAGACTGGAGGAGCAGCTCCGCCTGACCTCTAAGGGAAGGCGTCCGTATCTTCACGAATCGCGTCACAACCACGCAATGCGAAGACCTCGCGGACCTGGTGGGCGCTTCCTTACCACGGAAGAGGTTGCCGCTCTGGAGAAGGATGGTAAAGGCCCAGAGGACAGCCCCGAAGAAGCTGAAGGTGATCTCGACGATGCCAAGGCGCCCAGTGGTACAGGTGCTGGTGCTAAGCGCAAGTCAGAATCTGCACCCGATGGGCAAAGCAAGAAGGCGAGAAAGGGCGGCAATGCCGAGGGCGAGAGCGCTGAAGCTGCTGCGGGAGCTAGCCGATGAGCTGGTTGTATATGGGCCAGACTCATCAATCTGGTCTGGTCACAAGTACTTTTTTTACGATTTACGAACGCGGCAGGGAGGCCATCTCTTTTTTCAGCCCCTTGCGCTTGACTACTTTTTCTTCTTCTTCTTCAGACCAGGATATCGGCACCCACGCTGCGGATTTCGTGGCATGTATAGATCGCATGCGTTGCCGAGGAGCTCGTGATGACTCACTGGCTGGTTCTCTTCGCCGGCTTCCCCGACTTCGCTTGCACTGCCCGCGCTCGAATTCTTACTTAGGCGTACTGGGGATTTCTCAGGGGGGATGATGACTTGACGTGAAGATTTGTGGTATTGTGTGGGACATGACGATTTGCTTGTGTTTGGCTCAGTTTGGGGTTGCGAATGGATGGGACGCTTGGATGTGGCTTTGATGCGATGGATACTCTTCCACTATCCTTGCCAGGTACTACGTTTCTCGGCCTAGAGCTGGCGAGTCCGACGGATTGCTCAGCGACACCGGACCCAGACTAGACTTGGCCAACGGTCCGGGGCAACCGCTGGGCTGTACAATGAAACGAAAACGAACAGCAATGAAAGACAAAAAACCCCCATGATGCAAAAAGATAAAAAAGAAAAGGCCCTGAACGGAGTTGGAGACAACGATGGAAACGAAATGCAAATGGCTACTTCATGGGCGCAGAGGATATGACAGAGCAAAATGCTGGGCGCCGGGTCGCTCGGATGGATACACTATACTGTGATTTTTGCTTTTTAACGCGTTTGAGCAATAGGATGCTTGATATTTTTCTGTTTGGGTGGCGGGTATAGAAAGCCATGGCTGGTTTGGTCCGTCGCCGGATGCACGCCTCGGAAAGGATACTTTTTTGTTCCGTTATTTTTGCCAAATTGATATATTATATTCTCACTCAGCTACGGTACTTTTCCTATGATTATTTTTCTGCAAGACTTACTAGTAGTAGCATCAACATTACGAAGCACATCGTTCTCTGTACCTTGCCGCACACTCAATCGGGGATAAAGAGGTTGTGGAGAGACGGACTTTTGGAGAATCGCCGGGTGCAGGCCAATAGGCGTTTTCCATCGCAGGCCAAAAGGCAAGAATTGGAGACCCATCTGTACTAATAAGTCCGGGGGAATCCTGTGGGGCGGGAGCACTGCCAAATGATAATGCGCGGAGGGAGGCAAGCAGCCGAGGCTACTTGGATGCCACTTTCGAATAACCTAGGCCAAGGGCGCGTGAGCTCCTCATATCCCCAGCAAGTGTTCATCAAGAGTTCCAATTCTTCATTTCTGCCTCACAGAAGCTGTCCTCCTTCTGCAGCGCACACAAAAAAACCTCTTCGCCGAGACATTGACCGCGCGTGGGAGCTGCAGCCCACGCACCCGTTGGACATCATGGCAGGCAAGATCAGACAGCCAATCGACGAGGTGGCGTTTGCCAAATACGTGGATGAAAATGTGCCCGAGATCAAGACGCCGCTGCAGTTGAAGCAGGTACCTATTCCCTGACAATTACTGCTCGAGCGTGTGCGTGCTCGCTGACACTCCCTTCAAGTTCGGCTTTGGCCAGTCCAACCCGACGTACCAAATCACCGACGCCGTCGGTAACAAGTTCGTTATGCGCAAGAAGCCCCCGGGGAAACTCATCTCCAAGACGGCCCACCGCGTGGACCGCGAGTACCGCATCATCCACGCCCTGCGCGACACCGACATCGCCGTGCCCCGCGCCTACGCGCTCTGCGAGGACGCCTCCGTCATCGGCACGCCCTTTTACATCATGGAGTTCCTCGACGGCCGCATCTTCGAGGACTTTTCGATGCCGGGCGTCGGCGCCGAGGAGCGCACGGCGCTGTGGCGCGCGGCGGTCGAGACGCTCGCGCGCTTCCACAAGGTCGACTTTCGCGCGGTCGGGCTGGAGGGGTTCGGCAAGCACGAGGGGTTTTACACGCGGCAGGTGCGCACGTGGACTACGATTTGCGAGATGCAGGCGCAGGTCCAGGACGTGGAGACGGGGGAGCCGGTCGGGCAGCTGCCGCACTTTGAGGAGATCATGGCCTTCTTCGCGGACGTGAAGCAGCAGCCCAAGGACAGGGCGACGCTGATCCACGGCGACTACAAGATTGACAATGTCATCTTCCACAAGACGGAGCCCCGGATTATTGGAATTCTGGAGTGAGTTTTGCGCGCACCGACTGACTACGAAAGATCGCGGGGTAATGAATCATCGCTAACAAGGCTAAACAGCTGGGAAATGGCCACCATCGGGCACCCCCTCTCCGACGTCTGCAACTTCCTCACGCAGTTCTACCTGGCGCAGGCCTCGGGCGGCGCGCACGCCGGGTCGGCGGCGTTTTTGCCGGGTAAGACGCCGGGGATGCCGCAGCCGGAGCAGATCATCGGCTGGTACGCGGCCGCGTCGGGCTACGACCCGCTGCCGGAGCTCAACTGGGGCGCGGCGTTCAGCCTGTACAAGCTGGCGGGCGTGCTGCAGGGCATCGCGGCGCGGCACGCCGTGCGGCAGGCGAGCAGCGCGCAGGCGCAGTCGTACGCCGCCGGACGCGCGCCGATGGCAGAGTTTGGCTGGCAGTTGGCGGAGCTGGCGCAGAAGGGAGGGAAGCCGCGGCTGTGAGGAAGTCGAGGCTGGGGAAGGGGGAGAGATGTTTTGTATAAATGCATTGTTGAGAGGTTGAAGAAATAAAAAAATAGCCATCTAAATCTTATTCTACGAGGGAGGAGCGGGAACTGAAGTCATGGATGTAGTCACCTAGAGTTCACAAGATGGCCTTGATGTTGATGATGATGAGGCGAGATTTTTTACTGGTAGTTGTTAGTGGTGGTGCGCCACTGACGATGGCCACCACACCCACCACCAAATCTCGCTTGGACCCAGGACTTTGGGAACCCAGTCAAGTTTCACCCTGCAGGCCCCCCATCCCATCCTCATGCACACTCAGTGCGTCCTCGAGCGCCCCAAACTCCTGCCAAGCACCCATCGTGCAGCTTTGTCGCTTTTGAAGAAATCGCATAGTACATTCACGACAATATGCTACTCGTCACGGCGACATAGACGGCGGCTCTTTGGTAGTGTTTGCCTCCTTCATTTCCTCCTCCAGAGACCACAACAAAACCGACAACCAGAATTGCGGCCGATTAAAAAACAAGACACACACAAAAAAAAAAGCAAGACAATATGACGCAGCAGCCGACACGGCGACGTATCACGCTGCCGGGGGCTTCGCCCGAGGAGGAGGAGCGCCGACCGCTGCTCAGCCGCATGTACACCGACCACGGCGACGACGATGCCCTCTACAGCTGCGCGACCAACCCGCACAGCCACCTGCCCGTGTACACGACCATCCACCGCATCCGCCGCGACATCACCAGCGTCGTCGAAGATTACCTGAGCCTCGAGCAGCTGCGTGACGTGCGCATCAACATCACCGTCGTGCGGCCCCTCGTCGACAAGTTTTACGAGCTCGACGATCTCTCCATTGGTGCGCCGCCCCTACAGTGAAAGACAGCACGATGTCCCATCACCAGATGTATACAGATGCTAACCTAGCTGGATCCTCGAAAAATAGTGTACTGCCTCCTGGTCAACCGTGCGCAGTTCCTCGACGAAGAGTCGTACTCGAGCAACCGCCAAAACGTCAACTGGACGCGCGCCACGCTCTGCGAGATCATCGCCACGCGCATCCTGCGCCGCCTCGGCGAGGATCACGACGGCCGCGACGGGCTGCTGCTGCTGGCCGCCGAGCGGCGCAGCTGGGGCGGCCACGGCCACCGCGCGCTGCCCGCGCTCGAGGTGGCCATCCTGACGGAGAGCAAGCACTTCCTCAGCTCCACGACGGCGCAAAAGGTGGTCGCGGCCATCTACGAGGGCCGCGTCATCTACACGCCCTCGACCCAGTGGGACATCATCCCGGACCGCTACAAGCGGCGGCCCATCTCGCTCTACGACCCGCGTGGCTCGCCCCTGCTCAACCAGTACCGGCTAATCGTCCCGCGCACGCGCGCCGTCCTCGAGGCCTTCCAGTTCGCCGTCCTGCTCGCGCTCTACTCGGCGCTCATGGTGGTGCGCGAGCGCGACGCCCTGGCGGCGACCGAGTGCCTGTTCGCAGTGTACGCCTTTGGCTGGGGCCTCGACCAGTTCGCGACGCTCATCGCACACGGCTGGAACGTCTACACGCAGAACCTGTGGTCCTTCCTCGACGTCGGCTTCGTCTTGGTGTACGCCGTGTACCTGATTCTGCGCTTGCACAGCTTCCGCACCGGCCTGCCGGGCCCCGGCGAGCAGTCGTTCGACGTGCTCGCGCTCGCGGCCCCGCTGCTTGTGCCCCGCCTGGCCTTCACCCTGCTCTCGGACAACCTCGTCTTCCTGTCGCTGCGCTCCATGATGGCCGACTTCTTCCTGCTCACCGCGCTCTCGGCCTGGTGCTTCTTCGGCTTCCTGCTGTCGCTGCTGTGGCTCGGCGAGGGCGCGCACCCCTGGCTGACCATCTCCAAGTGGATGATCTTCATCTGGTTCGGCCTCGACGGCACCGGCATCCAGCGGTCGGCCGAGTTTCACTGGTTGCTGGGGCCGAGCCTTATGGTGGCTTTCGCCTTTCTCGGCAACACGCTGTTCCTCACGATCCTCGTCTCCATGCTGTCCAACACGTTCAGCACCATCTCGGCCAACGCGACCGCCGAGATCCAGTTCCGGCGGGCCGTCCTCACGCTCGAGGGCGTCAAGGCGGACGCCATCTTCGCGTACCAGCCGCCGTTCAACATCTTGGCCGTCTTCATCTTCCTACCACTCAAGTTCGTCGTGAGCCCACGCTGGTTTCACAAGATCCACGTCGCCACCGTGCGGCTCGTCAACCTTCCGCTCCTGCTCATCATCGCCGCCGCCGAGCGCCGCATCAGCTGGGACCACCACGACTACAAGTACAACCCGTCCAGCAGCAGCAGCGGCGGCGGCGGCAGCGGCGGCGGCGAGACTATCGGGCACAAGTGGTTCTGGCAAAAGTGGCAGCTGTCCGCGGGCCGCTACCTCCGGTCCGTGTTCGACGAGCCGCCACCGGAGGACGTGCAGGGCGACATCGCCGTCGACGACCCGATGACGCACCACCTCATCCGCCGGCAGTTCACGCGCCAGCACACGGCGAGCAGCGGCGCGGAGATCCGGAAGCCGTCGCGTAGGGACTCGACGTTTCCCGGGATCCGCAAGAAGCTGCGCGGCTCATTCTCGGTGGCCGAGCAGGAGCAGGAGGGCCTTGAGGACCGCCTGCGGGCCATGGAGAAGGGCATGGCGCGCATGGAGGCCATGCTGGCCCAGCTGGTGCCGGACACGCAGGTCGAGGAGAGGGAGGGGGCTGGTGGTGGGAATGAGGATGAGGCGCGGGGCGAGTCGGCGATTGATGCTACGTCAGAGGACAGCTACGGGGCTGTGAGCGCCTCTGACAAGGATGAAGATGGAGATGGCTTTGCCATGGAGAGCTCATTTAGACGATGACATTCGAACAAGTAGTGCTGGTAATTTATAGACGATCCTATTATACATGTTCATTGTATTGATGGCCGCGTGCTAATTCCAAGTTACCACCTACCTGGCCCTGATTTCGCGGTGGTTCCTGGCCCCTGTAGCACGACTCCGTTAGCAGTGGCACATCCCTGTAATGCACTGTACCCCCCCCCCCCCCCAAGTCGCTTATTAGTGGCTTTGGTGATACCCCGGCTAAACTTCGCTGGCGCGTCGCATCTCCTCTGGTTTCTGATACTCTTCACCTCCGTGCGCCTCTTCATCCGAAGCGGCAGAGCCATTACGCAAACAAAGAAGCTGGTGACCTGCATCGACTGAACCAGAGGAATGATGTGAGCAGCGCACACTGCCTTTATCGCACACTCGAGCACAACCCCGTCCTTTGGTCCTTGTGCCTGCCCAAAGGCGGCACGGCCCCCAAACTTCGCAACCATGATGGCCTCGCTGCAGGTCCGCGGCCCGGACTACTCGGCCACCAAGCAGAAGGCCTTCGAGGACGCCAAGAAGATGCAAAAGGCCGTCATCGAGGCCTGCAACAAGTCCGGCAAGGAGATCCCGCAGTACCAGCTGTCCGAGCTGATCGGCAAGGGCAGCTTCGGGCGCGTCTACAAGGCCAAGTCGCTGGCCTCGGGCCGCCTCGTGGCCGTCAAGATCATCGACATTGAGGAGAGCGACACGGTCAACCCCAAGCTGGCCGACACGTACAGCGACCTGCTCAAGGAGATCAACGCGCTGCAGCGCCTGAGCGACAGCGGCGCCCGCAACATCAACCACGTCCTCGAGGCCCTGCCCGTCGGCCAGTCCATGTGGATGGTGACGGAGTACTGCGCGGGCGGCAGCGTCGCGACGCTCATGCGCCCGACGGCGCCGGGAGGGCTGCAGGAGAAATGGATCATCCCCATCCTGCGCGAGGTCGCCGAGGCCATCCACTGGGTGCACAGCCAGGGCATCATCCACCGCGACCTCAAGTGCGCCAACGTCCTCATCACCGAGGTGGGCGACGTCCAGCTGTGCGACTTTGGCGTCGCCGGCGTCATAGAGACCAAGTTTGACAAGCGGACGACCTTTATCGGCACGCCGCACTGGATGGCGCCCGAACTGTTTGATGAGCAGGCGTCGTATGGTACCGAGGTTGACATCTGGGCCTTTGGTTCCATGATGTATGAAATTGCCTCCGGTCTGCCACCCAACGTCGCGTTCGGGATGGACTTCTCTAAACTAGGCACCCATCTCAAGCAGCACAGCCCTCGTCTGGAGGGCGAATACTCTACGGGTCTGAAGGACCTCGTCGCGTACTGCCTGCAGCATGACTCGAGCAAGCGACCCACTATCGAGCAGATCCAGCGGCACAGATACATCTCAAACACTGAGAAGGAATACCCTACCACGGGGCTCGCACACCTGGTGAAAGCGTTTAAGCTCTGGGAGGCTCAAGGTGGCGACCGCCGTTCGCTCTTTTCGGCCGGCGGCGCGCAGGGCCTGGCTGACCTGTCGCCCGCTGCCATGGCCAACGAGGAATGGAGCTTCAGCACGACAGCGGCCTTTGATCAGCAGGTTCTGAACGACGGCGACGCGCAGGACGTCTATGACGTGTACGGGTCAGACGTCGACTATTCGCAGACGGAATTCGAGACGACCAAGCCGCAGAAGCCAAAGTCGCGCCGCCGGCCGCCGCCGCAACATCTCGCTGCATTCAAAGCACCCCTGGAAAAGGTCTTTGACCCCAACACGCTCTCAAATTACGAGGACAACTCGAGGGCATACTATGGACGAATGTTTCAGCCGCCACCCCAACAGCCAGCGACCGGCATCGTCGGCAACGGATCCGACTTGCCCCTGCGCGACGACAGTGCGCAGGCAACCGACGTGCGGGAATCCCTGATCGACCTGGACGTCTCGCTCCACGGCAGCGACCTTTCGCAATTCGTCGACATGACGACGATGCGCGCTGGCGAGACGCGCCCCGGCGACTCGCGCGCCTCCCTCGACTATGAATTCATCGACTCCCACTACACCCAGGGCCCACTCAGCGATCCCGCCGACCTCAGCGCCAACAACCGGAGGACGCAAGACTGGAAGTTCCCGTCCATGGCGGCGCCGCCGGCCTCGGCCAACCCCGAGGTGTTTCGCTTCCCGTTCCACAACACCCCTCCCGCGCCGGACTCCGCCGGCGGGCGACCGGCCCTCCTCCACCGCCCGACGGAGCCCGTGCTGCCCTCGGCGGGCTTCCACGACATGGCCGCGGGCGCCGCGACGCACGGGCACTTTGACAACCGCGCGTCGGTCGGCTCGCTCATCGACCTCGACATGAGCTTCGCCGACCCCGTCATCGCCTCGGCGGACGGCACGCGGCCCTCGACGTCGCACTCGGACGTGGGCTCCATGAGTGGCTCCGAGATGGGCGGCGCCAACAACCCCTTCGAGCTCGAGAAGCACGCCTCGCTCTACGCCGTGATGCCCGGCGGCAGCACGCGCGAGCCCTCCATCTACGTATCCGACGGCTCCGAGTTCTCCTTCACCGGCGGCCACGAGTCCATCACCACCGTCGACGGCTTCAGCTTGCACAAGCGTGACATCTCCGTCTCCAGCGACCAGCCCCCGGCGGCCGCGCCAGGCGCCGTCGCCGCCAACGCCCGGCCCTACTCCCTGAGTGACTTTGCAGACACGGACCCCGAGTCCGCCACGCCCCCGCCCCAAACGGCCCTCGTCAGACCCCGACAAGCCAACGGCTTCCCGTCCGCCAGCTTCCAGCCCCAAAACCAGCCACAGCAACCGCAACTGCAGCAGCAGCAGCGCTCCCTCTCCGAGAGCTCGTCGACCGACTCGGCGGCGGCCGGCCTCCCCGCGCTGCCCGAGGCCCCCGCGCCGCAGGTCCTGCAGGGCCAGGCCGACGCCGACGCCGTGAAGCGCGAGCTGCGCCGCATGGCCATGAGCCTCGGCGAGCACCTCAACTTTGCCAACAACTACCTGTCCGGGCTGCCCATCCGGCGCGGCAGCACGATCCGCACCGAGTCGTACGCCGAGGAGTCCTGAGTCGCTTGCCGGTGCGAGTATTCGTAACAAACGCTGTGTTGTAAGATTGGAATTCCTTCTTTCGGCGCTGTGAAGACTCCATGTCTGGTGTGGTCATTATTTCGACCTCTTTTTGGGACTTTGACGGGGGCTGGTGTACTTGATTATCTGGGCCATATAGAACGGGCAACTTGCTCTCGCGCCCGGATAATGGGGGTGCTTAGAAAACCTATGTGGAAGATGACGGGTAGGCGAGGAATGTAAAGTATGAAGATATGCATAAAGATTAAGTAGCGACTACAGTATCATTCATTTCGGTTTACACCAATATAATCAACAACGACTTGAGCCCATGCCACATCACCACATGCATCATGAAAAACTCGCCATGTCGCCCATCAGCAGCGCCTGATACCGCTCCACCGCCTCGCCCAGCTTGATGAGCACGCCGGCCGCCAGCATCTTGACGTCGTTCTCCTCGCCGGCCGCGTCGTCCCCGCGGATCCGCTCAAACACGCCCGCGACCCATTCGCGCGTCTCAAACATGTCTCTGCCGTGGTCTTCGCACAGCCGGCGCATGCCGCTGCCACCCACCCCGCCACCATCGTCATTGACCTGCAGCAGGGCCGCCAGCGCGATGAGCCAGCCGCGGAGCGCGCCGAGGCTCTCGAGCGCGTGCACGCGGACGCCGAGGAGCAGGGTCCAGAGCTCGGCCGTCATCTGCGGCAAGGCCAGCGTCGCGGGTCCACCGGCGGCGCCGACGACGATGCCGAGCGTCTGCAGGTACAGCGCGAGCAGGGCCGGCTGGAGGACGACGGCGCGGCGGCGCGAAGCGGCGGCGCCGAGGGCAGCCTGTAGGTGTGCTGTAAGTGGCGCAAAGAAGGACTGCGCGATCAGGGCAGCGGCGGTGTTGGGGACGGCGCGCACGCGCGGACGGGCGGCGACGGCGGCGTTCGTCTTGCGCTTGTGTCGTGCGGTGAAGCTCTGAAGCTTGAGTACGTCTGGGCCGGTGGCCGCGTCGGCGGCCGTGGCGGCGAGAGGTGCGAGGAAGTCGGCCGTGAGGGCCTGCGACATGGCCTCGATGGCGTTGGGCGGTAGCGCCTTGAGGTGACTGCCGCTGGAGGAAGCTTCCTGGTCTGGATTGGCGTCCAGATACAGTTGCTGAATCTTCTCCGGTAGCTGCTTCGACGGAAAGTCGGCGGAAGCCTTAAAGGTCCCCGTGTCGAACCCAGCTACCTCCCTGGAAGCTAGGCCGATGGAGATCAGGATGGCTGTTCGTTGTGACAGGCTGTAATCGCCGTCGAAGAAAGTTCTCGTAAACCAGGGCGTCATACTCCGAGGCTGGGCGACCATGAGAGCAACCATTCCTTCTAGCTGTGTTTCGCTGAAGCCTTTAAGCTCGAATTTGTCTTGCAGGCCGACGAGGATGCCTGCCAATTCCTCGGCGTGATCCTTAACTTCTGTGCCGTAGTTTGCCTTGCGTCGAATCAGCGTCGGCGCTGTTTGAAGTGCCAACTTTTGTTTATCATAATCCTCAACATCTCTCAAGTAGGAGATGAGGTCGCGAATATATACAGGCGCCTTAACCTTGTTGCGTTGTACAAGTTCCGCGTCGTCTTCGGAATCTTCGGGATCGGAACCCTTGGCGTACGGCACCAAGCCGTCATCCTCGTCGGAGGAGGAGTTTAGCTCTTCAATAATTGCTCTTGGTAGACTTGTAGCTGTGGGGGCTTTTGCTACTGGTTTCTTCTTAATAGGCTTCGACTTTTGCTTCTGAGGCGGAGAAGAGGATAAGCCAGTTGTCATGGTTTGAGAAGCTTCGCGCAAGTCATCAAAAGGGCCAATGGAATCTGAGACGTTAATCAGAGATTTGAGAGACTCTATTTCTTCCGTCTCCATCTCGTCCATGTGAAAGTTGAGCCTGGTCTTGTCCTTGTAAACGAGGGAAGACAGAGCCTCTCCAACGACCATGCCAAGAAGTCGAGTCCTCTCTTGTGTGGATGCAATACGATTCGAAATACTGTTCATATAAGTACCAGATTTGACAAGCATAGTCAGGCTTATTGGTGAGAGCCTGAACACGTATCCTGCGCTAAGCAAAAGGATTTGAGCGTGTACCTCTTGCTGTAGAATCGCCATGTGTTTGATGTATAGCTGATCACCAAATTGATTGAGACTCTTCTCGAGCACTGCGGTGATGGCATCTTTGTCTGCTGCAAGAGATGCCAGCACAGCACGGCGAATACCGATGCCATCGCCTAAGCCGGCGCCAGACGATGATGTACACCAGGAAATCAAGAATGACTTTCCTGCGGGATCGTCTTCGATAAGCGTATTTATAATGCCGGCCACAGAGGCAACTTTTTTGTTGTCTGACTCATCGTAGATAGTGACGGAGTTCAAAAATTTATGCGCTAGATAGTCGAGTAGTATTTGCATGACTTTCTTGAATGTTGCAGGCTGTGCGAAGCAAACCTGCGCGAAGGTAGCAGGATTCGAGTCGGATCGGAGTAGAAGCTCATCTATCAAAAATTGGACGAGGGTCTTTTGGTATCCTAGGGACATGGATCTTTGTAGGATATCATAGCAGGATCGGAGTTCCAGATCTGTAGAAGCCACCTGTGCCCAGGAGGCGATGTTGGTGGCAATCCATTTGACGTATTCTGCGCCATCGGTGATGAACTTGGATGTAGTTTTGAGCCTGTCGACTCCTATTACTGAAGACGCCTCCGATGCAGTCGACAAAACGCGGCTACTCGCCAGCAAGCTATTCAGAGTTTGTGATTGCAATTTTCTCATTGCGGCGTCGGGCAGTCCTAGTACCGACTCGGTCCATATCTGACGGATAGCGCCGGGCCTTCTGAGAAGCGATGCTGTCACATCGAGGAATGTTTGAAGATGGAGATGAATGTCTTGCGATGAGACATCTTTTTTCCTTTGGCGAGATTCGACCAAGAGGGAGTTGATGTGAGCGACGGTGGCATTGAGCCCAGCGACGTTGCTTAGAGAGCGCAATAAGAGACTAGCGTCGTTATCCTCTGAGATGGAACCGTCGGAGGAGGATGCTGAAGATTCCAATAGAAGAGTCCAGTAATTTGGAGTAATTTCGGTAACGAGAAGATGGATAACAGCAGCGGATTGCGGACTCGGCTTGGCTGTGATGGTGTCGGAGTTGTCGCATAGGAATTGGAGCGAAGATATCAGAGAGTGGTAATCCGGCTGACTTTTGAGAAGCTCCACAGCCTCATCCAAGCTCGTGATGACAGCTCCGGCGTTACTTTTCTTTGGCGCTGTTTGTCCATGCGCGACTGGTTGGGCATTTTCCTTGCTACTGGTGAGGTAGGTGGTGCTGACTGGGGTGAAGAAGTCGTCCATGGCGCCGCGGGTCGCACTGCTCTTCTAGCGCCTAGCGTTTATTGTAGTATTATATCATGACATTTGGTCCGCTGGGGAGTGAAAAGTCATCGTCGTGAGACAGATGCATTGAGCCAGCAAGACGTTGCGGTTGTTGAACAGGAAATAGCTGGTTGAAGCTTGAAGCTTGTCAAACGGAGAGGGCCCCACCATGCCGCCACCTCAGTTCTCGCGTAACTGCTGCCTGCCAGAGCCTGTCTTGAGAAGGTAGCTTGTAGACGGAAAAAAAAAAAAAAAAAAAAAAAAAAAAAACAAGTAGCTGTAGATCTGGAGGAACTGTCCCATGTCTCCTGTAGCTAAAAAACCTGACATGTATTGTGCTTGATTATCCTCTGCTTTCCGAAGAGACGACAGACTGCTTGTTGGCGGGCGAGGTTCCACTGTGTTACAGGTATCTGTGCAGTAGCCGCTCCCATCAACCTCACCTCACTCACATCCTACACCTACATCTACGCCACATCTACTACCTGTAGCAGCCAACGCATTCTCTTCCCATCTATTGACAAGATAGATCATCTCAAAGAGGACCGGATGGCTGCAGACGTCACGGCTCCGGCTGGGAGCGAGGCGGAACGATGGTAAGAGGTTCCCAGCTGTTTTGCACCACCAACCGCCACTACCATCGTCTCAATCTCAAGCTCACACGACCATAGGAAGTATATTGACAGAATCCGCAAGGTCGCGGGCCCCTACACCGACTCTGACGGCATCTCGGAAGAATCTCTCGAAATGTTTCGCGACTTTAAAGTCTTGTGAGTACATGACGCAGCCCGCCTAGATGCTGAGGCTAACGACCTACCCAGAGTCATGTATGTGTTGCTGCTGCCTCCAGTTCTTAACCTGGCTTTCAGGTCTGATACAGCATCTTTAGTGGCGCTGGTGGTTTAGGATGCGAAATCCTCAAGAATCTCGCCATGTCCCAATTCAAAAATATTCATGTCATCGATATGGGTGCGTCCGCGTCTCCTCTTTGTCCCGCCTCAGCACTGACACCGGCCCCCTCTCCACGCAGACACGATTGACATCTCCAACCTCAACCGCCAGTTCCTCTTCCGCACCGACGACGTCGGCAAGTACAAGGCCGAAGTCGCCGCGCGCTTCGTTGAGCGACGCGTGCGCGGCGTCTCAATCACGCCGCACGCCGCCCGCATCCAGGACTTTGACGCCGACTTCTACCGCCAGTTCCAGCTCGTCGTGTGCGGGCTCGACAGCGTCGAGGCCCGGCGCTGGATCAACGCCATGCTCGTGTCCATCGCCGAGTCCGCCGACGATGCCGATGCCATCAAGCCCCTCGTCGACGGCGGTACCGAGGGCTTCCGCGGCCAGGCCCGCGTCGTCGTGCCCACCATGACCTCGTGCATCGAGTGCCAGCTCGACATGCACGCCCCGCGCGCCGCCGTCCCCCTCTGCACCATCGCCTCCGTGCCCCGACAGCCCGAGCACTGCGTCGAGTGGGCGCACGTCATCGCCTGGGACCGCGAGCAGCCCTTCGCCGACCAGGCCCTCGACAAGGACGACCCCGTCCACGTCACCTGGCTCTACCAAAAGGCCCTCGCCCGCGCCCAGGAGTTCGGCATCCCGGGCGTCACCTACGCCCTCACCCAGGGCACCATCAAGAACATCATCCCCGCCATCGCCTCCACCAACGCCATCGTCGCCGCCGCCTGCTGCAACGAGGCCTTCAAGATCGCCACCTCCACCGCCCCCTGCCTCGGCCTCGACAACAACTACATGATGTACTCGGGCAACGACTCCGTCTACACCTACACCTTCCGCCACGAGAAGAAGCCCGACTGCCCCGTCTGCGGCAACGACCCCCGCCCCCTCCCCGTCGACCCGGCCTCCACCCTCCAGGAGCTCGTCGACTCCCTCGCCCTCCGCCCCGAGGCCCAGCTCAAGCGGCCCTCCATCCGCGGCGAGGGCAAGACCCTCTACATGCAGGTCCCCGAGGCCCTCGAGCGCCAGACGCGGCCGAACCTGCAAAAGACGATTGCCGATCTCGGGCTGGAGAACGGGCAGCGGCTAGTCGTCACGGACCCCGCGTACCCGGTCGAGTTTCACTTTTTCCTCAAGTTTACGACATAGATGGGGTTGGCAATCGTGCATGGGAAGGAAATGAAACCATCGCGAGCGGAGCATATATCATACACCGGTGTTGGGAGAAGGGGGAATACTTCTTGGATCGTTCATGTCCCAGTCAGGAGGGTAAATAGAGCAAATATAAATTGGGAGCACAGCAGGTCATGATTTTCATCCTTTTAATTGTTTTCTGTGTGTATCCTTGTCATCATTCTTTTGTCTTCAAAAAAGAGGCCAAGGTACCCGTGTATATCTAAAATCCTGTGTAAAACAAAAGCCAAAAAAAAAAGAGACCCCATTGTAGATTTTTACAACTCTGCGCCGAAACATGTAGACGAGGAAGCAATGTAAGAAACAAAGATGCGCGCCAGCAAATATGCCTTGCCAAAAAGAGTAATCACCGCGTCATGTTGAGGATCTGCTTCTCCAGCCTCTGGCACTTAAGCTTGAGGTGCTTGACAGATTCGAGGAACAGCTCGTCACTGTCCCACTGACCGGTGCTCTCTATCGCGAAGATGAAGTGGTCGCGGCGACGGCCCAGGCGGACCTTTCCCTCGAACTCCGGGTGCCGGAGGCACTCGCGGCTCACCGTGTCCTTCATCGGGTCCTCCACCACGGCGCGCATCTGGCCCACGTCCGCCGTCGCGAGGCCGCTCCCTGGCTCCGCCGCCTCCTTCTTGGTGACCTTGCGCAGGCCGATGACGCCGGCCGGGAAGCACCCCTGGAACTTCTCCGCGTCCGGCCCCACGATCGGTCGCAGGATGGTGATGGTCGGCAGCAGGCGGTACGACGCAGTGGCGACGGGCGAGAACTTGGCGTGGTCGGCGCCGACGCCCTTGTGCATGTGCATCGACAGGTTGATCGTCTGCGTCGGGCGCATCTTGGCGATGAGGATGTCCGGGTTGACCGGCGCGATGGCGTCGGCGCCGGAAAAGTACTTCTCCTGCGCGCCGGTGGGCACGAAGACGATGTCGCGCGCGTAGACGTGTGCGTTGTGGTAGGCGCGCGTAGGGTCGTCGGCGTCCTCGGGCGCGACGTCCTTGTTGGGCGTGCACGTCACGTTGAGCTCGAGGCGCACCGTGTTGTAGTCGAAGCAACCGGCGCCGAAGTCGTCGTCGGCCGCGTCAGCGGGCTTCTTGCGCCACTTGAGAAAGTCCTGCAGGCCCGCGCGGCCGCCCTTGAACGGGATCAGGCCCAGGCGGTGCGACAGCACCTCGTCCTGGATCACCGACGTGTTGTTCTCGATGAAGACGTACTCGATGGCTAGCGTGGGGATCTCGGCGATGAGGATGCGGCGAAAGGCATTGGCCAGCGACGCGTCAATTCCGATGAGTGAGAAGGAGGCATCGAATTGATCATTCCGGTGGAAGTTGACGGAGAAGCCCTCCCGGAAGCGCTCGATGGAAAAGGCGGCATCTTCACCGGGAACGTGGCCGGGATACTCGATTGAGCTAATATCGGTAACAGTCTCCTTGTTAATATTGACAGTCTAGAGAAGATGTCTGGTTAGTCGCGAGGATTCTTGCCACGGTTGCTGGCTAGCAGCTTGCACTCGTTGCTGGTTTCGGTTTTTCTTTTCGAACTTGCTAAGGTGGCATTGCCACAGCACTAGGGCTTGTAGAGCAGCAGAAAAGGAAGAAACATACCCTTCGACGCTCTAGCTCCTCTGCATCCGGCGCATTGCGCCATGCTGCTTGTTGTGAGGGAGCCATGGTATGTGTGAATTAGCTTAGATGTGAAGTTGTTGCGGCGAGCTGGAAATTTTTTGGCAGCCCCTCCAAAAAGTTGCATCGACGCTTGCCGTGCTCCGCCAGAAGCGGGCACGCTAAAGTTCTGGCGTGAAGACCGCTTTTTGTACATTGTTCGACCAAGATGACGAATGCAGGGAAACCTGATCTGACTAGCAGAGGAAATGGAAAATATTGCTAGAAATCTAATAGAGGAAAAAAGAGAGCTGGGGAAAGGGAGCGCCAAGGCCTACAAGAAGTAGAGAAGGAGATCAAAAAAAGAGAAAAAAAACCATGGACCTACGGGGATTTGAACCCCGGACCACTCAATAACCAACCAGTCGCGGCTTGTCGCCGTGTAGGTGCGGATCGAGGATCATACCCCTAGACCACAGGCCCAGATTTTAACAAGACGCCGCTTATTTGATCTCAACAAGTAGGCCAGGTGCGCCTGTCCGACCAGCCAGCCCGCGAGGTCGTGCCCATAGCCATACAAAACACCGCCAAGTCATAATGTGGTACAGATATCCCTGAACATTTGAATAGCATAAGCCATAGCACCTAAATCACCCTGGTGTTTAAACTACAATACATAAAAACAACATTCCATTTCATGTGGACGCATGTTCTGTTCTGATTATTCCACGTCCTCCATATTCCATACGTTGACGCCGCGCTTCTCCACGCTGCTCCTGAGTTTCTCCAGTACAGCCCGTCTCCTAGTCCTCTTATCCATGAGATCACCCTTTTCCTCCTTGCTGAAACCGCTGAGCTTCTTTCTCGGCGGCGTCGCACGCATCGATTGACCGAATAGCAGACCACTGTTGGACGAGATGCTATGGCGTAGCGTACGCGACGGCGTCGAGTCCGGTGAGAATATACGGCTGCGTCGTGCCTGAGGCGTCATCGGCGATTCTTCGCGGCTGACGGAGCCCAATTTCATCTTGCGGAGTTGAGTCTCCAAGACGTCGATATCGCCACTGCGCTTCTCAACCATTGTCGTCATTCTGGTTATGGTGCGAATTACGGCGTCGACCGTAGGCACATGGCCGGCAGCCTTGCCTGAAAGGCCAGACGCAGAGGTGATGCGTGCCTTGAGCAGGGTGAGAGCTTCCTCCGCCTGTGTCAACAACTTCGTAAAGTTGGCGTACTCGCGGCGCAGCTCATTTTGCTGCGCGGCTTGCTCTGCGCTGAGTGGAAGCGATCGGGCAACATCTGCTTGATCGGGGTCCATTCGGGCAAGGATGACTCTCTTCAGATCCTCTTGCTTGGCACGCAGCCGATGCATGTCCTTGGCTAGCTCCTGGCAGGCCTCAAGCTTTTCGGGAAGATCTTGGACACGCGCATAATCAAGGTCGGCATGAAGCTCTTCCGAAAGCACCTCCTCCAGGTCGTCTGTTTCGCATAGAACCCAGTCATCAGCAATCTCAAGATCTTCCATGGTACGGCCTTCGTCGCCGAGAGGTGCGCTGTGACCTTGAGTGAATGATCTAACTGCTCTAGCATTGAGACCGAGAGTATCGATCATGGAATTGATATCGCGGTAAACGGCCTCAACCTGTGCAGGAATACTATCCTCCGCTGGAGGAGCCACATTCGAATGGGCGATAAACTCATCCAGCTCTAGTGTGGGCTCAACCTCTGAAGCTAAAATCTTTTGGATCTCCTCATCCTCCTTATCAACAAGCGGCTTGGCCTCTGCTGCCTCTTGCTGTTCGCGAAGTTTTCGCTGTTGCAGCAGGAATGGGTCGCTGGATTCTTGCTGGCGACTCGTGATTGACTGGGCGAGGTGTGATTGCGTGCTCTTGTGCCCAAGAATCTGAGAGGCCATACCAGGCGCACTGACAGATCTTGTGGCCTCGGAGCGGACAACGCGGTTCGGAATAGCACCGCGCAAAGGACTAGGCGATCGGGGGCTTGATTTATTATTCGGCTTGCCGAATAAGGGCGCATTGCGGGCCACTTCGCCAAACAGCGGCCGACCGGCATTTTGCTCAGGGCGGGCTGTAGCGGGAGTTGTGCTAGTCATTCCACCGAACGAGCTCTGAGGTGTAAGGCCGGGTGTCTGTATAAGTCCAGTAGTGCTTGGGCTGAGATCCTTAGCGACATCAACGCCGCTCCCCTCCGATTCGGCGTCGTCGTCCTCTTCTTCGACTTCTTCTTCCTCTTCAACCTCCTCACCATCATCGTCGTCACTATCGTCAGAGTCGGGCGGGAGCGGACCAACTGGCGCTACAAAAGCCGGGGTTGGGCCGGATGATTTAATCGACTTAAACAGAGATGTCTCTCCAGACGGAAACAACGAATCCTCCTTTCCAGTCGTCGATTTCACGCTGAAAGAAGACAAAGGCGAAGATTGAACAGGTTTTGTAGACTTCGGTGCCGTAGATTGAGGAAGGGAGGCGGCTTCAGCCGCTTTGGTTGACTTAGCCGCTCCAAATGGAGGGAGAGGTGCGGTCTCAGCGCAAGTCGACTTAGGGAGGATAAATGGTGGTAGCGGAGCGTCATCGGCCTTCTTAGCTGACTTCGGAAGCGTAAACGGTGGAAGTGGTGCAGGCTCAGCCGCCTTTGCGTCCTTCGGCGCCGAGGTGAAGGGAGGCAATGGGGCGTCCTCGGCTAGCTTGTCCTCTGCAGACTTCGTAGGTTTCGATGCGAGTGAGACGGGAGGAGGAGATTCCTCATCCTGTTTCGCTTTCGCTGGAGGTGTGAAACCAAACAGTTGGCTAGTAGAACTTGGAGATGCAGAAGACGATGAGGACTCACCCAAGGGATACGACAGTCTGCTGGTTGCATCCGGAGGCAGCGGAGCCTCAAGCTCTTTCTTGGCAGGCTGTTCCGTTTCGGGGGCCGCTGGAGTCTGAGAGAAGAGACCAGTGGCTGCCTTGGGTTCGTTAGACTCCGTCTTTGAACCAAAGAGACTGCCTCCAGAGAAAGAGCCGCCAAGTTTTGTGGGCTGCCCGAAAAGGGACGTGCCGGGAGCAGGTGAAGTGACGGCCCCAAACCGATTTGGCGCAGGCGTGGTAGTGGGCGTAGTCGACTCCTCAACAACCGACTTGGTCGCGAAGATCGACTTTGGCGGTTGCAGTGCTTGTGGTTGGGCGTCATCGTCTCCCATTTCATCGTCTTTAGCGATAGAAATCGAGGAGTCTGCGCCATTCCCAGCACCGGCTAGAGCCGACCCAAACGCACTGCCAAACATCGACCCAGAAGCTGCGGGTGTGTTAGAGTCGTCTTTGGCCGACGGGTCGGGCTTGAATGAACTCTCGAGCTTGAAGGGAGTAGAGCCAAACACGCCCCCGGATGCCTTCTCCGTAGGTATGAAAGGGTTGCTGGCAGCCGGTGCCGGGGAAGCGAACGGGTTGCTGGCTGGTTTAGCGGCACCGCTGCCAAAAAGATTTGAGCCAGAGTTGTTATTTGAAACGGCTGCGAAGCCACCTGTGTTTTTAGCAAAGCCGGAGAAGCCACCTGAGGATGGAGCCGTCGGGGCAGACCCGTTGTTATTGGACCCGGCTGCACTTGCAAATGGACTTTGGTTATTGGCATTGGCAAAGCTTCCAAAGCTCGACTGCCCGAATGCGGGCGTGGAGTTACCGCCGCCGACATTCCAAGGCGAAGTCCTCATACCCAGCTGAGACGACTGACCAAAGCCAATGGACGCAGGTTTTCCGAAAGCAGGGGCCGGCGTTGATGGCGCGTTGCCGAAACTGCTCTGCCCGAACGTGGCCCCTCCCGTCTGCGAAGGGGTAGTGGCGGCTGCACCCCCGGAGCCCCAAGGGGAAGACTTTTGACCCAGCGCGGAGGAAGCCCCAAAGGCAGGCGCCGCAGGTGTGGTAGAACCGAAAGCAGATACCTTTGATGAGGCAAATGGAGAGTTGACCGGTGTGGTACTGGCAAGTTGTGTTGGAGGAGGATTGGCAGCCAAGTCACCAGCAACAGCAAGGCCCGAGTATATAGTTCCTTGTCTGATTGAATCCGTGTATACGAGCCACCAAGCACAGAGAATGCCTTCGTGTGTCAGCACCCAAAGACCTGGCAGCGGGCTTGGTGATTCCTTGAGCTCCTCGTCCGAGGGGATGGGGCGGTAGACCTTCTCTTTACTCGATAGATCCAGGCCAACACCAACTGGGACGGAGTCATCCATTGACTCGGTCATGGGGAGCGTTGGGCGCCGCGTGTCGTCAAGGAGTTCAGTCGTTGTGAAAATACCTGTAATCTGATCCGCCTGCCAGTCATTGGCAAGCGCCTTTTTCGATCGGGTCAGCAGGCCGACGTCGGTGGAGGCCGTTGAGGAAACCATGAGCAGTTCCTGTAGGTCAGGGTCAAAGTTGCGCAGACGCAATAAGGTATGGTGAGGCGTCTTGTCAGCACCAAAGGGCTCGACTGGGTCGGCGAGCTTTCGGAATTGGAAGGATGAAGGAGGCTCTCTGGTGATGATATGGTAGATGGAAGCTGACGGGGAATTGTTGGCAGAGTGAATAGCTAGAAAGATATGGTTTTCGAGCCAAGTGAGTGAAGAAACATGGCAGTCTTCAAGGCTGGGAGGTTTGGGGATCTCCGCTTTCGCCTCTCCCTCGGGCGTCATTTGATGGATGGACCCATCGCCCAGGCCAGCGCAAAGCTGTTTACCCTTCGCACTCCAGCTGATACAGCTAACTTGCGATTTGAGCGCGTTGCTCACCTGCCTCTCGCGCAGATTCGTCATGAAGAGCTCGCCGGACTGCGTGACGATAGCGCACAGCTCGGCCTTCTCGGCGGTTGGGTTGGGCGCGAGAGCGCGGAGCGCCTGACCGCCGGTCGGCAGCTCAAAAGCTGACGCGGTCGAGCCTTGCAGTAGCGATTGCACCTCGTATACGGCGAGGCCGCCACCCGACTCTGCTGAGAGCAGCAGATAGTTCTCGTCAGCAGTGAATGCAAGCTGTGAGATGCGCATGGGCATCGGTATCTTGAGCTGCGGCTCGTAGCTGCGCACGTCCGAATCGCCCTCTTTGGGCGCGTCAAAAGCCTTGCGGATAGATTCTGTCGTGGCAAAAGCAATGAAGTCGGGGCCCGCGGCGGCGGCGAGCCCCCGTTTCGGAGCGATGCTCAGGAGCGAAGCGGTCGGCGGCGGTTGTTGAGGCCATGGACTCGTTAAGCGGACTTTCGCGTCGCCGGCAATAGACTGGAAACCGAGAGCCTAGAAAAGAGGGCGTTAGTAGAGGTATAGCTGGAGAGACCTAATACATCCGTCTTGATAGGGACGTTATCGAAAGATGTCTTGAACAGCGGCAACGTACCTCTGTTTGAATGGTAGGTAGTGGCGGCCCATCAACTGCACCACCAGCATTGCCTCCTCCGCCCATTACGCCTTGTGCGAAGGCACCGAAACCCATGTTCACCCGGTCTTGTTTATCCACGCCTGAAGAGATGTGCCGATATTCAACACTCAATGCTGGGGCGCATAAGTTGGTTGGTAAAAAATCACCGCCCAGCTACCTTTTTCTGGCCGTAGCTGGCAGTGAATGGCACGACAACGCGCGCCACAGTAAGTCGAGGCGCTGGAAAACAAATCAAGCGTCCGCAAACCGCGTCAGAATTTTCAGGTCAAAAAGGCGAATTCGAATTTGAAATGCCGCCGGAAAATGGCTTCCAGAAGGTGGTGCTGCCTGCGCCTGGGGAACGCGATGGGAATCGATGGGCAGAAATGGAGACTCTGGAAAAAGGTTGGAAGCTCTGCAAGATTGCTGGCCGCAGGCCCAGCCACGCCACCTTTTGGTGGTGGTTGTTACTCTGTACCGTTTTAGCTTGGGAGCTGTGTCTGGGCAACTGCTCCTCGCCTTTGAGGATGGTCTTTTATAGCAAAGCTCTAAAAAGCGATGAAGTATTGATGAGGCGTTGATGTTTAATTACAACTTCACTGCTACCTAATTCCCTTTCCCTCTGAAATCTTTGCTTTCTGTGACACTCACACGGCGTTCCGTTTGATACGGTAGAGCTGTCAGTCACGTGCAGCAACTCCAGCTCCCAAGCACTGGTTAACCTGGCGTGAGCTAGGCCAATCAGCGACGCGTTTGCTGTCCAGGAAGCTCCCAATGCACCCAGCGTCTGTTGCGCCAGCGAAGGCACCTTTTAGCCTCGTCATCAGCCCTGCCTTGGACTTGCTCTGCCCAGCAAACCCGCCCATCAAAACCTATTGAGCAAGCCATCCCCTTCGTCTAGAGCCATCTTTCCTTCCAATTTGGGTCCAGCTTCCACGGAAAACCAGCCTCGTTATAACTTCACGAATAGAACCTATAGCAACAGCCGCCCCTTCGATAATTGAGAGCTTCAGCGTTAGCTCTCGCGCCCGCCCAGAACGATGCCTGGCTTCGACTTCACCAACTATAACCGCAACGCGGCCCTGCACTCGCAGGGCGTCCCACTGCCCAAGGCCACCAGTACCGGAACGACCATTGTCGGGTGCATATATGATGGCGGTGTCGTGGTATGTCGATCCCTCCCCCCAATCTCGAGCTCTCCCCAACCCACCATCGTCGCTCCTCCTAACGTCCCTTCGTCTTCTTCCAGATCGCTGCCGACACGCGTGCCACCTCGGGCCCCATCGTCGCCGACAAGAACTGCGAGAAGCTGCACTACATCACGCCGCAGATCTGGTGCGCCGGCGCCGGCACCGCCGCCGACACCGAGTTCACCACCGCCCTCATCTCCTCCCAGCTCGAGCTGCACTCGCTCTCCACCGGCCGCAAGCCCCGCGTCGTCACCTGCATGACCATGCTCAAGCAGCACCTCTTCCGCTACCAGGGCCACATCGGCGCCTACCTCGTCGTCGCCGGCTGCGACCCCACCGGCGTCCACCTCTTCACCGTCCACGCCCACGGCAGCACCGACAAGCTGCCCTACGTCACCATGGGCAGCGGCTCCCTCGCCGCCATGAGCATCTTCGAGACCCAGTGGCGCCCCAACATGACGCGCGACGACGCCGTCAAGCTCACCAGCGACGCCATCCTCGCGGGCATCTTCAACGACCTCGGCTCCGGTTCCAACGTCGACGTCGCGGTCATCACAAACGAGAAGACGACGCTGCTCCGCAACTTCATCAAGCCCAACGAAAAGTCGGCCAAGCTGCAGAGCTACGTCTTCCCCAAGGGCACCACCAACGTTCTCAACGAGCGCATTATCAAGAAGAATGAGATTGGTAGATATATCACGGTTACAGAGGTACCTTCGGGAGGCGACCAGATGGAGGTTGACACGTAAAGGACATACATGTACACGCACGTCAAGAGGGCAGCTAGCTATGATATGCAAACAGGTATAAGGAGTTGATCAAGCTGTAACAATATCACACCGTTTTGATACACCATATTCAACATCTACGCTCTTCACTCGTGTGTTGAAATTGATGGAATATTTCTATTATTCAATAGATTGCATAGGCAGATTGATGAAAACAGCGAATGCCTGCAGATACCTAAAGGTGTGTAACAAGGAGGTACCCGGAATATGCTCTGAGAGATGATAGAAAAGGAGGACACCAACATGCCATGTAATGTACATGAACAGACAAACAAAGTATTGTAATGACCGCTGTTGGCTAACAGACAACGAGTCCGCCGATATAGAAAAAAAAAATGAAAAACAGATGATGCAACGAGTAGTGGCATCTAAAGCAGTCAGAATGGCAGACTGTTCTTCCAAGTGGAAGCAGAAGAGGTGTGGTATAAGGGAGAAATGGTATGAAAGTAGGTAAAAGCGAATGCGACAACAGCTAATCGCGCCTGTAAACTCCAACGTCGACTATGCCGGAAGACAAGGTAAGAAAGTAAGGGCGGTGGAAAAGAATAGCGGAATAAAAGGGTTGAAAATGCTGACTGAAAGGGTTCGTCATCGTTACTGCTCGTGGGTGTAATTCCCACCGTTTTTGATGCTGTATAAGAATGCGGATTCGAATGATGGTAATTAGGTTTCTTAATCGACTGAGCGCTTCCGGCCAAACATAGTTCGTGCCCGTGATCTGCTGCGAGCCTTTTTGGGGTCCTTGGAAGGAGTGACGTCGGCAGTATCATCATTGTACTTGGCCTTGTGAATCCTAGAAACGCGTTAGAATGGAATGGACCAGAGTTGGGGCCTTGACCTACCAGCTATTGCCAACCATGCTCATGCCCTTGGCTTCGGCAAGTTTGTAGAATTTGGCACTCTTCTTGAGATTCTTCTTGCAGCCGACACCTTGGGCATAGCAGAAGCCGGCCTCGGCAAGCGCATCAACATCACCCCAGTCTTGAGACATGTTAGTTTCCCGTGGTATCTAGTCTGAAATGTGAACGTACTGCCTGCGATTTCGAAACATCGGAGAGCAAGAGTCTTATCTTGCTCAATGCCCCATCCGTTCATGTGGCTAACTCCAAGCTCATAGATGCTGAGGGCAAACTGCGCCTTACGCGCTCGCCGTTCAAGAACATTTACATGCTTTCCCTCCTTAACTTGGTCTTGGTCGTCGGCAACCTCGACACTAGCATGTTCGGCAGCCTTGCGAAGCCACTCCACACCCTCTCTCTGACTAGGGCGCATTCCCCAGCCATGACGGCAAGCAAGTGCATAAAGCAACATAGCGGTAGGATTGCTTTGTTTGGCGGCAAGTCGCAGATGATAGGTGGATTCTTTGAGAGAACCATTCTCGTGAAGTTGGATGCCCTTTTCAAGATGGTCTTCGGCTGTTAGTTCTGGCAAAGAGGATGAGAAGGACGTCGCTGTGGGAGGCGGTCGAACTGTTCCGGCACTATCTGAGGTATAAGTAGATGTTGGCATTCTTCCACGCGCGTCGTTCAGACTGAATTGCAAAGTTCGACCACGGCCAGCATCCTCTGAGCGCGCCGCAACCTCGATTGACGGGCGACTGGAATTTGGCGATGGGTAACCTGCTGAGCCTGTCCTAGCAATGTCCAAGCTCGCCTTTCCCGCATCAAAAGATGGACGGGCGATGAAGCTGGAGGCATCGTCTCCCATGAATCTCGCCGACGAGCTAGAAGGGCGGGTTGGTGGGGAAGGCGGCGCGCATGATAGTTTGCGTGGATGGGAAGTTGAGGGAGTCAGAGGATATGTCTCCGGAGGCTCTGATCTCTGGACAGCCTTGCCTCGTGGAAGAGTGAACTTGGAGTAAATGTATGACTGGCCAGTGCCTTTGTTGTCGTCTGTTTGTTGATCTAGGAATGCTTCGCTATGCACGCTGACTGGGGTATGCGCATCATCGGCGAGGAAGAAAGAAGGCTGGCTGTCCGAAGAGGCCTGTCTAGAAGGAAAGTCAAAGGAGGGGGTGCCGGAGCGACTAAGCGGGCGAGAAAAGTTGAACGAAGGACGAGGAAGGCCTGAGCAGTCAGAGGCCACGGAAGGAGATCTCTGGAAGCTATTGGGGAGAGCGCCAGGAGCGGCAAAGGCGCTGCTTGCAGAAGACAGCTTGCGAGCTGTGGTAGAATGGAATGAACTGGCGGGAGTGCTTGCGTTATCCTCGTCTATCGAGGCTGGTGGCGATGACTTGATACTTGAAGATCGCTTGCTTAGAAAAGGGGGCCGGGGGGGGACGAGGCCAGTGTCTTCAAACGAAGGGCGGGGTCTCTCGGGAGAAATTGCGAACTGGGTAGAGGGGAATGCGCCAGGAATATTTCGAACGGGGGACTTTTCTGAGCGTCTCTCAAATTGCGACTGAGTATCGCTCTGGATGGGCGATGGAGAGCGAGTACGGGCTCCGAAAAAGCCGTCGTTGTCGTCGACATTGAGGTGTTGGCGGCCCCGGGGCTTCTCGGGGAAAGCCCCCGGCATGGGAGGGGCGTCATCGAGATTGGGTTGGATGCGGCTCATACGCGGATGCATGGAAACGGGACGTTGAGCCTCTTCAAAGGCATCCTCAAACTCAGTCTTGAAGCCGAGGGAATCGTTGGTATCATCAGGCGAGTGAGCGGCATCGGCTGGGGGGTCGTAAGCCATGGACCGAAAGTATTCAGATCGGCCCTGGACAACTAGCGGGCTCTCGAGAGTTAGGGGCGGGAGGCGGCTGACCCTGTTGCCATCTTTGTCGCCATTTTGAAGCTGCTTGGCGAGGATGCGACTCTGGAGGGCAAAGGCGTCGAGGGGCGAGAGCTCTGGGGGCGCCTCGCCAGCAATGTGCAAGCGGGGGGAGCGAAGGGGTCTGGAGGCGCTGGAGAAAGCGGAAGTGTGCGAGGTTGATCGCAGATCCAACAGATTGGGGCGTTTATCGGACATGATGAGAACTAGGTGGCCGACCAAGGTGGTTTCCTTCGCAGACGACGGTTGAGGCCAGCGAGGAGGGGGGCTCAAGTCGAGCAGTCGAGGGGCGTAATTGTAAGCGTTTCGTTATGCGAGGGCTAAGCGGGTCAAAAGAAGCGAGCCGAACAAGGAATTGAAGGGCTCGCCATGTAGCGGAACAAGGAGAGGACGATGGTTGTCGTCGTGAGCCGATTAAGACGGGGTCGCGATGGGCTGCAGGTCTGAGCGACTGGTATCGCGAAATGAAGCAGCGCCGCGCAAGGGCGCAAGGCGAGGAGGCGGAAAAGGAAAGGAGCGGCGAGCGAGGCGACAAGTTTTTGGGTGCAAGAAAAATCAAGGCAGCTGCGCAATGGCAGTCGCCAGGGTCAGATGAAGAAGAAGCTTCTTTGAGGCAGTCGGTGGGTGGGCAGGCGAGGCATGCGGAGACGTTGGGTAGTCGGGGGAACCTGCGGTAATGTGGGTGGTGAGGCGACAGGCTATCGAAAGTATGGATGGAGGACGATGCATCCGCGTGCCCGCAGAAGATGGAGGGAACAAACAAATAGAAAAGGGAGAAAAAAGACGGAAGCAAGTTGGAGAGGCAGTTGGGCAGGAAAGGCTAGTAGGGAGGGAGGGAGGGAGAGAGGGAGGGAGGGTGAGATGTTTGGACGGGGAGCAAATTGGGGATTTGTTAGGAGGTTAGGCGTTGTTGGCGGTTGGTCTGCCAGTATCCGTACATGTGTTGCACTGTGGCTTCAGGGACTGGTACGGGTACAGCGCGACAGAGAGAGACAGAGGGGACTCGGCAGGCATGTGTGTGTGAGGGAGCACTGGGTGGGTGGTGGGCGTGGAGGAGGAGAAGGTGCGGGTGGTCGCAGCGGGAGCGGAAGGTGCAGCAGGTGCAGGTACCTTGCTGCAGAAAGGAGGAGGGGCCTTGCTTGGGTGCTGGGGGAAAGGACAGGGCCGCCAGAGACTTGGAAAGGGGCATTACAGCGGTCGGTGCCCTGTGGGTTTACAGCTTCAAGTTTATTGTAGAGGTGAGGTACCTGGCGTGCAGATGGCGAGTCAACCAGGTCGGTGCGTGCGTCGCTGCACCGACCTGGTTGACGTCCCTGCAAAGAAGATCAGAAACAAGCATATTAGCGTATTCAGGCAAGACTAGTGGTGATGCTAGGCCTCCTTGAGTCGTGGAGTGGGAGCCGTTTTGGGCAACTGCAAGGCTTTTGGGCGCAAGGCTTTTTGGGCGCCTTGTTTCCAGTCTAGCGGGTTGCTGCTAATTTACAGTTGAAGTCTTGAAGGTGCCTGGGCCGTGGTGGCTGTGTGGGGAAGGCGACGGGCAGCCAGTCGACTGTCAATCAGTCATCAGCCAACCCAAGGCTGTTTTTCTTGTCTCTTTGGGATTTTCTCATTTCCAGACCACTGGTACCTTTCTGCATACATAGCCATGTACCTCTATCCAGTATCCCGCCGGATTATTACCATTGGTCCTTCTTCCGAGTCTGTCTGCGCCTTGTGGCGGTATTGTTGGCCTATGCGTTCTCGCAGGCCCACCTCAGCCGGCACCCCTACGGGGCCAATTATTGCTGGCTGCATAATAGTTTGAAAGATGGCAACCAAGGCTTCTCTCTTCTCTGGAGCAAACAAGAAACACGTTCGGATCGTTGCTGTGCGCATCTCGGCACCTGCATGAATGTTACTCCCATGCGTCGTGCATCTTACGCAACCTTTTATGGGCTTTGCCACGGTGGCATCCTGCAGCTCAATACAGGTAGTATCTCAATAGAGACGGTTCGTCACGTCCACGGAACGAAGCTATTAATAACTGCGGATGATTAGGTACTTACCTACTGTATGTATGTATGTAGGTACATAAGTAGCAACGACAGGACCTCGCTCATCTCAATTTGCCTGCCTGCCAGTTCAGCCCCAGAAAATGGCCCATCGTACGGATACGGGTATTTGATACGACAATCTGCTACATCTATGTAGCTTTACTCCTGTGCTAAAGTTAGCTCACGCAAACGCGTCCGAGCTTCGTATTTCCCATCCGCTACCAGGAATACCAGTGACCTCCCGGTACAGATCTAGCCCTGTCCTATTCTGCAACGTTCCTCTCTTCTGCCAAGTGCGCTCTCCCCCCATGCAAAACATTCCCCCATCCGCTCACAGACTTCTCTTTCCTTGCTTCTTTCTTTTTTTAAATCTATTGCTTTCTTGTCAGGTTTCGTTTATACGCCACTCGTTTGGGACGACCGTCTCATCCCTCATGCAGCAAACTTACAAGAGACATGCCGCGTCTTGTCTCTTGTACCTGCATTCAACCCGCATAATACTTGCATAATCTGATGTAGTGCAACATGCAACTAACAGCCCTTTCTCCCACCAGCTCAGGTAAAACATGGCTCCCTCCCTTGCCACGCTCGAACCCATATTTCCCATACAAACACACAACCCGTCGTCCCAGAGCAACGGCAGGGATACTTTTTGCCCCCAACTACGGTGACAGTTGGGGGCAGTGCGCTGCGGCACAAAAGCTCCTTCGTCTTCTTTTCCCGTTCCAGACCATCTGCAAATGTGACAGTTGCGCGGATAAACATGTGCATAGGTAGGTATTTTATTTATTTATGCCTAAAATTGCCGACCACTCTCTCAGCTTGGCGCCTACTACTACGAATGCAAGGCACCTGTCTAGATAGATTCCAGCATCACGCAACATCACGCAAGACTCCCCCTCCACGCCATTCACAGCATATTGCTGCGCTCATGCACCAGCTCTCATAATGCCCCCCGTCAGCTGTCAACTTTTAATACCTGCCTTGCCCGAGAAAACACAACAAAAACAATAACCAGTCATGCCGAACTACATAAAACGCCAAATTGTCAAAATGCTACCGCAGCTCTTTCCCTCCAACTTGGTACCCAAAAACAACACGCGAGAGTCTGTATTTCTGCATCTTAGAGGTTCTTGGATCGAATCTTCTTCAGTCTCGTCGCACCCTCAAACAGCCCACGATCGACGGCGGCCGCAACAGTCAAAGTGCCACCGACCACGGCGCAGAGACCGGCAAGGAATCCGAGGAAGCTCTTGGCTTTTTCTTCGCGGTTGATAACCTTCATGGGCGAGATATCCTATTCATCGTTAGATTCATTTTCGTCTATGCATACCCGTATCATGCAGGACACGACTTACATAAGAGAAGAAGACGCCGGGAATACCGCCTCTCGAGTGAAGACGCTCGGCGTGGCCCTCGGCAGAGTCGTCGCCGCCGGTAAGGCTTCTCTTGTGGCTGGTCACGGAGTACTGATGAGTCTCTACGCTGCCGTCCGTGTTCATCGTGCGCGCCATCTTCTCCCAGCCCAGGGGCAGGAACGACGTCGGCACAATCTTGACAAAGTACATAAAGTTGAAGTTGGGGTCGTCGGTGTGCTGTTCGGTGTTATCAAGCGGGTTGGCGTGGTGGTTGGTCCAGGGCGTCGCGCCCTTGCCCAGCTTCTCTACCACGACATCGGGCAGCTGCGGCCCGAAGCGCAGGTGGTGGATGTGGTGCGTGAAGTCGTGCTTCTTGTCGTCCGTCGTCTCCCAGTAGTTCTTGAGGTCGTGTACGTGCATGTTGCCGTTGCTGAAACTGCGGCCGGGCGCCAGGTGGAAGTTGCCGACGACCTTGTTCACCTGCAGCAGGCCGTCGATGCGGCAGCCCTCGTGGCGCTGCTCCTCGAGGCGCTCGGCGTAGTGCTCGCGCTCGCACTGCTCAAATGCCTTGCCATCGCCAAAGGCCCAGGACACCTGCGCGTATGCCTCGCGGATCTCCTCACACGTGTTGCAGCACCCGGACTTCTTGACGTTGCTCGGGGCCGGCGCGCCGCCGCAGTCGCCGCAGTAGCTTGGGTCCAGGTGCTCGGCCTCGTCGTTGTGGAGGTTCACATATTTCATGTCGATGACGCCACCTCCCTCAGCCTCGGGGCGAAGGCGGAGCTTGTGCACGCCGTGCGCGACGCCGTGCTGCTGCTCGCCGGATACATCCATGACGTCGAGGGTAAGGAGCTCGCAGGGCATGCGGGGGAATGTAATGTTAAGGTGAATATCCATGCGCTCACCTGCAGCGCCGCTCACATCAGTCGCTTGTCACTATGAATGGCCCTTTGTCCTATCTGCGCAAACTCACCTCGTCCCTTGTCGACAACAAGCTCAGGGCGAATGACAACCCTTCTGTAGTCGGCCCATTCTCCCCAAGCCAAGAACAGCACAACGATGAGGGAGACAATGGTGACCACACCACCGCTAGTTGTTCGAATTCGGGCCTCGTCGACCGTCTTGGTGAAGGCGTCAAGCCTGGTAAATCTCGATTTGGCGGGCATCGTGGACGAAGCCAACAAGGAATAGGTCGATCGATCTAGGAAGTGGCGACACGGTGAGGCAGACTATTACGATAAAAAAGGTAATGCCAGTAGAAATGCAGCGGGTGCTGGTAAAGAATGGAATCAATTGACCTCAGGTGCCAAAGTCATGGAGGATGACAATGGTTGGAGAAAAGGCGTCGAGATGCGTTTGATGGCGACGTGTAGCACAAGTAGCCGCCCGTAGGTATTAAGGCCACAGTCGCAAATACAAGGGACAGCTGCGGCGGGTCCACTATTACCCTGGCCCCAGGTTTCCATTCTGGGCGAGCCTCTGACTTAGTCAGCAGACAAGGGCAACATAGCCTCCTCTGAACTATCAACAAGTTGTAAAATCTCATAAAGGCTTTTGTAATTTACATTGACCATTGACAGTTTAAACCTCTTTTCCATTTTGTGGTTCACTCTAGGGCTCTAACGAGACTACGTCTCTCACCGGCCCTCATCCGCGCAATGCCTTATCAGGTGGACGGAATACGCAAGCGCCAGGACGCACGACCGAAAATGAGCGCGGCCTGAATGAAAAAAGAAGGACAAAAAGGGTTCATTCCCACGGCAAGTGATTGCGGCATTGTTTCCACGCCTTTGATGGAAAAGTGAATGCGCATGCGTGAGCCTTGTACTTCCAAAGCGGATCTCTTGGTTTTGCAAACCACCAGGGTCAGACACTAGAGGATTGCGGCTGTTGAGAATCTTAGGTATGGAATTAAAGGAATTACATAAAATGTTAGTTGGTTAATGAAGAGTATGTATAGAATAGTATCAGGTTTTTTTTGGGGGGAACTTTTTCTCACCGTTTACTATTAAATGTCGAGCAATCCATCTCTCACCCGCGTAGTTAGTCCAAGTCCTGCGATCGGCAAATCGCCGGTACCTTGGTCAAACCAGCCTGGAGCTTCAAACAGCCTGGGACGAACAACGCCCAACCACCATCCCAAGTCCATCCCAACCAACAACTAAGCTGCGCAGGAGCAGGGCTTCGCGCTTCCACATACGTCGTCGCATCCGGACCAATCCCATTATCTCCATAAGAACTCCCAGCGACCCGCGAATTGAGTCCACCAACTTGGCCAACAAGGACCCAGAAAAACGCGGCAACCAAAAAGTCCTGCTGCCCGTTGATATCCCCGATCTACCTGGCGCCTGCAGTCGCGCTCCCAAACACACCGCTCATTCTGCATTTGGAAACCGATCCGAAGAGAGAAGGAATAAAATGTCGACGCGCCCGCCCTCGCGCGTCGTCTTCGTCGGCAACATCCCATACGGTATGTTGGCCTCGCCTCGATGCCATTGGACGATGAACTGACCTCCCGCGCGCAAAGGACTGTCCGAGGAACAAATCACCGACATTTTCAGCGACGCCGGCAAGGTCGAGCGCTTCCGTCTTGTCTACGACCCCGAGACAGGCCGGCCTAAAGGCTTCGGCTTTGCCGAATACCCAGACACAGGTACAGCCTCGCTCTCTCATTCCTTCCCGGCAGCAGCTCGTCTCTCTCTCTCTCCGCCGCGTTCCCACTCTCAGTTCTGACTCCGCTACCTCTTAGACTCTGCCTCCTCGGCTGTCCGAAACCTCAACGACTACGAAATTATGGGCCGCAAGCTCCGTGTCGACTTCTCGCACGAGCAAAAGGCCGCCGACGACGACTACACACCTGTCAGTGCTCCCCTCCTCCTTATTCCGCGCGTCAAGACGAACAAGCCAGCTAATTGAGAAACTTGACACGTACAACAGAGCGCCGTCACCACCGCGCCAAACGGGTCTTCGCACATGGCCGCCCAACAACAGCTGCAACCACCCTCCTCCTCCCTGCCGCCGCTACCCCCCGGCAAGGACATACCGCCGGGCCTGACGTGCACCGACGCCATCTCCCGGACGCTTAACACGCTGCCGCCCGCACAGCTCCTCGACATCCTCACGCAGATGAAGACGCTCGCCACCAACGACCCGCAGCGCGCCACCGAGCTTCTACAGCAGGCGCCGCAGCTCGGCTACGCCGTCTTCCAGGCGCTACTCCTCATGGGCCTCGTGTCCCCCGAGGCCATCCAATCCGTCATCGAGCCGGGCGTGCCCGCGCCCGCGCCCGCAGTGCAGCAGCAGCAACCACCGACCAACTACGCCCCCGTGGGCTACCCGCAGGCCCAGCAGCCCGCGGCGAATCCCCCGCCAGCCGCCGCCGCCGGTCAGGACACGGACAGCCTGATGCGCGCGCTGATGGACCTGCCTCAGTCGCAGATCGACCAGCTGCCAGAGTCGGAGCGACAACAAGTCATGGCGCTCCGAGCAGCTTTTGGCGGCCAAGCCCGGCGATGAGTTTTTCTTGGGAGGGGACGGTGCTTTCTGCAGGATGGGAGAAGACAGGCGAAAAAGAAGAGGGAGAAGACATTCTGGGGGGACGGATATCCTTGGCCAAATAGGGACAAACTCCCGTCGAGTTATGGTGTTTTGGCGTTTTTATTTTTTCTTACATGGAGGTGAAACGGGTAGAGACAAGCCAGCTGGATGAGTACGGTCCATCTCTGCGAGCTGCGATAGGTTCCTTCCTGGATACAGACAAGTGTCGACACGTCGAAACGTAAGAAAATAGCCCTGATTTTCAAAGCTACACATTGCTTGAGATTTCAAGTGATATCATGCATTCATGAAAGTATGCAAAGTCGCCCTAGAAAACAAAATCCGGTGTCATGGTCAGAAAATATATTGGACTCTGTTCCAAATGTCTAATTTAAAAGTGCAAATGGCACGAAGTGCTTAGATTTTGCTACGACGCAATCAAATTGAAATAGGGTCGAGGGAAGAAATGCTGCGCCGTCCTGTAAACCTTCTCTCATAAAAAGTGCTCTGCTTGGCCTCTGTCCAAAATCCACTCCATAATGTTCCCAAAAAAAAATGCTAGGAGAAGCAATCACACGCCATTTCTTCCAATACGTAAAAAGTGATGTTTTGTAGGGGATATTCAGTCGTCACTGTTAGACGATTTTATACACTCGCTTGGCGAGGAGGTAACAGGCTATGCCAAAGCACAGCAGGCCGGCCGTGATGAACATGAACCACTGCAGGTTTCCCTCGTACTCTTGGCCGGGGACCCAGACGTTCATGCCCCAGAGGCCGGTGATGATGTTCATGGGCAGAACAATGGTGCCGATGACGCTAAGGCGGCCGAGGACGTCGGCCGTCTGCTCCTGGCGCTCGTTCATGCGAATGTTGATTTGCGCGAGGTAGTTGCCGTGGGCGCGGGCCAATATTCTGGAAGTTGATGTAAGTAAACAGGGGCAACCTGACGTTAGGCAATAGAAAACAAACCGTACTTTTCATAGTGACTTAAGTTGGAAGTCATCGTCACGATGTGGTCTTGGATATCGCCAAGATACAGCCCGATTTCTGACTTGGGTGCCACTTCCCAGCGCTCGTTGCAGCGCTTGGCAAAGCCCTTGATGACGTCGGCCTTGTTACCCAAGAGCCTATACAAACTCATAACACGCTTTCGGCAGTCGCCGACGCGCCGGAGCATATCGCCACTCGTGTCGGTAATGGTGGCCGTGTCGTCCTTGTTCTTCTCGTCGGCGTCTTCCAAGGGCGAATGCAGCCGCAAGATGGCCTCATCAATCTCGTCAACCTCGTCCTCAATGTTCTGGATCAAGGGCTGGAACACGTCGGTGATGTCGTCAATGATTGCGTAGGAGATCCAGTCCGACGACAGCAGCAGGTAGTCACGCAATTGACGAATACGCCGCCGCACATTGGCCGGGTGTGGCGTCATGGAGAATTGGAAGCTGAGAACGCCTTCGCGGAAGACAACCACGTACATGTTGACGGGCTCCAGAAAATTGTCACTGTTAATGTCCTGATCAAAGGTCCGGTAGTTGACAAAGTAGTAGTGGCGGAAGAGCTCGACCTTTTCACGAGCCTCCTGCACCATGATGTCTTCAGCAGTCAGTGGATGAATTCCAAACGCCTTGGAAATGACCTTCATCTCTTCCTCTGTGGGGCAGACCACATTGAGCCACCATACTGGCCGGTCTCCGTATCGCACCGGCCGTTCCGGCTTGAGTGTCAGGTCAAGAGGTTCTGGGAGTGGTTTAAACATGGTGCTGTCCGAGTTGCGGAGCTCCCCTGCGGCAGCCAGCGGCGCCCTGACTGACGGAGCCCTGGAGCTATCACGGGTTGAGGTGTCCACCAGAGGTTGCGTATGTGTCGGCGGCGCGAACCGAGGCGGGGAAAAGGCTCCACGAGCGGACTCGGATACGGAGTGTTGGCGAGTAGAGCGGCGAGAATCGGAATCGAGGCCGGTAGGTACGTTGAGCGCTCGCGATGGGATCGACGTGGTGTCGTCGCCGGAATCAGACTCATCATCGGACAGGATACGGTGATCGGGGATAAAGAGCTCACGAAATGTCCCTCCCGGTTGGACGAGCTCTGAGATGGTGTGGCTGTGGATGGTGCTTTGAAACTCCTCGTTGAAGTAAGTAAAGCGATAGGGGACCTCTTCATCGGTCTGGAACCAGCCTTTGCGTACAGGGCGCAAGCGGCCGTTGATGAGCTGGGGTTCAGTGATCCTCTTTGCTCTGCGTTCCTCACTCCTATCTTCTTTTTCGAAGTGCCTCCACTCCTCGAGGACGGACAGATCTGGCCAATGGCGTCGACGGCGGCGAGCTTTATGCTGGGCACCGTCGCCACGAGCAGTACCCTCATCATCGCCCAATTCGGACATGCCAACGGTAGGAAAACAGACGTCGGCTTCGGCGTCAGGATGTGGTGTGTTGATACTATCGTGGCGATGCCCATCCTCAGGGTTGAAGAAAGGTTGGTCATCCATGGTCGGCCGCTTAGGGCTGCCAGCTCGCATGGCCATTTCGTCACGGAGCATGACATCTCCGAATGTCATCTCATTGTGGTGATCGAGCGTACCAAACGTGGGAGAGCCTGGGACGGAAGGGGGGTTGTTTACATGATAGGGATCCTTTCTGCCAAATGCGGCGGCTAACTTGGTCGTAGACGAGACGATGGATGATCTGCGGCTCTTGCTTCTCTGGGTTCTGCTGTCAGCGCCACCATAGCTGGGGGAAGCAGCAGGACCAAAGCGACCAGAGTCGGAGAGTAAGGGAGCCGTCTCGTCCCAGGGCGTTGTAGGACCGGATCTGTCGCTGCTGTGATGCGTCTGGACAGAGCGCAATCGGCTACTGGCGCTAGGAAGTGGATTCTGGAAACGATCGGGAGCGATGGTGGAGGAGCGTCGAACACGCATCGGAGTATGCTCTCTGTGGATTATTAGTGAGTATGACAGACAGCTGATGGAGATGGCATGCCATGGTTTGAGGCGCACCTATGATCTAGTAGAATCTCGCTGTCGACGCTGCCGGCACTGAGGTTCCCTTGGGGATGGTTGTAGAAGCCGTCGGCGGACGAGGCGCGGTCGGTCTCATCGTGGCTGTCATCATGTAGAAGAGCAAAGCTCTTGCGTCGATTCCTCTTGTTCTTGCCCCCTCGGTGGCCTTTTCGCTTACGCGGAGGGCGAGCGGGCTTGGCAGTGGCGGATGACTCTGCGCCGGGGACGGAGCCCGCGGGCGCAGATGTCGGGGCGGGAGCGGGAGCGGGAGGGTTGCTGGCAGAGGCGTCGAAAAGCGGTTTGAAGCGATTGCCAGCCATTTTGACAGATGTGCGTGTTTGTGCCTAGGCAGAGGCAGGCGGGAAAAGGTGAGAGCGTATCGCGGATGTTTGAGACGTGGTTGTTTTCCGTGCCGACCGACGGGTTGCCTGCATTTGGTGTCCGAGTGTCAGGTATCAAACCGAAGTGCCCAACTTCGACTGACAGGACAGAAAGCGTCGGCGTCTGAAGATAGACATGCGGTATAGAGATGGCTGCTGGTAGTAGGGAAAGGCAGAGCAGAGAAGCTTTTTGTTGGGTAGGACGAGGACGAAAAGATGGGAAAATGGAAAATGGAGAATGGAGGATGTATCTCTGGCTTGGCATTGATAGAGGCAAGTACTAACTAACTATAGTTTAGAGCACCAGATGAGTGTGGTGGCGATGGGGCCAGTGGTTGGTGCTAGTCGAGCTGGTAACGTTAAACGATTAAAGTATTCGCTTCTGGCTGCCAAGGAAGAGCTTTCTTTCTACAGCAGGACGTGGGCCTGCTAAGTTCGTTGATGTCACTGCACCGCGGAGTACTAGGTACATACAAACCTCTAACCCTGTTTGTTGCCTTGTTTGGTACGGATACTTCGGGGTTGGGTAGTTCGTGGACAAGCTTAGTAGTAATCTACGTACCCTACGGATAAGGGAGCCTCTGTTCCGGAACAGCTTCGTTTGGCAAGCAAGGATCAACGCCACCCATCTCGATTTTCTCTTTCCATCTGTATTATTTCCATTGTCCGAATCCTTCAAGACAACGTTCATTTACACTCAATTAAAGCTGCATAATGGCTAATGTGGCGGTGGGTCCTTGCCATTGATCCAAGCTGGAAAATCCCCCCCCCCCCCTGGTACCTGGTACCTTATCACGGCCTACAGTGTGTGTCATACAAGACATTCACATCACCACTTTGAGCTTCATCCCACACCAGCCACCAGCCACAATCACACGTTGGCCGTCTCATCAACACCATGCTAATCAATGCGGCGCGTGCGACGTTTGACACCTCCAGGCACAGCGTCTGAAACCACCTGCTGCCCTTCTCGATTTTCAAATCTTGTGCTTGATCTGGGAGCCCGCCCTCCTCCAACAAACGGTTTGCTGACTCAGCACCACTACCCTGCAATCCAGTGCACAACTCAAGACGAATGTTTTGCAAATGTATTAATGTATTAATCTTAGTAAACTAGATGTCGTCTGTACTAGAATAGGAAATCACAGCAAAATCTCAAGCGTGGCAAGATTCTGGTTGGTTTCACCGACTCGAAGCCTTGTTTGCTCACCCAGGATGGTGGGTGGTATTCGGCCGAGTCCAGTTTACCCCAGTTTCGCTGCCCAAAATTCTAATCAACTCCAAGTCACAGACCAATGCACGACCTGGCTTTGACAGGCTTGGGGGATGTTGTTTCTCATTCAATCCAGTGCCCTGGTATAGTAGCGGCAGGCGCGGGCAAGCTATGTCTTGAAGCTCGCCCACACGGACTACCTCATCTGCACTGGTATAGACACAGATACAGACAGAGTGCGCGCTGAGGCAAGTTGAGATGAATCAGGCTGAGCCTCTCAGTCAGGTCGGCGACCTGGCTCTCGACACGGACGAGCCTTTGCAATCCATGACCATGGAGGAGGCACCGACGACCATGGAGGGACGCAGCAACTTGCGAATCTCCCTCGTCATGATAGCCTTGGCGGTATGTCCCCCCCTCATCGCCCTCCTCAGCCAGCCAACAACTCGCCGGACCCCTTCCCGGGCTGACAACAACCTATCCTCCAGCTAGTCCTCTTCTGCTCCGCGCTGGACACCACCATCGTCTCCACGGTGCTGCCCACCATCTCCGCCGACCTGCGCTCCGCGGCCGGCTACGTCTGGGTCGGCAGCGCCTATACGCTCGGCCACGCCGCCGCCGCCACCGTCTGGGCCAACCTGTCCGGTACCCGGGGCCGCAAGCCCGTTCTCCTAGCCGCTCTGGTGCTCTTATTCGCCAGCTCCCTCGTCTGCGCCACCGCCGCGAGCATGCCGGCCCTCATCGCCGGCCGCGCCGTCCAGGGCACCGCCGGCGGTGGCATGCTGCAGATGGTCAACATCATCATCGTCTGGACCGTCGCCGGCACCGTCGGCCCCATCCTCGGCGGTGCGCTCACGCAGCGCCTCTCCTGGCGCTGGGTCTTCTGGATCGACCTACCCCTCACCGGCGCCGCGCTCCTCGTGCTCGTGCCCTTCCTCGACGTCCACGACGCGCGCACCCCGCCACTCGCCGGCCTCCGCGCCGTCGACTGAGGCGGCACCGTCTGCGTCCTCGCCGCCGCCCTCCTGCTGCTCCTCGGCCTCGAGCTCGGCGGCGTCGCCCCGCCTAGGACTCGCCGACCGTCGTCTGCCTGCTCGTCCTCGGCGTCGTCGCCGTCTCGCTCTTCGTGTACTGCGAGGCGCGCCTCTCCCGCATGCCGCTCGTGCTGCTCGGTGCCCCCTCGCCATCGACTTTTGCCACGCGGCCGTCGTGACGGGCGCCGGCTGGTTCCTGCCGCTCTACTTTCAGGTCACGAGGCTGGCGTCCCCGCTGCGCTCGGGCGTCTTGTTCCTGCCAATCGTCATCAGCTCCTCGCTGATGAGTGGCGGTGTCGGGTTCGTGATTCACAAGACGGGCCGGTACGTCGAGATCACCCACATCGGGTGGATACTTGTGCTCCTTGAAACTGGTCTCTTCATTGACTTTGATCGCTCGTCCTCCCTCGCCAAGATCATCGCCTACCAGATCATCCTCGGCTTCGGCATGGGCATGCTCGTCTTCCCACCGCTGCTGGCTCTCCACGCCAACGTCACCAGTGGGCAGACGGCCGCCGCGACGGCTACTTTTGGCTTCGTTCGAAGCATGTCGGCGTCCGTGGCCGTCGTCCTTGGTGGTGTTCTCTCCAGAACGGGATGAACGTGCAAAAACCGCGTCTCGTCGCTGCTGGGCTGCCCTCCAATATCACGGACGCCTTCAAGGGCAGCGATGCTGGCGCCAATGTTCTACTGGTAGCAACTATCCAGAACTCAGAGCATCAGCGTGCAGTGCAAGAGGCCTTTTCTGACAGCATCCGTCACATTTGGTATCTGTACACCGCGCTCAGTGCAGTGAGTGTCCTTTCGTGCGTTTTTGTCAAGAGTCATGTTATGAGTGAAGTGCATACGGAAATCAAAACTGGCCTGGATGGAAATAGAGCCCAAGAAAAGAAGCAATAAGAAACGGTGGCCTGCAAAAGCGTCCCGCGTTGCAGAAAAAAGATGGTGTTCATCTTGAATCAAATGCGCCAGGTGAATATACAAAACAGTACCCCATACAAAAAACTCCAGATAATATGCCGACGGTGTCGCTTATGCCTTTTGAAACACACTTTTTCTAATTGCCTTTTCGTCCTCCATTTCGCCCTGAAAGCTAGAGCCACCAAGCATCGACGGTTTCGAAATCCCAAAGTTTCACCAAGAGACTGTCAGGAACTCCGGAGGCCTCTTCCTGCGGCAGGAACACCTTCTTTGGAATGTGGAACTCGACAACAGGCGCCTTCTTCACATCCTTGCCCATCTCGGCCTCCAATAAGCTGGCATACGAGTGATCCAAGAAATCCTCCATGTTGTACGAGTGCTTCGTGAACTGCTCCGCTACAATCTTTGCAATCGTTGCAATGTTGGGGTGGTAGTGCGACTGCAGCTGGACAAGCTCCCAGAAACTGCTCTCAATGGCACTGGTCTTCATCGGGTCGCGCTCCTCGGGGAGAAAAGGATCTTCCATGCCGTTCTCCCGCAACTCCTTCTTTTTCTCGTCGTCTGTCGTTTCTCTCTGGAGCATGAATGTACACAGTGGATGCTTCATAAGCATGTTGTATATCCAAGGAATGACAAATGCAATGGCGCTTGGGGGTGCGTTCAGCGATAGCCGGGCGAGTCGCTTCAAAAAGCTCGCGACAAGGGCAACGGGCAAATGCGTCGAGCTGAGGAATGTGTCCAGCAGTCGGAAGAAGCGCGCCCGGTATTTCGAGTGCAGGATCTGGCTGTTGAGGAGAGAGTATAGCTTGGGGTAGAAGGAAGGGTAGTCGAGGTTGCGCTCTCGGATGAGGTAGAAGACACCTGAGAGAGCGAGCAGCGCCATGGATCCGCTTGCATCGTACGAGCTCGTCAAGAAGTCTGAGAGGATCTCAGGATTGGGAAACCAGGGCGCAATAACGTCCGAAATAAGCGCCAGCACGCGCTTGCGTTGATCGTTCGTTTCAACAAGATTCATCAGAGCGAGCCAGGCTTCCTGACCTTGTTTCTTGTGCTGGTTTGGCTGTCGCAAGTAATGCGACTTCTTCTCGGGCTTATGAATGTAGAAGTCCTCCAGTTCGTCTGCTGATTCCGGCACGCCATCTAGTGCAGTGAGGAGCGCGAACGCGCTTTCGAAGAGCCTTGATTTCAAATCACCCTCGTCATCTGAGAGTTCTTTGATAGCAGAGCTGAGCCGCACAGTTAGTAGAGGCAGAAGCAGGGTACTTGACAAATGGAAATACTCACGTAACAGAAGCGAACGTATAGTAGCGAACGTCATCATACTGCTCGGCAGATTCTTCAATGTAGGCCTTGCGAATGTCGTCATTCTCACTCGCAATAATATTCTTGACGATCTTTCCCAAGAAATCCCGAGGAAAAGCATAGTCAGACTTGTCTCGGAGATATTCGCCCTCTGCTTTTAGCGTTCGCATGCAAAGCGTGAGTGCGGTAGAAGCAATTTCGTCTTCGCCAAGCAGATCCAGCAGGATGTCCTTGAACTGGCTAAACTGTTCCCGCAGCCACCCGACAACAACCCGGTCCTTTTCTGAGAGAGATTTCTTCGAGACAAGAGAGCCCTGAGCCAGAAGCCTCATGAAAATGCGGCAAAGGGCGACAGTAGAGAGGATTGCCTCGGGGTTGCCAGAGTCATAGGTTGCTGCTTTTCCCAGAAGAACGGCAATGTTGTTGTAGTTCTTCCTAGACTCAAGAATCCCCTGCTCCATGAGAAGAATCGCAGCATTCGGATCCTCTTCATTCTCGCTCGAGGCGGCGCGCGGGCGCTTGGTAACCTTCTTCTCTGTGGGCGCAACTCGTTTGCGCTTGGCGCTGCTTGCTTGGCCAGCGGGAGCCATGGTGAGATCTGAAGCTTCGAGCGCAGTCAAATTGGCCGTTGTGGTGAATTCTCTAGCAGACAAATGACTGAAGCCGTCTCGAATCAAACACTCCGAAGGAAATTGAAAACCCGCTGCTGAACTGGTGTAAATAGGAAACTGGCTTGGAAAAAAGTGAAATCGATAAGCCAAAAATTCATGAAATTTAGCAAGACACTTTAGTTCGGGCCAATCAATGATGAGACCGCAGAGGTGGGTCAGGCTACGGGAAAGAATCGGTTAAAGTCGCTGGGGAGCGCCGAAATTCCACTGAGCCATCACCGCAGTAGTGCAATAACAGCAACGACATCACGTGACGCTCCTCAGCATCCCGACAAGTTAGCGCGATAAAACCTCAACCTCATACAAAGCTTCCCGATCCATCGACACGTTTACCCCATACCCTCCTCGTCGAAATTATCTCACAATGGCCTCCCGCTTGGCGCGAAGCGCTGCCGGTACGTCGATTCGCGGATTCCCCGACTTTTCCGAGCCCAATTGGCCCCGAAACTAACCCACGACCCTTCCTTCTCCCGCAGGCGCTGCTCCTTACCTCCGACCTACCGTCGCCCGCCGAGCCCTCCCTGCCGCGCTCGCCGCCGCCCGCCCCGCGAGCACCAGCAGCAACGTGCCCGCCGAGGACCCCAAGAAGAAGGCGCAGAGCATCCTCGACAGCCTCCCCGGCAGCAGCCTGCTGAGCAAGACGGCCATCCTCAGCTCCGGCGCCGGCCTGTCCATCTACGCCCTCAGCAGCGAGTACTACGTCATGAACGAGGAGACGGTCATCGCCGTCTGCCTGCTCTCCGTCTGGGGCGGCCTCATCAAGTACGGCGGCCCCGCGTACAAGGAGTGGGCGCAGGCCCAGAGCGACAAGATCAAGGGCATCCTCAACTCGGCCCGCGCCGACCACACCGAGGCCGTCAAGACCCGCATCGAGGACGTCAAGCAGATGAGCGGTGTCGTCGACATCACCAAGGCCATGTTCGAGGTGTCCAAGGTACGCGATTTGGTAGAAGCGGGGGGACGTTCGATGAGATATGCAGCGCACTATGGAGAGGGGAACGGATTTGCTGACTTGTGCACGTGTCATGTAGGAAACTGCTAGACTCGAGGCTCAGGCTTTCGAGCTCGAGCAAAAGACGGCCCTGGCCGCCGAGGCCAAGACCGTCCTCGACTCCTGGGTCCGCTACGAGGGACAGGTCAAGCAGCGCCAGCAGAAGGAGCTCGCTCAGTCCATCATCGCCAAGGTCCAGAAGGAGCTCGAGAACCCCAAGGTTCTGCAGCAGATTCTGCAGCAGAGCGTTGCTGACGTCGAGAGTATGTCCCATCCCTATGTTCTTGCTGATCTACAGCCAGCTAACTAATCTTTTCCTCCTACAGGGATTGTCAGCTCCAAGGCCCAATAAGCGGCTTGTCTGGAATAGATTACAAGGACCAGCTATTCCCTTTGTCACAACACCCTTTGTGCATATAACAACACTTGTGCATTAGCAATACAACGAGACTTTTGTCTCCCTTATAATATCCCGACGTTTGACGACGTGAATGTACTGTGGACGGTTGACTGGCGTGTATCAGTTGCTCGGTCCATGCCAAAATAATCTCCAAGAGGACAAGGATCAAGTGTCAAATGCGCATGTGCGCAGAAATAAGTGGATTGGAAAATTAACTTGGTAAAACATAAAAAAGTAGCAGTAGCGTCCCAATGTTACAATCATAAAAATGTACATATTCGCCCAAACAAGCGCCGGCCACGCGCTCTCCTCTGCTATTCAATTAGTAGATTGGCCTTGGCTCTTCCCATTTTTTGACTTCAATGTCAGATTTTGACTCGGGCGTCTCTGCGCCCATGTCTGACGGTGCCCAAGACACCCGCCCGCTGCGTCGCCGTCTCGCACCCTCACCCTTGCTGGGACCAATCCATTCCCATGCGCGGCCGACCTCACCGCTGCGACCCTCTCTCTGGCTTGTGCGGACGTTGCTGTTCTGCTCCACCACGACTCGCACGCGCTGCCATATGCGGTCTCTCTCGGCCAGCGAGTGTACAGAGCGGAGGACGTCGTCTCGCAGGTTTGGTAGAAACAGGTATGGCTCGTCCAGATCCTCATCACCGAGCTCCTTCTGGTTTGCGAGTCTGCCCAGCACGGTGTCGACAAGCGCCGGAATCTGGGCAGCCGTGGCGAGGTGCTTGCGATACCTAGCTTTGAGATACAATACGCCAAGAACAAGCATACTCAAAAGTCCAATTGGGAGTCTATATCTCGCCAATCCGCTGCGGATGGATCGTTTGATCGCACAGCGGAACGGAAGGCGAGCGAGAGAGGTGGACGAGAGTCGGCTTTGAACACCTCCGGAACCGGGCGATCTGTAGGATCAGGTTGGGATCTGATTAGTGGAACTGGTCAGAACGTTGGCCTTTTCGGGATAATCGCTGCTGTAAGGGGATGCAGCGGAAACAAAAGAACAGTGGGCAACTTACGTCGTCGTCTGGACCTCGACTTCCTCTCGGCCAGTAATCTCACCAATAGCAGCCTCCCAGAGCTCATCAAACTCTTGACTATTCATACGCTTGTTGCGCTTTTGACTGACAGTAGCCTTGAGCTCCTCCTCGGCAATGGTGGGAGAGTCTTCCTGCTCGCCAGCTTCGTTTGTCAGCTCTCCGCATTCATACTTTGCGCGGCGATCTCTGAGTTCTTCAATAGCCTTGTCGGCAACTGCCTGTACCCGCCGGGCTTTCTCGCTGTCAGGCTCGCAAGTGGGCGGCAGAGGGATAAGGCCGCCAAGGGCAAGAGGGTGGGGCTTCAGGATGAAGTCATCCTGGCAGCGGACGGTAAAATCCTCGTAGCAAAAGGCGTGCTGGGGGCACGTCTCACACTCGGGTTCAATGAAGGGCACCAGGGCATCCGGGACAGGAATCTCTGGCGGAATGACCTGCCTCGCAGGCCGACCAAGGCCACAGTACCCTACAGCCATTTTCTCCTGCCGAAACCAGGCAAGGTAGGCACCAAACAGAGCCATCAAGAGCACAAAGAAGGGCGTCTTGACATTACCCTGTCGTTTGTGTTTGACAACGGCGTTTCGGCGTGGAGCTGCCACGTCGCCGGCGGCGGCGTCTTCCTCGAGCTCAAGCTGCTCATCTGGAGTAAACTCCTCGCCCGGCTCCAGTAAATGGTCCGGCGTCCTGTAACGGCGAGGGGGGGTTGTCATGTCGAAGCGCCTAGTAGTACGAGTGGATTCTGTACCAACAGCTGTGCGGCGGCGAGCAGACTTTGCACTCTTTACAGGCTCGACGCTTACAGTTCGTCGGCGATTGGGCGTTTGCATTGGGGGAGGAGAGCTTCCGCCTTGGAAGGGATTGTCATCGGTAAAAACGCTCGGCTCTTCTTCGTACTGTGTTGATTCTTCTTCGATGTCGTCTTCTTCGGAATCTTCGGAGTCTTCCTCCTCCTCCTCCTCCTCCTCCTCCTCCTCAATTTCGGGCTCAGGTTCGGGCTCGGGCTCGGGTTCAGGCTCAGGCTTTATCTGAGGTGTAACGGTCCGGCGACTGGACCGGCGAGAAGAAACAGATGCAGCGTAGAGGTGGGAATCGTCCTCCGGGCCATGGGAGAGCTGCCTGCTGACGGAGCGTGATGCGCGAGAGCTGCGTTTGGGCTCGCTGCGGAACACGGGGGTAGCTGGCTCCTCTTCCTCGACCTTGATGCGCGCTGAGCTCTTGCGCGGAGACTTTGACCGCCGGGAGGCAGTCCGTGGAGGGGAAAGCTCGTCGTCATCCCATAGGCCGTTATCTTGGGCGCTGCCGGCATTTACGATGCCGAGACTTGAGCGCTTCGCGCGGGCGCGCTGCGCTCGTATCTTGGGAACCTGGGGCATGACGTGCTCCTCCACCAGAGCGACGAGCTGTGTCTTCTTTGCTGTGGATGGATAATCAATGCTGTGCGTAACTAGGATGGATCGCAAACGCGGGATGGTGACGCTGCGCGGATCGAACCCCTCCTGGAGATAGTCGTCGGCTTCAGCCATTATGGGTAGATTTTGCCAGACAACGGATTCTGATGCGATGAGAAGCTTGTACGGCAGGGGATGGCGCTGGAATTCTGGATTTGACAGACGCAACTAGTAGCCGTGGCAAAACCAGTAGCTAGTCGATGCGTTGCTGACGGTAGAGAGGAGCTGAGACAGAGCTAAACAGTACACGGGTCAACAACGACTCGCAGTTGATAACCTGTGCAAATGCAGAGCGACGGGTGGGTGATATCCGTCCGCTTAGACAAAAAAAAAGATGTCTTCTGCTCAGCAGCAAGAGATGCCAAAGGGCAAGAAAAAAATGCCTAGGTGCGGCTATGTGGCAATGAATTGTTGTCCGAGGCAAAAAAAAAAACCCCCCCAGGTGTGGGCAGATCAGCCTGTGGTGTTGTTCAAGGCGGGTTGCTGAACAAATCAAATAGTGCCTCCGTTGTCTGTGGCAACAAGCGAAGCACAGAGAAGTGGAGGCTGGTTGGCTGGACCGTTCGTCTGGAGGAGAGCTCTCACACCAGTGATACGGCCAGGCAGAAACAGCTTTCAATCTACCAGTCACGACCTTTTGTGACACTTGCGTTGAAACTGAACTGGAATTATTGCCATGTTGGATCCGGATTGCTGCAATGCGAAACGCGAGAGGGCTTGAAGCCGGCGACCAGTTCGCCATCCAGCACCGACCAAACACCGCCAGACTGGACAGCGTATTTCTAAGGCGAAGAAATCTACGCATATTCGCTCAGGCAGCAAGATGAAAGTTAATTTCACTCGATTGTCATACCCATATCAACCCAATACGAGGCTTACGCAAAGAGGCGGCCTGCAGCTCAGCAAACATATCCTCGCCCGACCAGCACCAAGCGAACGTACATATGTAGCACGCGGACGACCATCATTTGGTCATGCTGCTTGTACCCGACGTCATAATAAAGCTTGGTCCGTCGTCACAGATTCAACAGCACATGAAAGGCAATTCTTCAACGAGGTCCTCAGATACGAGGCGAGCAATCCTTTGGACCCAAGAAGCGTCCTTATCAGACTAATAATACATGTTACGTCATACTAACATAACAGACAGGAATAGTTCCTAATAGCACATCCTCCCACATCTTATTCACCATCCCCGCCTTGATATGGAGGTGGTCCATCGGGATAGGAGCCCGCTGACAGGACACTCTCGCGAATCTCTGCCTTTGTCACGAGCACAGTTACGTCCAGAAGTCGCATCGTCACCGGGCCGACCCCCGCACTTGAACGCAGCTGAAAGCATCTCGCCTTCATGCATTTATTTTGGTCACCATCATGCCGCCACAGCTTCTGTGGACATGCGTGAGCCTTTCCCTTGGTCTCAGATATGCTCAGGACGCGGCCCTGCTCCTCCCTGTCCCAGCAGAGCTCATGCATCCGTGTGATTTGGTCGGTCCCAAAGAGCCTGTATCGTTTGTACTCTGACTTGATGTTCATCGCTCCCAGGTAGCGCTTCTCCGTCAGCCACATCTCCAGCGTCGGGATCTGGTAAAACTGTGCCGCCACCAGCAACTCCAGATATTTGGCCGTGTCGTAGCCGGATGCTTGGTCGTAGAAGAGCGGGAAACGGCGCGTGCGTAGAAAACGCATCACTTGGTCAAACATTTCAGGATCAGCATCGAGAAAGTACTCGCCATCATGTGTTGCCTCGGTGCTCAATAGGGTCGCGAGGAGATGGCTTTCGGCGAGAGTGGCGCGTGTAGTGAAGAATTGCTTCTCCCCCACGCGGAGTACCACACGGTTATCCAAGACCGGTGCGGAAGCAGTATTGATAGATGCTACTCCCACGTTTGCGCCAGCTGCAGGCCCAGTTGCCTCTGTTGAAGGCGGTAGACGACCGGCACCAGGCGTCATATTGTCCGAAACTGACAGGCGACTGATCGAAGCGGTTTGTTCTGGAATGGGCTGCGTAATGTTTGCGGCCGTCGGTGGGATGTCGTCTAGTGTATCTGGGCATGCATCAGGTTCCGAGCTTCTGCTCTGGTTGCGGAGCAAGTGAGTGTGCGATGGCACATGGTGATGATGGTGGTGACTAGAAGGGACAAAGAAAGCGCCGTTCATGCTGGCGAGGGCGGCTGTGATTCAGAGTGTATACAGTGGCAAGACAAGAATAGAAACAAGACAGGCTGCCTTTTTGAAGCGATATGCCACAATGTTTGTTCCTGCTGCAGGTCAGCTACGGTGAGGCAGGCTGGGCGCATGCTCTTCCGTCATACCGGGCCTTTTGCTGCACTAACAGCGCCCGATTGCTGAGGATGGCAGCCTTGATTGGCCATGAGGGGAGCCTGAGTGGCAGTTATACTTGGTGTGACCGTTACATCAGACAGTGCGGCGGCAGATCTGCCCAGCGCCCCCGAGGCTGATTGAGACCCTCTAGGTGAATGACCCAAGGTTGGGCCGGTGCTTGAAGGAGAAAGGAAGGCTTCACCAGGGGCAGCATATTTAGGTACCTCATTTAGTAAGTGGCTGCTGCGTGATTAACTTGTACCTTGCTTCGCCTGGGGTTTGCTGGTCAATGTGCTAATACTCTGGCTGTGATTGGCCGCATCCCCACGCATCAACAAATTTCCGGGCCTTTACGGAATCCACTCGCACTCAAGCTACACTTTCGCGAAACAGCTCGACACCACGATCTGAAAGGCTCCTCGATACCCATCGGCCAATTGCCTCTACGGTGCTTGTCCTGCGATCGGATCAGCCCATTGATTGCCAGGAAGAGGCTCTGCGAGATTCTTTCATCCCGGCAAGCCGACCTACGACCCCGTCGTTTCCACCTTCCGCCATCGCCAATTCCCTCCGCTGCTGTCTCCCCCGGGTCGTCCGTTTTTTCCGCCCATGGCTACGTTGCAGAGATTGGCCGCCCGCGGCGCCGCCGCGAAGTTGGCACTGCGTCCTGCTGCCGCTGTCCGTACACCCGCAGTCCGTTCGCTGTCGACGACGTGCGCGCGCCGGTACGCCACCCCCGAACACGTCGGCACCCGCCTGGTCCCCGTCGACGAGGACTTTGCCGTCAACGACAACATCTACGGCCTGCACAGCACGGAGCCCAAAAATACCGGCCGCCGATCTAAGGAGAACTCGGTCGAGGACCGCAAGGTCCGCCACTACACGGTCAACTTTGGCCCCCAGCACCCGGCCGCCCACGGCGTGCTGCGGTTGATTCTCGAGCTGAACGGCGAGGAGATCATCCGCGCCGACCCGCACGTCGGCCTGCTGCACCGTGGCACCGAGAAGCTCATCGAATACAAGACCTACCTCCAGGCCCTGCCCTACTTTGACCGCCTCGACTACGTCTCCATGATGACCAACGAGCAGTGCTTCGCCCTCGCCGTCGAGAAGCTGCTCAACGTCGAGATCCCCGACCGCGCCAAATACATCCGCACCCTGTTTGGCGAGATCACCCGCGTCCTCAACCACCTCATGTCCGTCCTCTCTCACGCCATGGACGTCGGTGCCCTGACCCCCTTCCTGTGGGGCTTCGAGGAGCGTGAGAAACTCATGGTAAGCAGCTGACGATGCCCCGCTTCGTCGCGCCCTTTTTTGTCTTTCTTACAGAACCCTCGTCATTGACTGTCAATTAGGAATTCTACGAACGCGTCTCTGGTGCCCGCCTGCATTCCGCCTACGTCCGCCCCGGCGGTGTCCACCAGGACATCCCCGTCGGCCTCCTTGACGACATCTACCAGTGGGCGACGCAGTTTGGCGACCGCATCGACGAGACCGAGGAGATGCTGACGGACAACCGCATCTGGATCGAGCGTCTGCGCGGCGTCGGCGTCCTCCCCGCGCGAGAGGCCCTCAACCTCTCCTTCTCCGGCGTCATGCTGCGCGGCTCCGGCGTGCCCTGGGACATCCGCAAGAGCCAGCCGTACGACGCCTACGACAAGGTCGAGTTCGACGTGCCCGTCGGCACCAACGGCGACTGTTACGACCGCTACCTCTGCCGCATGGAGGAGTTCCGCCAGTCGCTCCGCATCATCCACCAGTGCCTCAACCAGATGCCCGCCGGCCCCGTCCGCGTCGAGGACTACAAGATCTCCCCGCCCCCGCGCTCCGCCATGAAGGAGAACATGGAGGCCCTCATCCACCACTTCCTGCTCTACACCAAGGGCTACGCCGTTCCCCCCGGCGAGACCTACTCCGCCATCGAGGCACCCAAGGGCGAGATGGGCGTCTACGTCGTCTCCGACGGCAGCGAGCGCCCCTACCGCTGTCACATTCGCGCCCCCGGCTTCGCTCACTTGGGCGGCTTCGACCACGTCGCCAAGGGTCACTTGCTCGCCGATGCCGTCGCTGTCATTGGTACCATGGATCTCGTGTTTGGTAAGTTCTGCTGCTGCATTCTGTCTCGCGTGCCCAATTCAAATTGCTAACTGGACTTGTAGGTGAGGTTGATCGGTAAAGATATATTGGTTGGGGATGGGATGTAGAAATGTAGAATGGTTTTTAAATTTTCTTTTGTCTGTAAGTCATAGCTGGCTAGGAGATTCAGTATATACTCCGCAATAAAACGTTTCTTTCAAGTCCATCTGATTCGTACCATCTTTCTGGCTATAGCAACATTGTTAGGAAACAAGCAATGAGAGAGCCTTTGCTCTTTTTATCCTTTGTGCTCTTTACAGTTTATTATACAAGCCACCCCCCCCCACCCCCCCAACTTCGCAACAGCGTACAACACGGCCTCCTCTCCGCTCAAAACACCTTCGCGCCCGTCCCCGCCGCCTGGTCCATCAAGAAGCCCTTGAGCGACGCGAGCCCGTTGACCGCTCGCAGACCCAGCGACCGCAGCGGCACCAGCGGCCCCCCCTCCACCGCGTACAGCTTGTGCAGCTTGTCGCACACGCCCAGCACCACGTGGTTGGCCGCGTAGCGCTCCGCGCTGTACGGTTCCAGCGAGAGCTGCGCGCCGAGGTCCTGCCCGCGCGCCACGGCCGCGCTCACCGCGCCCGCCAGGCTCCGCACGTCCAGCTGGCCCTGGTTCAGGCCCTGGCCGGCCAGCGGGTGGATCGTGTGCGCCGCGTCGCCGACGAGCGCCACGCGCTCCCCGACGTACGTGTCCGCGTGCCGCATCTTGAGCGGGAACGAGGCCACGCTGCCGTCCTGCACGGCCACGACGGCCTGCGGCACCGCGCGCGGGTCGAGCTCGGCGTTGTGCCGCGTGCGCCACTCCAGCTCGTCCTGCAGCTGCCCGGCGGCCCGCGTGTGCATGTAGGCAATGTCGACGGGGGCCAGGCGGAACGCGGCGTTGACGAGGGCGACAAGGTCGCGCGGCGGCAGGGCCTTGAGCACGGCGGCGTTGGCGGGCGTCGTCGACCACACGAGCGTGGCGTAGCGGCCGGGCATTGGCAGCATGGCGACCGGCCCCGTGGGCAGGAACCGCTGGTACGCCGTCTTGACCGCCGGACCCCCCCATCCCTCGCCGTCGAGCTCGAGCGTGGCCACGACGCCGTGCCGGTCGTAGTCCCAGCCGCGGGACTCGATGCCCGCGAACGCGCGCACGGGGCTGTTGGCGCCGTCCGCGCCGACCAGCAGCCGCGCGGTGAGCGCCTTGCCGCCCGACAGCTGCACCACCGGCCAGCCGCTCAGGTCCAGGTCCTCCGTCTCCTGGCCGAGCTCGATGCCCTCCACGCGGGAGCCGTCAAAGACGTCGACGCCGCCGAGCTCCCGCAGCCGCTTCAGGAGGCCGGAGGTGGTGTTGAGGTTCTCCGTCATGTACGCCAGCGTGCCGCCGGTGCTGCGGTGCTGCCAGTCAAACTCGATGCGGGCGCCGGTGACGCCGTCCCAGACCTGCATCTCCTGGAAGGGCTGGACGCGGTCGCGCTGGACGTGCGTCCAGGCGCCGATGTCGTGCAGGAACTGCGCGGACGCGGGCGTCAGCGAGCTGCAGCGGTTCGAGTACTGCGTCGGCGGGAGCGAGAAGGCGGCAACCTTGGAGAGGTCCTGGGCCTCGACCAGGGCCATCCGGAGGTTTGCAGTGATGGGGTCGGAGCCTGTGCACAAGGAAACTTGGGTGTCAGTAGACCGTTAAGGGGGGAAGCATGATTTGGGTGAGGTTGCAAGGGCGTTTCCTCTTACGGAGAGCTGTGAGAAGACTCAGGCCCGCGGGCCCGCCGCCGACGCAGACGACGTCGTAAATGTCCTGGTCCTGGGAGGGTGGTGTGGCAGCAGCGGCCGCGGAGTAGGCGCGGCGCGAGGCGGGTGTCAGGCGGCGAGAGCATCCGCGGCAGACAAACCGGGAGCTCGACGTGACGGCCCGACCGAAGGGCATGGCTGAATGCGTGGTGAATTGGCGCAATTGGGTCGTGCAAGGATGAAGGGGAGAGCTTGAAAGATGGCGAGAGAGAGATCCGAAACGGAGATGGAGCGAAGCTTTTTGGTGGGGCATCAGGCCAGAAGGTGTGCGAGGCTAATCAGCCCGAGGGAAGATTGAGATTCTTTGAAGAAGAAATTCAGAAAATAAAGAATTAAAGGGATAATGTAATTCTAAGTAATATGGACCTTTGTATTCGACTTCTATACCATAGCTTGGCCATGGGTAGATAAGCTGCTACTATCTGCAGTACGCTTGTTGAAAGAGATTGGGGAAGGTGGAAGCCAACAAATACGGTTGCTTTGTACAATGCATGGCTCCATAGTGTAACAAAACAAGCACTACTCTGCATAAGAAGATTCTATGTAATGTATGCTTTTATCGACATGTATATACAATATATACTGGTGACTATGTATGTTAACTCATACCGTCTGCCCTTCACAAAACAAAAATCCCGGCCCCGGTAAACGCCATCCCATGCCAGGTAAGTAAGTATATTCATCACGTCCCATCCCAAGCCTTGCACTCCTTCGTTAGGGCGCTACCGTGACCGACCCGAGGAGGTGCACGCACGCCACCGCCGCCGCGGCCGCTACACTGCCGAGCGCCAGCATCTGCAGCCCGGCCCAGAGACACTGCCGCGCGGAGACGCGCTCGCCGCCGAGCACCCACTTCTTGCCGGCGCCGAACGAGAGCAGCGCGATGAGGCAGAGACCGATGCTCCAGCGGAGGCCGAGCCCGACGGTGGCGGCGAAGAAGTACGGCAGCAGCGGGATGGCGCCGCCGACGGCGTAGCCGGCCGCGATGGAGCAGCCCGAGGCGACCGGCCAGACGGGCAGGGGGGCGTCGCCGGGGGGACCGCCGCCGAGGTCGTCGTTGTGCGCCTCGATGCCGGCGACCGCGCGTTCCAGGCAGCCCGGCTGGCCGCGGAGCGTGGCGACGATGTTGGCGGCCGTCGTGGCGGACAGGCAGAGGGGCTCGAGGTGTCGCAGGACGAGCTGCTCGTGCGCGGTGCTGCCATCACCCTTTTCGCCGCCGTCCTCATCCTCGTGGGAGCCGCGGTGGCGGAGCATGCCGTGGAGCTCCTCATCCTTCTCCTCGTCCCCGGCGGAGGTCGTCGGCGCGGCGGCGGGCAGCTCGTCGAGGGCGGAGAGGTAGCCGCCGATGCCCATGCTGATGCTGCCGGCGCAGAGGTCGGCGAGGCCCGCGTAGATGACGGTGTCGGCCTTGCCGAGGGAGCTGAGGCCGGCGGTGAGGGCAAAGGGCACCGTCAGGCCGTCGGAGAAGCCGAGGGTGAAGTCGGAGAGGAACCGGGCGAGGCCGGGGCTCTTGGAGAGCGTCATGGCGGCGGTGGTGAAGATGACGATGTTGTCGTGGGCGGGTGATGATGGGTGAGAAGAGATGAGGACGGCCGCAGACTCGAGGAGTCTGACGGGATCGAATTGGCCGAGCCGAAGTTTGTAGATGAGTTGGCGTAGTCGGTAGAGCTGTCTCAGAAGAGGGCTCCGCATCGAGGAGACGCAACAAAGAAGTAGGCTGGTGGCCCGTGATCTTAGCCTGGGTGTAGACTGCCGTGGAGTGCTGGTAGTTGCTAGTTTGTCGCCGACGTCGCGAAGCAGCAACTACTACCTCTGTTTCACGACCAATAACAACCTGTAAAGTACCCAACTGCCAGCGATTTGGCAGGTAGACAAGCGAGGATTTGGACGTTATGTTGGAGGGAACGAGAGGGAGAAGATGAAAGGACGTCAACAAAAGTGTCCTCCTCAAAAAGCTCAAACGGGCAAGCAAGAGGCTTGCCGGTGCTCTCAACGGGCGCTGGACAGGAGGAGCCAACTGAACCTTGGACTCTGCGACCGCCCGGCCCACATGATGGAGGAGCGAGGTGGCATTGGATGCAAGAGGCCGGGCCGGTGCGGGGGGGCAGATGATGCTAAGAGATTGATTAGTGGACGAATGGATGAATGGCTTGTTGAATTGCGAAAAGGAAACGAGCCCGTCGCTGGCAAGTTGCTAGGCCATGGGACCCGCGCATGCGGTGCGCGCATGAGGGATGAGGGGATGTGCAAGGAATACGTTTTCGTGACCGCGCGGTACCGAATCTGGCAGGTGGTTTTTTTTTCTCTCTCAAATTTGCCATCGCGGCCCTGGTCAGGACAGGAGAGCGGAACTGGCCTTTGCTTGCGTTGTTTTGTTTTTTTTTTCTCCGCCTTTGTCGTTGTTCCCCGATCCTCACCTTGCCCTCTTCATCGGTACTAAGTGAACAAACGAGTTGCTCGGCCGCCGGCACCAGCTCGAACTTCCCAGGTATCAACAGCAGACAAACGTGCCCCATGAACTGGACAACCATCCCCCACGTGCCTCTGTGCCTGGAGTGAGACTGGCTTATGAATGGCGAGGACATGATTCGGAGGGGGAACCCTTCGGGGCAAGCCACAGAGCCACCGGCCTGCCTCTGCCCGCATCGACAGGGTTACAGGGGTGAACACAGCAGCGGATCAGCCGACGCCACCGGGTTGCAGGGGAGGGCGGAAGGCTGGCTGGGGCAATATGTGGGTGTGTGGGAGTCAAGTCACTGATAACGCGGTCATGCGAAGACACACCTCAAGGTACATAGTTTAGTAGTTGGCATTATTCGTAGGTAATTACACAGGTAGGTATGTAGGTACTGTGAGGCAGAGAATGCGTGGTAAAAATTCATCCTCTTCTACCCAATATCAAGGCTTGTCTAGAAATTAATCCGAGATGCCCAAATGCATGACACAAATCTCCATCGTCATATCCAATCATGCAACTGCATTACCACATGCAAACATTCAAACTATTTACAGTCTAGCGTGTAATCCAACACAACAACTCAGTTGGCACGCGCCGCCTAGTTGGAAGGCTCGTAGCCCTTGGGAGGGTGCAGGCCGTCGGGCACCTCGATCGTGTCCTCGTAGTACGTCGGCGCCTGGCTGTTGGCCCAAATCTCCTTGATGCGCGGGAGGATCTTGCGACCGTTGACCGCCTTGTCCAGCTTCAAGTTGGGCGCCGGGAAGCGCTTGTTGCCGCCCGCCGTGCTGAACTGGCCCGCCTGCGAAAAGTTGTAGTACATTGACTGTAGCTGCTCCGGCGACGACCACTTGCGCAGCTTGTCGCCCGTCTTGGCCGCCACCATCTCGTACACGTTGGCGCCCACGTCCCAGCGGCCCAGCGTCGGCAGGTCCCAGTTGGCCGACGCCGTCGCAATCTCCGAGTAGTGGTTGTAAAAGTTGCTGTCCGTCGTGCCCACGAGCTTCTTGGGCACCGCGTCGCCGATCAGGACGCCCAGGATCTGGTTGCGGTTGGCGTACGTCTCGTTCTCGTCAAAGGTGATGAGCACCAGCGTGTTCTTCATGAACTTCTTGTCCTCCAGCAGCGGGTCCAGGAAGAGGCGGCACCAGGCGCCGGCCGTGGTCACGTCGGTGTCGTGGCCGTCCGACGTCATGTTGGGCGTGATGAACATCCACTGGGGCAGCTTGTCGGCGGCCAGGTCCTGGTGGAAGACGGAGCGCGACGTGTCAATCATGGACAGGTTCTTAATCTGCGACAGGCGGCTCTCCCAGTGGACAACCGAGTCGTGCATGATGGCGGGGTTGTGCTTGCGGACGTAGTCGTTCTTGCCATTCTTCTGGTTCTTGTAGCCCATGCCCTCGAAGCCCGAGTAGGGCATGTCCTCCTGGTAGTGGCCCCAAGAGATGCCGCGGTACTCGAGCAGGTCGATGACGGTGGAGATGTTGCGGGGAGCGCGGATGAAGTTGTCGTTTTGCATGCCAAAGTAGTCGCCGGCGATGGAGGCCATGTAGTTGGGCTGGGAGGGGTGGGTGACGGCAAAGTAGTTGTCCAGAAGGATACCCTTGTTGGCGAAGTAGTGGAAGTTGGCTGCAAACGGGTCAGTGAGTAAATGCGAATTGCCATGATTGTTTGGGTAGTTGGGCGTACGGTCACCAATGGACTTGTCATAGTTTTGGTTCTCAAAGTAGATGATGACGAGGCGGTCAAAGGCCTTGCCAGGGACGTTGCTGGTCGGGCTGGACGTCTTGGCCGTAGCGGCGGCAGCGGCGACATCCTGGACGCCGGTGGCCGTGTAACGAGTCTCCCAGCTGGCGCCGCAGCTCCTGTCGGCGGCGACGAGGCCGGCGAGGGCGGCAAGGGCGCTGATTTGGAAGCGCATGGCGATGGAGGGGGGAGGATGAGGATGGTGGGAGAGGAGGGCGCGGGAGGAAGAGAAAGAGGAAGAGGAGAAGGACTTTTCGCTTTGGCAGACAAGGGAGGCAAAGAGGAACGAGGCCAGGTGGGCGGCGGACGACTCGCTTATTTACAGTTCTAGGCGGGCGGGCGCACCACGATGTGATGCTTGGACAAAGTTAAGAATATTCGTAATGGCAAACGGACGCTAGTGAGGCGTTGCGCAGCTATTACCAGGAAACCGGTCTCCCCTCTAGGTTGCCTCCATAGTTCCAAAATTATCATTAACATTCGTGGATAAGCAGACGGCGTGCCTGGGCTGGTCAGACTAAATGCGCGAGGCTTGACTGGTTCCATGATGGTCGGGTGGCTTGTGAGTACCTTAGTATGGGGGCTGCATGATGGCGGTTCCCACCGAGATACAGGAGGATGCCCTCAGCCAGTATGGGGCAGGCACCTGGTCACCTTCTATGTGTGTAGGTATCTATGTAGATTACTGGGGTTGAGTCGGTATTTGGCCGCCGAGGAACGAACGAGGGGGACGGCTGGAGGTGAGGGTGCTGTGCAGGGCAGGCACGTGCGAGAGAAGACGAAGAGGGTGCTTGGTTGAATTAATTGATTGCCAGGTGTTGTTTTTCTCTGGTTTTCCATCTCTCTTTTTCCCCCTCGTCTCTTCAGCAATGTTTCGGCTCATCGTGTTTCTTTCTTCTTTCCTTGCTTATTATTATGCGTTTCCCCCAACTACCCTTGCAACCTTGCAACTAGGCTGATCCCCCGAATCATCTCCACCTGCAAAAACTAGCACTAAAATGAATAGGCTGTCTTCTGTCTCCAACAAAAACCACAAAACCCCGGGTCACCTCCACTCAACTTGCAGCACAGCCATCGTCTCAAAAGCCATACACCATCCACGTGTCTCACCTGCGTGCCCTCGATGCTGCAAACAAGAAAAATATCTGCCAGTTTTATTTCCTTGACGCATTACCTGCGTGCCGTTCTTCCGGACGCCTCTCTCCATACTAGTACGCCTCGACGGGATGCTCTCCCAAGATGGTACACCGAAGCTCCTTCAGCCATTCGACTACTCACTTTGTACTGTCCGCATCATTAGTCTGGTGACATTCCGTCGCTCGCCCTGCGCCAACGACCATGACTCCAGCTGAGAGGCCGATATCCTCCCACATACGGATACATAACTCAACATTCAAGGAAGAACCCGGCCGGCCCGGCTAGCCTAGTTTTACCTGTTCTACATTTTCCCTTTTTTTTGGCAAGTAATTCGTGCCATGAACCGCATCTCGCCGAGTATCTACCCTACCTGCGCAGCTGCCAGCCAGCGACCTCCCGGCCATGCCATGCGATTGATGGACAGTCTGTCATCAACTACCACCTGTCCTCCATGCATATTTCGTAATCCCGTAGCTCTCTATGGCTGCACCAGCGGTCATTCACTTATACCTTGCTACACCGTTTTAACGCCCCGGCGTGCTTCATCTAGCCAACACACACACCTTGGCGCCCAGACGGTAACTACCGCGCATCATCTAGCCAAGACATTAATCAGTAGAGTGATGATGAAGGAAAAACATTAGCACAACGCCAAATCGGAGCCACCATCGCCAAGTAGCATAGTAGACGCCAGCAGAATATACAGCTCCCTAGTAGGGTTAGTTACCTGGGGGCAGGTTAGGACGAGGTAGTCACGCCCTAGACTGCCGCTAAAGCTACCAGCGAAAAGTCTCCAAGGTGTGCCAATTTCTCAACCTCAACACCAAAAAGTCAGTATCGTCATCCACACCATAGAACCACGGCCGTAGTGACTGTAGGTGCAGGTGCAGGTGCAGGTGCAGCAGAGCAGGTGCCCTGCCTCGTCGCGCCCGGTTTGCTTTGTCTACTTTCCTCTGCTACCCGTCGCATCCAACAGAACACATCCGGGAGCATGCACAGCCGAATCTCTCGTCCTCCCCAGTTGCCATGACCGACTTTCCTCGTCGGCCACCGCCCCACGACGGCCTGTCCTATATTCCGGACCGCCGCCCTCGTCGCGCGCTCTGGTCTTATTGGCAGATGATTTTATTCTTCCTCGTCTTTGTCATCACCATCTTCGGCCTCGCTCTCATTCCCTTTGGCATCTCCTCCAACGGCACGCCGCCGCCAAGTACCGGCCATGGCCATGATGATGACCAGCACACCCACGACCCGGAGCCCGAGCCTCACCCGGAGCCGCAGCCCACGGCAGCGCCGCAGCATGAGATGCCTTCCTCCCCTCGTCTCAGGGACCCTTCAGAGTACATCCTCGACATGGCGTGGGACTTTGACGCCGCGCCCACCACACGCGAGTACAACTGGACCATCACCAACGCCGACCTCAACCCGGACGGCGTCTACCGTCCCATGTACCTCATCAACAACCAGTTCCCGGGGCCTCTTGTCGAGTGCAACGACGGCGACACCATCATCGTCCACGTCCACAACCAGGCCGTCAATGCCACCGCCATTCACTTCCACGGCCTCTTCCAGCACGGCACCAACTTCATGGACGGCACTGTCGGCGTCACCCAGTGCCCCATCGCGCCGCGCTCCTCCTTCACCTACACTTTTACCGTCCGCGGCCAGTCCGGAACCTACTGGTACCATGCGCACCACAGCGCCCAGGCCTCGGACGGCCTGCTTGGCCCCGTCGTCATCCACGTCCCCGACGAGCGCACCGCGCTGCAGGAGCTCGACTACGCCTCGGACCGCGTCATCATGGTCCAGGACCACTACCACAACCTCACCTCGGAGCTGCTCATGGACTACCTCCAGCCCGACATGGAAAACGACGAGCCCGTCCCGGACAATGCTCTGATCAACGGCCGCGGCCTCCGCGACTGCGCCGATTTCCCGGGCTGGCGCTGCGACGCGAGCGACACCGCCCGCCCCGTGCTCGACCTCGCTCCCGGTCGCCGCCACCGGTTGCGCGTCCTCAATGTCGGCGCCTTTGCTGAATTCCAGATCCAGTTCGATGAGCACCCCTTTTACGTGACCGAGGTCGACGGCACCGACGTCCGCCCGGAGCCCTTTCATCGCCTCAACATCCTACCCGCCCAGCGCTACAGCGTCGTCCTCGAGACCAACGTCACCACCACCGGCGCCGACAGCTTTTGGATGCGCGCCCGCATGGTCACGCGCTGCTTCACCACCAAAAATGAGCGCCTCGTCCCTGAGCTGCACGCCGTTCTTCGCTACCGGGCCGACCATGGCAACGATCCCGCCGCTGCTGCCGTCGTCCCGGAGCCCACCAGCAAGGACTGGCCCGAGTCAGTCGAGGTCATTTGCCGCGACCTCAACGTGAGCGCCCTGCACCCCGTCGTCGCGCAGTCGCCGCCGCCCGCCGACGAGTTCGTCTTCCTCCGCGCCAACTTTATGATTGGCGACTGGGCGCTGGCCCGCGGCTTCTTCAACGGCTCCACGTGGCACGCCAATACCACGCACCCGTCCCTGCACCGCTACCTCGACAGCTTCGCCGCGACCACTGCAGCAGTGTCTGGGCGGGATGAGGACAAGTCCGCCTCCATGCGCATCAGCGACAAGGTCTTTAACCCGGAGCGCGACTTCGTCCTCGAGACCACCGGCGCACGCACCATCGACCTCGCCATCAACAACTTTGACGACGGCGCGCACCCCTTCCACCTGCACGGCCACAAGTTCTTCGTCCTCATCCAAGGCCGATCCGGCTACCCGCCCACCGCCGATGAGCTGCCCGCGCACCTCGCGCGCCACGACCTCCTCGCCAACCCGCTGCGCCGCGACACCGTCACCGTCGAGGGCTACGGCTGGGTCATTGTCCGCGTCGTCCTCGACAACCCGGGCCTCTGGGCGCTGCACTGCCACAACACATGGCACGCGGAGTCGGGCATGTTGATGCAGCTGCTCGTCGGCAGCGACGAGGTCCGCCGCTGGACGCTGCCGGACGAGCAGCGCGAGCTGTGCGCGCGCGACGGCGTTGCGACGGGCGGCCGGCCGTCGGACGATGTCTGGTTCGGCCACATTACAAAGTAGCAAAATCAACTGGTTGGAATCAACTGGTTGGAATCAACTGGTTGGAATCAACTGGTTGGAATCAACTGGTTGGAATCAACTGGTTGGAATCAACTGGTTGGAATCAACTGGTTGGAATCAACTGGTTGGAATCAACTGGTTGGAATCAACTGGTTGGAATCAACTGGTTGGAATCAACTGGTTGGAATCAACTGGTTGGAATCAACTGGTTGGAATCAACTGGTTGGAATCAACTGGTTGGAATCAACTGGTTGGATAGCAACAGCAATGCTTGACACCCATGCATATTTTTCTGTGTACATGGACATTTTGCACAAAGTATTCCCCTTGGATATAGAACCGATGCCCTCTTGTTGAATATACCCCCCTGATAAATAAGCTACGTTTCAACCCCTCGAGATTGCCCTAGCTACACCGTGAGGTGAGGTCGCCCACTACGCCAGGTAAGTCGAAGAATCAAGCATAATCATCTCACCTGTCGGTCAACCCCACCCAACTACCGTCAGGCAGCATTGGTGTGACACGATCGACGTGCCAGGTGTTGTAGTCCTGGCGTTGCGACGTTGACTCAAAAGGTTTACGCTACCAATGATGATCCTTACGTGTCAATCTTTTGGACTTTGAGTCTTTGGAGTTTGTGGTATTTCAGCAACTTTATTGCTCTTTCTGTTCTCTATTGTATGCCCGACAACGCCAACCATCTGCTGTGGTGATAGAAACAAAAAACAAAAGGTCCATCGGCTACTCAATGGAAAACCAGCAGATACCAGGCAAAATCCCATGTGTTTTCCTATTCTATGAATGATTCCTTCGCCAAGCCTTCGCGCCGGTAAAAAAACAAGGATGATGTATTTTGTGAAACAAAGTAAGAACGAAAACAGACAACCTGAATGAATCTATTTCTTACACCGTTTCTTGCTGAACTCCGTGCACACTTGCTTTTGTCCGTTTGTCTTCTCGGAACAAACAAATCCCATACCAGCCGTAAAAGGAGGGTTGGGGGTCAGGAGGGGATATAATAAAAATATAAAAACGCCAGAATGTGTATGTTTTCCGAGGGAAAGGGGCGAGGTTGGCGGGGCGATTGCCAGGCTCTCGCAGAAGCGCACAAAACAGCATCGCTGAAATCAGGTTCTCGTCGCAATGTTGAAACCGGGATTCACAAACGCCCGGCACGCAATGTCGCTAATGCGTCTGACGACGTTGGTGGTGCCCCCGTTGAGCTGGGCTTCATCCATAATGAAATTGGACGCCACTGCCAGACGGTGCTTTGGGTCCGTCTCATCGAAATGCTGTGGGAGAGAAGAGTCGTAGTTGCGTCCAAAGCTAGGGGATAAGTGACGCACTACAGCAATAGAGTAGAGCAGGTCACGGTTCTCGCGTCCTTCGAGCAGACGGCGCATTCTGCCAAGGATCTCTTCCCGCGCTTCCTGGGCTTGAGTCGACTCGGGGTTATCGCGGTGTCGGACAAAGTCAGCCAGGTTATACCAAAAGTCAAACTGGCGTGTCCTTTGCTCATTCGCGTCGGCTACTGGTGGCGATAGCGCGTTGCCTTGTAAATACTCGCCGCACAGTAGGCTGTTCACGACCTGCAAACGGCTTCGAGCCTCGGCGCCGTCACCTTGGTCGGGCAAAGTAACACGCATAGCAGCGCTGCTGCGCTCTGGAGCTTGAAAGGCGGTGCAGGCAAGATCCCAGACAATTCTAGTCTCAAGGACACCCGAGTAGGCCATTTGCGTCTGGTCATTTGCCTGGACAGCTTCAAGCACCTTCAGAAAGGAAGCCATCTGCTCCAGCAGCGGAGGGTACTTTGGAAAGGACATGATCCCGGCCTCGGAGAAGTAGTAAAAAGTAGTCTCGAAGAACGATGCAAGTCCACTTGCATACATCTCGTGGTAGACCTTGGTGATTTCACTAAACAGCCCCTCACTAGCGGGAACTTGAGGAGGGCGGGCGGGGCCAGGCCCGAGCGAGTCGATGATCTGGTGAACATTCATCTTCGGAGCTGTTTTAAATGTGAGTTGAATGGCCAGGGTTGAGTGAATGCGATAGGATAGGTCATATATGTGCGCACCTGGCTCTGGTAACCTATGATTCGACGGTCCGGTTGCCGGGTGGTCAACGTGTCGGGCGGGATCAAACGCAGCAGCAGACTGGTATGAGCGTGGAGCAGCAGCGGTGGAGGAATAATCGTATCGAGGGTCGGCCACTGCGGATACTTCCGGGGGACCAGCGGTCGCTGAGGTCGAATGGTAGGCGACGTTGGGGGTTGGCCTTGCAGTCGTGGTGGGAGGGACAGAACTGGATGGGAATGACGTCGGCTGCACGGACGGCTGTGGCGGTGCGGCGTACGCGTTGACGTGGCGTCCGTTACCGACGGAAGGACCAGGCGGATTAGACGAGGGGAGCGCTGCGGAAGCGGTAGGCGAAGGGGCCAGCTGAGTTGACCCTGGTTGAGCTGGTGGTTGCTGGCGAAAGATGGGGTCGTAGCCGAGACATTCGCGTTTCGACTTTTTGCAGTTATTGCACGTGGGATGACCTTCGTCGCACTAAAAATGAAGAATGCCGAAAAAGACGGCGCAGGTTAGCATGCTGTGATGGAGCTCAAGGGGAGGGGAAAAAAAGGAAAAGAAAAGGGAAACGAAGCGCAGGTGCCAAGGGTTGACTGTCATGCATCGCGAACGGCAGGCAGAGTGGATGGGTGGGCTGCAAGTTTATTCCAGTGGGGAGCTCGGAATGTGGTGGCGCCCCGTTTGCTGACTGATGCTCCAGGAAGGCAGAGCTCCAGTCAGGTCAGGCAGGCTAGTACTTTGGACGACATGCGACCGCATCGGGACCAGCATTCGAACCGCAGCGGCAGTAAGAACAGCACTGAGACCGGCGCCAGCAGCGACAGACTTTCTCATCCAAGCACAGCTGTTCCGCGACCCCAGATCAAGCTCCCTTTTCTCGTACAACTGCATTCCCCAATGCATGGTTGTATCATGACGCGGCTTGTCGAGTTTGAGATGCTGCGTGTCGATGTCGAACCGTCGAGCGGACCAGGGCATCAGACTCCACTTGGAGTACCAACTTGACAGATTAGAAAAAAAAATGCAGCATAGCACTTGCGACACGGCAGATTGAATTGACTTCATTGCATAATGGTTGCATAGGGCAGTCAGGCAGCCCGCATACTTTGTTCCATGTAGCGGGTTCCGCGGGGGGTTGTTTGACGTGGATATTGCCAACTATGAATATTGCCGACTTGCCTTGATTCGTCGTTTTCTACAGGTTAAACAACCTGTCTTGGTTCGGCGCTTGATTTCCTGTAATTCGCACGTAGTCAGCCACACAGGCACCTAGAAGGGAGGGTAGAGGGCCAGGAATGCCATCGCATTCTGCGAGCAGGCGGCGGGTAGCAGGCGATGGAACCAACCTTCTTCGAGCCCCTTGTTCCTGGTAGACGGGGATCGTGCGGTAGAGGGTAACGAGACAGTTCTGTGTGAAAACCGTAGCCTGAGGTGGCGCCCACAGCCGCCTGCGCGTAGTACGACTGGCCGGACGTAGGCGCGGGCTGCAGCGGCCCGTTGAGGGTGTGAGGCTGGGCGCTCGACTGCGGCAGCGGCTGCTGCTGAGACTGCTGGGCCATGGCGTCAATGGTGCGCATGCTCGGCAGGGTGACGGCGTTGGGGCCATTGCTATGGACGGATCGCTGGGCTTCGAGCGGCTGGGAGGTTGGCGGTGCTGACACCGTCGAGTATGGGGCGAATTGGGTCGTGGGATGGTTCGTCGAGGGCGGAGGAGCGGGTAAGGGCGTCGAGGGCGCGGCCGGGAGCTGTGGCTGGGCGTCGGCGCGGTAGGCAGCAGTATATGTCGAGGGGGAGGAACGCGAGGCCGGGGGAGCAGCGTCTGGGCGGCCGAGGAGGAGATGGTTGGACATTTGGGAGTCGGTCACGGTCGAGGGAGACTGCTCCGCGCCTTCACCGTTGAGATGGCCGCCAGGAGCAGCTTCAGCGGCTGAAGCAAGCGTGTCGTGTGGTATTGTGTTTAAGCTCGTTTCAGCTGTCTCGGTGGCGGCAGCGTCGGTAGCTGTGGTAGTCGTGTTAGGAGAGAGAGGAGCGAGAGTCGTCGGGGTTGGTGTCGCAGAGGCAGCGGTTGCCGGCTCGCCGACAGAGGCGGCAGGATGCGGTTGGGAGGCCGGGGGCGTAACCGAGGGCGATGCTGAAGCAGGACGAGGAGAAGTAGCAGCAGCAAGAGGCGGGAGAGAAGGAGGAGGAGATTGGGAGCCGGTAGCGGGAGTCGACGATGCCGGAGCAGTGGAGGCGGTCACGGTACCAGCATCGCCGTCACCCACTGGATTGTCGGGCGCCATTGCTGGCTAGGGTCCGGGATGTTTCTGCCTGGTTTAAAATGAAGAAGCTTGTTATGGATCCAAGTTTCGACATGGGAGAGCGAGAGGCGAGCAGGCAGGCAAGGGAAGAAAAAAAAAGGGCCAGGTTTTTTTACCCAGAAACACTAGAGCAACACCACGCGCGCTGGAGAAAAAAAAAACTGTAATAAATGGAAGAAAAATGAAACGAGGCAAGGAGGGCCAGGGGAACAGCGAGGAATTTTTGCGGAAAAAAAGAAACTTGAAAGGGATTAAAAAAGAAAGGGAAGAATTGGGGGGGCCATTTGGCCGATGAGCGGGTGCAAGGGGCGAGTTTGGTGAGATGGCTGGGTGGGCGGGTTTGTTTCGGTGGTGAATAAAGTTGAGGTGGTGATGTGAAGCAACGAGACGGGCCAAGACGGAGGCAGGTGGCCAAGAGAAAATCAAAATGCAAAACAGAAAATAAAGCGACAGTCTAGTTAGTTACCTATGTAATGTACAAAGCATGACCAACTTGGGCCGAGACTACTAAATACCTAGGCAAGTAACTTGAGCGCGCCGCCGCCACGAAAGGCCGGACTTGGCAAGCCAGCCTTTTTTTGCCCTTTGGTCTGAAGCCAAAAGGCCAGCCAGCGACTTATATTTTTGGCCTGTCATCATCCTTGGACGGCATGTTTTTTTTATTTTTGGCGTGACCGCCCAGGATAACTACAGGCAGCGCTAGCGGCCATCTATGTACCTACATACCTGTATGTATGTATGTATGTACAATACCTATGTATGTATGTATGTATCTGCAGGTCGCGCCGTGCAGGCAATCGGCAAAGGTCGATAGGTAGGTAGGTATATGGGATATCTGCATTACTTGCTCGTATTGACTCTACAGGTACCGTGGCAGATTGTAGATGGAGGTACATACATGGGTACACGTACATAGGCTGCAACGTGTTCAGGTATCAGATCAGGGTCATCAACATGGAGGGTTGTATACCACCTGATGGGAAGGCGCCAGTAGGCTTGCTACCCGAGCCTGTTTAAACATTCTCCCTGAATACCTCCTGGTCATAATGCGAAAGCGCCAAAGCGTACCCTGCCTAATCAACGTGTTCTAGCATGCTCTCGCGATGCCTCAGAGGTAGGCTGGTACCCAGGGACCTGACTGGCTCCCGGTGCAGGGTAGGTATCCCTAACTAATATATGTAATAAAAGCTGCATGCTCAGACAGGTCTCGTCCCGGCACGTATCAACATGGGTGCTGCTTCTATATACAGTATTGTCATCTGCCTGCTTCTTGATACCTCCAGAAGGCTGGTTTTGTGGCCTGGTTTCGAAGATGTCGGGAAAACAGGATAGACTTGTGTCTGCATGGCCAACCGTTGGCTAGTTCATGCCCTGGCTGCCTCACTCTCGGAGCCCTTTGCGATCCTGACACCAAGGACCCCAAGGACAACTTAGGAATACGCCGACGGAGAGCATTGTGCATAGTCCACAAGGTCAGCACTGACAGGAGTACGGCCAATTCATGCATCCATACGTTCACTTCTTTTTTTAATAATCCGGGGGGACTTGTCCTGGCTTGTCCAACAGGACGAAAGATGGTTAGCGCTGACGAGGCTCTTTTGCGGGACAGCCGCCGGCAGGATCGGTAGTTGCAGTGCAGCAGCTGGGGATTTTGATGGGCAGCTAACGCATTTTGCTAGTATGGTACATAGGTACTTTGTTATTCAGTCAGGTTCTTTTATGCCCTGCCCTCGATGCTTGGATATCCGAATTTTTCCTCCGCCACACTTCATACGGCCAGCACCGGCACACATCCTCCCCTTGCTATGTATGTATGTATGTATGTACATACATACAATATACCTCGTACCTCATCTTCCTACAGATTCCAGGCCCCAATTCATTCCGTGAATCCCTGCAGGTTACATGCATCCTTGCATCACAAACAATGAAAATTTCCATAATAATTACAGGCAGAGATCAGCCCCCTTTTGGCCCACATCGCTCCCGTGGCTTCCAAAGTGGCTTCCAAACCTTCGACTTTTGTTCTTTTGTTCTTTGTTTCCTCTGTACTGGAAATGTCTGTCATCTCTGCCAAGGGGACCCCGGCCCATCATCAACCCATGCAGCCCTTTTTTTCCCCTGGCTCCCACGCAACCCACCCGCTGACCCCCAAGGTACTAATAATAAGAAAAATTTCAACTTCATTGATATCATTTTTTGAGATTACCAGTAGTCTTGGCTTTTGCCCTATTTTTACCCCTTTCGCTTTGCATGCATCCTGGGCCGCTCCCGTTCCCTCCCTCCGTTGCCGATGCGCGTTTGTGCTCGCCTATCTTCCAATCTATGTGTATACTATGTATCAGACCTCGTATATTCATTCGTCCATGTACATTATGACTAGCCAACCTTCACCCACATTACACCATCAGCTCTTGTTCGCTCTTGCTCTTGATTGACCACAACTCCTCGGCTTCTTCTCGGCCTGAGCCATTCCGTGTGGTATTACAGCTTCTTCTTCTTCTTCTTCTTCTTCTTCTCCTCATCATCATCCTTGACTTTTTCTTCGTATTCTCTTTCTTCCCCACTCATCATCCATAGATCGCTTAGACACGCAAAATCGTCGGCATCGTTCGGCACTTAACAGCATGGTTCGGAACCTGTCTCTCTCTTCCCTGCCTTCATGCATCGCATTCAACAGTCCTTTCACATCTCCATTCCCCCCCTCAGGGGCATCCTACTTGCATCCGTTTCACGGCCTCCTGATTACACCCCGAAACCTTGCCCTGGGCGCCGCCTGCTCCAGGCACCATCCAGGGACTCACCTGGCAGGCTTCCCCGCGCTCATCCCACGTCCATGCCAGACACCACTTGCCATTCTCGACCTCGCACTTGCGCCGGCAGTCGCTTGCCTTCTTGACCACGCCCCATGTCTTGACCTCTTTCTTATCCGTGTCCGGACCTACATGGTCCTGACCTTGCGCTGTTGATCGAAATAACTCCACCAGGTCGCCCCAGCGTACAGGCTCCGTCGCCGTCCCCACCAAACGGCTCACCCGCTCCGTCGCCGTCGCCGTGCGCAGCCCGTGAAACGACACGATCGGCGCGCAGTATCGGTCTTGCGTGATGCGCGTCTCCTCGGGGGCCTCGCCGTTGAAGTGGTGCGCGTACCGCTCTTCTAGGTACACGCCCAGCTTGAGCAGCGTCGTCGCCACCAGCTTGTCCCCCCACGTCTCGTCCAGCGACTCGGCGTACGCCGCCCGCACCACGTCGGGCCGCCGGAACAGCCGCCGCATTGCCTCGCCCGACAAGACAATGGCCGAGCCCCCGTGCGCGAAGCGCCCTCGGAAGTCACCCACCGCGTTGCCCAGGTAGTGCGCGTTCTCGGGATTCAGGTGCGACAGTAAGAGTTTCAGCGACGACTTGACGACGAACGTGTCGTCGTCTAGGATGAGGTACCACTTTTTGTTGGGCATTGTCTTATACAGGAGCTCCATGCCGGGCGCAAACTGCAGTTCGTCAGTAAATGCTCCAAAGGCGAATTTCATTCTCCAGCAGCGTGCGTACCTTGAGCGCGTCGAGCTCCCAGCCAACGCTCCGTCCTATACCCAGTGCCGTCTCCTCGTCGCCCGCCACTATGGCGCTCTGCAGCGTCTGGTATTTCTTAAACCTATGATGCGCCCTCCAATCCCCGTCGCCATACTCCCTCACCGTCTTGAGCACGTCATGCACCGGCACGCCAATCTTCTTTGCATCGGCCTCGTCCACCGTCGTCCAGTCGCCCACCACCACGAAGTCTCTGCCTTCCTCGCCCAACACGCTGCCGCCCATCGCCGCGAGTTGCAGCGGCACCCGGTGTCTCGTCCCGTAGCCCGTCTTGATCAGGCACCCGACGTCCGCGCGCATGTCAAACGGGTAGCGCGCCGGCTCCCGCCGCAGCCAAGCGTCCCGGTCCTCGGCGGCGGTCGTCGCCGAACGCACAGCGGCGGAGGCGCGCGCGGCGTTCCAGCGCAGCGCCAGCCGGATGGACGAGTCGGGCGGTAGGATGATGTACGACACGCTGAGGAAGACGAGGCCGAGGATCGCGGTCTGAACAAGGCGCTTGCGGACGCGCCGTGGTATGTTGAACATGGTGGTGGTGGACCTGCTGGGCCGTATTTGCCCAACAGGGGTCGCCAAGAATGCTGTTGCTGCTTTTTAGATATTGACAAGAAAAATGACAGAATTCTTTTCGTAACGAACTCCCGATGGAAGCGAGATTTGGATAAGTTCCAAGCGCAATAAAAGAAATCTCCCGAAGAAAAGAAAAGAAATCTCCTCGCTTATGTCCCTCGGCTTTTTGTTTTACCTCTTCGTGAGCATGGTGCCAGTCTTGGCTAGGGGTGGTTCGCCCACGAGGCTGCTGACAAAATGAGTGTGGGTGGCCGCGACTTCTTCACACCTGAGAGACCTAGCCCCTTTCTATTTTGGCAAATTTCGTGCAAATGGGACCAACACGCCAATTGTTCACACAATTCTGTCGCCGAGATGTTGGTTATCAGGGGAGGTGAAACGGCGCAGGTGCAGAGATTACGAGTTGGCGCCGCTGACTCATCACATCAACAACAACTTGCAGAGCAATGCACTGTACCATCTTGGTAAATATTGAATGATTGACACTGGGTAATACAAAAGTAGGTGAAGCTACTTCTTCAAAACGCTTTGCTATTTTATCGATGTATCCTAGCTGTATCCTAGCAAGGAAAGTCAGTATATGTCCAACAACGCTGGTTATGTACGTCCTAGTGCTCTAGGCTCTCTCCCTCATACATGAATGCATCCATCCTAGTCTAATAATCTGTACAACCACCTGGCATGTTGTTTTCAACAACAATGCTGCGGCGTTTTTTACTTTTCCAACTCATAAAACAAAAGATACACCTCCTTCTGCATACTCAAGACCTCCCCAGTCTTGGCTTCCCGGACCTTCTCGTCGCTCACCCGCCACCAGCGATCCAGCTGCTTGGCCCTCTTGGGTTTTGCGCGCCTGATGCTCCCGGCAAGCGAGCTGGCTGCGGCGGCCGCCTGCGACTGCGGTCGCAAGCTGGGCGATGCCGTCTTACTGCCGCCGTCGAGCTTGCCCGAGGCAAGTCGCGACAGCGCCGACTTGGTGGAGGCAGCGACGGAGCGCAAGCTGCTAGTGTCGGTGTCACGATCGCGACCGCTGCTGCCGGGGCTACCCCTCTCTGGCGTGACGGCGGCGGCGAAAGATGAGGGCACGCTGCGCGGGGCTTGCGCGGGCACTGAGTTCAGGGAGGGTGTTGAGGAGGAGGGAGAAAGGAGGTCCGGTGTTGAGAGGGCGGGGCTGTCCACATTCTTGGCATGGACGAGGGGCGTTGAGAGCGGCGTGGGCGTCCTGCTGTAGACCTCGGACTGCATAAATGTGTTTTGGTTGGGGTAGTGGGGTGGGACATTCTGCCGCCTGAATGCCTCGTAGTGGCCGCTGTTATGGCCGCCGCGGTGCGTGACCATGCCGAGGAGCTTGTATCGGTGCTGGTCGGCCAGGCCACCTAGGGGCAGCTGCTCGGGGAACGATACCTTGGCTGAGTTCTTTTGCGTCATCTGGCCAACACCGTAAATGGAGCGCGACAGGTGAATGGCGAGAATCTTGGGGAATATCGTCATGCGCGTCGTCTTGGCGATGCGGCGCTTGGGCGCATAGCGAAGGTCGCCGAGATCGACTCCCTCTGGAGGCTTTTCCGGGTCTGTGCGGATGGCCTCCTTGAGCTTGGCGATGCTGTCGAGGGCGTTGGCTTTGAAGGATTCCGAGGTGGACCGCGAGACCTCATGTTCAAGATTGGCCACAGTCTGTACGAGACGGCACATCTCACACTTGAAGTCGTCAATGTATTCCGTCTTAAAGATGCCGTCAAAGCAAGAGCTGAGAGATGTGGACATGACCTGCGGCACAGCAAGTGTTATTGTGCAAAAGGTTTCTTCGCGCGGTTTGGTTTGGTAGCCACATGTTTGGCACTCGAGATGGGATTCGTATTTTCCCTCCATAGGGAACCCATCTTCCAGCTCGAGGGGCAGCGGCTGCGTGACTTGTGACGGGGTTGTGTTTGGCAGTAAGCTATCGGTGTCTGAAGTTGATTGAGAGTTGATTTCGTTGCCGTTGGCCCCGCTTGTGGCAGATGGGGTATTTCCGTCTGATGCGCCGTTTGTAACGGCCTGCTTCTCTTCCTTTTCATTGTCGCTTTGACCCGTCGAAGAACTGCTGGCGCTAAGGCTGACGGCGGAGCGTGCGTGTAACCGGGCCCTCTGGCCGGCATGGTACTCGTCTTTTAGCCGCTCGGCGACAATCTGCAGGAACTCTTGAGCGTCTTGCTGTTGCCTGCTTATGCGCTGCTTAAAGGCAACTTCGAGGACGCGGACAAAAGGAAAGGGAGAGATGGCCTTTTTCGCAATGGGTCGTTCGTTGAGGTGGTCAAGTATGTCCTTGAGACCGTGTGTGACGAGGCCATCCTGCAGGCCCTGCAGCTTCCAGAGTGGCATCTCGCCACCGCCGTTGCTTCCATCCTCGTCGGGGCCGGGCTGGACGAGGTTCGCGTAGACGGCCGGGTCCTCGATGCTACGACGGTGCGTCTCGCGGATGAGGTAGATTCGCAGGTCGCTGAGGCCGGCGAGGGCCTGGAGGACTGAGTTGATGAAGCAGTCATTGGCTTGATTGCGCAGGCCAACGATGGTCTTCTTCTTAGAGCTGGTGCCATCGTGGTCAATGGCAAAGGTCGGGCCAAAGACGTAGATGAGGGCGGCGGCGGCGAGGGACGCCCCGGCGGCGTACGTCACCACCGTAGCCGACTTGTCGGGCATGAAAAGGCTTGTCGTGGATGTTATCGTCTCGCTTTCGTCGCCGTCGTCGCCGTATATCGTTGCCGGTCTGGAAAAGGCCAAGAGGAGGGGAGGAGAGGGGAGGAGAGGGAGGGGACAGAGGGCGGTTGCGCTCGGTTTGGACCGGGTTTAGCGGAGGAGCACGGGGAACGTTGACGCTGTTTGTATGGATAGAATATGACGGGCTGGGGCCTGCAAAGAGAGGTAAACGATGCTGCTTGGGCCGTTGACTTTGGCTCGCGTCGACATGGGCGACAATTCTGGGAAAAGTTGTTGTAGCGGCCAGCCACAAACGCCGTCCAGACGGAATTAGTGATGGAACAGCGCGGCGCAGGTAGCGGCGTGGAGAGTCTGTAGTCGGCGCTGGGCGAATTGACGTCGGAGGGGGCTAGGAGAGCGGAGATTGTAGACGATGAATAATAATTAATGGCAAGAGGGCCTCGGGCGAAGACGTGCAGCCCGTTTTCCAGCCTTGTTGATGTGTTGGTAAGGAGGGGAGTTGACGTCAAGAAGCATTGTAGAGTAGAGAAGTACTTAGTTGGTAACCAGGCTGACGGAAAGGGAGGGGGGGTCGGCAGTAGCGGCCTTGAGGTACAGTAGGTAACTAGTACTTTTTCCTTGCGGTTGTGGCGGACTTGGATTTATTATGGAGGCCAGCCAACTCCGCCCTTCGGTCTGAGGAAAAGTAATTTCTGTAATTTCTGTAATTTCTGTAATTCTTCTTTTCTTTGCTCGAGGATATTGGTATCGTAGAAAAAGTAGAATATACTCAGTTCAAGCTGCCAAGCGCTCACATGGTGACACAGCCAACCGCCGGCAGCAAGTGAGTGCAGCTGTCGGACATGTCGGAACTACAGTGGGTGTACCTGCTATATACATATGTATGTAGATATGTAGGTACAGAAGAACTGTGTACTACTGAACTTACCACCTCCCTACTCAGGTTGGTATGGATACAGAATGTGGCATCACCAGCTGCGCCTTCTTGTCCTACCTAGTTTTATAACCACGACTAATCAATACGACTAACAATGCTTGCTATTCACTCTCACGCCAGATGGCCGCTACTTACTCGTTGTAGTCGGCCCTATATGTACCCCTCTCTCTGCACCCGCGTTCCATCCAGCCACTGATGCGACATATTCCCAGGCAACCAAATAAAATTTGAGCTAATCTGCCAATACATGCAGATACTACCCCTACTCTCGTCATAGTTGCAGCGCTACCAGAGATGTTACGGTGACTTTTCTCGCTACGGAACTATTTGCGTAAAATGCGGGGGAACTCCTCCCTCCAAGTCCCTGTACGTATTTTGCACCGTAACTATGTATGTACATACATACATACATACATACATAGGTATGTATCAGTATCCGTTCTCTGATGAAATACATGCCCAGTGAATGAGCCGCGTCCAGGGTCCCAGGGCCCTGAAACAAATTGTCGATGCCGCCGCAGCCGCAGCCACAGCTTCTAGAACGACCATCGAAAACCCAAGTGTGCCACAGGCACGCCTTCCCAATGTAAAAGCCCAAGCCACAGTGCTGATCACATCCATCTCCTCACGTACAGCGCCTGACTTTGGAAACCCAGATCTGCCATCAATCATCAATCATTCATCTACCTTTCACAATAAAATTGAAGCACCCCGACTTCATTCTATGCTACCCTTCCTTCATCGAGCAACACGTCCAACCCCATAACAAATCCCACAAACGACCCACAAACTCTTAACCCAGCATCGATGAGCCTCACGGGCCGGGAGCCCGCACCCCGGAGAGCGTCGCCGGGCCGGCCGTTATCAGAGTCTCCCACCTCCTGCCATCGCGACATTCCGCCACCCCGCCGTTCCAATGCCAAGTCAGCCCCCTGAGGCCGCGCCCGGGTCCAACCCCCACCCACGCCGACAGCGCCTCCCAGCTCATCCTGCCCGGCCAGGCCGCCCATCCGTGCCAGAGCGCGCTCCCCGGCTCCACCGCCACCAGCAGCTCGCTCCCGCGAATCTCCAGCTGCGGGCATCGCGCCAGCGCTGCCCACATCGACTGGTCCTCCGGGTCCGCGCCGACCAGCACCACCCGCCGCAGCGAGCCGGCCACCGCGCCCACCACCGACCTCACCAGCCTCGCGTCGTAGTCTCCGGCCCCGTCAAGCCCCTCCAGGTACACCGCCGGCGTCCCGTCCGCGTCCAGCCCGTCGTGGTGGTGGTAGCGCAGGAAGGCTTCGGCACGGCGCGGGCTGTCCAGGTAGAAGCAGTGCCGCCGCAGCAGCCGCCGTGCCGGCTCCGAGGTGGCCCGGCCCACGCGGGTCAGCGCCACGAGCGTCCGCGTGGCGACGTGCGACGCCGGCAGGATGGAGGGGCCGGTACCGGGGCGCGGCAGGAGGTGCTCCATCACCCCCAGGAGGAGCTCCTGTGGTAGCTGCAGCGGCGGCACTCGATTCGCAGGGGCTTCCACGCACGGAAACACAGGATCCATCCGTTGTTTCATCTTTCTTTCCACAAAGGACTACTGAAAAGGTGTCATGTTGAATTGGCCAACAACAACAAGTCGCTGTACGTGGGGGTGGGCATCATATTTATAGCCAAGGCAAGCTGTTGGTTCACCCCAGGCAGGGCCCTACTGACTAGGCCTCCTTGCCACGCAAAGTTACTATATTAGCAACAAACTCAGAATATGCAACAAGTATTTTGTGCATTATATACGTCTTACTGCTAATAATACAGTCTAGTCTTTCCGGGACCAGGCGCTTCTCTCCAAACAAGTAAAAACATACGCTATCTGCGGTCCTGGTCCGGTCCAAGAAGCTCACGAACCAACCCACTGCACCGGTGACGCCGTATAAGAAAATCCAAAAACTAAATAAAAACCAAAGAGAAAGAAAAAAAAATGCCCGGGGGATATCGAGAAATGAAAAAAGAAAAAAAAACGCCGCTACTTCGTCGGACTTTCGTAGCTGTAGTCGACACTCCATAACGCATCCCACACCATTGACTTTTTGCCCGCGCTCTCAGTCGACTCTTCTCGCTGCACGCTGCTTCGACTCTGTAATGGAAGAGACAAGAACTCAAAATCAGTAACTGGCAGCTTACGGGCCGAGAAGGGCATCAACACTGCGTACCTCGGCTGCATTGCTGGCGCCCAACGGTCCCTCGCCCCCATCCGCTGCTCCCTCTCCCTCCTGCTGTGACTTTGACACCATCGCTCCCAGCGGCGACGGCTGGATCGGACTGGTGCCTGCGGGCGTTTCTGGCGCCGCCGCACGCAGAGAGTCCGTCTCGCTAGCCAGCGCGCTGCTCTTAAGAAACGCCGCTCCGCCGGCAATGGAAAACGGCACCTTCTTCGAGTTGGAGCTGCTACGCCGGCTCTCCAGGCTCTTAGACAACGTCTTGTTGATGCCCTCGATGCTGCTGATACTATCGCGGTTTTTGCCCTTGGCCCCTACTGCCTGAGACTGAATGTTCGCCGTCGCCTCTACATTATTCGCGGCGACTGTAGATTTGCCCATCCCAGGCGTCGAGGGCGCCCCGGGCTTATCCTCTTGGGCATCAATAAGATACCAGCGCAATCCGTCAGAGAGCTGGAACGGATTATCGTTCTCGTCCTCGTTGACAGCATTACCCTCCTTCAAAGCGTTATTGCTTCGCGTCAGACTCTTGGACAGGTCCACCACTCTTTCTTGGATGCGGGTAATGCGCGCCACAAGCCACTCCCGGTGTCGAAGTCTGTGCGCATCCTGCTCGCGCAGGAAATAGTGAGGGAACCCCACGTTGAAAGCAGCCCAGGCGCCGGCCTGCTGATTCCTTGTCGGTAGAAACAAAGCAAGATCACCATCCTTGAAGTGTCTAAAGGCAATCTTGTCGCTGGCGTCCCTTTGATGTACATGAGCCCGGTCGCGGTACGTCTTGGCGTCGCGCTGCCACTTGCGAGCCTTGTGCTCGGCCTCTTTGATTCTGTGGTAGATGGTATCGGCAAACAATTCCATGTTGAATGACCCCAGCGACTGCATAAACGAGGTATATCGTTCTTCCTCAGCCGCAGCATCGCTGTTATTGATCCAGTGGAGCAGCTCAAGATCGACGCTGTTGTTCATTGGCTTGCTAAGACTCGTCGACCGCTTGACAGATGAAGACGGGTCGGACAAGTCGTGTGCGCTCTGTCCCTGCCTCTCGGCGCGCGGAATCTTAGTCACGGTCATTTCAGCGCCGTCGCGCGCCACAGAATAACCGATGCGCTCCAGGAGCCGTATCAAGCGGTCATTTTGAGAATAGACTTTCTGAGTCAGTTCCTTTGTTCTCTCGTCCCGGGCCTCATGATGGGTTACGGACGACGATAGCTTCTCTTGCAAGGATGTCATCTTTGTTTGGAACATGTGAACCTCTTCTTCGAGGCTTCCCACACGCGACTGCCGAGAGGCAAGATCTTCCGTCAGTTCGGACACCTTGCGTTCAGTAGCTTCCAGCTTCTTCTGTAGCGTCTCCGAGCCCGTTTCGCCGTCAGATAACTGACCACGCAGCGCGCTAAGCTGCTCCCTGCCTTCGTTGAGCTCGCCTTCGAGGGCGGTAACCTTGGCTTTCTCTTCAGCGAGATTCTCGCGAAGGTGCATTGCGCCCATTTCTTCTTGGGCAAGTGTTAGTCTCGTTTCCGCGAGCTCAGTGCGGAGTTCTTTAGTGCCGTTTGAGGCCTGATCCAGGTTGGTCTTGAGAACAGAGGCTTCGCTTTCAGCATCTCGCAATTTGCTGAGCAAGTCTGCGGCATAATTGGCCACTGCTTCCGTCAGATCAATGGCGTCGCCAGGTGCGTCACTGCCAGGGACCATGTCTTGGTGAAGCTTCTGCAGCAGTTCAATTTGCTTTTCCGCCGTCTCTTCCGCTTCTCGCAGCTTGCGAGTCACGCCATGGTGCTCATCCTTGGTCGTCTGCACGAGTCGATTCGAAGCATCCAGCTTCTCGCGCTGCAGCTGAGCTTCTTTTCGCAAATACTCCACCTGGCCTTGAGCTTTGAGGCTCTCGTCATTGTGCTCATTCTTGAGTCGCTGAACCTCATCCTCGAGTGCTTGCATCTTTTCGTCGTACGCAGCTTTTTCGTTCTCGCGTGACTCTCCAAAGTGCTCCATGTCGTCTTCCGTTTCCTCGAGGCGAGCCTTCAGCACCTTTAGCTCGTCTTCTAGAGATTTGCGCTCATCCATAAACTCGCGCTTAAAGGCCTCCATGTTCTCCATAAGATCCTTCTTGGTGGAGTTTGCCTCCTCCATCTGGCTTTTGATCTCATTGTGCTGCGTTGACTTGACATCAACGTCCTTCTGGAGGATGGTTGAGCGATGCTTCTCTTCGCGCAAGTCATTCTCGAGCTGCGCAATACGCCGCAAGAGCGGATCAGCACCGTCAGACGATCGTCTACGATCATCGATGCGATTTGATCTGATGGACGCGCTAGAACCCGGACGCTCTTGTGGTTGCATAACCGGAGGCTGGAACAGGTTTCCGTGCCGGGAGGCTTGGCTTTGTCGGTGCAGCAAATCTTCGAGACGTCGCACCCTGCTTTCTGCAGTCTTCAGTTTGCTCTCAAGCCTCGACTTGTCATCTTGGAGAGAGCGTAGCAGATCATCGTCTCCACGTATCAAAAGACCACTTCTTCCCAAGGCTGCCTCGTGGATGCTTCCATTTTTGAACGCCTTCAAGCGCTTCGACTGCTGTTTTGTCGGGCTCGCAAGCTCTTGAACCAGTTTGATAATATCCTCGAGCAGTGTCTCGTCAGTGTGCTGTGCCTTGAGATGCTGGATAAAGTCGTCAAGGTCATCTTTGGTGAGTTGTGGCCATGCTTCTTCATCTCCCTGCAAATTGACCTCAAGTCCCATGACGTTAGTGTCCAATCCAGGTCCGTATGTGCTGCCGACCATCTTCTGCCATCTCCTCCGCCTCTTAGCTTCTTCATCCTGAAACAGGGCCATTTCATTGGCGAGCGTAGACGAGTCCTGTTTGACCTTTTCTGTCCACTCTCGGCGACGAATTGTTTCAACGACGAAGGACGCATACATGTATGGCAGTTGGTATATGAGCCGTAAGTAGTCAAATGTCGTCATGTCGTCCTCTGAAGAGTTCAAGACATTGATTTGATTACGGACACCACTGTGCAGGGCAGTAATTTCGGTAATGGCCTTCATGAAGTTGACAGATTCTGCCGCGATCGAATTTCTGGCGGACGCGGCATAGTAGAGCATCTCGTCCATCTCCTTGGCTCGCTTCTTGAGGCTCGGAACCAAACGCTCGGTATGGTTAGATGCTACTTTGGACGCTTGAGCCAAGTCCCGCTGCGAGGACCCGTATGCCAAAGCGGAGCGGTAATCGTCGTCCATTTGCTTCACAACAACCTCAATGTCCTCGAGCAGCTGTGCAGTATCGTTGTTGTGAGTGAGGACAGATCGGCTCATGAGCGCCTCAAAATCGGCAATGAGCTTTTTCAGACCTTGGTGCATATGCTTTACCGCCTTCTCTAATTCCGCGGCCTTGTCACTGAACCGGCGCCGCGCAGTCGGCGCTAACTTGCCGGCCTTTTTCGCCGTCTCCGGCTCTATGAGGTCCTCTAGTGTTGGTTCATTCTTGACAGACGCCCTGTTAGTCATGAACTGCACCATGGTGGGTGATATTGGCGTGTTCCGCGCGAGGCTAAGGTAGTGTTCCCAGGAGCTTGCGAGGCGATCATGCTCGAGGAGAATTGGGTCCACCCATTTCTTGAGTTCGGCGTGCTTAGGCTCAATCTGCTTGACGCTAAACTCGAGATTTGCCAGTGCAGCGTCGAGACACTTGATCATGACGTCGATCTCGTCGTAGCGCGCGCGGGCTGCGGTATCGAGACGCCCGCAGTCCTCGGCGAGGCGGATGGCCCATGACCGGCGCGCCTTGTACAGCTCCCGCCACGATTCGATATCCTCGGCGTCAGATATTGAGTTGGGGGCGTCTGGGATGGCATAGGGACGCGGCAGCTGCGTGTCGACACCGACGACGGGGGAAGAGCCTGCGGCAGTCTGTTGGGTGACTCGGATATCGTAAATGTAAAGCTCTTTCTGTTGGAGTTGGGGACAATCAGGGTCAGTGACGGTTCGGCCAGTTGGTCCTCTCCGGACAGTGCGTTGGTCTACATACCTCGACATGGATGCTCGCAAACTTAACGCTCCGGCCTTGGGGCGTCAGTGCTACCATGTGCTGCAGAGAAACGGAGCTATTACGGGCAATCCAAGCCTTCAAGTCGTCCAGCCTGGAAAGGGAGTTAGCATGCTGTCCACTCTAGGCAACCAGAAGCTATGTACGTTGAGAAGCGCGAGGTGTCGACCTCCAGGCGCTGGCCCGTGTGGGCAATCAACACCTGTGTAGCCATGTCGAAACATTCGCCATGGGGAAGGCGGAACAACGAGTGGAAGCCCTCCAGGCAGCGATATCGGGTCGGGTTCGAGACGAGTAGCCAATATGCAGGGGGGGTCTGATGCAGAACAGTCAAGTGAAGAAATGCAGGTTACAGAAATAAAAGAGAGGACGGGGAAACGATGCAAGATTGAGTAGATGGTAGATGGCAGATGGCAGATTGGTGGCTGCGAGGCAATGACGCTAAAAGCTCAGTCAGGCAGCTCTCTGTCTTCGTGAGTCGACAAAGTGTGGAGTCCTTTTTGGGAGTCCCCTTTGCCTTTTATCGTGTCTTCTTGGGCTCGTGAGCGATAGCGCTGTTACAGCGTTACAGCGTGACAGGTGCCCTGTGACTCGCTCGCTGCTGACCAGAACCCCACTGAAGTGGACTCTGTCAGCTTGGTTTCTCTGCTTGGAGACCAATTGAAACTTCAGCCACCCGTGGCTCAAGCTCTCGATTGTGGCGCGCAGACTTGTCCCTCGCGGGCGCGTCTTATCTAAAGCTTAACCAAACGAGCTCACTCATGGAGATTAATAGACATCAAGCTGGTGCCAGACATATCGTCTGCCGGTATGCGCACATTCGATTTTTTCATTCCTTTTTATAGCTCTTCGACCTTTATGGGCGACGCGTCGCATCGCCATGGACAACGATGAGCACATGGAGGATGTTGAGTCCGCCGGCGAGCCACCACTGGGCCTATCTGACGATGAGAGGCAAGTCCTCGAGCTATACGACAGGCTACAGCAGATGGACCTGGAAATTGCCATCATAAACGCGCAGAAGGCGCACGTATCAAGTACGCTGCAGACCATTAAGCTTTGTAAACAGACTGTTAATCAAGCGAATAGCCTCGACAGACGACTCCCCTGATGCGCTGGCCGCTGCGCAGGAGGCCCTTTTACAAGCCCGGTCGCGCTACAAGCTCCGAAATGACGCCGTTGAGCTCGTCATGATGGTCCACCCCGTCCTCAAGGCCGTCCACGGCAGCACCAACGCGTCTCCCATCGACCGGTGCGTCCTAACCACCGCCACCACCGTCGACTCCAAATCTTCTTGACTGACTGACCCCCTTCCCAGTGACCTGCTCCCGTACATCGTCAAGCGCGACGACGCTGCCGTCGAGGTCGCCCGGGCCGCCGCCCAGGCGCAGGCGACGCGCGACGCCCTCACTGACGTGCAGGTGGAGACGCTGCGCGCGTGCCGGCGCAACGTGACACTGACGAGCCGGCTGTTCGAGCTCGCCGGGCAGCTCGAGGAGCGCAGGGCCGTCGACTGGCACGGCGGCGAGGAGGCCCTCCGGGTGCGCGAGGAGAAGCGCAAGTGGCGCGCGGTCAAGGGCGCGGCGAGCGGCATCGTGGCCGGCAGCGGCGTCGACTGGGCGTCGGACGAGGCACTGCGGGAGATGGTGCTCGATCCAGAAGATGATGATTAGCCGTGTGTAGATCTGTACGAATAAGTGTCTGTTTGCGCATCACTGGTGTTCTTTTTGCATGGCATTTGACGCGTCTTGCCCCCTCTGTGGCTCTCGTCGTTTCTAATTTATGCGGATGTGCTACTTCTACGTGTAAGTGGCACTGCATGTTCGACCATCAACTTACCACGTCTAGCAGTCGTGCCACCAATAACACACTACCAACGGGACATAATAGAGAGCATGAAATATAACACTGGTCGATACATTAGCATAGAGAGTTTTAACCGTGATTTTCTCATTCGAAAGATGACATCGCAAGTCTGTTAAATCCTAGTAACGCAGGCATATAGGGTAGCCATGAACGCGATGTTGACATGCACCCCACTCGCCGTAGTGGTGCGCGACATGGAATTACGACTCGCCACGCGCAGAAAGATAGAGTAATTAAAGAACTGACATGGCAAGGCGTGGAACAGCGAGTCAACTACTGCAGCTGTCTAGATGGTAGCCACAGGCCAATGCACCTAATATAAAGTTGTCCATGGCTCATGCGCTCCCATGATGCTTGGACCAGGTTGGAGACACGCAAAGCACGAATTACTAGAAGCTTCACTCGATGGTAGACAATACATGCCGCTGCTAAAATTCAATCGGCAAAAGTCAATTCAACTGGCAGTCCCCGCCTCCACACAAGGCCATCGTGGTGAACGGTTGGTACGTGACGGCTTGTCAACGGCGCGAAGCCAACAGCAAGATCAAGATCAAGCAGGATCATGTGCACCAGTCAAGCTGGCGAAGCTACTAGTTAGCTAGAGAGCAGGAACCAGGTAATACTGGGCGAGCGGAGTATGCTGAGCTTTCTTGTGGCGCGTTCGTTGCGCGTGGTACGGGCATCCGCGTAACAAATGACCGACTTTTCTTTCTTTGCGACGGAGACTCGGGTCAAATCAAAGGGATAGACAGTCCACCCAACCAATTAAGAAGGAGAAGAGTAAAAAAGAAAAAAAGGAAAAAAAAAGAAAAAAAAAGAAAGAAACCCCCCTTCGATGGGGTTGACGTGACTGGCACCGGGAGGCTCTTTCACACACACCCGGCCCCCCTGCTTAGAAAGTTGGGCTTGCCTATCCGTGCCTTCTCCATTGCAAGGCCGTCCCGAATGTACCCAGCACAGTATTAGTTTGGGAGAGTTTCGAACAATACGCAGCTGACGCTGCGCATAGTATCGTCCGCATACCCGCCTGAAGTCTCTGGCTAGTACCAGCTGCGCCAGCTCCAGCTACCTTAGTTTTAGCAGTGCCTCTTGTCATTAGCTCATCTTCCATGGGCATGTCGCAGGTTGTACCAGCCAGCACAAGCCAGGCTCTATTGGCGCCAAATGACTAACATCTTCTTAACTAGGTAGGCATGGCTCTCTCTTGCACTGCGACCTTGCTGACAGACAGTGCCGAGGCGGAGCAACAGTAGTTGACGTGGTTTGATATCAGAAAAGCTGCACAGGAACTATGCAGGCGAGTATGCAGCTAGGTATGACAACGCAACTGGTGTCCAGCACATATGGATTCTACAGTCATGGCCGAGAAAGGAAGATGCTGCGTCGCTGTCTCTGGTCTTGGTACCGTGGTGTATTCTCATACAAGCAAATGGCTGGCTTACTGCGTCACTGGCGCGGTTAGCATGACTGAAAACATGCCTTCCTTTCCCAATACGAACTCAAGGCCAGACCAGAGCGAGTGGGCAGCGCTGAGCTTAAAAAGGCAGGGTGGGAAGGCGAGTGATCTGACCCAAGGCAGCTTGTTTTGGAGGCCCAGTTATGTGTGGCGCGACTTGGGCGTAATAAAAACAAGAGGCGCCAGCAAAAACCACTGCAAAAAAAGAGGAAGGGGGGGAGTGGAGTGGCAGAAGTGAGAGGAGACGGAAAAGGCAAGGTACGAAGGCCCAAGTACCAGTACTTCGAAAATTCGTATGACGATACTTGAGGGAATGCGAGTGGGCAAGTACCCCGCTCTGCCTGTGCTTTTAGCTTGCTTTTTGCCTGCGACCTGGGACAGGAGGAGGAGGAGGAGCAGGAGACGGCGTGTTTGATGAGCGCCACACATTGTGGGATAGTTTGCCAGCACCCAGCACCTTGTGCACTGTTCTGTGCCTGCAGTCTTCTCGTTTTTCCCGTCTTCCCGTCCCAGCTCACTGGCTATTTGCCATGTAAATAGGCGTGCCCGTAGGTCTTTGCCTAGTCGGGCTGCGGAAGCTGCACCTCGCTTGAATGTGGCTGAAGCTGTCTCTCCCTGCGTGCCAGATTGTCAGTAATGCTGAGCATACTGTAAATAATGTCATCTGGTCAGTAGGCATCCATACCTAAGCTGTGCACAGCAGCAGGAACTTTCAGGCAGGACGGCAGCTCAATTGGCCTGGCGATTGGTACGATGTTTGGGGCATTGGACCCCGTGCTTTCTTACATCCGTAGACGGGTTAGCTTCTTAGGAGTCCTCTGACTTCTGCATTTGTTTTATCAGACAACAATGACTACACCTCCAGTCAGTCAATTGAGATAGAGGGAAAGAAGTCGGCCTGGCCCCGACTTCCATATCAAACAAGTAGAGGCGACAGCTGATCCGGAACTGCAAGCTCGGCTCTCATGTGGGGTCTCTCTTATTATATCATTACTTCTGCCATAACCTCGAGGCGAAGAGCCCAGGCTCGGTCTGTGCGACCAACACCGCATTGCACCAGAGGTCGCCAGTAAGTTTCCTGTTGTTATCACAAGCAATTCATTTGCTGTATAACACATCTGTCGATAGACCCCGTGGCTGTGCCGGAGGATGTCCAATGCAGGCATGGTCCGTGTAAGTCGAGATCGCTATCTGCCCGATCAGACTGACCAGCAAGAAGCGACGAGACAGACTGGCGGTTGTTGGAGTGACTACCCGTCAATATGTCCGTTGCGAACCTCTGTGATCCTGTAATAAATAAATACCGACCGATGAGCCTCTGACCCGGGTGTGCGTATGGCGATTATTGTACACTGATGTTGAGTGGAATGAGCCTTAGTGGGGCGGACTCGATGCGAACGTGGCATCGCCATCTGGTCTACATTGGCAGCGAGTGGCCGGCTGTACGAGGCAACACAAATGTTGCTGCTGCGTTGTGCGAAGATGGATGCGTGGCACGGCTGTATGCAAAACAATGATGTCGAAATCGCGAAATCGCGAATGTTTGGCGGGAGGTCGCGCAAACGCCCAGCGAGGGTAAGCACCTGGGTAAGGGCTAAATTTTTTTTTCGAAGATATTGTTGATATGGATATTTTCAGGACAAAGAACACTGTAAATTCCTGACGGTGATAGGCGTTGAGTGGGTTTGTTGTTGCTATCCATTTATTGTATCTGGACGAAAAGGCACACACCTCTGGGCTCGTCGCAGTGGTAAACCAGCGTGATGGCTCCATTCTGCCCGGTACCGACGGTGGTTGGTCAGTGGCCGGCGAAAAGAGGCGTGGGCTGCAAGTACACTGTGCGAAATTAGTAGATCAAGGGGCGGCATGTACCATGCTTTGCAAGCGGAGTCGGTTGCTGGGCAAGTATCTGTACAGTACCTCACCAAATCGACAAGGGCCAGGCCGTCCAAGCGTGTCAAGGCTGGCGTGGTTTGTTGGCCACCAAGATGGTACCTAGTGGGTTGCGGCATTTTAGGGCGAGGAGCATGTACCCGGCTCAGCCAGCCAACGTACCTATGTATGTATGTAGGTACGGTACGGGACTACTCAGCGTCTAGTCGCAGGAGTAGGAGCCTGCTTGGTTGCTGGGCATGTGGTGTGAGATGTGGTGCAGGTGTGTTTGAGGTGCTGTGGGAAAGGCGTCTTGGGTATCCGTGTATTGACAGTATTGCATGGGTTAGCAATACTGTGTTTCCACTGCATTTGTTTGTTTAAAACAGAGAGTCAAAACAAGAAGGAAAAACTCGCGAGGAAACGTAACAAGCCGAGTGGTAGCGAGCGAGCGACTGGCACTTGTCAGTTGGCAGCTGGCAGTGAGTGAGTGATGGATAGGTACAAACGGAAGCTGGCAAAACGCGCCAGCTGTCAGTTGGCAACGGAAAGGCCGTTTGCTGACTGGTGAGAGCTGCCTGGTGGCGGGCAGCTGGCAACCACTAAAATGCAAGGGAACAGTGAGTGCCGATGCTAGCGCCTTTTGTCAGTATCGGGCGAGAGCCATGTTCTCAAATGCATTCTTCATCTAGATGACTAGATAAGACCAACGGAATTGCAAAATAACTGCTTTACTAGCATTGACCAAGCGTTAGAGGGGGCGTGCAATACTGCAAGCAAAAGGCGTGTGTGTTTGTGTGTGTCCAATACGTGTGTGGTGCGCGTGCATGCGTGTGTGTGTCAGTATGGAAAGGTAAGGTAAAATAGCGTGCGGCGTGGTGGTGCCCTCTGGCTGGTACCAGTACAAACGGCTCCGAGTTGCACCTCAGAACCTTGCACTCTGCGGCAGTAGCTCCGTTCCCTGGGCCACTTTGGCCCTTTGGGTGTGCCAGCCAGGACTGTAGCGTGGCAGCGCCGGCCCCTCCCCTCCTTCCTGCTCCTTTCCTCTCCTCTCTCCCTCCAAATTTGACCCCCCAAGAAATGAGAGAGAGGAGAGACCCCCCCTCCCTCCCCTCCCAAGCCCAGCCCAGCCCAGGCCTGCTTCCCTTCCCTTCCCTTCCCTGCCCGCGCCCGCGTTCCTCGCGCTCAATCACTCCCCCATAGTAAAAAGGCTGCCCGCCCTCTCTCCCACTTCCTCTCCCTCTCCCATACAAATTTCCCATACAAATCTGCTCCCCGCGTAACTTCGCAACACACATACACTCACAACACCGCACGCATTTTGGTGAGTCCCCTCTACTATGCTTTGCGCGCACCCATGGGCGACGGCTCCAGCCACGGCAACATTTGTTTTGCGACCGCACCGCGATTATTTTGCGCACCCATCGATTTTTTTGCATCACAGTCGCCTTGTTTTTCATCAAAACACACACGACTAGCTGCTTGTCATCGTCGGTCGCGCTTCATCATCTCGTGTCGCTTGCTCTGTTGCCTCAACTTACACCCGCGCCTCACGACTACGCTTAGCGTCTGCGCCAACCGATTCCTCACTAACACGCGATTCTCACAGTGCAATTCTCACGTCTTTTCACAACTTGAACTTTCCTTCCAAAAACCCCTCAAACGTATGTCTCACCCAATTCACCCTTCCTCTGGCCTCACTCTATCCAATTTACCCTCTTCCCAACCATCCTACCTATGCAATCGCATCGCGTTCTGCACCGCGCCCACTTGGCCAGCACCGCAGTCACGTCGTCTCAACTCGTCACCCTGCATTTTTCCCAGCTGTTCGCGCGTACCTCGCTGCAAAGGCGCCACCAGGCAGCCACCCGGCCAACGCGTCACTTTGCTTGTCCTATACTCGGCGTTTGCAAGTGTCGACTGTGCCCAGTACCATTGATCTTCCACACCACATCTGCTTCTCATACATGATTGCGCCTACGTTTCTCTACTGTTCGCGATCCTAACAATTTCTTCAGACCGCAAATATGCCCAAGGCCGCTGCTGCCCCTAAGCGTGGAGCTCGCGTCGAGAAGAAGCGCGCCAAGAAGGGTAAGTCATCACTGAATGCTCCATGATGTGCATTGATCCTTGATGCTAACCGCCACAGACCCCAACGCCCCCAAGCGTGGCCTCTCTGCCTACATGTTCTTTGCCAACGAGCAGCGCGAGAACGTCCGTGAGGAGAACCCTGACGTGACGTTTGGACAGGTCGGCAAGATCCTCGGTGAGCGCTGGAAGGCCCTCTCCGAGAAGCAGCGTGCCCCCTATGAGGCCAAGGCTGCCGCCGATAAGAAGCGCTACGAAGATGAGAAGGCTGCCTACAACTCGGCTTAAAATATACGCGCCTTTGTAATCTCTAGCCACACCGGTTTCTTGTTATTCATTTCCTTTGTATTTGGGAAGGGAGGTGTTGTATGACCGCAACGGGAAGGACTGTATTTTTGGTTGCTTTTGATATCTTACCGGAACCCCACGGACTGGGTCTCTTCGCTTTTATGTCGTGACAGAAGGTCTGTCAAAGGGCCAATCACTATAATATCGCAATGAGACTATGAATGAAACTTGTACCAACATCTTCAATCTGCTTGTTTCTCATTTTTCTGTGCTTAGAGAGCTAGACCGGTGTGGGTAGCGCACCTGCCATTGGAATGGGCCTGTTGCACCAGAGTCTATCAGCCTGTGGTGCTTGACAGTCTCGTCAAGTCAAGCCAATGCCAAAGTAGCTAGCAACGTGATGCTCGTCAAGCATGCTGGTCTCGTCTCGAGTCTAATAATACCATTTCCGTGGCAAAGCTCACCTGATGCGCCAGCATCACCATCATGCCGCTAGGCCTCCTTCACAGGCCGCTCTTGGTCGCCGGCCAGGCCGCCGCCGCCACCCCCTTGTCCCCATTGAATTGTGCTAACAACAGGGCATACGCTCCCACGAACCAGTGGCGAAAAGAGAAACGGCACCAATGCAAGGGGCAAGCCCGTTGCGCGTGGGCGGGCGGCCCTTCCGAGCGGCTGCGAAAGAGGGTCACCGACGAGCGCGGCGCTTACATCGATGACGGTACTGGGCTGTCTCTCGTCGCTTCGCCCCCCTCCCTCTCCATCTCAGCGGGGCCTGCACCTTCGACATCTCCTTGATGGGTTGACATCGGCGGCGTTTCGAATGCTCCCGACAGTCTGGTTAGGTGTGTGTGGCTTCCAGGGCGGTTGGCATTTGAGGGGCGATGCAAGCGCTCGGGGTTCTACGGCCTTCAATTCTCATCAAGTTGAACATGCTAGTGTCGCTGGTGCGCCGCGATAGGGTCGCTTTCGCTACATCGTTATTGCTGCTGTTGTGGTTGTTGTAGCGATCTTGCTGTTTGCCAAGGTTGAGGCGGCTGACTGTTAGCCTTGGGGGTCGTAGCCACACGAGGCTCTGAGGCGGTGCAAGGCACCGGTTGTGGCTGAGGTCATCATGCAAATCATTATTGCGGCAGAACCGAAGTTGGCGCCCCTATGATCGCTGGAGGATCAATGGTTCTGATTATCGCTAGCTTACCACATGGCATGATTTCAGGTGTTTTTCCTTTCTAGGCGAAGCAAAGCGGTTTGCGAAACAGCCAATTTTGCAGGTGTGGACGCCTTGATTCTGGAGACGTGGACGCCTTTTTTGATAGCCGTGGTCCACCAATCTGGCGCCATCGTAGACGAGCCAGACCAATGAGAGAAATACGTTCTAAAGGGTGGAAAATTGAATAGGAAAGAAAGAAAAGGAAACAAAAGTAAAAATGGACATAACTACTGCAAGCAATGACTGTCTACCCACCCTCGCTTCCCGCCACCCCTGCTCTCGATCTGAGTGGCCGTGGGCGGGCTCTTGTACGTACTTGATGTATTGTCCGCGCATCCCACCGCCCTAATGCAGCCTGCTCACAAAAAAAACGCTGGCAAAGCAAATGACCGCCACGCATGACGAGAGAAGGTATGCATGGTGGATGGTCTTTATTTTGTGTGTCTTGGATGCATTTGGTCGGGCATCGACGTGATCACACCACATACGGACAAGATAGAGTAGTATCGACTGAGAACCGCCGTTGGGAAGAAGACGACGGCAGTCGCGAGGATAGATGTACGCGCCGAGGTTCTGAAACGAGGCCCAGAAGCTGACTTGGATCCATGATGGCCCCTGGTATGTGCCCTCGTTGACTTGAGACGAACATGACGACCGGAACGCTGATAGGTCCGTTTTGTCGAAGCCGTCTTGGAGAAGCGGTTGGGCTCGTCTGCAGCCACGAACATCGTCTGCGGCCCGGGGAAGGCTGACAGCATGAAGGAACGTGTTGTTACCCTTGATAGTGTGCTGCTCCGAGCATGTTGGAACAGGCCTCCCGATACAGTGCTGCAGGGAAAAGGGTTTGCACATTTCTTGAGAAAAATGACAGATAAACGGAGTATCAATTCCTATTTGAGGTCATTTGGTTTCAACCCTCCCTGGCGGCATACAGTAGGTACAAGTAACCACCACTATCCATCCCGTGGTGCAGCTTGCAGCCGCCAGAGTCCCACTGTGGTGGTTCGCAAGTACATACCTATGTATGCATGTATGTATGTATGTATGTATGTACATATGTATGTACATACATAGGTACCTAAGTTACCCAGTGCCACAAGGAAAGTAAAAAAAGTCTGACAAAAACAGGCTAGCTGCTCAACTTTGGCTCATAATGCCTTTTTTGAATTCCTTTTTTTCTTCTTTTTTGCTTCGTCTTGCTTCATTGTTCTGGTCGGTTTGGTTCCGCCGCCACTTTCCTCCAACACATCGATGTACATAACGCCTCTTGGCCTCCCTCCGCCCCCCCTCCCCCTCCTCCCGGCCCGGGCCCGTCGCCTACCGTCCCCTCTTCGTCCCCCCACCCCGGATAATCGTCGAATCATTCTTCACTTTGACCAGCGCCATAGCGGGCGGTGTGGTTCTTGTTTGTTGGCCTTGCATATACACATATACAGCTGCAAGTCCTTTCCTGAGTGAGACCCCCTCCATTGTTGTCGCTCGGGTGGTGCTTGGTCTCGACGGCAGACATATCAAGACTGGATCACGCACTCCCTCGCTTCATGCCTTTTTTCTTTCTTCCTTTCTTCTTCCCCTTTTTTTTTGCTACCCTTGATTTCTTCCCTTTACCCTCGTCCAGCCGTTTGCTCAATTATTCAAGGACAGGGCCAGAACGTGTTCGTGGGGCTGCTGCCAACGTCCGCCTGATTCGTTGCTTTTTCAAGGCTAGCCTCTATTCATCTACCTAAGTACCTACCTTTACCTGCAACCCTCCAACCTACATACAGGTAACCTTGTCTTGTATACACTTTTTTCTCCCAGCCCTGCGTTTGATCTTTTTCCCCATCTCCCCTTCTTGCTCTTCACGACGGCCATTGTCCATTGGCAGTCGAAAGACTGTCCCTGGAAACAAACAGATTTGAATATCTGTCTTCTGGTCGCTCGCCTGCCCCCTACGCCACGATCTCCTGCTCATCCTCGCTTCCGCAACCATTACGGGAAACGGGTAGCTGGTTACCTACCTACCTACCCACCACCTCATACCTTTGCACAGCAGCAGGCCTCGCACCATCCACGGGCTACATTACACAGCGTCATGTCGTGTCGGGGCAGAAGACTGCATTCCCGCACCTGAAAGAGACAGCTCAAATTCCCTGCAACTTTTCTGACATTGCAACGAAACTCGCAATTGGACTCCAAGATAAGCCTGCTCGATTTCTCATCTGCTTGCCCAACGCTGGTGTGTCTCGCATCGTATGAGGATCGAAGTCGTCAACATGCCGGAAGGCATGCCTTATAACCCTGGCATGGATACAACGCTGCTCATGGCCCTCTTCTCAGAGTCGAAAAAGTGCGTGGCCGCTGAGCGGCTCGTAAGAAGCTTCAGGGCCGTCGTATCCCGTCCCACGGGCAATGGCCCCCAGAGGCTCATCGACATGTTGGAGGCGCTGCGTTTAGCCATGCTCTCTTTTGCCGACCTCTTTCCGCTGAACATCCGGTCTATCCATGGCTACCTCAACCATCTCGACATGGTAGTGCCCTCCATCTCTGCGACGCTCGATAGGCTCCTCACAATCATGAAGTATTGCCTTTCTCGTCGGTACTTTGACAACGCAGGCTGGGACCACCTCCTTTTTGTCATGTCTGGCGGCGACCGGCCCGGCGTGGAGCTTTGGGATCGACTTAAGCTCTATCACGATTTCTTCAACGTCTTGTTCTTCGCCATAATACGGTACGTTGTCCGCAGTCGCGCCCACCATCCACAACACCACATTAACCAAACCTGCTCTCCTCCAGAGCTCCCAGCTTTGAATGGAAAAGGGCAGAGGACATCCGCGTTCAAATCATGGACTTGAGAGATGATGATGGAATAAGTAGGTACATATCTAAGATCTCTCTCCCCCATCGCTAACCTCTGCTCCGAAGGGCCCCCCAAAAACCTTCAAACCGTCTTTGTGCCCTTCAACCACCTGCCAGCCGCGCGAGTTCGAGCAGATGTACGTTTTCCACCATTTTTGCTCCTCATAACCAAACTAACGTCTCCTAGTCCGCTACCCAACATTGGGCTATCAAAATTATGGATCGTCGGCCCAAAACTATGACAAAATTTGAAACGCAGTGCTTGTAGGTCGACGTGTGCTTTTTCTGTCATGAGGCGCCCACAACTAACCCTGATAGCTCGGAGATAATTGGCGAGGGATTTCACTGGAATGAGACGGCTATTGCGGAGAAATCCAATCTAATATTCCAAAGGTGCGAAGCTTTTCTTCTGACAATTTCTGCTTCGGCTGCTAACTCCATATAGGACCTTCCGGAACGACAACGATAGCTTCAAGAATGATGGCATCTGCTTGACAGTTTTTATCAACCATACTGATAAATTGCCATATCTTCTTTTGAGGACTATGGATAAGCACAGTCGAACTCCATCCTACCAATGCCGACAGCTAAACGACATTCGCATCGAGCGTGACAAGACAACGCTGCATCTTTGGAGATGGAGTTTTCGTGAAAACTGCTTCGTTTACCTGGCTGTGCTGCATTTCGACACGTTTGAAGGTATGCTCCCCCCTTGGCCCGAAATCTAGCTAGTTGAAACTCACAATGGTGATTTTTCAGAGCTTGTTGTCACCCAGTGCGCTCTCCTCGCTCTCAAGGCTCAGACTAGCCTCTTGGCCCGAGCTATAACCCACGAGGAGTCTCGTTTTCGAGACGACACCAAGATCTTGAACCAGTATGTAAACCTGCAAAACCAAAGGTGCCTACCTCTACCGAACTAACATGCCTTTCCAATCTGCAGACCTATGGTCATTACGGACGGTGGCGTTCTACACAAACTGCACATCTATCGGGATAATATGACCGCCACTAAGCGCCTCTATGCCTGCGTCGCTAAGGGCGAACGACTTCAGGCACATGCTCCTGCTTGGACGGTTTTCTGTAAGTTTTTTCCCATGTTCATGTGAAAATGGGTCTAAAATATTCATGCAATCAAGTCTCCGACCGGAAGACGAAGCCGCGGCTGGAATGTATCGGCGACAACACGCTCATCATTCACCACGCGGCTGTTTATACGTTTGGCGATCGCTACACCACGCCTAGACACGATATACGGCACTTCGAAATCCATTTCGTGCGCGGCCGTGGTAAGTTTGAACAGCAAAACGCTCCTCATTTGTCCGTCTTTAGTGCTGACAAGGACGAAAGATAATCACAACTTGAAATATCTGCTTGATGAGTCTTTTGAAGCGATGCGAAGGAATTCCAGAAGGCGGTGATCGTGAAGATCTACATAAGTAGAATACGCACACGGAAGGCGTCTGAAAATTCACTGACAGTTTTTCTTTGGAGGGGGGAACGTACAAAAAAGTTGAGTAAGTTTGGATACATCTTTTTTCTTTTGGAAAGCGGAGGCAGCCGGTTTTTATGAATAGCTATACCCCGGATCATCATCTCAGCGCATCTTTTCTCTCCATTCTATATACAAGATACTTACGAATTTGACGACTTACGACTTGCAAGAATGATTGGCTCTGTAAGCGTTTCTCAGTATTAATAAGTGCAAAGCAGATACAGAGTGAGGTACTCTGTACCAACGACGGAAACGTAGCATCTTGCACACAATAATCATTTTTTAATCGTGGCTAAAAGTAAATTTTGCTCATAAACACATGTCTCCATCATATAGGACCCTGGTCCTCGTGACAGAAAACCCTTCTCCTCTTGGCACGTACTTTTAAGTGCGTACGTCAGGCTGGTCGCGGCCGACGTGCTCCTTGAACTTGAGCAGCTCGGTGGCAAACTGCACCTCAGACTTGAGGAAGTCCTGGGCGTCCAAGTCGTACGTGGCGGGGTCGCTGCTGTGCTGCTCGAGGTAGAGGCGGATGGTGGCGCCGGAGGAGCCGGTGCCCGAGAGGCGAACGACGATGCGGCTGCCGGAGGAGAAGCTGGCGTAGAGGCCCTGGTTGGACGAGACGGAGCCGTCGAGGTCAGTGTAGGAGAAGTTGCCAGCCGCGGTCACGGTCCGGTCTTTTTACAGTTAGCATATTTGTGTTTTTCAAAATGGGTAAGTAGTACTGAGACGTACCACCAATCTTGCTACCGACAATGTCGGGCTTCGCCACGAGAGCCTTGAGCTCGCCAACAACCTTGTTGGCGCCGTCAGAGTCGACATTCTCGTAGTCGTAGCGCGTGAAGAAGGTGCGGCCATATTGCCCCCAAAAGTCCTTCTGAATCTGCTTGATGGACGGAGTGGACCCGGGGTTCTGGACGCCGAGGGCGGCGATGATGTTGAGCCAGGCGACGACGGCCCAGAGGCCGTCCTTTTCGCGAATGTGGTCGCTACCAGTACCGAAGCTCTCCTCGCCGCAAATGGACAACTTCTTGGCATCGAAGAGGGCACAGAAAAACTTCCAGCCAGTGGGGACCTCGTAGCAGTCAAGCCCCTGCGCCTTGGCGACGAGGTCGACGGCGCCCGAGGTAGGCATGGAGCGGGCGAGGCCGTTGACGCCGTTGCGCTGGAAGTAGGGGATGAGTTTGGCGTGGTGGGCGATGATGGCGAGAGAGTCGCCGGGCGAGACGAAGGCGTTGGCGCCGTAGATCATGTTACGGTCGCCGTCGCCGTCGGAGGCGGCGCCAAAGGGAATGTTGTGCTTGTCGACAACTTCGACGAGGGAGTGGGCGTAGACCAGATTGGGGTCGGGGTGGCCGCCGTTGAAGTCGGGGCTGGGGACGCAGTTCTGGGTGGCGCCGGTGAGACTGAGCTCCTTTTCGAAGATGGCGGCTCCGTAGGGACCGGTGACGCCGTGGAGGCCGTCAAAGAGAACCTTAAAGTCTGGGTGAGAGGCAAAGAACTTCTTGATGGTATCAAAGTCGAAGATTTCCTTGAGCATGGCGACGTAGTCAGCGGTGCTGTCAATGATCTCCACCTCGAGGGAGCCGTATGTCTTGGTGCCAACGGTGGTAATGTCAACGTCGGGGATCGAGGCGAGCTTGTACGAGGTCAAAGACTTGGAGGTCTCGAAGATTTTGTTCGTCACGGACTCGGGGGCGGGGCCACCGTTGGCCAGGTTGTACTTGATACCAAAGTCCTCCTTGGGACCTGTGCGGCGCCAATTGGTTAGCAAATGTATGAAAGAGCGATTTCGAAGCTTGTACTTACCACCAGGGTTGTGACTGGCAGTCAGAAGAATACCGCCGGTAGCCTTGCGAAGGCGGATGACATGGCTAGCAGCCGGGGTAGATAGAATACCATTCTGGCCGATGAGGAGCTTCTTGACACCGTAGGCGGCACCAATCTTGGCAATCAGCTGAATCACCTCGGGGTTCCAGTAGCGACCATCACCGCCGATGACGAGGAAAGACCCTGAGAGGGGACGCCAAGTTAGCTCCGGTCAAGTATTGGCAGATTTCTGGTAACTCTTACCCTCAACACCTTCGGGTATGGAGAGAAGGATGCTGGTGACGAAGGACTCGCTGTAGTGAACCTGCTGGAAGGTGGTGACTTTTTTGCGAAGACCAGAGCTGTGGAAGGGTTAGAGCAGCGGGAAAACGGCCGTTGAGTGCCCAAAAGCTTGGTTGCAAGCCACTTACGTGCCGGCCTTCTGGTCCTGGAACGGCGTAAACTCAACAGTCTTGACGTCCATGACGAGATCGCAGAGTTGAGCAGCTAAGCAGAGCAAAATTGGTAAACAAGTGAGCAGAGGGAATCTGCATTGAGGGACTACACTCACGGGAGGAAACAATAGGAGAGGAGCTTTGGAGGTTGATTGAGAGAAAAAGCGATGAGGAGGAGAAGGAAGGGAAGCTATCATTAGCTTGTTCGTCAATCGTCCCATCCATGGTGGGGTTGCATTTGGTGGGATGCATGAGGGGAGGGGCAATGAGCCAGGAGTGCCGTGCGGTGAAGCCCAACATCCGCACTGTACAGCTGCTGGGATTCGTGGTACACCGCCACAGTGCACGTGGTGACGGTTACTGGCAGTGCAGAGCCGCAGGAATGCAGTTGCAAGGTACGAACCAAAAGGGTTATTTATCACTGCAGTCAATTGTTGGGGATGTCAAGCTGCACATGTCGAAGGATTCGCTATATAAAAGACTGCGTGATATTCTGCATGTCGCTGAAAACGTGGCGCAACACCAAGAGGTTCGTCCTGCTCTACTCCCTCCCAATCGGGCCGGTGTGAAAGAGGCGGGGTATATCTATATCCAAACGATTTTCCATGCCTGTACTTGTATCCAATGCTATAGTATACCAAGAACTTCATTTACTCCTGCGGCCTGAAAATCACATCGCGATAGTACTTAGCCTCATCGATGCTCTCCAGAATGTCGTCTCTCGCCTTGTGCTTGGCCTTTTTCACAGGTACGTGGGCGAGAATGTCTTCTGTGCACCATCGCCTGGCAGCCTCTTTGATGGCGCTGACGTCGAGAATGCGATGGTGCAAATGCTTCATGACCTTTGTGTAGGGCTCCTTGCGCAGGAACCCGCGATCTGCGTATACGCTATTTCCGGCCAGCAGCGCCTTTTTGCGCTCGGGAATGAACTTGGTAATGTAGTCGTACAGGCCGTCCGCGGCAGCCTCTGGGGTGACCTTGGATGCAAGCACGGCGGCGGTCAGTCCCGTGCCGGCGTGTGTTTTTGTGCACCACTCGTCCATCTGGTTCATGCGTGACTCTGGCCAGTGGATGACGGCGTGGTAGCCCTCTTCATCGATGAGCTCCATGTTGCCCGTCGTCAATATGCAGTAGATTTCAATGATTTCTTCCGTGTCCGGATTAAGGCCTGTCATCTACCAAAGTACTATGTTGGTTACTGATCTTGGCAAAGGGTCTGGGCAGTTAGACATACCTCACAGTCAATCCAAACCAAGGGATCATCAGTGACACCACCGCGCGGGTTGCCCTTAGATGGGCCCGATTTAGGAGGCATCGCGTATGAGTCTGCCTGTCCTGAATGATATCGAAAGCTGTTGGGATGGGTTTGTGTTTGCTTGCTGCTATTATTGTACGGTTGACAGTCTGTCGTTGGACGATGATGCTCGGGACTCGGGTACTGAGACCGAGCCAATAAGAGGATGAGGTACAGGGGTTGTAATTTCCGATTTAGTAAGATGGAAGCCTCGTGGTGTGTGCGTGATGATGTATCCGCCTCGCGCTACTTGGTGTTATTGCAACCGGAAAACAGACTTGGGTTGAACAATGCAGGTTCTGCGGCGACGGGGCGATTGCCGGGCAGGCGGGGGGGGGGGGGGGGCATTCAGTGGGCAGGAGGCTGCTTGTAGTGGACATTCAGCCTGAAAGCTACTAGTAAAAGAATCCAGGTCCCTTGAACCCCCACTCACTTGTGGGCGAGGCAACGTTGCCAATTCCCAATAGCCCTCTCCTTATTGGCCATGTCCACTGGAAGCTTCACCACTTCTGGCAGCCGTCCGCCAAATTCCCCAGCTTCATTGCGGGGGGGGATTGTCGCGAGCCCGTTCATGCTTGACCATCTTCGTCCAGAGTAAGCTCCCAAGCTACGTAGTGGCTGGGCCTTCTGCAAACTATTACCTACAAAGTACAGGGCCAGACAGCTGTCATGCCGGTCTCGGGTACACTGCACGCCGCGGGACATGGAGATGCTATTCCAGGCGGCATCTGCATATCCCATGTTCCTTATATATGCCCCCCGCTTCCCCTCCTCTCCGCATGTAGGGTGATCAAGACAGACCCGGTCTCATGCACTAATCACCATGGCTATCAAAGATACGCTCGCCAAACTCACCAAGAGGGGATCCATGATCAAGAGCCCCCCATCGCTTGCTACCCCCACCACTGATGGGAACACGGACGACACCAATAGAACCAATGGCACTGCCGCAAATGGTACGAGGTTAAGAAAAGACGACGAGCCCATCAACAACGAAAAGTCCGGCAGCTCACCTCGCTTCGTCATCATTGGAGCTGGTGCTCGTGGCTACGCTTATGCCAGCACCATCCACAAACTCACCAATGGTGTCGTCGTTGCTGTTGCCGAGCCTCTCAAGTTTAGCCGCGAAAACCTGGGCAGCAAGTTCATTTGGCAGGGCGAGGAGCCCAAAGAAGGCCAGTCATTCCCTGGCTGGCGCGAGTACTTGGACTACGAAATTGCCCGCCGCAAGCGTGTTGCCAATGGCGAAGAGAATGTCCCTCCGGGTGCTGATGGCGCGTTTGTCTGCGTCCAAGATGCAATGCACGAGGCCGTCATTGTCGGATTGGCTCCTCTGAATCTACATATCATGTGCGAGAAGCCGCTCTCAACCACGCTTCAGTCCTGTCTCAAGATGTACCAGGCCCTCAAACCCACCATGGCCACCAATGTCTTTTCCATCGGGCATGTTCTCCGCTACACTCAGCATAACATGCTTTTGAGGAAGCTGATCGTCGAGGACAAGGTTATTGGCGACATTAGCAGTGTTGTACACACCGAACCGGTTGGATGGTGGCACTTTACTCACTCCTTTGTTCGTGGCAATTGGAGAAACGATCAAACTTCCGGACCATCCCTTTTGACAAAGAGCTGCCATGATATCGACTTCCTTCTTTGGATGCTTTGCTCTCCCGAGAAAGCTGGCCAGGGAGAGCCTCATCTTCCCTCGATGGTTTCTTCCCAGGGTGGTCTCAACTTCTTCAAAAAGACTCGCAAGCCTTCCGCTGCAGGGGATGCGACCAACTGTATGAAGTGCCCTCTGGGAGACTCAGGTTGCAAATACTCGGCCAAGAACCTCTACATCGGCCCTCATCGGTATAGCTTGGAGGGCGGCAACTTGAGCATGCCCGTCAACATTGTCGTCCATGATATCGAGGACTACAAGACCATGGATGAGAAGAAAGCTGCCATGACTAAAGCACTCGAGGCGGATTGGGATGAGTCCACTCCCAAAGCAGAGGTCGCCGCACGCCAGTGGTATGGCCGCTGCGTCTTCGAAGCCGACAACAACGTCAACGACGAGCAGTTTGTCACTATCTCCTTCCCCGAGACCAACAGGCCCGCCAAGCAGGTCACATTCCACATGGTCGCGCAGACCAAGAAGATTTGCGAGCGCTTCACGCACTACTACGGTGACCAAGGCGAGATTTACGCCGACGGCCACAAGATCACGGTCGAGAACTTCGCCACCGGCGAGAAGACGGATCACGACCCCAAGTACGTCGCCGGTGGGCACGGCGGTGGTGATCAGGGCCTCACGGGCCAGTTTGTCGCCGCCTGCGATGCCGTGAAGAACAAGGGATGGGCTGCGGAGAAGGCGCAGAACGAGTTCATTGGCTGTACGCTTGACGAGGCCCTCCGCAGCCACGCAATGGTGTTTGCCGCCGAGGAGGCTCGCAAGGAGCAAAAGATTCTGAACTGGCCGAAATGGTGGAGTGAGAACGTCGGAGAGGGCTCTAAATAAAGAGGATGGCCTTTCTTTTTGTAATCCTTTCGTGAACACAAAACTCCGTGGGCGAGGCAAAGCCAGCTACGAGATACCATCGCGTCGGACATGGCAGCAGCCATTATCATTCCGAGTCTAGCTGAATCTAACTAATCCAACCAATCTCCTAATCCAACCCATCTTCCTAATTTATAATGCCATCCAGGAAAAGATTCCATAGAAAGTATTATCGTGTGTGTCTGCCTTTGCTCACTCAGTTGCCATTGGGAGAGCAGTCTTGAGTCGGGCACGAAGATCGCCGGCATCATCCTCAACGTAGCCCTTGCGCACGAGGGAATCTAGCGTGGTGAGGCCCGAGTTGGGCTTCCACTTGCGGGCCAAGAGGTCCTCCTTGACCTCGTCGACGGACTTGAGGTCGAAGTCGCCGACGGCTTTGTCCTTGCCGCGCTTGGGTCTAAATTCCGGCGCCACATCCAAGTCGAAGACGAAGCGCACGCCGGGCTCGACGTGGCCGACCTCCAGGCCGACATGTTCGTCCTTCTTGTCGTAAAGGGTGATGCGAGACGGGCCCTGGACGGTGCCCACCTCGACGCCGGCCGCGGTAGTCACCTTGCGAGACTTTATGTCGAGGATGAGACTGGCCTCCTCTTTGGCCTCGCGCTGCAGGGTCTTCCACTCGTCGTAGCCGTCGGCCGGGTCCATGCCGCCGGCGACGATCTGGTCCATCATACAGGGGTACGTGGCCGACTCGGAGCGGACGGCCACCCACATAGAGGGCCGGCCGTCGACGACGGTGAAGACGTTGAGGTGCACGCCGGCGGTGGCGACCCCCAGGATGCCGCGTAGCGGCGAGGGAATCGCGAACAGCTCGCCCGGCGTGTCGAGCCAGCGGATGCCCGAGAAGCAGATAGGGTTGGCCAGCCAGTCTTTGAGGATGCCGTTGAACGCGGACTGGTTGTTCTCGCAAAGCTTCACGAACTGCTGCTTGCAGACCTCGACCTTGTCCTCGCCAGGGGAGAGTGGCGGGTTCAGGTGGACCTTCTTCGTGTCCTTGTGTATGATGAAGGAGGTGCCTTCCCAGTTCATATCGTTGAAGAAACCATGGGGAATATAGCCGACCGGGCGAGAGTTGTCAAGGATGCAGAACTCCCACATTTCGTCCGGGCTGTAGTCAAACTTGTTGCAGGCGTCGATGACCTGGTGGAAATCGTTGGAAGGCATCGTGTATGAGCAGTGCAGAATCGAAGAAGAAGAGAGTGTTCAAGGTATAGATAATTGCGTTTGCTCAGTGTGTTGAGATGTGTCGATGTCTTCGATAACGAATTCCGGGAGAGAGACCAGAGAGATGGGGGCCTTATATACCCACTAAAACCGCATTCTCGGTGATTCAGTCTCTTTGAGAGCTTTGTGAAGCCTGAAGCCCTTCGATTCTGCCATTCAGTTGCTTGTTGCGGAGGCTCGCGCAACACAGCAGTGCTGTCTCTTCCTCGCCTTGTTATGACGGCCTCTCCGGCTCTACAGGTGACTTGCGTGGCCGTTTCTGATTCATACTCACTTGCTCTGAAGCCGTTACACATAGCCATGAATGCCATTGTAACCGAAAGAATCTGCATACAGGTGGTGTGGCTCACAACGGGCTCCGACGGGAGCGGTACTTCTTCTCCCCAGCGAAGTTCTTTGTGGGGGGAAGTGTCAGCAGATGTGCTGGAGACAAAGCCATTCACCAGCTCAACTGTGGTACCGTTACAAGTATATGAACTGACCTTGTGTCTACCTTGGAGTGATTCAATTGAACCAAGGAAGCCTTAGCGCACGCCCATGGCTGCTTCTTATCGTCCGGCTCGCAAGGCTATCCACTGTTGCAGATCCCGCGATTCAAGCAATCATTGATTGGGATGGCGACTTGTACCTTGAAGTTTAACGCCATGTATACGACTCGGTCAGTTGGTGGGATGACGTGTCACAGGCACAGGAATAGAAAGACGGGCCTGCGGACCAGCAAAGCGCGCGAGTATGGTTCAACGCAGACATTCGATGCGCCATGGAAGCAGACTGCCCTACTTTAAGTGACAGCTTCTCAGTTGGAAAAACCAACCAGGCTACCGAATACCAGGGGTTGTCGCAATATCGTGCAGCTGGATGCGGCGCTCTCCGACCTGTGTTGGTGGCTCAGTGGGCTCAGTACTCTGGGGTCCATCCTGTGCAGTGGTTACACCGACGTAGAAAATTTGGCAATATGAGTGCACAGATGCTAGAATAGATAGACATGAGACGGTGCATTTCAACCTGCGACGCAGCGCTGAGCCCACACAGAAGAGCACACCCCCTCCTTTCCAAATTTCTGATCTTCAGTATTGAGGGGGGGGGGAGGTTGTGGCCATCACAGTGGGGATGGAGTTCGGTGAGCGTACAGACATCTGATCTTTGACTGATTCAGATACGATGGAAAGAAGGTGGAGGAAATAAGGCGTTTCGCAGCGGGCGGTCGTGATGGAGGTGAAGGTGACTGCCTGCCGTCGTGTTACCCGCGACAGATATCAGGAGCCACCACTAGGATAGACCCAAGCGCATAAGCTGAAGCTGATTATTTGACGTATCAATCGGAGTAAACGTTATATAGAAGTTTCATTCAAGCCACTTCGCTGTCGAGCCAGGTCGCACTGAGTCTCTGACAGGTGCTTGGTCCGTTGGCGCGGAATTGCGAAGCGCATGATTGGCCAGATGAGCATTAGGTAAGCACAGCCAAATCCAGAGCAACCCATCCAACTATCTAGAAACCAGTGAGCGTCCTTTGGTTTCCTGACGGATTGGCCGACCAAATCATCCTCTGCCATCGTCAATTGAATTTTCCCGACCCAATGTACGCCGCACGACAAAGGGCGTGCCACGCTGCCCGCCAGCTGCCGCGCACGGCACGCACATATGCCTCGGAGGCTCACCACACGCCCGCCGCGCCCGCCAACGAGTCCTTTGGGGTACGAGAAAGAGAACCCGATTTCCCCCATCTTCGAGCTCGAAAGCCGCCGTTCTACGCCGGACGCCATACGATAGCTCTCTCTTTGCCCTCTGAAGTAATTTTTTGCTGACGCAAAGCTTTTGCTTGCTGTAGAAAGGATCCATTGCTGCCGTCGGCGGCTTCTTCGCCGCCGTCGCCGTATTCTCGCTCAAGCCCGCCGAGGGCGAGGAGTCGTTCGTCAGCGGCATCATCAACAAGTACCGCTCGCGCGCCGAGGACTGGGCCGAAATCAGCGCGCTCCACACAAAGGCTGCCGAGCAGGCCGGCTACGACCGCAATTTGTTCGAGAACGCCTCCAACAAGCACAGATACGTCAACGTTTCGTATCCCGAGTACGGCAACCCCCCCCCGGCCGGGCGGTGAAATGAGTGACCTGCATTTGCTAACCTGCTCGCAACCCAGAGCCTTCCAATCACACGCACCCCGAAACATTCAAGCCGGACAGCTCGTCAACCTGGACCATGTTGTGGAGCACTACAAGAAGGAGCACCTGAAGGACGAGGAGCGCAAAGCGAAGAACCTGGCCCAGCAAAACTAAAGTTGCGATGCGGGCGGAAGGAGGAGAGAGGGGATATGTACAAAAACTCATGGCAAGATGCATCATCAATTTCGCGGCTAGGCCCAGTCAATAAAGATGGTATTCCTTTTGTGCATTGTCCGATTCGGCCCCCCCAATCCGTCTCCCACTCCCTACACGACGACAATCTAAAGTCATTTACAGGGCCAATTAATGCTCAACAGTGTGCGCAACCAGGATGCTTTGCTATTTGGCAAAGGACCCTTTTACCAGAAGAGTCAATTGCAGACGAAGGAGGCACCGTGTTGCAGCCAAGCCGCAACTGCGCTCTGTGTAATGCAAGGGAAGCAGCAGCACCTGCTAAGTATGCTTGGCGTTGCTACACTTCCCCTGGGTTCGCCGTGCCGTCTTTGCAACGTCTGGTTTTACTACCCCAAACATCCCTTGGAATTATCATATTCCTCTATTATATTAAATTCCTTATTTTACCTCTGCTTGTCCCCCCCCCGCCCTACAGCGGAAGTACACTGCCCAGAGTCGCCATATCCCTACCTACCCTTGTCTTTCAACAAGCTTGCCCGATTGCACGAGGAAGGCGTGTGTGTTTCAAGATGGGCTGCGCGCATCGATGCGCACATAAATGCGACGATTCCTGCGGGGCCGGCTCGACTACGGAATCTGCCAGAGAGATTTCGCAGCGCCAGCGGCTTGAGCTCAAGCTCCGAACGACCGCGCCCTGGCGGCGGCAGAATGGATGTACGCAAAGCTGTGAGCGGGATCCATCTTGTTTCGTTCTCAAGCTGACCTGCACGACGCATGCACAGCTCCTCGGAGCGCTGGTAAAAGAGCATTTGTCAATTCTACAACACAGATGGATCGGCCATTCAATTCCAAGACGCAAATGAGTCCAACGGCAGAGAATGTCCCCTTGGAGGAGAAGAATCACCAGCCAGTGAATGGCCGCCCGATAGAGAATAGCTGCCAGGCAGAGAGTAGCCGTCAGGCAGAAAATCGTCGACCGGGCGAGAATCGTCGACCGGCTGACAATAGTACGTTTTGGCAACGCTCCCCATTCGTGTACGTTCACGAGACAGGAACGAACAGAGAATTGGGCATCTTTGCCTTACAGGACCTGCGCAGAGGCCAGTGCATTATCAGAGAGTCTCCGGCGTTTTCCTGCGTTCACTGGAACAAAGGAAGGCGGACAGCAGCCGAGGAATGGCTGAAGCTGACACATATTCAGAGAGACAACTTGCGTCAGTGGTTTCGCAAGGTACGCGACGTAGCCCACGGCGGCAACGACACTTTTAAGACGAGAGATCGGAAGAGGCTGGAGGAATTCATCTCCAACTACGCCTTTGCGGATCCTCGGGGGGAAAAGGCACTCATCTACAAGTGGGCATCGACCATCAACCACGCTTGCCAGTCGTGTGCCAACGCTCAATTTTGGGTAGACAGCCAACACCCCAACGACATCGACGTCCGGCTCGTCCGAGGCGTCAAAGTTGGCGAGGAGATATTCATCTGCTACAACAGGCCGAACCTCAAATTTGGCTGTGCAGTTTGCGGAGATCGGCCGTCTCTGAAACGTGGCAAGATATGGGCTTTCATCGCCAAGCTCTGGGAAGGCAGGCAAAGAATAATCCCGAGCGGAATAAAATGGGCGACAAGCCGATGCAATCTCAAGGGCAAGGGCAGGGCCAAGACAGTTCGAGGCGCGAAGCCTGCTGAAGATGCCATGTCGACCATCACTGAGGAATCAACTCCCATGGGCATTGAATCTACCGAAGTCGCTGTAAGTTGAACCCTGGCTTCACAAGCTGAGCAGATCCTGTACAACGTTTGGGGCACATGGACCTGGGCGCAGCTGTAAATATAGTCTTCTTCTTTGTTTGATTGGTTTTGCGGTCATTAGCATGGCCTGCTTAGCGATATTGATATAGCGGCTGGATGCATAAATGTGCATATCACGCAAAGCTTGTAAGCAAGAAGACGTGAACAGCGAACAATGCTAGTTTCTATTTCACTATCATGAACGCCAATGTCATCAGCGACTTCAATGGAGATATAATCTTTTTCCATCCTATCGAAATCAATTCCGTTTTTCGCCCATAACTGTCCGTGAATGCAGAAACCACCCCCCCCAACTAGGCCCACACGCCAACAAGGCTCCCATTTGTTTTGTTTACTTGAGGGGAATGAAACGAGAAGAGTTGGTGGCACCGATACCGGGTCTGCCGTGCTTGACGGGCTTGTATGAGATGGAGAACTCGGCGAGGTAGTGGCCGACCATCTCGGGCTTGATCTCGACCTGGTTGAACTCCTTGCCCGAGTAGATGCCGACGACGGAGCCGATCATCTCGGGGACGACAATCATGTTGCGGAGGTGGGTCTTGACGGTGTCGGGCTTCTCATTGGGCTTGGCGCTCTGCTTGGCCTTGCGCAGCTTCTTGATGAGGCCCATGGGGCGGCGGTTCAGGCCGCGGTTGATCCTGCGGCGGGCACGGGCGTGGACGACATCGCGGAGCTGGTCGGAGCTGAGGTCCAGGAGGCTGGTTTGGGGGGTTAGCGTTTTGCGGTCCTGACGGCGGTGACGGAGCTCTATGTCTGTGAAAAGTTCCCGCTTTCCCGCATCAAGATGCTCGATCCGCAGCAGCTCCTGAATCCGTGGCACTTGCAACGTAGGGAACCGTGGCAAAGAGGCTTCGCGGGCGCTAGGAAGGTGGATGTCTTTGGGCCAATGTCGAGATTTTTGGGACAATGTCAACGTACTTATCAAGCTCAATTCCACGGTAGGAGAACTTGCGGAAAGTGCGGCGCTTCTTGATCTCGGCGGCCTCAACGGCGTTCTATCCAAGTGGAAAATGTCAGCGCTTCGTCCTGTGATATATAGTCGCACATCTCGTCTCGTCGTCGTCGCTGGTGTGGTTCGGGCACGGTCAATTCTCCCCGCCTGGGCCTCTCCGTATATGGGTAATTCGTGTGAACAATGCATCGCCGGTCGAATATCTGGCGTTCTACAGCGTGCGGGAATATCGACGAAAGTTGTTGGTGCAGGCGGAAGGGCGGCGGCAAGGCGAGCGTTGGCGGCAAGGCGGGCGAGACAGAGACGGTAATGTTCAACACCAGGGACGACGAAAACAGCGAGAGCGAGATATATGCGAAAGAGGGAGGTTCATGTTGATAGACGTACGTATTCCTCGTCAGCCATGGTTGCGGTTGGATGTGTATTGAATTCGCAGTACGTATCGACGAGCAAATGGGAATGACCGTGATACGCTGGGGTTGTTAGCGACTCTCTAATTTTCGCCAGTAGGGTTTTCGTGCCCTTCACCCCTCGTATCAGGTGACTTGTGCGTTGGCTTGACTGGCCCCAAAAAGAAGCGAGGAGACCGGGTACCCACTTGCGCTGATGGAACACGGAGCGGCAAAATATTAGACCGCAATATCCAGCTGGCACAGTGGAGCCTGACCAATTAACGTTCAATCGTCGATTCTTGCCGCTTCGTAGACCAGACCAGATAGTTTTGGGCAGTGATTGGCGCGTCGTCTTCCACCTTGCTGGTCCGATATCCGAGCCAGCTTCAGAGATGCAACCCATAATGGTTGGTGATACAGCATGGGCGGCGCGTCGCCATACGAAACTGTGACGCGTCCATTGACCACAGTGAGGATGCACCCTGTTCTGCCCTCGTATTTGATCGTCGCATCGTGCGGTCGTATGCCGCAACCTCCGCTCAAAGGGGGGTGCCGAAAACACCTTGAACAATGGCTCACTCACTAACTATCTGGTGTTCACTCTCCGGCTCAGGGCCTTTGCAGTAGATCTCTGGCGGCAGGTAGCGTTGAATTTTGTTAACCAACATATACCTCAAGTGCATTAATATCAGCTCCCTGATATAGCTTTACTTGCGAGAACTGGCCCGAGGATTTTTCGCCTGAGGAACGCTGCCATGCCAGAGGAAGGGATCGCCGACCGTACCACACAACTGAGCTGGCTTTTTGCTTTTTACAAGTCACTCTCCGCGCAGATGTTTGCATTGTTCAATGCAAATAAACTCTCAATGTCACAAACATTGTGATGATGGTTCGCTGTATGACTGCCAAGCCCTGGGCCAAGACTCTCGCATTACAAACGGCCTTGGCAGTGTCTCTCACCCCGAGGCCAGAGCCCCCCCATGCTTGCGTAGGCAGGATCTTTTCTCCTCTCACCTAATCTATCCTTCATCTCTACTTCTTCCCTACCCAACAACAGGATCCAACTATTTAATCAGCATCACCCTAGTTGAGCTTTGACGCTTAGCCCGAGCAGAATTATTCCTTCACAACTTCCGCTGGCGTGGCGCTAACAGCAGTCTCGCGGCAATCAGAAGGCTCTCTACCAAGTCCGATACTACCTCAGTAGACATCAACGGTGCCCCATCCGCACTCAAACTCTCGAATGATCGACGGCCCTGCCGATCGCACGCATCCCCCATTTTGGTTGACATGAACTGCTTATAGCAGTTTGGGCAGTGCAGACGCTGCGAGTCCTCGGCTGCAACATTTCTTTAGCGGAGGCTTGGTATGATGTCAGACGTGCTGGTTGAGTCAGCCCTATCAGCAGCTCCTTCTCCTCCTCACTCCATGGCGAATGCTGCATTTCGGACATCATGGCCAACTACTTTAACAACAACTACTCTGGGATCAACATCGACTAGCCCGCACCACGCAGCCATCACCAACACCTTACGGGAGCTTGTGCGCGATGTGGATGAAAGCTGGCGAAGCGGACAGTCTCCCAATACCGTGAGAGAGATTGCCAGGCGGAACGAGAAACTTTTGCGAAGCATACGATACGGGATCGGGTTCGGCGCGGCGGCCTTTGCTATCCTCCTGATCGGCGCCGTCTACGTGGGCATAAGGTGCTGTCGGAAGAAGCCATCGGACGAGGAGGACAGCTCCTCGATGGAGATCTCAGGCGTGCAATACCAGATGCGCGAAGAATACGGACCAAAGCCGACTTCACGATGCAGCACCTGCGATAGCGACGCGGTGCGAGCCGAGAACAGTCTGCGGTTGGATTTGGGGCCGGTTCGGAGCGATGGGTCGCGGCCACTGGATATCATCGAGAGAGATGGGCAAAGGAAAGCTGCAGAAGCAAACAAGGACGCAACAAGTGTGGTTAATACTGTATAATTAGGAGAGCAGGTTTACGGTTGCTCGATACGTAGTAATGATAATTTGCCCTTCCGCTTTCGGACTCAACACAGCAATAACTAACTATTCTGGCTTCTTTTCACTCCATGTATTCTGCCTGCCCCCACCACACTTTACCTGCCCAACAGCCTTTGTGAGCCACTTCACTTTCTCGCCTCCTCATGCACAGCAAAGATGACAAAGATGGTTTCAGGCGCGAGACGCCATGTTTAAATCCGCAAGAAATCCTTGCTGCTGTCTCTGAGCTGGGAATCGGCGGGACAGCACCTTCTCTCGAGGCACGATTCGACGGTGGCCAATGTCGTGTCTACAAGGTGAGCTTCCAGAGCCAGGAAAGCGTAGCCTTTCGAGTACCCCTTCATATGAGGGCCAACAACACACCAGACGATATAATCTGCGTGCTCAGGATGGAGCTACAAACATTCCAGATCCTCCAGACTAGTGGCTTCCCCTGGGCGCCCAAATGCGTGGACGCAGCCTGAGCTTCGACAACCCGGTCAAGTTCCCTTTCCTGGTGCTAATTTGGGCCGAAGGCTCGAAACCGCGTTGGGACGATGACTCTCCACCGCGGCCTCTGCGGGACAAGTTGCTGGGGCAAATGGCTGCGATCCAAGTCTCCCCCTCGTCGGCAGCCCAAGAGGACATGCGATCGTACGTGGCGTCCTTTGAATCCATGGGTTCGCCGGAGGCGACGTACATGCGACGCGTTCAGACCGCCCCAGACGTGCACTTTCGCACCATGTACGTCGAGTCGCTCTTTAGTATGGGTGCACATGCTGCGCTTGCGGCGGAGGGATGGAAGCTTCCTGGCTGTGAGCTTCTCGAAGAGGAGAAGGAGGATGGCGTGTATGCTGCGCTACAGTCTGAGATCACGGGCTAGTCCAATCCACACTAAACCGGGGGGGGGGCAGCGAAGAATACGAAGTGATGATACTTTGCGCTTTCGCTTCCGGACTCAACACGGCAATAACTATGAGTAAAGGCGTAGTTGGCTGTCAAGGTGCGCCAGAATAAGCTGTTGCCTAGGTGGTACTGGTAGATACCTAGGCAAAAGTTTGGCTCTTATCGGGAGCTGTGAGGTCGGGCACCCTCATCCGATGTATTGCACCATTTACAGCTGGATCGGATAGTTACCTACCTCCTCGTCTGCACCAAAGCCATTGTCAACCTCGGCAGCGCTAAGTTAGCGGTCGATGACAATCGGCTGGCCGAAAGCCTGGTAAAACGGCTGCGGCACTCCACCATATAATGTACCTTTGAACCAGAGACGCCGACAGCAAATGGGTGTAACGAGGGAGCAGATGGATGGGCATCTGTCGCTGGTCACAGAGACAGGCAGCAAAGCTTGATGGCGGCCAAGGATGATCCGTCGGTGTACAGGATTGCATCGACGCACTGATGGGCCTGCATGAGATTTCGGGGACTTGTCTTGGGGTCTTTTTAGCAGATGGGCAAGTTGAGGTAGCGCGTGGTGGATTGTGGGGTCTTGAGAGTGGCTCAAACGACGATGCGTTTGCTGGTAAAATGAACCAAATCAATCAATAGAAGCAAACGAATGCAGAAGGGCGAAATAACTCTGCTAGGTATAACCGGATGCTTGTAAGAGTACTGCAACTTCTTGACGTAGCCAGCACGCTGCATTTGGCTTTGATAAGAGTTGATAATCCGCCGCCTCCCCCGCGGCCGTCTCGCGGAGAACACCGCGATGAGCTTCATTTAGCGGTGAGAGGTAGAAAGCACCTCTGTGCAGACCTGCCACACCGCACGTGGGCATGTATCAGCAACCTGGCATGTTCGACCTTGCAACCCCTGCAACCCCTGTTCAACACCCCAAAGCTCAATGGCTGATTGAACCCCGCCAAAAAAATAGTCCAACAGGCAGCGGCATTCAATTACACCACCAAGGCAGGCAGCTGTTTCCTTCCCCTCAGCCGCTGGTTCGACTGACACCTCCGACACTCAACATCGCTAGTCCACCAAGTATTTGCTCTTCTTGCTTCACGCCGCCGCCAAAATGACCAAGGGAGAGGTAGGAATCCTTCATACTCGCGAATCCTCATATGCGCTTCTCGCGCTGTTTCGTCTCGTCCCCCGCCTCGTTCAGCCCTACCGCCCCTGAAGCCATACTCAACTTCAGACACCGCCCCTGGAAAGATTGACGTTCTAATTGACGTTGTACTCGCAGATCCTTCACGTTCACATGGGCCAAGCTGGTGTCCAGCTTGGTCAATCTGCCTGGGAATTGTACGTGCCACCTCTCACAACCTGGAGTACCACCACCGCACCCAAATTTGGAGCTCTCCACTGACAGCTTTGCTCCAGGTATCTTCTTGAGCATGGTCTCGGCCCCGATGGCCGTCCCGACCCCAATGCGAAGGATATTGGCGACCCAGGCTCGTTCGAGACGTTCTTCACCGAGACGAGTAGCGGAAAGCATGTCCCCCGTGCCCTCTTCGTCGACCTTGACCCGTCTCCGATTGACGAGCTCCGTACCGGTGCCTACCGCCAACTTTTCCACCCCGAGCTGCTCATAAACGGCAACGAAGATGCCGCCAATAACTACGCTCGCGGCCACTACACCATTGGAAAGGAGAAGATTGACGCCGTCATGGACCGTGTCCGCCGCATCGCTGGTGAGCTGCACCCCACAGGTCGCCATCTAAGAAGCTGCTAACATGGTTGTCTGTGCTAGACAACTGCACCTGCATCCAGGGCTTCCTCGTATTCCACTCGTTCGGTGGTGGTACCGGCTCCGGCTTTGGCGCTCTTCTCCAGGAGCGTCTTGCTACCGAGTTTGGCAAGAAGGTCAAGCTCGAATTCGCCGTATATCCTGCCCCCAGCATCGCCTCGGCTGTTGTCGAGCCTTACAACGCCGTTCTCTCTACTCACAGCACCATTGAGAACTCAGACTGCACATTCCTGGTCGACAACGAGGCCGTCTACGAGATTTGCCGCCGCAACCTCGGCGTTCCTCGTCCTTCCTACGAGCACCTGAACCGCCTCATCGCCCAGGTCGTCAGCTCCATCACCTCCTCCCTGCGCTTCGACGGCTCCCTCAACGTCGACCTCAACGAGTTCCAGACGAACTTAGTCCCCTATCCCCGCATCCACTACCCTCTCATTAGCTACGCCCCCGTTGTCTCAGCCGCCAAGAGCTCCCACGAGAGTTTCAAGGTCGCTGACCTTACCATGCAGTGTAAGTTGCCGTCTTCTCTTCCGCGCGGTCTCTGAGCACCCACCTTGCTAACCGTCTATTCCGCAGGCTTCGAGCCCAACAACCAGATGGTTGTCTGCGATCCCAGAAACGGAAAGTATATGGCTGTTGCTCTGCTTTATCGTGGAGACGTTGTTCCCCGTGACTGCAACGCTGCTATCGCCGCTGTCAAGGCTAAGTCCTCTTTCAACCTCGTCGAGTGGTGCCCCACCGGCTTTAAGCTCGGCATCAACTACCAGAAGCCCATGGCTGTCCCTGCTGCTGCTGAGGACGGGGGTCTGGCCGAGGTCGAGCGTTCCGTCTCCATGCTCTCCAACACCACTGCCATTGCCGAAGCTTGGTCGCGACTCGACCACAAGTTCGACCTCATGCACAGCAAGCGTGCCTTTGTCCACTGGTACGTTGGTGAGGGTATGGAGGAAGGCGAGTTCACCGAGGCCCGTGAGGATCTTGCTGCGCTAGAGAAAGATTACGAGGAGGTCGCTGCCGATGGTTTCGAGGCCGAGGAGGAGGCTGAATACTAAGCTGCTTGCCGGCGTTTGCCCAAATTCCTTCAATGCCATTCGAATTTTTAGCAAAGCAGGCGCGCTTTAGACTAGTGGTCGTGTGTGGTTGTGAGGCTGTTGAGTGTATTGGTTCGCCAGACTTGATACCAATTGCAAGTGGTGTGGGTGTGTAACGACCGACACGAACACTGGTCTTTTTTTCCATTGTTTTGGGCGTGCACAGGGTCTTATAGATAAAAGGTCCGCGATCGGCCACCCTCTTTCTGTCCCCCCCCCCCCTCTTTGTACTTTGTTTTCTTGGCAAAACGATTTGCCTCTACGAGATGCAGGCAGGGAGACTGAAATTCACGTTGATATCCCTTTTACCAAGCGTGTCACCCCCCACGTTTGTGCGAGTAGACATGTTGCTCCTCTCTGATTATCAAAAGCTTTTACTATCCATGTACAATGATTCTATGCATGCATATTATGTGTAATGAAGAACCTCTTTTCATATGCCGGTGACGCCAAAAATTCCCCAAACAATAAAGACTGAAAACATGCAAGAAACGACAAAGTCCACACCCCTGAGAATATTCCTCGTTGCCCCTCCTCACTTATCAGAACTCTTCTTCTTCCAGTCGGCGCCCCGGCGAGCGCTTCTAGTGGTCGGCCGGGCGCGCTTGCTCTTGACCTTCTTCTTGAGGTCCTTGGGGAGTGCGTCCCGAGACGACGCGCGGCGGCCCTCAAATACAATCTTCTCAGGCGCCTTCACACCGCTAGGCAGGACAGCGCCGCTGCCACCGTTCGCGCGCGCGCGGCCGAACAGCTTCCCGGCGCGGCCGGCGGCGGCCTGCTGGTCCGGCGTCAGCTTGGGAACGTAGGTCGAGGCGCCCTTGCGGGCCACCCCGCCGGCGGCCTTGCCACGGTCGCCGGCTTGCTTCCCGCTGTTGAACTTGGCCTTGGTGCGCTCCATCGCCTGGTTCGTCTTGCGCGGGTCCTTGGCGCGGGTGACGCGCAGCTTGCGCGGCAGCATGGGAGGGAAACTCTTGCCGTCAAGAAGAAGAGCTTCTTCCACGGCATTGGCGTCCTTAACAGAAAGAGTTAATATTGTGGTTACAGTGAGGCGGTATTGGGGACGGGGACGGGACGGGGGTCACGTACGTAGAACTGGACATAGGCAAAGCCTTTGCCTGCGCGAGTCTGGGGGTCGCGCACGACACGGACGTTTTCCACCTTGCCGTGCTTGGAAAATGTGCGCCAGAGACCCTCCTCGACATCAGCAGGCACTTTGTTGCGCTTCTTGGTCTCCTTCTCGCCGTCCTTGTCGGTGTTCTCGTCGTCGAAGTAGCCGAGGTTGCCGACGAAGACGCAGCGGCGATGGTCCGTCTTGCTTGGGTGGGCGACGCTGTCGACGCGGAGGTGGCGACCGAGCACCTCGCTGCCGTTGAGCTGCTGGCAGACGCGCCGGGCGGCGGCGGCGGTCGAGAAGACGACGTAGGCGTTGGCGGAGTGCGTGGTGGCCTCCATGACGGACTTGGTGATGTAGGCGGCGCGTTTGGGCATCGAGAGCGCTGAGAAGGCGATGGAGCGGAAGCGGATCGACTCTACCTTTTGAAGCGGATAGTCATCGTTGTCGAGGGCGGCGGAGAGGTGCGCGAGGAGCTGCTTCTTGGCGGACTTGGAGGAGACGGCTTCGGAAGAGACGTTGGCCAGGAAGACGGTCCTGGAGGCCTTGTCCGCTTCAGCGGTCGTGGCCTCCTTGCTGAGTGATTCGTGTGTGGGCAATACTTCATTGTCTGCTTTCTCGTCCTCCTCGGAGTCGTCGCTGTTGTCAGAGTCGGAGCCGGAGCCGTCCTTTGTGGTCTCGCCTTTGACACGCTTGCCGGATGGCTCGTCTTTGTCATTCTTGCTCAGGCTAGCAAGATATTTTCCTTCCAGATCTTCATTGTCATCCTTGCGCTTGCGTTTGCGCTCCTGGCGGGGTACGGTGGCTTCTTTAGATTCCTCCTTAGCACTGGGCTCTCCTTCTTCTTCTTCTTCAGATTCACCAGAATTTTCCTCTTCGTCGCCATCCTTGTCATTCTCCTCGTCGTCCTCGTAGTCGAGCTCTTCGCTGGCTTCAGACAGCACCTCGTCGTCATCGTCAGATGCCTCGTTGTTCGACGCCGACTTGGGCTTGCTTTCTCGGAGCTTCTGGTATCTTGATGTAGGAGGAGCGGACACCGGGCCAGACTGTAGTTTTTCAGTCTCAATGCTTCTTATTTCATCGGTAGAAAGGTAAAGCTCTACTTACACTCGAGGCAAAGAGAGCCTCCAGGTGGGGGTCTACGGCTTTGGAAGAAGCCAACAATGAATTTCTAGCTCATGTTAGCGAGACACTTCTGCTACCTATGGTTTAATCACATCACACTCACTTTTTTCCCATTCTGGAAGATGGCCTGCTGAAATGCCGAATCTATGAACAGTCAAGGCGAAACTTCTGCAGCGCAAGATCTCAAAAATCAAGCATTAGAGCGACCCTTCTCCAAAAATTTTGGGTGGCCCTCTACGCCAGCCGGCTTCATTGGCTGCCGGAAAGAAAGTGCCCCACTACGCGCGTTTCTGCCATGCAACACCGCTATTAAGTTGTGGCCTGGTGTTCTAGGTAGCACAGCGCACCATGGTGGCCAATGATATGGGTCATATCGATTGAAAATAAGATGTCCCTACGAAATTTGGTTTATGGAAATATATCCTTTATAGTTACGTATCTAGGTAGAAGTTGGTAGCGATGGCGTGGGCGAAACATGGGCTGGGTGTGCCGTGTGGAAACCTCCGTTGGTAAGCGAGCTGTCAAGGCGCGATAACTGACGATAAGAGTCTAGGTACTAATCCAGGTATGTATGTATGTACTGTAGGTACCTACCTACTGTACCTAACCACTAGGTTGGGACGTCTCGAGGTTGGTGCGAATAGGTTAGTAGATGTTGAGGGAACTGCACCACGGCTCAGGAGCGTCATTCGCATTGGATTAGAAGGTTTATGACGCATCCGAAAAAACTTCTACTGAACAAATGCCCAGCCACACTCGCACAAACTCCTCTCCTCGGTACTGGCATCAGCTTCTTATCCATCCCATCGAAAGAACAAGTCATGGCTGTGCTCGAGCCACAGAGGTTAAAAGAAAGGCACCCAGTTACCACAGGTCCACAACAACACAACAACAACTTTCAGGGACAATCTGTGCAGAGTCATGCCGACGGCTTTCTCCAAAAAATTCAACATGCCTGCCCTCCTGAGCTTAGCGCAGCTTACCTCTACGCAGAGCCTTGTGCTGCGTCATTGGCTCTCGACCGCGGCTGGATCCAGCAGAGCCCCCCCATGATCGCGTTTCTGCCAGCCTTGACCGCTTTGGCGGGTGTGTCGTTGACAGCGCCCAGCACCCACCCACACCCATCGGCCACAGCGCCCAAAGGCGCCCCCCCAGAGGCTTTCACCCACCACTGTCCACCATCCAGCACCTTTCCACTTTTGCTTGTCCGCCGCCTCTGCGCCCATCTGCTCTTCTGCGCCGACCCCGACCAGACAGACCTCTGCAACTCTACCTCCTCCCCTCATGCTTCCCACCTCCCTCGGTCCGTCACGACGCGTCTCCAAGACCGAGAATCGCTGCAACTCTTATTCCAAATAGCAGTACACTTTTCACTTTGGCGTCGAGGTATGCCTGCCTTGCCCTCCCAGCTCTCCTCTCGCGCCGCTGCGCTTTGCCATCGCCCTCGCTAACTGCCCGCACCTAGGCAAAACCTCGTCACGCCCCCTTCGCTGCCCATCCGCACCCAGCCTTGCGAATTCTTTCTACTATTAGCTATAAAGTGAATAGCAAACTACTCCGCATTGACAATGGCGGCGACTGCTACCGCGTCGACCGCCCTGGCCCAATCGACAGCGGACCCGGACCTCGAGGACAGCAACGTCTCAAGTCCGCTCACCGAAGTTGACGACAAGGACGACAACGATGAAGAGATTGATCGCATGCAAATCGATGCCGACGATGGCGATAACTCCAGTCTCAGTGGTGACGAGAACCCAGCTGACGACGACCGCTCCGACTCTGCCAGTGTCCTCTCTGACGCTGGCTCAGACGCCCACTCTGAGGGCAATGATACCGAGGCTGAGACGGAGCGCCTCTATGATACACCTCGGAATCAGCGTCAGAAAGATGTCGTCGTCGACCAATACAATCACGGCCAAGTCTTTGAGCACACCCCAAGCAAGCTCCGCCGGACAACCAAGCCCGAGGACAAGGACGAGACTGACGACCACGAAAACGCCGATCACGATTCCGCTTCTGGCGATGCAGGCTCCGGTGCATCGAGCGCTGATGAAGCAGACGATACTCCCACAAAACCCGCGCACAGTTCGAAGACGGTGCATGACAAGGGCACAGGTCCGGAGTCACAGGTTCGCAAGCGCAAGCGGTCGCCACTGGCAGATCAATCCGAGATAGAACAGCCCCAGAAGAGGAGAAGTGGTTCTCTCAGCGCCTCTTTGGCAGAGAAGCCGCCGCTTAACCTTGTTGAGAAAGCGACCGCCGACGCGAAGAGCGCCGTTCAGTCGGATGCAGACGAAGAAAACAATCGCGACACAGGTACCGAGGGAGAAGCGCAAGAACGTTCGTCACGCTCGTCCCGATCATCGAGAAAAAGCACTCGAAATGGCCGGCGCAGTAAGGACGATCCCAAGGACGAGGAAGACGACACCGGTGCCGATGCGGCCACGGAAACAGCTGGCGAGGACGCTACAGATCATCACGAGGACGAGGCTGAACCCGAAGTCGGTGAAGAAGACGAGGCCGACATCGCGGCGAAAAACCAAGAAGAGAGTAAGCTGCCCGCTCCCAACCCATTGCTCCCTTGACCAGTAATGAATGCTAATGCTATGGCCAGTGGAGCGAAAACGAGCAGCGTTTAAAGAATGGTCCCATATCGAAACAATGTTTGGCATCTTTAGAGATAGGTCAGTAGTAAAACGTCGCTTGCTGCATACTCTTTGGTTACTGACCGCCCTACAGACTTTACACGGAAAAGCTCCGGCGCGTTGAGGAGGAAGAGCAGTCTCTACTTGCCGACGTACCGACCCATCGTGAATATCTCAACATGAAACAATGTCTCGACGACCGACTCAATCAAAGGCTGCAAGAAGTCAATACCGAGTTTGACCTCCAGCTCAGGGCGAATGAACGAGCGGCCGTGGCGCAGCGAGCCCAAATATGGAGCCAGTTTTACCAGGCCGTCCGAGAAAAGCGAGAGCAGACTCTGGAAAGCCTAAATAAGCAGTGGTATGACGTTCAAGCGGCCAGACGGAATGCCCACAGTCTTCAAGATTACGGCCTTCTTTTCCCCAAAGACCCTACACAGAGGCTTCGAAATGCTATTGCCTACAACAGCGAGGTGTCCACTCTGTCAGGGATGGCCAAGTACGAGGGCTTTCCAGCCGGCCCAGACATGAAGGGGGCTTCCGCTCTCGAGCTCAAGTCGGATTTCAGCGCAATAGAGGTACGTTGAGTACTGTCCATGGTCTAGAGGCTGTCTGCAGCAACTGACTTTATGGACAGCGAAGCAGGCGAGGCCGCCAAAAGCCCAATAATACCTTTCAGCAGAGGGACGATTATCACTCACCGAATATCAACCACATAGGACCCGCTGGGGAACAGTTTCTCAAAGATACACCATGGGCGAATCCGAACCACTCAGCACACAAGATGGCGCGGCAAGGACCAACACATGAAGAGAACCGCGCTGTTCCCCAGGGCCCAATCTTTCAAAACGAGAACCCGCCGCCGTCATTGAAAAGCGCAGCACTTTCGGCACGGCTTTCAGAGTCACCAGAACTGTCACGGTCAATACTGAAACCCCCACCGCACCAGATGAAGCGCGTGGCCAGCGTGCCGAGCGCCAACAGGACCCCCAAGGCAACTGCAGTTTGACCGGGAGTCCAATCGAATTCATATGGGAGGCGATATTTGGCTCGGCGCATTCTACTTGGCTAGGGAAGACACAACGGAAATAGGCGCTCATATTTTGTGATACCCTCAGGCATACAGGTTCTTTGATGACTTAAACGACACATTTTGTGTTGCATTCCGATTATTGGGTATAGGATCTTCACGGTTACGGGGACTCTTGACCATGCAACGACCTGATTGGTCTGTTTGATACTTGGAGTGATTTGGCGGAGTTATGGTTGTTTTCTGATGATATTTTCCTTGTTTTTCAATGTACAAAAAGGCGTATAGACGCTGTTTGAACCCATAGTGTCGTAAAGGGCCTGTCCCTCTCAACTAAATTTTTATACATGCCATTCCCGTCCATGAAATGGCCAGTTTGAGTTCATTTACGAACAAACCTCAATCGCGCTTTGCCTGTAAGATTGGTGTACAAATGTGCCGACTACTTTGCCGACGATGGTCCCTTTCGGTACCTGGTGTGCTATTCATTTCGTCTCGGTCGCTTTTCTAGGGACATCGGGAACCTTGACATCTTCGAACTCGTCTTGGCCGACAGCCCTCAGGGTATAGTAGTCTGCGCGGCTAAAGGTTAGACATGCGACAAGACATGAGGTCGTCCAGCAGCAGGGATATGCTTACAGATGCCGCTGACGATAGCGAGCAGGCCAAGGCCGGTAAATGCGTTTTTGAAGAGATAGGGTCGACGCGCGCGAATCAGAGCAGGACCTTGACGAAGGCGGCCGTCATAGTATGTCGAGTGCGGGTTGCTGGATAGGTTGTATTAGCGAAATGTTGCTCGTCTTCGTGATTGGGCGTATGGGGCGACAAACTGCGTGCGCGACATGGCGGCCGCTGTTCTACGGAATGGGGTGATCATGTTTGGCAGTTGGAATGAACTGAACGGATGTCGATGGAAGCAATCCCGAGAATAGTGACGAGGTCAAGAAATGGGCTGTTCGAGACGGATTGGACATGTCCGGGCGGCTCATTGCCGGCTAAACCGAAGATCAGGCAGAGAAGCGCTGGAAGTTGGTGACTGGGCCCACTACAATGCCCTGTAAATCGGCCAGGAACCACTGCCCGTCGCCTGCAAGGAACCTGTTGTAGGCGGGCCCGCGTCAACGATTGACGTCCACCAAGCTTAACATTTAGCATCCAATCGCGCCTGCAATTGAAGAGCAACGACTCTGCGCGTCTACATTAATCACCATTGCGAACTGTCGAACGAGCGAAGCTACGAACGAACCCCGCTGCTCGAGCTTCGCAAAACCGGCATTCGATGCGGCGGAGCATGACGAAGAGATAGAATTTCCGATAGCTGAGGTTCCTCCAGGTCGCGACGTCGATCTCGACGCGGCTGGCGAAGCATACTTTTCGCCCACAGCCACAGTCCGGCAGTTTCCATCCAACGTCCACCACATACGAACCACGGGGAAGCGCTATCCAACTAGAGACCCGCTGAGCGGCCTCACGCAACAATGTCGAACGGGGACCTATCGCTGCCGCAGCAGATCCAGCAGCTCAACGATGCCCGCAAGCACGTTCTCGGCGACGTGAAGCTGTACCCGGGTGTCGTGCGCGGACTCATCCCTAGTATTGGTGTGTCGGCGCCGCTGGAGCTGCGACGATGGGGCGCCGATTTTCTGGCGGAGGCCTTTGCAACGCCTGTGCTGCCAAATGGAGAAAAGGAGACGCTCGCGCCGTACGTCCTGGCGACGCTCGAGTCGCTGGCGCAGAAGCCGGACGAAGATCACTATGTCCTACGTGGAGTGATACAGACCGCCGCGAGCATTTACCCGCTGGCACTGCGATGGATGTAGGTATACCAGAGACCAAGACCGTGAACTCTTGGCCGGGCGCAAACGCTAACAGACAATGACAGAATCAACAACTCGTATGACACGGTCACCTGGGAGCGAATGATGGCGATAAAACAAAGAGTCTTGCAGATTTGGGACACGGCGACACCGACGGTCAGAATCTGCTGTATCAAGTTTGCGCAACGCGTGGTGCTGGCACAGACTGTGTCCTCCATGGGAGACCACAGAGTATGTGATTGCCTGACAGAACCCTGAATTATTGCTAATATCCGGTATAGTATGCCGGCGGTCTCGATATTTCTCTCGATAAAATCCCTCCAAATCACCAAACCCTCGATCCCCGAACTCTAGAGGCTGAGGCATCCGGGCTTTTGGACCGCATGCTCAGTGTACTACAGGAATCCAAGTATGTAACGTCGCTCGACAAGTATTGTAAATCAATAACGACTGACAAATGTAGTGATGCACTGGTTGTTGATGCGACGCTGAACTGTTTGTCAATTTTGATTCGAACCCGTCCAGAGACGTCAAACAGAATCATCAACGCCATCTTCGCCTTCAACCCGCTCAACCTTGCCCCTTCACCGCTGACTGCCAGAAGCAAGGTCATGATCAGGTCAATGGAAAAGACGGTGCGGTCACTTTTGATCAATCTGAGCAGAAGGGATCCCCACAATCCGATGGTGCCGAGAATGCAGCAACATGTGGAACATAATATGCGCATGATTTCGGAGGCTTTTGATGAAAGCGGGAAGAAGCGGCCGTTGGACGCTCCGCAGCAGGACGGAAACGCCAAACGCCAGCGCATAACAACAGCCCAAATTCAAATCCCCCCCCTTGGGCCCGGGCCTCACAGCCTAGCGGATTTGTTTAGCCTTGTCAGCAACGATGGGCTGAAGACATTTGACCTGTCGCTCGTACCACCCGCGATGGTATCGAAATTAGCAGTCACAACGCTTGCCAGGCTGGACTCACAACTCCTCGCCAAGGCTGTAGACGGCGTTCGTGATAGACTTCAAACAGTGGCAAATGCACCTGTGGCCGAGCTGAACCCGAATACGGCGCCGCTTGGTGTCGACGACGACGACGATGACTACGAGCCGGATTTCTACCAGGCTGAAGACACGGAGCAGATTCTGAACAAGCTGGACAGTGAGCCTTCTGGTCTGGATCCCATCCACCTCGACGACAGCCTGGCGCTCAGGTCATTCAACCTGTCGCAGCCGCAGCAAATAACACCGGAGCTAGCACTCAGCGCCGGTGCCGGCACGATAGAAAAGGTCATGGACATGATGAAATCCCTCCAAGACTCATCAGGAAAGAAGGCCAAGGCCGGTTTCATGCGCCTGGCGGCTAGCTCTGGCACAAGAGAGTCGTGGATGACTATCCTGACACGTCTTGCGACAAGATCATCTGCTGGACTGGATGAGATTCTTGTCAAGGGCGAAGATGACGGCAGCGGATCAACGCCGTCACTGTCAAACACCATCCGCGAAGTTTTGTACAACTACGTCATGGAGGATTTCCGCAAGCACATAGATGTAGCGGTATCATGGCTCTGTGAAGAGTGGTACAATGACCGACTACTGGCGAGAACAAACCGCGACTACCCCAAACACTACGAAAAGTGCGCTTTGCGTCTTCTGGATGGCTTCCTTCCATATGTGCACCCGCAGGATAAGGTGCTGACGCGATTCCTCAGCGAAATCCCCGAGCTGAACGAGGAGATGCTGTCTCGGGTGAAGCGCATGTGTCGCGACCCCTCGGTGGTAAAGCTTGCGCTGACGAGCTTGCTATACCTCGTTCTCATGCGGCCGCCGGTCAAGGAGATAGCTCTGGATACGGTGCAGGATATCTGGAGAGAGTGTAAGTGCAGCTCACGTGGTACGCTATGCAAGTGATTCTAACTCTCTTCCGCAGTCGAAGATGCGCGCACGATGGCCGGCCAATATCTGTCGAAATACCGTCCGGGGTTCGTGGCGACTGCTCTTCGGGCAGAGTCACCCGTTGACGCATCATTTTAGTGGTAGCCGAAAAAGCGCATAGGGTGGCGGAATGGGGAAGATGATATCCATGGTTTTGAGCGGTGTAGTGATCGGTGAATTGCATAATGGCATGTTGGCGGGCGTTTCTCGAGATTTTCCAAGTAGGGAGGAAGACAGCCTTTGTACATTTAGTAGAGCGCATGGACACTGGGAATGCAGTTTAAAGCAAGCTCATGGCGAGAGTACGACTGCGATGCTATGTACATACTGCTAAGAGTGCGGGATGTCTGTTTAACATGCTACCTGTAGTCCAGCCAGCCAGTGAGTGCTGAGCCATCGGAGGAGGGGCGCATACCAAGTGAGTAAAATTATTCGTAAGCAGTCAGACAATGACCCTTATTCTATATCTAGTCAAATATAGGCGAATTTCTTTCTTCAAAGCTCAGAACTGAGAATGTCCTCAGTTGCGCATGAGACACTGCGCAAGGGCCGCTATGAGAGTTGGTGGCGCCCCTTATAATTTCCCCCAGATTTCTCCTGCATACCAGACAAAGCAAAAAGAAAGGAATTTGGCGCCCAACTACCCGTTATTATATCATAGCTGAAGGTGACGCAGAGACCTTTTAGCGCGGGATCCCCATATTGCTATTGTTGATAATACCGAGTTATAGAAAGAAGCGTGTCTTGCACCCCCCCTTTGTCCTGCAGTAGCCCAGATAGTCATGCTTGCTTGTCTCCTGTCTTTCTCATTTCTTCACCTCACACGGGCTGCGTTTCAAAGCACATCATCTCACCAAACGTCCCATGTTTTCCGAGCAATCATCGATCAAGAAACTCTGAATCGTGTGGGCGTTGCCCTTGTTTACATACGACCTTGGCTGTGGGCCTTTTTTTGCTCTACCAACGTCGCCTCATCGGTCGGGTAACCGGGGAACAAGACAGACAGGACGCACAAACTGATCGCGGACGTCAACTGTCTATCGTACCGCCCATTGACAACATCGCTAAGCAGTTATTGCAACCTTTGTGGTAGCGATTCACCGTGAAGGGGAAGGGACCGAGCGAGAGCAGAAATAAATACACAGGCGTTTCTTATAGCTGACTGGCCACTCGAATCCGAACCGCCCCAAAAAAACGCGTCCGCAAAAAGTGACCTGCCTCCTGGGCAAGTCGATCTTGGTCGGGGTTATTAATTCTCGCTCCTGCACCGCAACAAGAACAAACGACGACGACGACGACAGGCATTGTATCTCACCGGGGCACGTTGGTTCCCTGAACAACCGGCGAGACAAGGGAAATGCCCCGGAAGCGCCTCCAGAAACAGAGCTTGGACTTTGACATACGAATACACCAAGACGGAAATCAAGGTATGGAGTATCCCAACGGCCGCACAAACATGCAGACAATCGAAACCATCTTCCTCATTTCCTTGCCGTTTGGCATTTCCCTTTTGCCTGTTGTATGTAGGTCCGAGTCGGTGATGCAGGCAGGTCAGTGGTGACGGCACTTGACGCCCGCTACAGCCGCCGACCCAGCCTCGCTAGCCGTCCTGTACAACAGAACGCTTCACCCTCAATCACCACACAGAGGTAGCAACTCTACCTCCTACCCTTGCTCTTGAATTACAGCGGTCCCCTCCCTGTCAGAAAACAAGCAAATCACCAGGCATCACTGCTTTTTTCCTTTGCAACGCTCTTTCAATTCTTGCCCACCTACCTTCTCCTTTGAACCTGATAGAAGCAAAGCCACGCCCACGCCGTCATCCCCCATCGAGATCCTCTCCCACGCTGACATTGAAGCCACTTCTCCTCGCCAAACACAGCATCCCAGCCCCTCGATAGCAAATATTACCGCGGCCAATTGCTAAATGAAGACGATAACACCATCCGAACGTTGACGCCCGCTTCGACTGGCTCCATCAATAGCATGCAAACTGCGTCGCGCAACATCGTGGCCAAGCATGCCCTCGGCCGCACCACAACCATTCGTAGCGTCCCCAGCTTCGACAGCTCCGGGTCAAGCCCCGAGACCAACCAGAGTCCCTTTTCCAGCAGCACCAACAGCAACACGAGCGCCGCCTCGACCGCCCTAGGGGTTCCCGGCCACGACAAGGCAGCCAGCCGATCAGTATCCGCCACAACCACAACGACCGACACACAAACGACGGCCGCGCCGAGCCGCTGGAGCGCCAGCGGCGTCCGCGTAATAGAGACCCAGTCGCCGGGGCAGCTGCCTCATGATGGCTCGGAACCCACGGACGCCGAGAATGGACAGTGGGATTCCACCATTGGCAAGGCCGGCCTCGGCAAGACGGGCCGCGTCATCAACAAGCTCGTCAGCGACAACGACGCCCTGAAGCGAGAGATCCAGATTGAGCGGCTACGCGCTGAGGAGGCCAAGCAGGCCGCCAAGCTGATCGAGGACAAGATGGAGCGCATGGTCGGCGAGTACGAGGGCCGGTTGCTTGAGGCGAACGTCACCAAGACGCTGCTCGCCCGCAAGGAGCGCCAGGTCGAGTCCCTGACGGCCGCCGTCGGGGTCGAGCGTGGCAAGGCCGCCGCCGCCGCCGATGCGGAGCGCACCTGGAAGGAGGCCATGCAGCAGGAGCGCGCCGACGCCAAGACGCAGGTCGAGCAGGCCGCCGCGCACGCGCAGCTCATGGAGGGCCGCTACAACGCCATCTCGTCGCACTGGCGCGAGCAGGGGGACCAGGTCGCGCGGGCGGTCGCCAAGATGCGCGCCGAGATCGCCGAGATCGTCGACGCCCGCAGGCTCGACGACGACCGCATCCAGACGTTGCGCGACCTCTGCGAGCAGCAGGACGCCAACATCCGTGCGCTGCGGAGGGAGAAGGAGGAGATTGCGAGGGTGTTTGAGGCGTACAAGAGGACGCAGGATGATGACTTGCGGGACATACGGACGAATGCGAAGAAGAGGGAGGACGAGCAGGAGCGCATGCTGGCGGAGGCGCGCGAGGCGCTGGATAAGCTGAAATGGGCCCTCAATGTCAAGAACAACGTCAAGGGCGCGCAATAACGAGAGCTGGCACCGCCATCTCCGTTTATTCGCCCCCCCATCACTCTCGCCATGCATTGAGCGAGAGAAAAAAAACAGTATATACAACACCATCCTTTACGACAGCAAATACCTGAGCTGCCGACGAAGCGCGCTGACACACGAGATTGCCCGGCGAACCTTTATCCACGCCCTTCTCTTTCCTTACGGCAATTGCCGCATGGCGTATCATGATTCATGGCCTTTTTTTCTCTTCTTTCCCTTCCTCTCATTTTCTTCTTCTTTTTCTTCTTCTTCAAGATATTATTATTTTTATTCCCATCTAGTGTCGTTTTCCATGTTTTTAAAGTTGTATTTTCTCGACGTCTTTCTGGAGAAAAACCGGCATATAGAACAGGCAAAAAAAGATTGAATCGGGACGGGGCACAAAGAAAGTATGTGTGCGTGTCTGTGGAGAAGGAGGGGGGTGTTCCATTCGAGCGGTTTGATAGTAAATTATCTGGTTGTTTGTCTAGTTTCCTGTTTCTTTACGCGCGGCCCTCATCACTGCAACTTAGCAGGAGGCTCGTATGATGTATAATGCCAACTTTCCATCTGTCAACTGATACAACCTGCACGGATCTCGCGCAGAAAGACACCCGCACTGTAGCCAGCAATTAAAAAAAAAAAAAAAAAAAAAAAAAAAGAGTCTCAGATTAAGCTCTCATCGTTCTTGAATGGGTCTGTCCAGGGCACGACGCTGTCAGGCAGGCTGGCCTTGATGTCAGCCGGGATGTCGTCGAAGAAATCGTGGCTCGCAGCCGCCGCAACCACCGCCGCCCACTCCGCGGCAGGAAATATCGGAAGGGGTGGGAGAAGCTGCGGCGCGCGCTCCTTGTGCTCTACCTACAATAAATTGTTAGCTTTTGTGAACTCCCCTCCCCAACAACAACCCTTCTCTTGGGCGAATCCTTACATATTGCTTCGTCATACTTTCTAATCGTTCAACGGCACTGTCAAGCCGTTCCTGACCCTCGTCCGAGCCAAGATACACGACCGTCTGCCTGACGTCGTACGATACCAGGCACCCCGTCTCGGCCGCGAACCGATGCTCGTCGGCGTGCCCCGCGTGCGCGAGCAGGCCCGCAAAGGTGACGTCCGGGTGGAGGTATTCGAGGCCGCGCCAAGCGGTCTTGTGATGCGCCTCGGTGATGAGCACCGGGTAGACGTCGGCGTCGGCGTACGTGTGGGAGCGGCGGCGGTGCTCGGCCCAAGGCATCATGCGCGCGTCCGGTGAGATGACGGAGACGTCGACGTCGGAATCGGCGAGCGGCGACTCATAGTCAGCGTCAGGGTCAAGGGCGTCGATGTCCTCGTCGGCGATGACGAAGAGGTTGTCCTGCACGGCGGTGGTGACGCTGCTGCGGCTCTACTGCAGCGCGATGCACTTGAACCACGAGACGTGAGGCTCGTAGAGGATCTCGATCAGGCCCTAGGAGGACGCTCGGCGTCAGCGTCGTATGGGAGAAAAACGTCGAAAGCGCTTGTGTGTTTCATGGGCTTGTTGTTGCTGGGGTGGGATGGGGACGTTACCTCGGTGTCTTGGACGCGGCGGATGACTTCTGACACGCCTTGGGGAAGTAGGGGAGGGTTGCAATAAATGTAGAACTCGACAACGTCAGCCATGCCCTTTCTTCGATCTTCAAATAATGGCAGATTATCTCGAATGCTTGGGAAGTGTGAATCATGCATGTTAAAGGGAAGAGAGAAAAGGGCGTTGTGTTTGCATACCGTTGGCGGCGTTGCAGGAGCAGCTGCCAGCTGGAGACTTACAGCCGGTGACGTATCATGTACGAGCGGCAAGCAAACGGACATGTACATAGGTTAGGAATTTCGGATGATAATGACGATGCTGATGATAGTGATGAAATTCTTGATAATAGTCACGGTGATGGCTGAAAAGGGAGCATGATACTAGTAATGGCGATGAAGATGGAAATAATAGCTATGCCTGATTTCCAAATCCTATAATACATCTAGCAGTCCTTGAGCGATATAGCTCTCCTGATAGATGCGCTTCTCTGATAGATGCAACAGGGGCCGTGGTAGATGGGAATAATTTGAACATGACATTCTGATGAATAAGAGCTAGGACTTTTAGTAAACGGACTGCCCCCCGCGAAGAAGCCAAGACACAGCGTGCGACACAGCGTGGTGGCGTGGAATAATTTGGTTAACGTGTCGCCGCGTGATATGAATGTTTCGGCCATCTCCAGACCGAGGTCACATGTGCATATGAAGATAACTGGGTTAGTATGGACAGTCAGAGGGGGAATAAGTATGAGTGAGATTCAAGGCTCACTTGAGCTATGTAGCTGCGTATTCGCATAGATGTGGCTGTGTAGCGCGGTGGAGGGTTCTCTCAGACGATGCGGGGATCTAAAATAGTTACAAGCTACTGGACAGCAAATAAGATGCAATAAACGCTTCATAAAATTTAGATAGAATTATTACTATTACTACCCAATTTCTCAGCTCAAGACTTCGTTCGTCCGTTGTCAATACAGCGTCGCATCATGCATCTCCATGCCGAATGAAGCGTGGCAAGAGCGCGCCTCCATGCTGTCATTGGCCCAACATCCGGGAGAGGGTGTGGGCAGGCGACCGGGGTTGCGTGTTAAAGCAATACCTGAGGCAGCATGTGATGCCAGCGCACCACGATGGTACTGGCCAAACACAGCACCCATTAGTTCTGCCTTGGATGGTAAACGGTGCCTGGGAGGCAGTGGAAGCTAAAATGCCAAGCTCAAAGATCTGCCGTACGAATACGAACAGCATGCCGAAGAGCAGAGAGAGAGATACATAGCATTCGTAACGCGACGCAGATGGCGTGAGATGCACATATGTATGTAAGGAGACATGGAAACATGAACGACTTGTTTGACAGCTGCAGGAGAGCTTGGGGGCACAGATCCACTACAGTAGGAAAACGCCAAAATAGTGAACTATTATTGGAAAGAAAAATGCTATCAAAGAAGTTTATTGTGTTAGACAAGGGGCTGTGAACTGTGGTTCCGCATCAGACACGGCATGGGATGCGGCATGGGTGACTGGCTGTGTGGGGATGGACATTTCGCTGTCACTGCTGGTACTACCATGATCGACGACGCAACTTGTCCATCGCATAACTACAGGGAAAAAATAAATGAAAATAACAGTCTTGCCTTTCCTCGATTAGACATCGATCCGTCCGTGTATAGTTGGCCCGAAATGCCACCAGATTTAGTCTTGTTCTGTGTTTTGGCCCGTGATGGACGCTCCACTGCCCCAGAGCGAGGCCCGCCTCGTCTCCTCCTCAAACTAGACGATCCGAACAAGGTCAAAGTCCGCAAGCCCGAGACTACTTCGTACTTGACTTCCCCGGATGCAAAAAAACAGATGGACGAATAAAGAAGAAGAAACCTTGACCTGTAGGTACGTACTCACAAAACCAATCTGTCATATTGCCCAGTCGGCTAGCCCCAGAGCCGCCTTCACCTGCACCCACTATTATCCCGTCCTCGAGAAACAGCTCTCGACTTTGCCCCACGCTTGTCTCTGGCGATCTCCGCCCCCCATCTCATTCTCCTTCTCCCGCGATCGTGTTGAGCGTTTCTCTCTTCTCCTCTTCTACCCCATTTGTTGCATCGGTCGCCTGTGTCCTTCAACCTTCCCCCTTCGTGAACTCGACGCTGACGACAAAACGCTAAGCTTGTCTTTTGCAATCGGGGACCCAAGGCTAGCCACCACAAGGGGCAAAAACAACACGAGCCTCTACTCCTATCAACCTAGGTCCGAGTCACGCTACGCAGTTCCTAGTCTCGCCGAGCAGCTTTTTTGAGAGCCTGTCGCCTCTCTCGGTTGATCAATACACGCACCAGGAAGGCTGCCACGACAACAGCCTCCCAGCCAGTCGCCATGGGTCTCGGAGTCCTCGAGCCCAAGGGCCATGAACAGGTACCCGGTAAGTAGCTCTCATGCCGGAACAAAATTGGCAATTCATGGTCACCTGGCATGCGTCTTACTTATATCTTCCTTCTCAGGCACCACGCGATACTACGATGACCCTGATCGGCCTCGCATGGCTGGCGAACATGATGCGCACCTGAAGACCAATGATAGTGGTCTCATTTTGGTACTGGAATTTGCCTTGTCCGCCACGACAACCTCTATTCGGCCAACTAACTGTACATGTAGACTCCCCAGCCGTCGGACGACCCCAATGATCCTCTCAACTGGCCGATCCTAAAGCGCGATTGCGTCACATTCCTCCTCTGTTGGGCCGGAGTCCTCGCCACAAGTCTAGGTCCCATCCTCGCAGCCAACACCGTCACCCTCATCGGCAACATTGCCCTGACCATTACCGACGCCGTCGTGCTCACCGGCTACCTCCTTGCCGGCGCTGGCGGCGCCGTCATCTTCTTCGTTCCCTCTGCTCGCGTCTACGGAAAGCGCCACCTCTTCCTCCTCGGCCTCGTCATCGTCATCGCCACGAGCGCCTGGGCTGGCGCCGTACCCCTCTCCGCCGATACCCCCGAGGACGCGAGACGTCACTTTCGGAGCATGGCCGCCGCTCGCGCCATCCAGGGCGTCGGCATCGCCCCGTTTGAGAGCCTGCTCAACGCCGCCATTGGCGACATGTACTTTGTTCACCAGCGTGGCATCCGTATGGCCTTTGCGAACCTGGCCGTTTTTGGCAGCGCCTTCTTCACACCCATCGTCGTCGGAAAGATCACCGCCACCATCGGTCTCGGCTGGACTTTTTACTTTGTTGCCATATTCACGGGCGCGACGCTGCCGGCTATTGTTCTGTTTTGCCCCGAAACCGCCTTTCGACGCGAAGCCCGATTCAACACGGATATTTACACCGAGGAGGACATGCTGCAGCCCCGGTCGTCCGGCTCCTCGGAAACAAACGAAAAGGAACATCACTCGGGTTTCCGCGCCCTGCCCACTAACCGGCTTCAGCCTTGTGGTGATGCCAGCGCGCCGCGAAAGACCTTTGTTGAGTCGATGTCTTTATTCGACGGCCGAAAGACGGATGACCCGTATCTGACACTGCTCCTCCGCCCCTTTCCGCTCCTGATGAACCCCGCCTTCATTTGGGCCTGCTTGATTCAAGGGACCATGATTGCATGGACAATCTTTATGGGAGCTTTGGTTGCGTCCATCTTCATTGGTCCTCCTCTCTTCTGGGGAACCGCGAAGTCTGGCTACGGATACACCGGTGCCTTTGTCGGAGCCCTGATTGGCTTTGCCATCTGCGGTCTGGTCGCCGACGTAAGCGTTCGTCTCATGACTGCGGCAAACAAGGGAGTCTACGAGCCCGAGTTTCGCATTTTGCTCATCATCCCCATGCTCATCGCGAGCGCTATCGGTCTCTTTGGCTTTGCTATCACCGTCGAAGACGTCGCTTCCCAGAATCGGCCCGTCATTATTCCTCTCGTGTTTTTTGGCTTTGAAGTCGCCGGTATGGTTATTGGAGCAGTCGCCAGTTCACTTTACATTGTAGACGCCTACCGTAAGCATTTACCGCTGTCGTCTCTGTTGAAAGCGTTGCTAATTATGTTCAGGCGACCTCGCTATTGAGGGGTTCACGCTCACCATCCTGTTCAAAAACTTCTTCAGTTTCGTCGTCACCTATTACGCCCTGGACTGGCTCATCGCCGGTGGCATTCGCCGTGTTCTCGTCATCATTTCCATCCTGCAGGTTGTCATCTGCCTGACCAGCATCCCCATGTGTGCGTCTCTCAAGCTGGATGAGAAAACGTGACCATTTGCTAACGAACCCATCTAGACGTTTATGGCAAGCGTGGCCGAGCTTTTTTCCACCGCCACGACCCCATCGCCATGTGTCGCCTCAAGGAATTCGATGCCTTTTTGCGCCGTCTCTTTCGCAAATCTCCTAGCGCTCCCACCCAACAGGTGTCTTGATGCCTTGATTCTCGGAGCGATTATCGACAGTTTAGCATGGAGTAACCGATCGCAAGTATATATTCACTCATGAGGGACGTCACAAGACTGGTATGTTTTAGATCTTAATTTACAGGGAGACAGGGCAAGAGGCGTTGGTTCAAGTTGGTTACAATATTGTTGATTCCCCCTTGGCTTGTTTTATGGGTTACCATTTCTATGTAGGCGACGGCGACACGTTGACAACGACATGCAAGTCTTAATACATGCTTAATTACAACGACGTCCTGCGTCGCGGGGCCTGTGAAGATGCGCTCGAGGCACAAAACTAAGCATTGAGCTGCAGTGTATTACCGTATCACTACCGAGTTACTCCGAAGAACCAACCACCGCCTCGTTGACACCATCGGCGCCCGGGTGCGTCTGCCAGATCTTGACGACCTCGAAGCCCGCCTCCGTCAGCAGTGCCCTCCACCGGCTGCGCGAGCGCTCCAGCCCCGCGCCGAACACCATGACGCACATGTCGAGTTCGCACTGCCGCCCTCGGCGCGCCGACGTCCGGCAGCACTGCATCGCACATGAGCAGCGTGGAGCCGCGGGGACCCGCCTCCAGCATGGCCTCGCGCAGCGCGCCCAGGATGCGCAGCGCGCGCCCGTCGGGCCACTGGTGCAGCACGCGGCGCACCGGCTGGGGCTCGCCGCCGAAGAAGTCCCACGCCTGCGCGGTGACGGCCGGCGGGTTGAGCAGGCCGGCGGGGATGGTGTCGAGGATATCGGGCAGGTCCTGCAATACGAGCGGGACGCGGCCGCGGAAGGCGGCGTGAAAGGCCTGCAGGTCGTGCCCGCGGCCGCCGGCGACGTCAACAAGCAGCGGCGTCGTGCCGTTGTCGTCGTGGGTAGGGAGAAGCCGCTCGGCGGTGGGGAAGAGTCGGAACCAGGGCTCCGGCTGGCCGGTGCCGACGGCCATGGCGGCGTTGAAGTCTCGGTGCATCGCGGGCATCCCCTCGAGCACCTCGTACGGCGATCGCGGAGCGTTGTCGTCGTTGGGGAACGCGCGCTGGAGGATGCCCCGCGACGGGTCGGTGAGCGCCTGGTGGCCCGCAGGTCCGCAGGAGGCGGTTCGCTAGGGTGGCGTCGCAGCGCGCGGCGGCGGCAAGGGAGGCGGTCGACGCGGGGCCGGGCTGTGCGGCGAGGAGGGTGAAGAGCTCGACGTCGATGGCGACGCGCACGGCGAGGTTGCTCATCGGCCGCGGAGCTGGGATGTGAGCTTCGGAGAGGGAGGGAAGAGAGGGGGGAGGGAAACAACGTACGGCTAGGGCGGTGGCCATGGCGTAGGTCTCGGGGTCTTCGAGCGAGGCGGACAGCGTTTTGGAGAGCGCGAGGGCGGTCATGCGGGCCTGGGGGTCGGCGGCGAGGCGCGGCGCGTCGTAGCCGGCAAGCTGGGCGATGATGCCGGCGGGACTATCATCTTGCGCGGAATCGTCAGTGGACATGATTGTTTCAATTCAAAAAAGACAAGGTTATTCGGAGGAGGGAGGCTATGGTGGCAGCTGGGTTGGCCACGCAAGGTACGCAAGAGTGAGAGAGATCCCCCATGGGGTCCATGTAGACATGTGTCGCGGATTCTCTCCCGTCCACCGGGAGACGACGAGGGGGCACAGCTGCGGCTAGGCCACTGCGAGACGGCGCGCTCTTTTCGCTGCATTCCCTCGCGGGAGAAAACATACGAGAATGCACTCGTCACTCGGTTGTGGGTTATCATGCAGATGACTGCCAGCCATGCAGCTTCAGCTAACGCCACCCGGCGGTTCCCGCATCCATCTCGGCATGGTGGGGATTGACGCTGGTCCGGCGGACAGCGCGGCATCCCGTACCTATATGCCAAGCTGTCGATCCATGCATAGCTGCCCGCATACTATCAGCGCGCGCGCGGGGCATGGGCTCGGGCTCCTTGTCCGAGCTCGCGGTCACGTTGCCCGATCTCTCCTTGGTCGCCGCGGTACCGCGCCAGCCGAAGACCATACAGGAGGCTCTTGTTCCACAAACAGATTGTCTGCGCTGAAAAGTGTGTTCTCCTTGGCTTCGGCTTCCTCCCGGACATCTACGGAGGTAAGTGATAGCCAGGGAGGGGGCAACCCTGCGGGGCTGAGGGGGGGTCGCGACGAGGTAGAGTAGTAGATGGATAGCTGCGGAACGGTGCGATCTATAGGGTTATATGTGCTCGGGGGATATACGTTATCTGCCATGTCACAAAGCTGGAACCGCTTAGTTACCGTGTATGGACGAGATAGTGACCGTAGTAAAAGAACGTCTCCAGCAATAACCAACCATTGCATCAGAGTCGCGTCATATTATAGCAACACACAATACATTGTCACCGTAGAGCAGGTTATGCTTTCATGTAAAAAACCAATATTTGCTATTCCATGTCCTTTGATATATATGCAGCGAAGAACGATATCCATTTACATCCTGTACACGTTATTCGATTGTCATCATGTTTTGTCTTATTCTTTCTCATCCTCTCTTGGCCATAACGCCTAAGCCTTGACGCCAGCTTCGTTGCCCTGGGGACGGAGAGTCGACTTCTTCATGAGGCGGAAGCCACCAAGGAGCATAATGGCAGCCTGCACGCCGAGGACGACGGCGAGGGTGACGAGAGCACCGATGACTCCAGCAACGGGAAGAGAGATGCCGCCAGAGCCAGAGGAGTTGGTGGTTGCGGGGGTGTCGGGTGAGGTGCTGTTGGCAGCGCACTTGCCCGAGGTGCTGCCGCAGGTGCTGCACCAGTGGGCGTTGTCCTGGATGGCAAACTTGTTCATGCCGTCCTGGAAGGCGGGCCAGGAGAGGGTGGTCTCCTTCTGGGCGAAAAGGGGCCACTGCTTGAAGGTGTCGTTGGTGGCGGTGCCGTTGGCGAAGAAGAAGCGGACGGAGAGGTCTTCGGCCTTGTACTTGCCGTCGGTGCCGGCGGTGGCGTTGGTGACGAGCTCAAAGGTCATGGAGGAGGCGTAGTCGCAGATGCCGTAAAAGTCGGAGCTGGCGGCGGGCATCTGGGCGAGGCCGAAGAAGGCCATGAAGGTGCCGTAGGCGCCGAACTGGGCGTTGAACTTGGGCGCGCCCTTGGCGCCCGTAGCAAGGGCTCCGAGGGTCGCGAGGATCTGGCCGGCCAGGACGGAGCCAGCAATAGCGCGGACGGGCTCGGAGCTGTTGTAGGCCAGGTTCCACTCGTGAATGGAGGCGAGATTGAACAGACGGGGCATGGCGGGCTTGACGAGGCTGCCGGAGGGGATGGTCTGGTTGTGGATGGAAGCGACATTGATATAGTCAAAAACTAAAAGGTGCTGGTCAGTAGAGTTTTGGTAGAGACAATTTAGCATGAGCTTGACGTACTGGTGTAAGCATTCTTGAAGGTAGCGTCGCTGGAAGAAAAGGTCGAGTTGATGACGGGCAAGAGGCCCTGGTAGAAGTCCTTGGAGTCGGTCGAGGTCTTGTTGAATTCGGCTGAGCTGAGGTACCTCTTGGAGCTGACCTCGGCATTGGTGCAGCCAGTGTTGCCCTGGAGCCAGGCGTTGTTCTCTGCCTGTTGAATGGTAGCGGCGTCGGAGACGGCATTAACGGGGATGACTTGGTAGCCGCTGAGCGGGGCCTGGACGGAGCGGCCGTCGGCGAGGGTCTCGTTACCAGCGTCGCCGCGGGGCGGGTAGAGACCCTGGAGGAAGGTGACGGCCGAGTTGTGAAGGACGCCGTCGATGGGGGATGTGACGCTGAGCTGAGAGAGGACGGCGGCGCCGTCGGAGAGGGCCGAGACCTTGTCGGAGGCGCCCTGGTCGACGTAGCGGGAGCGGTAGAAGCTGCCCGAGGAAAAGACCTGGTCGGCGCCGAGGGCAGTGAGGCTGGTGGGCGGCCAGGACTTGGAGGTGCGGTCGCCGTGGCGGTGGAAGACGTAGACGCCAAGGACGGTCTCGGCGGAGACGGCGACAGGGCCGGCGGCGGCGAGGGCCGAGAGGAGAAGCTTGGAGTGCATTGTTGTGGAGGGGTTGCTCGGTTAGATTGTTTGAGATGGGGAGAGGCAAAGCGATGGGCTTATGCAAGCTCCGATCGCGGTCCGGGGTAAGACTGGTGATGAGTTGGACGACGGGACAAACGCAAGACAACGGAGAGAGGAGGGGAGGAGGGGAGTGGGAGGGTCAGAGCCTGATCAAATACTTTTCTCTCGCATTATTCATTATCACTATCGCTAGTCGAGATTTTGGGGAAGGCAGCCCCTCTCCTGTTTTAGGCAAGCGGCCCCGTCGTTTGCCGTTTGCTGTTCATTAGTAGGCTCAGTTGATGAATTTTTGTTTGTAGTGGCTGGCAGCTGGCGGGCAGCAGGGGCGGCAAGCCCGGCCATTGGACTGTTGGGCCGTCGGCCCCACTGCCGGGGGATGTTCCTCCGCTGACGGGCCTGGTCGGGGATACACTTGGGGGATTCGGGAATTTAACAGCTTCTTGTCCATCAAACAATCAACATCCTGTCACTACAACCCTCGCGCACATCTTTTCAACAACCTCACTCACCCTTAATAACACCATGCATCCATTCATCCTCTTCAACTACCCCTTCTAGAACAGATACATGACCAACCTACTTACTGAGTCTCCGCAACTCTGCAGGCCCTCAACGCCTCCGTTTGCCACAGTCGATTTCGATGCTGAGCTTTTCCGCGGCCGCTGCAACCTTTGAATTCTCTCTCTTCTCCCGCCAATCAGACTCTCGGAAATTGCCCTTTCTATCCACCCCATCATGTTCAGCTCACTAGTTAATAGACGGACCATCGCTGACCAGGGATCCTCGCACAACCTCCATGTTTGTCGAAGGCGCAACATCTCCAACCATTTGTGGCGTCCCCTAGATCAATCCATTGGCCAGCCTTGCTAACCAAATGCATATCGCCATTCAACAACCACGCGAAACCCAATTGGCGACCGCCGTCCCCCGCCCTGGCCACGGCCCACCGAACCCGCAACCCAGGCGGAAGACACCGATAGCGATGCATCGCCACGGAGATGCACATTTTCTCCTGCAAAGTGGCGCATCACGACTTCATTCAATGGCTTACCTGAACGGTTTTCCATATCTGCCTTTTTAACAACCGCATGATCGGCATCTCTATCTTTTTGCGACTCCTACCGAAATGCCTCAATAAGACATTCGGCAGGTAGCGTAGCAGCCGCGACATTTCTGGCTCCTCTGCGGGTAGGCCATGCCCGTTGAATTCAATGCCGAGTATCGATTCATTTTATTCCATATCGGTATTTCTTGAGAGATTGTACGCTATCTGTATCCAATTACACGCACGTGCGAATCACTACATGTATATGCATGCACAGGCCATCGGGAGAAAACCGCCTGCGCCAAAGTCGTCTCGAGGCACCACCAGAAAATTTCAAACGCCAAATGTAGATAACCACCGCCACACCCTATCATCATCGCCCCTTCCTCTCACAGCTTGGCCTTGTCCTCGTCCAGGAACACGTCCGGGTACTTAAACCCCGAGTCGCCGAGCGTGAACGCCGGCTGCCGGCGCCAAGCCGCGCCGTCCACGACGAGCGAGTGGCCGTTGACGTAGCTCCCCGCCTCGCTGAACAGGTAGACGGTGGCGTCCGCGATGTCGCGGACCGTCCCCATGCGGCCGGAGGGGATCTCGCGGACGAGCGCGTTGCCGGGCTTCTTGGCCGCCGAGCCGCCGAGGCGCTCCATGCCCTCGGTGCCCTCGATGGCGCCGGGGGCGATGACGTTGGAGTTGACGCCGCGCGGGCCGTACTCGAGCGCGACCGAGGCCATCAGCGAGTCCACCGACGCCTTGGCCGCCGAGACGTGCGACTGCATCACGAGCCCCGTGTAGTGGAACGTGGCCGAGACGTAGACGATGCGCGGCGTCGGGCTGCGCAGCACGTGCGGCAGCGTCGCCTTGATGGTGTTGAAGGTGCCGAGCACGTCAATGTCCATGACGGACTTGAACGCGTTGGTGCTCAGGCCGTCCATGGGCGCGATGAAATTGCCAGCGGCGCCGGCACTGCAAGATTTGGGCGGTCAGCCGTGCTGTCGCTCATTACGGTGAGGGTTTTGGTCCGTGCCCAACGGCCAGGCTACTCACATGACAAAGTCGATGCCTCCCAGCTCCTTGGCACAGCGGTCGGCGGCATTCTTCAGATGTTCGGCCTAATTTACGAATTTCTCGTATCAGTAATAAGGCCACCCCCGAGCGCACGGGAGGAAATTGCAAGCTTACGTTACGGACGTCGCACGCGCCGATGCCAATGACCTTGGCGCCCGGGCGGACGGCGGCAATGTCCTTGGCCGCCTTGTCCGTCTTTTCGACGTTGCGGCCGACGATGCAGGCGTTGGCACCGAGGCGAACGAGTGCCCTGGCCTGCATGCTGCAGATGGTGCCGTTGCCACCGGTGATGAAGGCGACCTTGCCGTCTGGTCGGTGGGTGGGTGGTGGTTAGCGACGCGGACCACAGGGAGGGGGAGCTTCGTTGCTCTTCTGGGTACTGACTGAAAAGGCCATCCCTCCAGACGGGGCTCAGGTAGTGAGATTCGGGATATGACATGGCGATGTTTCTTTTGCTGTGTTTATGCAGGAGGTGATGATGGATGCAGAGGGGGGCACGGTCGCAAACGCAGTGGGGTTGTTGGTCTGGCTGGCTTGTGAAGATGCGGTCAAGAGTGTTGAGGGTTGACGAGATGAAGTGAATGGGCGGCACGGATTATATCGCGGTGAGCCTGTGGCGGTTATGATGCTTTGATGATTCCGGTCGGCACAGCCGGAGTTGATTTGTCGTCGTCTCCAGTGCCTGAACGGACTGTATGCGGTTCAGCCTGCAGCTTTGATTCCGACGTGTGCCTCGGCATGCTGGCTTGGTGGCTCCACATTCAAGTTATAGAGCCGGGGTAGCGACGTCGCCGTGGCGGCGGCTGTCTGTATGTATTGAGCATGGGCGGCATATGCAAGTTGATTCAAACAAATCTGCTATAAATTTTCGGAATTGAAAACAATGTTTTTTTGGTTCAGTTGAGATGTTGCTTTCAAAGAGCATCTGCAGTCTTTTGTCGCTGCATGCGTCTGTGGCTTTAGACATGTTTCCGCAGCCTACTAGTCTAGCACAGCGAAGGGGAGACCTTGAACAGGACTCCCAGCCTGAATAGGGATAAATTGAAGGAACAGCATAAAGTTGTGTCCAAATTGCTCAATTCATTGTCGCGCACAAAGATACCGCGCTTTATGCCAAGTTGCAGGTCCGCGGCTACTGAACGCCACGACAATCAAGCTCATCAGGACATACATACCTACCCTATAGCGGTTGGTGCGGGGCCGGACGGCGATCGACCCCGGGGCTGCGGCCCGTGAAACGGTCAGCAAACTCGGCGTTTCCGCGAACGCCGGGCCCGATTCTCCTCGTTGCGCAGCCCGGGAGTTCGGCGTCCTAGATTCGGCTTTGATGCTTGCAGTAGAAATGCCGGGCCGCGACCTCCGCCGCGGCGGGATGCCCTACGAGGCGTTGGCCACCCTTCACGTGTCGGCCGAGGGGATGAGGGGGCGCATTGTCAACATGCATGCCACGCTTCAAATTGCTGCAGAGTTGAACCTTGATATCCTTATGCGGTGACGTCGGGCTGCCCGTGACCTTTTGGGCGTGCGTGCGTGCGGGTTGGCCGTGGAGATGTGTGGGATCCCCGTTCCCCATAACGGGTGTGGGTGGGCTGGTGATGTTGGTCGAGTTTTTCGGAAGAGAAGGAAAAAAAAAGGTGCTTCGGAAAATTTTCCCGGGTGCTACGGCTCAGGCGAGACCCGCTCGTTGGAGATAGCGGGTATATCAAAGTGCGGATGCCGGCGCGACCTTACGATGTTTCCATGTAAGAGGAAGCGGACGATCATGTTGAATCTTGACTCGAGATGCTGTAGATACGACGGACGACGGACGAGTTACTAGAAGCCACAACTTGACATTTCACCAAAGAGAAAACGCATTCAGCTTGCACCGTGAGCTGCTCGCACAGTCGCCAACTGAGAAAGGTGTGTTAATGCATGGTCTTGTTGGTCCAGGGGGTGTCTTTCACTAAAACAAGGGAAAACGTCGCAGCTTGTATGCTTTGAAGTCGATGACAGGGATCACCATACGAAGTACCCCATGCATGCATGCATGCATCAGCCAGCCCAGACCGAACGAGCCGAAGCTCCGATATCTAATCAAGCATGTGTCAGAGACGTCGGCGGGGATAGTAGAGGGGCAACGGAGAAATATGGCTGAGAAGCTTGATTTGTCTTTAAGAGACAAATCTTGGACAGCCATGCAAACAAGGTCGATGCGCACTGACGAATGGCTGACACTTGTTCAGCGCAGCCTGTGTCGTCCACTCGTAATACCCGAAACCTTGTCCTCGGGGAACTGGCCAATGGCACTCGTATTATCTACAAAGTTGGAAGGATTTACCCGGGTTCGCGCGGGCTATGGGAGAAAATGTATGAAAATAGAAAAGAAAATCCTTGCTCTGCCCCAGTCAAAGGTGCCGGTTTTTCCGCTTGCGGTCGCCAGTGCGTTGTTGTTGGCCGTGATGTTGCAGTGTGATATAAGCCGGAAAAAAAAACCGAATGTCTTGGTTTGCAACAACACCCTGATGAGGGTTACAGCGAGTTCTGACAGGACAGCCTGTAAGATGCAAGGCAAAAAAGGAAGGGCTTAAAGCGGCCGGAGATTTTCGTGCAGTAGCACCGCCGCCCCTTCGGACCCTGGTTGACAAGGATCGAGGCCATCTTCTTACTAGTAGAAAACTCATAACTGGAAAACAAATAAAAACAATCCAGTCAGTAGCTCTAATATGTACATAGGCGGAAAAAACAAGGCAGAAGAGGAACTCGGCAGGGCTTGAGCGAGACATCTGGACGGGAAGCCGAGGCATGTCATTTTGCGGCGTCGATGCAAGCCACAATCATACTGGGCTTGCATGTATATTAATCTATTTGGCATGTCATTGCTCAAGACATGCATGCAGTAGAGAACCTGCAGCGAGCACCGCCGCCTTCTTTTTGTCTGTCCGTCTTGAACACGCCCGGCGTGGTCGAAACAAATGTGGCCACTTGTTGACTAGAAATCATGGCTTGCATCTGGACTCTTGGAAATTCGACAGGTTTGCAGTGAAACGTCATCTTTGCAGGAAAACGTCACTTTACTCGCTAGGCTTCTGCTTGGCCGAGGGGTTGTGTCGTCGGAGGCCGCCAAAGATGAACATGTCCATACATGATAATAATTCGTAATACTATCACTAACTACTAATTAATACCAAGTTACGGCAACTTGCCGCTTTGGGTCACATTGCGTCGTCAACTTGTCCTCCTTTGCATCGGTCTCCCACCCGCCGATATAGCCTATATTATTATTTTATTATTATTTTTAACCTTTTAAGCATTTCTTGAATTACACAGCCCACGTGCAGTGCTTGCTTTTACCAGCTCCCTCCAGAACCCCCTCCGCCCCCCTAGACCTTCTAGTATTATCAATCACGTCAGCTGCCGATAACGTGGCTGATATTTATGCGCTGGCAGCAGCGTATAGTACAATCACATATAGGACATGGGATCGTGTTGCGAATGAGACAATGACATGCAGACGATACCTCGCATGCATCTCCCCTCCTCATCCACCTCCCCCCCTCCTTCCGGCGCGCCCCATCTTGGCCATCTCAATCCGGCCCCCGGAGACGGAGACGGGGCGGAGGGGTGTCTGCCAAGGTCGCCGAAGCGGGATGGGAATGGAAGGTGTCCTTGATTTTTCCCTTCTTTGAATTTGACAAGGGACGTTCTATCAAGGTACCCGCCTTGCGTGTCAGGTGCAACAAGAACTTGGCGCCCGGATCGCCTGCCCTGAGTACTTGATTGCTGGTCGTTTCATCAACAGTGCTGATCTGATTCGATCAATGGTGGGTGCTTTGCAGGGGGAGATGGGAAATTGGGGATATATCTTGGTCGACTAGTTAACTAGTCCAGGAGAGTAGCTGCTGGACCGTAACGTCCACACGCCCGTTGCGACGCTGCACTGCGAGGAACATTGGGTTACCAGTACCAGCAACTCTAAGCAGCGCAGCCTGCAGTAGCCTGAGCTGATCGTGGCCGGTTCTGACGTTGGCTGGAGCACCACCTGGGTATGCTTGAGCAGATCGCTTTCTCGCTTAATTCTCGTACTGTTTTCAACTTCAGCTTCACACACTGGCTGTCCCTTGCTGGCCGCCGCTGGACCAGGGCTGGGGAGGTTGAGCGGTCGTGATCGGTACCCGGTGACGAGTTGCCAACTCGCTGGTACTTGCGTACTAACTAGTAGCAAGATGGACACAAGCGAGAACTGGGTTGCATCTCAAAAAGCTTCCTTTCTTGCTTGCCAACTACGAATACGTATTAGTTGTGAGTTTTGGGTTTCAACGACGAGCGGGCCTAGTTTGCCAAGACCTTACCTGGGAACTCTAAAAATCCGCCCATCAGTTTTCGCTGCTAATGATGGATTGAATACGCAACGGCTCTACTGGTTATTTAATACATACATGACAGTCTAATAGATGTGAACGTACGGACTGACGGGCATCCCAAGAGAACCGAACCCCTCCACACACTACGTATACAGTACACACCTTGTACTATACACCGCCGCGTTACTCCCTGGCCAACTTTAAAACTGCACGGTTTTTTCCTCCGCTCCAGCCTTGCGGCATTCAAATGTTTGTGACCAAGCTGTTTCATCCTGTGCCAGTTATGTTGTTGTCAGTTAATTAGTTATCAATGTTATTGGTGTTGGTTCTGGGCAGTTGCAACTGCAGCGGGGCATTTTATCGTGTCTTGATTATTACGCAAGCTCTTCGGGGTTGATACGCACTCTTGATATGGTAGCAATGTTGGTGTATCCAGGATACTTAACAGTCAGTATGATGCATCATGACTGCAAAAGCTGGCTTCGGAGAGGGCCGCTCACCCATGTATGCTCCATCGCCGCAGCCTCGTCACCTTGCTTGGCCCTCCTGCCCCTCCAGACATCTTCATAATAACCAACTTAATGTATCCGCTGTTATTAACGTTGGCTACCGGCTTTGACTGGAAGCCTCATTCCCGCGCACGGTCTTCCTGACCACGTAATTCGCCTCGTGCTTCGCCGTCCACTTTGCCCCCCCCCCTCCTTAACCAATACCAGTAGGAAAAGGAAACCAAAAAAAAAAAAATAGAAAGACCGCAAAACACACGAGTACCTGGCCTTAGTTCCGGGTTTCGACTAGCTCTGAAGCCTCAGCGTCCCGCCCGTACCATTTGGTGGGCTGCTTTTGAGCTTGTTGGCTCGGATTTAATACTTACACAAGGTTTCCCTGTCGCTCCGGGGAACAAGGAAAAGTTTATTTATTTGAGCGACAAGGGAACTTTGACTTTTGATCCTGACAGATCCCCTGCCTCCCCGGGACGGGTAGAGTTGCCCTGCCGGGCAACGCCTTGACTCCGGAGAAATAAAAAAGACCTCTTGACTTTTGGGACCATGACTTGAGTTTAAAGATGAGGGACATTGATGTTGACGCCCGGGTTGGTTGAACGACATGTGCTAGCTAGCTGGCGATCAAGAGGCGTCGGCCTGCTGCGGACGTTCTGCCGAGTTGCGTTTGCCTCGTGATAGAGCAAGGAACAGGCATGTTTGTAAAAGAGAAGTTGACCTCAGACAGGTTCATGAGCCCTTTATTACCTTGCCCAGTCCCCGTCCTTGCCGAGCCATGCCAACGAGCAAGGATTTGCCTAGTTAGCTGTGGCTGCTTCGCCTCACGACACGACCCGCCCTGCGAGCGGTTGTCTTTACCTCGTACGGATGCTCCAACTCAATCTCTCTGACCTCTTTTTGTTATCATCCCAGGACCTCATTTCGATACACTCTCACGCCATTTCAAATGCAGCAGCGACCGGGCTCTGTCGAGTTATGAGTTGAGTTCGCCTTCCGGAGACTTGGAATGGTCTCACTCGGACCAGCCAGGGACGGAGGTGGTCGTACGAACAAGCGACTTGCAACCTTTTTTTGGTCGCCGTTTAAAAAACGCCCCGGAGCCTCTTCAAACGTCCGGATCCTAGCCGTTCATCTAATTTGATGCCTAGCCTGTTTAGAACCTTCCTGCCCCCCCCTCCTTTATTGAACCAGTGCAAAAGCTTCATTGAAGCCAGTGCAAAAGAAAGAAGCTTCGCTTCTTTTACGGACTGCAGGTTTGTAAATGTCCAGCCAGGCACCTCACCGTATTTTCTTGGTCTTGTGCCTGTAACCCGATTTCTCGGGCCAGTCAGTCACATTGTCGGACCACATCGCTGCCGAGAGAGGGAGAATCAGGGCACAAAGGGCCGTCCGTGCGCACAGGCGGCTTCATGTTGGGGGGGCACGGGCTTGACAGCCGAGAGGGAATCAATAGAGAAGGGTGGTTATTAATGCCTTACCAAGACGGTAATTGCAACCAGCACGCAGACGGACAGCTCAGCAGTTTGGATCCGCCCAAGGCCAAATACAGGACCAGAGAGCCCAACTGTGGCGTGATGTTGGCCTGGCTGTTGTTGCACCTCGATCTTCCTCCCGATAGCCCGAGTGGTTAATAACTTACTGATACGATAATGCTACTAACACTAAAACGTATATGCACAATCCACTGGCCTGCTTTGTTTAAAACACGTACGTCCCTCATGTGTATATATAACACGTATTAGCTCTCTACCTAGCTCTCTACCCAGTTTTTTTTTTTCGGTCCGTCTCAGCTGAGTGAGTGGAGGAACTGGAACTACTTTTTACTATCTAGTCAGTTATCGTTCGCTCCAGGCCGGCCGAGTCATGCGAACTGTGTGTTTCCTAGCCTCTTGCCTCTTTGGGCAATACCATACATGCAAGGCTATGAAAATACCTCGTGGTAGACGCGTGGATGGACGAAACTCCCATCCATGTACTCTGTAACTCTTGCATGTATGTCGATAGTTACAAACTAGACCATGATACACGCCACGGGCATGAGTTGCTGCTAAACTTGGACAATATTGGTGATGCTACCCCGCTCACTCCTACATCATCATCCATGAGAGTAGAAACCATGTTGTGAGGACAAAGAATTGGTCTTGCGCTAGAAGCTACTATTTATGTACATACAATCCAGTTCATGCAACGGTCATGTGTTCTCTCTCTCAATGCGGCCACCCGACCGTCGCGATCTTCAAAGCTGTTTCAGCCTGGCAATTGGACGTCCTGCAGACCGAAGCGGCTGATTGGATTAGGCAAGATCAACGAATTCTAGACGCGTCCTGCGCTGACGCCCCGGTAGCTCGCGAGGCAGCAAGCCCTGGTACGAGGGAGGGCCCGTCCCAACTGCGACGACTCCGGTTTCAAAGCCCCTGGCAAGGCAAGGCGTCGAGTTGCCGCTCAATCGTGGCCAGCCAAGAGACGTGATGAGAAAGATAAGCCTCCGGTCAACAAGTAATTGGGAAATCAGGTCATGTTCAAGGTCGAGTAGATGCCGAATAAGCGGCAATGTGCGCAAGCCCTCAGTGAACCATGTTCTGGGAGCGCAGAGGACCGGAAATATCGTGCCGCTTTTTGGCTTGGCAGCGGCAGTGCTGAAAGTGTGTGTGCCGCCAGCAAGGTGCGGGAATACGGCAGTGGTGGATGGTGAGAAGCGACGTGGCTGATAGGAAAAATTATGGCCCGGGAGGGAAACTTGCTCAGCCGGAGCAGAGGGGACAGCTCTCGGGGATGACAATGTAGCGTTCATGAGGGCCGGCCGGGCAGGATTGCTGGCGGTTGCCGTCGGTAGAGGTGCTGCAGAAGTGCAGGCCCGGGTCAACGCAGGACATGTAGATGTAGTAGTTTTTGGTAAAGTCGCACATGTTGAAGGCTGGGAGGACGGAGGGGGAGAGATCTAACGGGTTGGTTGGTGAGCACATGCATTCGCTCAAGGTGGCAGAGTTGAGGCTACATACCTTTCTTCAGTGAGTGACTATGTGTGAGGGTGAAAGTTGAGTGAGTGAGTGAGTGAGTGTAAAGGTGTGTGTGAGGACGAAAGCTTGTCGACTTTATATGCAAAGCGAGAGCCGTATAGCGGGATGGAAATATTATCCCATCAGACGGGCGGCAAGGGCAGCGGCGTTGCGCGGGAAGCTTATAGCGTGGAGACGCAACTGGCCAATGCTATAGGACAACCCTTGAGTATATAATAGGACAGGGATATTGAACGGAGAATAAGAGATGTTGGGAAGTAAGCCCGATGACAATGACGGCAATTCGCCCGAGAGTTCTGATGTCCTTGGTGTGCTATTAAGCACGTGTGTAGGATATGGATGTGGTCGTTGAGCCTTGGCCTTGTTGAGATCGGATTGAGACGGAGGGCGGGTGGTCGATGGTATTATATGTCTGTGAGCAAGAGGTGTGCCGCAGAGCACTGGACGACTGTGTGGGGGGGGGGGTTAAAAGGTGATGGTAGACGATGAAGTAAAATGAAGGGAAAAAATAAAATAAAAAAGATGAATAAAAAAGATGAATAAAAAAGTCTTGTAAGTCGGGAGGTGTGGTAGGAACGGGAGGGGGGGAGTGGGAGCAAGTTGGCAAAGCAAAGCGAGACATGGGAGCAAGAGCGGGCGACGACTGAGACTTTACGCAGGAACCGGGATACGAATGGGCAAGATGGCCTTGATGAGGGGAGGGGGTGTATGATGATGAAAAGAAGGGTGTTGCAAGAGAGCGGGTGAGTGAGTTTGTGAGTGTGAGTGAGGGTGAGGGTGAGGGTGAGGGTTGCCGCCTCACTCCACCCCTGTCTGTGTGCTTCTTAACGGTCCCTGCTCATGCGGGGGGTCGGAGAGAGAAGGAAATATGTCTGGATGCTATTATTATTATGGAATAATAAGTACCATTATTATAATAGCAGTAGTAGCGGTATGATAAATAAGCACCTTTTTCTTTTATGGTTGCGCCATCATTACACTGGCCTAAAACTATTGTGGATGCAGGTTGAGACGATGCCCAAGCTCACGTCTGAGAGTAAAAGGTGGGGAGGGACCGGGCTGACTTGCCCATTTGAAGTCATAGTGGCATTGCTGCTATTAGAGCCCCGAGGACAAGGTAGTTTACTACTGAATACAACAAGGAAGCGAGCGAGAGAGAGAGAGAGAAAGAGAGAAAACAGACAGCAGTGTTCGCTTATGAGAGATATGAGAGAGCCCTGGTCAGTAAGCCCCCGCCAATGTTTGTGATGAATGAAGCGAATACCCAGTCGTGGTCCTTGATACCTCGCAACTTTCTTTTTATCCATTCCCCTTTTACTGGGTACCTGGTTGCTATCCGTAGTGGTATTAGTTAGTATTGAGATGGCGGCGGAGAAGAAGAAAGCACGAGTTACAGAAAGACGAAGAAGAAGAAGCAAAAGCAAAAGCGGCCCTGTCCGTTTCGGTGGCGCTAGGCTCTTTTGCCGGTTGGCTACGTAGATAATAAACTAACTTATTACATAGTAGTTTAGCCATTAACTAGAGGCTCTGGAGTCGGTACTCCATATCCCTTCTCCGTACACTCGGACTTTTCTCTGCAAATTTGATGTTTTGGGACACCATCACACTCAGCAAAAAAAAAAAAAAAAAAAAAAAAAAAAAAAAAAGGGAAAAATAGGCAACAAGAATTACAAGGAAAAAAAAAACGAAAAAGAAAAATGTGGCGTCGCAAAGTCGACTCCTTGATTCGCTAGAACCCGGATGGGCTTGCAATGTTGGCCATGCATGCATACTGATACATGCGCCTTTCTGGCCCAGATCTCACTCATTCAGTCACAACTTGGCTCTCGGCCGGCATGGATGTTATTGAAACCCAGGCATATACCATACCATGCACACAACGGCATTGTTATCGAGTAATATCCACATAAATTAACGAGTGCACAATTGGCACCCGTTGCCAAGAACCACCACTCCTTCAAAACTCCTCCAAAAAGGCCGTGCTGTCATTAATAACGGCAACACTCGGCGGCAAAATGGTCCAAGGCGCGCATAACGCACAGATGATGTTGGTGAGCCGTGTGTGGCCTTGCCTCGTCGCCTTTTTAGCGGAGCGGGAGCGAACAAAGGCCGTTCAGTCATTGCTCACGGATTCTCGCTCATTATTTGCTTCTCCGGACCCGTCACCACCACCCAGGGCTGTCTTTGTGTAGTACCATTTAGTACAGATAGGATTATGAATCGGTGATTTGCACAGATATATCCAACTGGTCGGCCAATTGCCGTCAACCACCCAAAATGCAACACCACGGCGTCGCGTAGCAGGCAGGGTTGGCATCAACCAAGTCCTTTCCTTTCCTTTTCTTTTTTTTTCAGTCTTGCCCCCTTCTTCTCTTGGACGGACAAACAACTGTCGGGCAGCCGAGAACCAAAACGTCTGTTCCCTCCCCCGCAGTAGCGCGGAGAGATGGCAACTTGGCCCGCTCTCACAATGCAGGGTCCCGAGTTCCTCTTTTTTTGATCCTTGCAACTCGCAGCTCTCATTCTCACATTCTCACATTCTTCCCACTATCCGTAACTCGTAGTTATTAGTTAACTATCAGTCAAGCATGCGTGACCGGCTATCGTGGACTTGGTGTCTTCGCTTATCCCGCTCCGACCTTGGAGTGTGAAACCCCAAGCCGGCAACTAACACACCATCCACTAACTAACTAACTAACTAATCAACTACCACGTCTGAATGGGTGGCGCGACAAGGCAGATGAAAATCGTCCGAGTTGGCAATGCAGGGCTAATTTAGCGCCCTCTCTGCCGTGTGAAACCCGTCGACGTTGAGGCCAACGCTAATGGCGCTGGTGATGCATTGCATGCATCATATTGGACCGGTTCAGCCACAGCCACGAGTTCATGGGTAAGAAGTCAGTTTTTTTTTTCAAACCAATTCATGTCCGTGGAACGATACGTGGACAGGTAGCGTTTCAATATTGAGATGGATCGGAGAAATCCCAGCAACTATGGATAGTTGTCAAGGCTGTCAGTCAGGATACCAGGGGGAGGGGGGCTCGAGTAATATTCCTGGTAGACGGCTCATAGCCGTGCAGCCACGACCAGTGTGAGCGGTCTGGCCGATTTACCGTGATTGCCTTGCCTTCCCCAGAGATGACGGTGTGAAGTTAATATAGCTATGTAGCTATGTACTGTAGTTCGCTAGCTAATATTGTTTAGGGTCGTGAGATGTTTTTGAGTTGTAGACTAACAAGGTAATTACTTGAACTTGCTTGATGATTTGACAACTGCCAGTAGTTCATTTGTAGTTGGAGAGTAGCTACATGCCGACTGAAGCAAGCTTTCATGCAACCCCCTGTTGCAACGCATTTACTTTGGCTCTTTCATCTACCTGGTGATCCCGATATGAACTACTGGTAATTCGTAATATGCACACCAATTGGGTTTGAGATATTCCTGCAATTACCACCATCTCACTGCAGCTCATCCTGTGCCAAGTCCAATCTTGTACCAAACCAGGGTTACTTTGCGCTACCAATGGATCTGGGATTCTCAAGCCACAAGTGGAAAGACAAGTCAGAGAAGCGAAGCAGCGAACTAGCCCCCCGATGACATTCAAAAAAAGCAAGCCCTTCCATCTCGACTATGAACAATGCTAGTCGTACGAATTACGGAGTAGACTCGGCTTCGCTGCCGCAGCAGAGCCGCAGTGACGCTCTGATGAGCGGACAAGCGGCCCGTCGAGTGACAAAAGAAAAAAAACGTCTCGTCGAGGCCTGGTCGTCTACCCATGATGATCTGCATTCCCCATCCCCCAGTAATGAATGGCTGACACCAAAAAAAAAAAAGCCCCCAGAGACAGGCTTCGACGCCCATCGCATCATGAGAAGTTGTCCCGTTGTTTTGCTTTTTTTCTGTAGCCTCTCCCAACCCGTGTCTTCGCCCATGCCCAGCACGGGACTGCGATGTAACCCTCACCGGAAATATGTGCAACTCCAACAAGAAGACTGAAACAAAAAAAAAATCGGACAAGAAAAAAAAAAGAGACGAACAGAAAATAATATGACAAGTACAAGCTGCTGAAACACCATCAACTAAGACATCGATGTCACTGTGGTATTCCGAGGCAAATGCAAAAGCTCTCTCACCCCTGCTCCAAGCTGCGTTCCGCGGCCAAGTGGCGCGAGAAGCCTCAAAACAGGCCCCCCGGTGATGAGAAGAGTTATTGTGCATATTTCTATTTTTAAAAGATATATCCGTCCGTTTCTTCGTATTCCTGGGGAGTATACGAACCGGAAACATTGAGCATCTCGTGAACTGAACGACAACGGGCCCGGCATGAGTGAGACGCGGGCAAAGAGAACGTTTCACTTGGACAAAGGCTGCATATCATATCCATTTCCCGTCTTCATCGCCAAGCGGGTTAGTTAGAAATAATAGACGGCGCCGCCACTCGACCGACCGAACACGCTTGCTCCCGCAGCTACACCACTTGCCGAGACATCTTTCCCCTCAGTTGCGAGGCTTGATGATATTGAGAAGCTAACTAGCTACTGGTACGACGCATGCATGCATCTTTTAGCTTTCTGATCTTTTTTGACCAGGAAAAGCCATCATCGTGCGACAGGCGTCTCCTACTCGTCTCAAGTGGCTGCTCTAAAGAGACAAATGGGTCGACCACTTTGTGCAAAACGGACGACATGTGCTTGCAAGCATGCGGCGCCAACCTGGCATAACTCTTGTGACCAACTACACGACACGACATCCAAGCTTACCCGGTAGTAGGCCAATACACTGCCCGTGCACAGTCATTGCACTGGTTAACAATGCTCATTCGCACAGCCTTTGAGAGCTTCAAGTCTCCAAGACCCCCAAGACACCTGCACATGGCCGTGGACAGGGCAGACGGTTGTTTCTGGAACATGTGACCAAAGATTGACTCGGTTTCCGCATATCTACGAATACCAAAGTCATGCATGGAGTTGTAGCCACTCAGCCTTCAACCCGACAGACTTGCCAAGCCGGTCCGAGTCCAACGAGCTCGGGACTGCAGTATGCGACACAGCCCGAGCTCACCATGCGACACATGAGCCTCCACTGAACAACTTTTATTGTATTTTCATGGCCAATTGCACTTTTCCCCATCTACAGAACTAAGAGGCACAAAAACTAGACAGGAATCAGTGGCGTTTTCTCCACGACAGTTGGTGCCATGGCCACGGCCCAAGCTGTGAGCCCCCCATTATGTCCGTGCCCAGAAACCACACTCCCACGGCTCCGAGATTGATGCACGACATATACGGACTTTATTTACACTTTTTACTATTCATCAGCTATGCAGTGTAATTATTGGACGACAGCTTGTATTTTATGGTGCTGCGATTGGCCTCGACATGTTTGGACGTGGTTAACGCACATGCGACTATCTCATGTGCCTTTCCACTGCACGACGGTCAATTTTCCCAGATTTCCCAGAAAAAAGACCAAGGGTAAAACTTGGAATATTGCAATAATCAGAGATAGTTCCTTTCATGAAAATAACCAGTACCAACTGAATTTATCTTGGATGGCCAGAGGGTTCCTTTTTTGAACAGCACGCTCGCATGTTGGAGCCGTCACCTTCCTGTTATTTTCATCTTCGTGTTCCCTACGTGGGAGTGTCAATAGCAAAGAATAAAGAAAAGGAATCATAGCGCTGGATGGAGAAATGCACAAGAGTCCCCGAAGCGCAATGAAGTTGCACACCGACAACGTCCATCCATCGTCCGTGTGCTTGTTTCAAGCCAAGTTGACTAGACCCGTCATAACCTATGCTTGAACCAAGTTTTTTCTCTCGCCTCGCCTAGTGATGATGGGAAAAAAGCCCCGGATTGATAATTGGAGGTGTAAGACTTGCCTGAACCCTTTCTAATCGTACAGCTCCTAGCCTCATCAGAGTTGTCAAGATTCGGCTGTGTATCAAGGCTGACAGGGCTATGTAGCTAGTTAAGAAGAGAACGTTAGATATACCTGAGCAACTACCCGTGGCTCGGGCATGGCTTGGACCACTTTCCCTGCAGGATTCTTCGGCGCTGGAATTTATCATTTCGGTTTTCTTCGTATTTATTAAATTAATCATTTTTGGCATATCTTTTTTATTCTTGATTAACTTGCGTGTTGGAGCTTCAGGTGCTATAGTAGTTACTTGCGCCTTTTGTGTACAAACGACCCACCAGCCACAGTTGTGTGGATGTGTCATGTGGCGCGAAATTTAACGAGAACGCGACGCCACAGCTGCGCTGCATCGCGATCGCCCATTGAAAGGAGAGAGACAGAGGCAACGCAGCGCTGCATGGTACAGCATCCTGCTGAAAACCTCTTTTCAGCTACCCCTCAATACTTTTGAATCCCAGCACACCCGAATCGCCCATACTGCAAATTTCAACCATCGAGAAAGACGACCTTCGGCACTGTCATCTCCATGCTTTCTGCAGCGGGCCCCCGTTGACTGAACCGCCGCCCGATCCTTCAGGGGGGAGAGAGAGTCAGGGATCGATAGGTACCTAGCCAGCGGACCGCTTGGCCATCTCGACGAAAATGGCGAGCCTTTCACCCAGCGGTTCGCGAATCCCTGGTGCCGACCAAGACGACGTTTTACGAATCGACTTTGCATCGCCAGAGCACACCATGGCCGCGACTACCGCCAAAGCAGAGCTATCTGACGGCTCGACCCCGGACTTCCACGATGCAGCCCAAAACCACCAGAAGCTAGTTGATGAATCTGGCTTGCAAGAACATCCCGATGCCTCCCCAGATAACGAAGATGCCACCGGCGCCCTGGTAAACGGCACGGCCGGTAACCAGCGTGGCCCCAGCGGCGACGACCAGCCACATATCCAACGACCCCTCGGCCCGACAAGAACACCATCCAGCACATACAACCCGTCGACATCTCGAAGGCCACGACCGCCCCAGACAGAATCAACCTTCGATGGAACTGTCCGATCGTCCTCTGCAACGCGCCCGTGGCCGAGTGATAGTAGATTTCGCGCCCAGGAACGGGCCTACGTGCAAAAATTACGACAAGAATACGATGGCGAGTATTTCAATCAATACGACAATATCGGCAACGACTCAGACTCGGATGGCGAGACGCCGTCGTCTGAAAGCCCCTTTGATGATCGTCTCGAACAAGACACTATCATGTTCTACGGAAATGATAACGTGCTACCAACCGAAGACGAATTGAAGGACCCCGAGAGTCGAGAAAGGCTCGAGTGGCATGGTATGCTCGAAGCTGTCCTGACGGGCGATGTCGTGCGGCAAGAGAAGAAGAGGCTGATTGGCTCGTCCGATCAGGCTGTCGGAAAGACTGGTCACAAATCAGAACTCTGGATCGGTGTCCGCAGCAAGGTGTGCGGCCGACATCTTCCAGTGCAGAAGCGCGTCGTGGAGGAGGCGCGCGCCACTCTCGATCGAACACTGGACGACATTATCAACTTCAAAGTCAAGGGCGAGAGCGAGGCAGGCAAAAATCCCTACGAGCAGGTCTGCGACATTGTCACCTCGATCGAAAAGTGTGAAAGCCTGTATCCTTCCTGGGTTGCCCTCATTGCTGAGCATCCAACGGCGGCCTCGCCACACTTCAGTGAGGCCTACGGCGCAATCTTGTCTTGGTATAATACCAATGAAATGATCAACACTGAGCTGTCTATTCTCAAGAAGTGGGTTGGCAACGATGAGCTCGACTTCTCCCGCACCAAACAGCGGTCGCCAGCCGTGGACGGCATTGCACCCGACGAAGCTTCATTCCTGGACAGACTCATGAAAGAAGACGGACTGCAATCCTTGTTTGACGACACGATCCCGGAAAAGCCCAAAGGCATGCTGCCGCCCATCGGAATGGTCATCTCAAAGGCCAAGGAGACCTTCATCTGCAACTCTGAACCCTTTCAGAAACGACACCTGCCACCCTACTTGGATGAGCTCTTGACACTCATCAGCTTTCCATCTAGACTCATCGAAGAGATTACGCGAATGCGTCTTGCTTACGCTAGGAGAGTTAAGGAGACCGCCCAGCAGAATCCCTTGATGCAGGATCAGATGATTTCACAGTTCCAGCTGCTGCTCAAGGCAGCCATTCGAATCAAAGGAGATTACCTTACAATAGAAAAGCCCGAGCCAGGTTGGGATCTCCCTCCATGCATCGACGAATCCTTTGACCACGTGGTGCTGGAGGCGTTGAAGTACTACTTCAAGATGCTCAACTGGAAGCTCACCGGCAACAGGAACACGTTCAAGGAAGCTGAACTGTTGTTCCAGGAGTGGGAGTTTGCAAACGATATTGGCAGGCAGCTGCAGCGTGGCCATATCGAGGTTGCCGAGCAGTTTAGCTCGCTGACCCTGAAGGCCATCAGCCGTCTCAGCCAGACATTTGAGAGAGAGTTGCAAGCCAAATCAGGTGAATCGGCCGCCGAGATGACGAAGCGATACAAGGCTTGCCTGGACTCGGTCCGTGTGCGCCAGCGAATGCTGCAGCGTTTCTCGCGCATGCTCAGCGACAACTACGAGCACGCGTCAGACTATAGCATCTCGTACGCGCCTGAAAACATGTCCAAGTTCTTTGACCAACTGGCGGCTACGGGCCACTTCCGTTTGCAGACTGGCGTGTTTGAGAAGGATGGGATCTACATCATAGCATCCCCAGACTTGCACGAAAGGCTTGATGACATCCAGGCGATGATGGCGGTTACCAAGAAGGACACCTTTGAGGAGAAGTCGAGCGCCGGGTATATACTAGTGGTGCGGCCGGAGGAGCCTCTGAGTTGGTTTGGCGAGGTCATCAACGTGTCGCTCAGGAGCCAAGTTATTGACTTGAAGCGTGGGCAGCTTCGTCTCTGCGCCACCAGCTCGCAAGCCCTTCCCAATGCCAGAAAGGAATTCCTGGATGCGGTTGACATGCATGTTGATCTTTTACAAGAAGCGAGATCGAACATTCACAAGGTTAACCAAAAATTGACGGACATTCGGAAGGTCACATACAAGCTTTCCAACACGTTCATGGACAGCGTCGAAACGATTCGGAGACAGGCGCAAGGAACGGGAACAGACTGCAATGAGCTCATTCAGACCTGCTTTGTGTTTGCGACAGACTTTGGTCAGCGATCGTTGCTCTACATGGACAGCAACAGACGGCAGATGAATAATCTGAAGCTCACCAAGCTTGCCCTTGACTGGGTCAGCTTCATCTGCGACGACTGCGTTGCCTCGGACAGAAGGACGTTTCGCTGGGCAGTGCTTGCGCTGGAACTGGCCATGGGCATGACTCGTGGACGACACATGCTCGCGCTTGGCGAAAAGGAGTACTCGACGCTGCGAATCAAGGTGGCTGGGTGCATGTCGGTATTGATCTCCCACTTTGACATCATGGGCGCGCGATCCAACTTGGCGGCGCAGGCGGAGAGAGAAAGAGTCGAGGCGATGATGGGCCAGTTCAAGAAGCTGGACAGCAAGAAGATGCTTGACGACGAGGAAGCGGCGAGATGCATAGCGCTGCAGCGGATCGAGCTGCTCGACAAGGTTGACGAGGCTCGGCTGGAGAAGGAAGCCGAGCGGCGATCGCTAGGCCGTGTCCTGGAGGCGAATAACGAAGCCGACCGGTCGCTGGCCTACCTGTCGTCGTCGTCGATGAACATGACGATGCGCTGGCAGCAGGGTCACTTTGTTGGGGGTGGTACTTTTGGCAACGTCTATGCCGCCATGAACCTCGAGTCGGGCCAGCTGATGGCTGTCAAGGAGATTCGACTGCAGGATCCCAAGCAGATCCCGACGATTGCGGAGCAAATTCGGGACGAAATGGGCGTGCTGGAGGTGTTGGACCATCCCAACGTCGTGGCGTACCACGGCATCGAGGTGCATCGCGACCGTGTCTACATCTTCATGGAGTACTGCTCTGGCGGGTCCCTTGCCAACCTGCTTGAGCATGGACGAATCGAGGACGAGCAGGTCATCACTGTGTATGCGTTGCAGTTGCTCGAGGGCCTCGTGTATCTGCATGAAAGCTGCATCACCCATCGTGATATTAAGCCAGAGAGTACGTGTTTCCCAGAACCATTCCGACGAGTAGCATTGACTAATTCCGGTGACAGATATCTTGCTTGATCATAATGGCATCATCAAGTATGTTGACTTTGGTGCTGCCAAGGTGATTGCCAGACAAGGCCGAACGCTGGCGCAGGACCTGCACGCGACGAAGCCGAACAAGTCGATGACGGGCACGCCCATGTACATGTCGCCGGAGGTGATCAAGGGAGAGCTCTCGGAGAACTCCGGCAAGGCCGGGGCGGTGGACATCTGGTCTCTGGGGTGTGTCATTCTGGAGATGACGACGGGCCGGCGACCGTGGTCCAATTTGGACAACGAGTGGTCCATCATGTACAACATTGGACAGGGCAACGCGCCGGCGCTCCCGACGACGGAGTTTCTGAGTCCGCAGGGCCTCGACTTTTTGAAGAAGTGCTTCATCCGCGACCCGAGCAAGCGGTGGACGGCTGTCGAGCTGCTCCAGCATGAGTGGATCATGGCCATCCGCAGCCAGGTGGTGGAGTCGCCGACGCCGAGCGAGATGAGCTCGTCGGCCGCGACGACGCCGTACTCGATGTATCAGTGATGGAGGTGTGAGGGGGATGGATGGTGGACACACGGAGGGGAGAGGCATATGAGGTGGTGGAGCTGACACGGGCTCGAATTCGAATATTGTCGGTGGCCAGGAAAAGCATGCTGCGATACCATGTAACGAATTTCTTATATATATAATTACAACCATGATGAATGAAGCTTGTTTCCTTGAAGTGGTAGCAGGTAGACCTCGGAATGCTGCTTGATACGCGCCTGCATGATGGACAATGCTGCATACGGCAATGCAGAAATATGACTTGTGACCAAACTGCCTGCATCATACGAGAAATGTGCAATTCAAAGCAGCCGCTGACCGTACCGCTCGCTGGCGTGTGGCGGCCCGATTTCGATGTGCCGTGGTCGGACGGAGGTCACCGAAGCGGGGAAGCCGCGCTGTCTCTTCGCACCCCGCCCATTCGGAAAACTTGGCGACGGCCCGTTTGATGATCTTTTTTCCATCCCATCTCCTCTCATCATCGATCATTGAATCTTGACCAGGCTTCTCTCTCTCTCTTTCTCTCTCTCTCTCTCTCTCTCTCTCTCTTTCTCTCTCCGTCACACACACACACACACACACACACACACACACACGACGTCAGAATGCCCCAGCAGCCACCGCCCATCCTCGACGGCAAGGACGACGCCGTCATCGCCGCCACCTGCGCCGCGCACCGCCTCTCGCGCGCCGACTTTGACGCCCTCCGCGCCGGCGCCCTCGCCGCCAAGGCCGCCGCCTACTGCCCGTACAGCAAGTTTCGCGTCGGCGCCGCCCTCCTGCCCGCCGCCGGGGAGGGGGCCCCGGGCGTCGTCAAGGGGTGCAACGTGGAGAACGCGAGCTACCCGGTGGGCATGTGCGCGGAGCGCGTCGGGCTGGGCGCGGCGGCGGCGAGGGGCGTCAGGAGCTTCGCCGGGTTGGCGGTGGCGACGGACATTTCGCCGCCGGCGAGCCCGTGCGGCATGTGCAGGCAGGCGTGGGTTTTGCTTCTCCCGGCTGCCAAAAGGGGGGGGGGGAAGAAGGGGCTAACGTGAGAGCATCGGCAGGATCCGCGAGTTTTGTCTGGGTGACATGCCCATCATCATGTTTGACAAGAACGAGGACTTTGTCGTCATGACGGTGGAAGAGGTATGGCTTGGCCGTGGCCGTGGCCGTGGCCGTGGGGAGAGAGTCGTGTACTTGGTCCCGTGTGCTGACACTCCGGTTTGCAGATACTGCCAATGTCCTTTGGCCCGGACCAGCTGCCGCCGCCCGGGGCTCCCGGCACATGAGCCGTTGCCGTGCATGTTCCACGAGTGGCTTTGAGAGGTTTGCATATCCTGGCGAGGTGTTGTGGAGTATCAATGATTGATGTGGCTTGGACGAAAGTTGCGAGGAAATTAGTGTGTATGTATTAAAGGGATCCCGTATAGTCAAGTTGGGACACCGGTCCATTTCCCCCGATCCCCGAAATTGCAAAAAAATCTGTGTATCCTCGGTCAACTCAGTGCATCACCGGCAGAGTTCGCATCCCAAGGCGCCGATTCCCAATCCTAGCCACCCGCCTACGCCGTCTGCACCGCCGGCGGCTCGTCGAACCAGCTCCACGTCTCACCCCGCCGGACACTCCGGGCCCGCCTCCTCCGGCCCCGGTGTAGGCGGCGGCGTGACCTTGGCCTCCGGGACGACAAACACCGTCACCACGCTCGTCGTGGTAGACGTGACCACCGTCACTTCCTCCGCGTGCTTGTCCTTGCCGTCCGGCGCGGCGACCCACGTCGTGCCGTCCGGGCAAGGCTCCGGCGTGGGTGGAGGAGCCGGCGCGACGCACACGGTCACGTCGACGGTGACGGTCTTGACGAAGCGCGCCGGCGCGGGTACGGCAGGGCAGGCGAGGTCGCCGGCGCGTTCCTGGTGCGCGGGGGGGGAGATGCCTGGCGCCGCGTGGGCGGTGGTGGCTAGGATCCCGGCGGCGACGGTCGCGATGAGATGTAGGCGGCGCATTGTAACTTGGGAGGTTGTGATGCCGGGGTGGTAGATGAGAAGGTTGGCGGGAAGAGGAAGGGAGCGGAATGTATAACGTGGCCGAGAAATCGCAATGGGCGACAACTTGTTACTGCTTCTCGACTTGAGCGGTTGGTTGTGGTGGATGCGGATCGAGACAGCACAACAGAAAGAGTGACAATGATGCTTATTTGAACTGCTTATGGATCTCTTTGATATTTTGCGTGTGAAGATATACTAAACGATAGCCACAACGCACCCGGGCGGGCGATGGTTCTTTCTAAGTCTCTTTATGCTTTGCCAGTGAGACCTGGATTTTCTGCTTCAATAGCAAGGGCGGATGAGATATTGAAGAGGGCGCCAGCACTAGTAACCGATGTAATTATTTCTACACGACCGAGGGGCTAAGGGCGATGAAGGGGTCATGTCGTTGAGACATGGCCTCCTCATTGGGGAAGTAGTCGCACTACAGACCAACGCAAGGGGGCAAGTGAGTCGAAAGTGGACAACACGAGGAATTCTCCGCAAGCAAGGGCGGCCGCGCGGAGTCGCATCTTGCTAATACATATTAAGCTCGTATGGATGCATTCAGAGACTGTATTCAATGGGCTACCTACTCGAGTTGGCAGGGTTGGCAGATGGGGCTTGGTACAAACTTGCGCCTTGCGAACCGGGCTTTGCACTAGGCTAGCATAGCACAACTCGAGGGCCATGAGAAAAAGGGTATCAAATCAATAAATCAATCATTCGAGGGGAGTGGACTGCTCCAACCAACGTCCCGCGTAAACAGAAAATCAATTCGCCATCAAAGCAAGACGAAAAATGCGACATGAAAAACAAATCGACCCGCTCGGCTAATGGTCAAGAAACGCACCCTCCTTGTGCGCCAGTAAAGCGTGGAAAAGCACCAAGCATGCTGAGAAAAGTAAAACCCAAGTGATTCGTAACAGTGTCAATCTTCCCAAATAGTTTCAAGGTCCAAGTCGCCTCGTCGTTCGGCGCCACATACACTCCATCGCTTGCGCTTTTCGCGCGGCCCAAATGTAGAAAGGGTACGGCCGCGACTCGGTGTGTCGAGGCTGCTGCGCCCCTTGGAGTCAGACGACGAGTCGCTGCCTTCTGCTGCTTCATTGGCGGCCGCCTGCAGCTGCGCTTGCCGCTCGGCCTCGAGGGCTGCCTCTTCGGCGTCTGGTGTGTCGGGAATGGTTTCCAGGCTGGATATACTGGGGCTTCGGGACCTGGTAGAGGTCGGCGTAGAGGGGATAGAGGAAAAACTCCCGCCATAGCTGTCATAGGCCCTGTATAAAGGTGAGGAGGCGGTGGAGGAAGGCGTGGTCGGTAAAGGCGTGTAGGAGCTGGAAGCGGAAGGTGGCATGTTTTGGAATGGTGACGGAGTTCGGCGGTAGCGCGTAGAGGAACCGGAGGAAGACCTCATACTAGGCGAGACGCTTCGTTCAGAAGATGTCCTTTCGGGGTCCAGAACTGTCGTTCTCACGGGAGACATGGGCGGGAAAGCTTCGTCGGCGGGTTTGCGGGGCGTTCGCAGGCGGCTGGGCTCAGAGGGACTAGCGGGACGCAGCTGAGGGGAGAGGAGGATGTGACCAGAGCCATTGACTCCAGGTAATGATCGAGTGCGGGACATGGAGGGCGCTGATGTTATGTTGGTGGCAGACAAGGAGCGAGTATGGGAGATGGAGAGCGGAGAGGCGGTGCGCGGGCGAAATGGTATGGCGGTAGGTGAGGGCGTCCAGGAATTTGAAGAGGAGGAGGATGAGGACGAATATGCGGAGGAGTAGGCGGAGGAGAAGCTGGAGGAGAAGCCGGAGGAGTGGCTGGCGGGGATAGGATCCGTGCTGCGTCGTGTGGCTGCAGGCTTCTTTATGATGTTGAGGTCGGAAGAAGAGGAGTCATAGTGGGAGGCTCCGAGGTGCAAGGTCGGCAGTGGTGAGGGACGAAACTCCTCCATACGCTCCGTCTCGGGGACAGGCTCCATGGTCGGCGAGAGGAAGGGCTGCCAGCGGTAAGAGCCGTGTACGTGGTGGCGAAGGTCAGTGGTGGCCGGCTGGGTTGTGTTGAAGCGGAAGAGAAACTCGGGGTGCAACAGAGGCCGCGCAGGCAGGCACAAGCCTGGCACAGCAGGTGAGAGAGTCGGGGGTGTGGGACAGAAGCTGGACGGGAAGCTGGAGCCTGGGTTGGTGACAGGCGGGCGGCCTGAGACGGAGGAGGAGACGGGCGGACGGCGGCGGGTGTGACAGCCAAGCAAGGGTGGTGACAGCAGTGGCCAGACGGAGAGAGGCGAAAGGCACGCGCGGCGTTGGTGTCGCAGAGCAAACGAACACGCCGAACGTAGAGCTTGTGAGTAGGGCAAGGTAGCGTGCGGTGAGGCGAGACAAGCGACACTTGGTACAAACACGGGTTAAGCCGTTGGCTGGCAAGCGTCTGTTCTGTTCTGTTCCGGCTCGCTGTATGCCTGTATGTCAGCCAGAAGATTAGCGCCCCCTCTTTTTGGTGTGTCGTGGCTCGGCGTCGTTTGATGTTTGGGGAGGGCCCGAGGCCACGGCGGAAGACGGTTGGCGGCGAGAGGGGAAGCGGGATTTAGTCTTGTCGGGAGAGGGAGGAAGAAGGAGAAGGAAGAGGAGGAGGAGGAGAGCAAAAAAAAAAGAGGTTGAGGCCGCAGGGGACCTGCAGAGCCTGGAGGGAAACCGATGAGTTTGTGTGCGTGTTTGCAGGAGGAAAGCAAAGGGCCGGTAGGAGCGGGCGAGGCGAGTCAAGTTGTGGAGGGTACAAAGAAGCCTGAGATATAACCGTCTTGGCTAAGGTACCTCCTCTTCTATTGGGTTGGTAAGCCATCAGTGAATCAGTAAAATGTGGTGAGCAGATGCAGTGGCGAGCCACCAAACGAGCCCCCAAGACCCTCTAGAACGCCTCAAAAACCCACTGTAGGCAACCCCCAGGTTTTTTTAGCGGCATGCCACCTACTACCTATGTACATCCATATGTATGTACATACCTATGTAATGTAGGTACATACGTACATATGCACGTACCTATGTAGGTATTCTCGCTGCAGGGCTCCAGTGGCTTGGGGTGGATTACAGTGGATGCTACTGGACCCTTTGCCTTCGACTTGCCTTACTCAGTGCCAACATTCATCAACATTCCTGTCAGCCGCCGATGCAACACAAGCTGCCCGGACAGCCCGAGTAAACAATAACAAACTGCCTCACCGTTATTATAGATGAATGAGATTGGGGTTTCATTTCCCTCGTAGGTTTGCGTACTGGGAAAATGTGTCGTTGACATTTTTCTCGGCAGTTGCAAGAAAGGTAAGTAGGGATTTAGTAGACGCCTAACCTCTGCACTGCAATTGCCTTTTCATCTGGCTCGACGGTTGAACACCCCCTCCAAACTACCCTACCCAGAGTCAGAGTCAAAGTGCAACGAGCTTGATTGCTCAGTGGCGCACCATTGCTGCGCTGGCGCACACACCAGGAACCGGGGAAAGAAGCCCTTGCATGCACTGCTGTCCTATCAATCCCGCAGCTGGGTGCAGCAAGGCCCCAGGCGCTGTCGCACCTGGCACACTCAAGTGACCAACTGACCAGTGACGGTGAGGCCAGCTGGTCACCGCAGGCCCATGTGCAGACCCGACTGGTATCTGGCAAACAATAATGGGGAAATAATATCGCACATCTCATGCACGTAGGGAAGAGTTGTCTAACTGCTCCGTACCAGATGCCCAGACTTTGCCTTGGCTTTCGTTTCTTGGCTTTTCTGGCTGATTCATACACGGCCTTGGCTTACTCGCAATCGGTCTTCACCGCCGCCACTGTTACTGTTTGGAGCGGCGACGAAAGTCCCTAATAAAGTACCCAAGGTGCAGAGAGGGCACCTACCACTATCGGGATAGCCAAATACTTGGGCCGTCACACCATTATTCGGTTTTCAAGGAGATACCAGTCGAAAACCAAGCGCATTCATTTACCAATTTATTTGGTATTTTCCTGGCATAATTTCATCCGAACAGGAAGCACCATCTGGATTACGTAGCGGCTTCCCCAGAATGGCTTGGCACCTGTATTTAGTTGAGTACCTAGGCTTGAATTTCTGCAAGTCATCACCGGCCCACCTTGGTTCTGTTTTGCTGCGCCATGACCGATGTGGGCGGAGAACAGGCTCTTGATCAGTGGCTGTAATTATTGGTCTTCTTTGCAATTCACATCATCTCAAAGACCCTAAAAGTTTTCCAAAGCACGCTCCCTCGCCCCTGCTACTCTTATGCTTCCGGGCTGTCTTGTTTCCTCTACTTCTCTTCATCTTCCCAACGTGACTTTTGTTTGCCCTCTGCCTGCACATCACCATTCCTTGCGTCCAACCACATACAAATTGCATATAAAGAGACCTCCGCTTCACTGCCTGCCTACTGAATTTTACACTGTGAACATTACCCGCCCGGCACCCGCGGCCGACGGCCGGGTTCGGCCCCACCTTACCCAATCTCCACTTCGCCCACCGTTTCCGACTCGTGGCCCGCTTCAACTCTTTCCAGATCGCAAACTGCCATCATCGCAAGTCGCTCGATTCGATCCCCTCAAGCTCCCTTTCCATCCCGCGCTGACCAAGCCAGCGCTCTAGAACCGAGCCGCCCCCGCGCCTGAAGCGATGGGCTCCCGGGGTCGGCACGAGCTGCTCGCCCGAGGGTTCGCCATCGAGCTGCTGGTTGTGGGGACAGGCTGTCTATTTGGCCGGCTATGACACTGAGCATTAGAGCGTGACTAGATGCATGAGCGACATCAGTCTTCTCTCGAGATTCTAATTATTCATTTTGTGTCTTTGATTGTCTCCTAAAATCTAGCAAGCTCGGAACTGATGCGAATGGACCCCCGTTTCTGTGACAGCTGCCGGGCGGCAGCCAACAAACACTCAGCCAACCCAAGCGAGCCCGAATGACAGTTGGACAGAATATAGTGACGGCATAGCCATCCCTTTTTGATTTCCAGCTTTCTTGTTGCAACTAAGGCCAGGAGCCTCCAGTGTGACGCCCCTGGCGTTCGCTCAGTAGTAGACGATTTGCGGTTTGCGCAAGACGGTAGACAAGTGGTGATTCTCACCATCGGCATTGCCATACTTTTCTAGCGCAGGACTCTTGACCAAGTACCTGTTTCTTGACTCTTCCTCTGTCGAATCCTCACATGCAATTTCGGAATTCGTCCATTGCCTGTACGTCGACCCGTGATGCGGCCAGTCGGGCACGAGAAGTGCCTTGGACGAGAGGAAGAGCCTCGTGAGGTCCGTCGCCAGGCGTACCACGTTGTCCAGGTTCGCCTTTAACTGACCGCGGCACTTTTGCTGCTCTTTTGACAAAACCATGGAGAGGAGGGTGTCCGCGAACTCATGCACGACCTGTGCCAGGACCTCTTCATTGGGTTGGACAGCGGCGAGATGGTGCGCCTGTGAGAGCCACTTTGCACACTTGGCTCTGCTCTCGGTATCTTCCCTATTTTCTATTACGACTCGTGTTAGAGCCAATGATTCATGTACCGAATGAATCGGTGTAACGAGATATACAGGGGTTGGAGCGTACCTATCAGCGTCCGTCTAACCCTTTGGACTTCTTGGACGATGCCTCCCTTCCATGGACTGCCACGGCCAAGAAAGAAATCCGTGTAGACAAAATTCCACATGAATGACTTGAGAAATGTCCTTTTCATATTTTCGTATGTTTTCTGGGATATGCCTTCTGAAGATGTTATGGGCAGTCGAGTTCTCAAAACTGCTAGCACCTTTGTCGGCTTGGGGAAGAGGTACGCTGAGAGTTCGATGGCAATGCTGTTGATGTTGAAATCCAACAGGACCCATTGCCTTTCGATAATATCATCTGTAACCTTGCCAACATCTTCTAGTCGACGCGCTGTCATCTTTTCCGTTTCTTTTCTGTGGTTTCGCTTAATTTCGGCAACCTGCCTTTCGACAGCTGCAACTCGTTGCTCGACCGTCTTGCTCTTGCGAGAGTTGGAGCGAGATGGACTGCCAGGCTTGACCTCACTGCCAATTTTGACAACAACCGTTCGCCTCTTAGGCTTCCCGTCCATGTCAGGCTCGGGGTTTTGTGGTGTGGCGACAGCCGACAAGAAGTTCGAGTCTTGATCCTCTGTCTTGACGCGCTGCGTTGGCGACTGGCCGCGCTGCGTCAACGAGTCTTGATGCTCATTGTCGATCGGACTTCCGGGGTGCTTGTCTGCCTTTATTCCTATGCCCGGCTCGGGGATAGATGGTGCAGCGACGGTCAATGGGGGCGCCTGCGACGCTTGGCTCTCGGTTCTGATGCGCTTCGCCGGTTTGGCACGCTTCGTTGACGGGTCTTGATACTCATCGTCGTCGATTAGGGCTCTTGTGCGCTTCTCTGACTCATTAGAGGAGTCCTTGTATGGAGATGTGTCTCTCGCGGTTGCACGCGAGGAGAGTCGGCGATGCATGGTTTTGCAGCAAGGTAGCACAATTCTAATAGTCAAGTTTGTGCTTTTAGACATAAACGGAGCTGCAGGTATGGTAGAGGGAAGAGAGACGGCTACGTGTAAGAAAAGAAAAGGGCGCATGCAGTTCTGCGCTCCGCGTTTGCAGAGGCTACAGCTGGCCCGTGGGCTGTACAGCCATCACTATGGGCTTCACATGTGAGCTTGATAAGTGAGGGCCAACTGAACAAAATCTGGATTTATAGTTTGACTTAGCTACTCGCTTAGTTACTGAATTGTTATCGGCGCTGCAGTTTTACTCTCACCTGACCTTCTCTTGTCATCTTCTCTTGCCACCTCCTCTTGTCACTTTCTCCAGTCACCTTCTCCAGTCACCTTCTCCAGTCACCTTCTCTTCCCACCTCTTCTCTCGCACCTCATCTTATCGCATCCTCTCCTAACATCTTTTCGTCTCTTTTGGCATGCTCGCCTTCTCTTCTGCTCCCCCCTTCACTCTTCCTCCTTCGACTCTCCGCTTTCCCCTTGCCGTCTAATTAGATTTTGCCCCCATCTATCAACAGCGCTACGTCCTTATTCAGACACTATATGACAAAGCACCGAAATCATGGTCAATACACTGGTTGTTGGCATCGACTTTGGAACGACGTGAGTAACACGGCGACCCAAATGAGAAGGTGCTGGACTAACCCGGGTTTCAACAACAGCTTCAGCGGCGCAGCCTAGGCCATCAGTAGCAAGCCCAATGAAATCAGGATCATGACCTTATGGGACTCCAAGTATCACAGCTGTTCAGACCGCGGAAAATGCCCGACGCAGCTGGGAATTCTCGCGGGCGATCGGCAGCAGAGCGAGTGGGGATACAATATCCCGTTTGATCGGAAACACGTTATGCGGTGGTTCAAGTTGATGCTGCTCAACCCGGAAGATCTTCCCAGGGACGCCGCCGAGTCCAAGTACATGAAGGAGGCTGCGTCATGCCTGGAAAAGCGAGGCAAGTCTGCGGAAGACGCCGTCGCTGACTTTCTACGCCTGCTATGGCAGCATTGCCTGAACGCAATGTATCGCGACCGTGGCCGCGAGGAGATTGACCAGTACAAGACCACTATTGTCATTACTGTGCCTGCTATCTGGCCCAACTACGCCCAGGCCAAGATGACAAGGGCTGCTGAGCGTGCTGGTATGCTCAGTGAAAGAGGCCGAGGCATGGCGAGGGGAAAGCCGGACTTGCGCTTCGTGTCGGAGCCGGAGGCTGCTGCTTTGGCAGTCTTGGCCGACTTTCATCCCAAGCCTAATATCAAGGTGTGTCTTTGCTCTGTCCATACTAAGAAAAGAAGGCAATCTAACATGATCGTCACAAAAGGATGACACGATTGTTGTCTGCGACGCCGGTGGAGGAACCACCGTGAGTTTTGCGGGTTGCACCCATCCACGTCGGCACTGACAATGTTGCAGGACCTTATCAGTTACCAAGTGAGCAAGCCGATCAAGTTTGAGCTTCGAGAGACTGTTTCGGGCGAAGGTTGGTTGGTTGCTACCGCAATTAGGCATATCAAGAGCACACTAACGCGGCCACGTAGGAGAACTGGTGAGTGGTGTAATGGTTGATGACGAGTTTGAAGAGTTCATCAGTTCCACAATCGGGCACACGGCGTGGAACAAGCTGGATGTCGGCGACATAGCCAAGTTTATGAAAGAAGACTGGGAGCTCTGCGTCAAGGAACAATTTACCGGTGCCGAAAGCAAGTTCTGGATCGAGGTGCCCGATGGCTACCTGGTTTCCAGTACCAACAAGAAGAGAAAACGGACGACGACAACTGTTCCCATCACAAGGTAAGCATCTTACCTGCCTTTCAAGCTTTCCGAGACTCACGCGTCTCTATAGAAAGGATCTCCTACCCGTGTTTGACGGCGTGGTTGACAAGATCTGCGCACTCGTGCAGCGCCAAGTGGATGGCATCAAGAAGAAGGACTTACCTGATCCGAAGGTAGTGAATTGTTCGACAGGACCTCATTTTTGACTCAGAAGAATTAATTGTTTAAACTAGTTCATTATTCTTGTCGGGGGATTTGGGTGCTGCCGATATCTGTTCAACAGACTGGACGCAGCCCATCCTGACTGCACAGTCTTGAACCCGCCCGTGCGCGACTCGTAAGTAACGCTCGAAGTTTCTGTTCTCTGCCATTTTAGTTGTCTATTGTACCTTCTTCATCGCGACTAATACAACCCCTTGTGATACAGGTGGACCGCAGTATGTCGCGGCGCCGTCCGGTGCGGGCTGAATCGTCTGGGAACCAAGCGGAGCCACGAAGTTACCGTCGAGGAGCGCATCTCTCGCGTAGGCTACGGATTTCACTTTCGCATTCCGTTCAACGAAAAATATCATGACCCTCGCGACAAGATCTACGAAGAATTCGAGGAGCAGTACATGGCCGACAGCCAGATGGACTGGTTCTTGAAGCCGGTATGATTACATACAACCTGACACCACTAGCATAAGAGCTAACAAGTGAGAATCAGGGACAAGTGCTTCCAAGCAAATCAGCATCGAACCATAGGTACTACGAACTGCTCTCGGCTGACAACCCAGCCAGCCTCGAGGAGGACCTATTCTACTGCTGCTCCGACGAGCTGCCCATGCGTCGGACAGACGACGTCAAGCAGCTTTGCACCATCAAATGGGAGAACTCTGTCGATCTACGCGGTTTGGAGAAGCTACACAACAGCAAGGGCGAGACCTTCTATAAAGTTCACTACACGATTCGGGTCACCATCGAGGGACCAAACCTGCACATTGACGTGCTCCGCGGTTCCCAGAAAATGGCCGAGAGGAATGTTTTTATCGACTACAAGTGATTTTCGCTTTTGCAGCTGGGCAGATGGCCATTTTTACATTATTTTTTTGCTACTTGATCTACTCTCATGACCACTTGGCGAGCCGATGATTTGATGACTACCTGCGGAAGGGTTTTACGACAGTTACGAATGGGACTTTGGAACAGGATGGTTTGCTTAAGCTTTACAAATATAGGAGAGTTTTCAAGAAATTACCGAGCTATATTCTCATTATTTCTTCAATAAACAACATTGCTTCCACTGTTCAGAGTAGTTTAGGTCCTATCAAGTGGTTGCACGTAGTTACACATGGCTGAGGTGAAGCTCAGAGTTTCATCACGGCTTCTCCTCCGCGAAAGAAGTTAAATTCACGTGTATGGGTCATTTAGTACTTCAGAGCTACACTAGACCAGGCTAGAACATTTTCTCTTATTTCATTTCCATTTATTATTACTGCTGGTGCAAGCTGTCAAGTTTTCCTCATTCATTTAACCGCCGCCCCACATTTATTTCTAGAATCGACATCTCTATTAAACTACATTTGTCTATTGAACCACCTCCCACATCTTGTTTCTCAACCAACGCTTCTCACACAACAACCAATATACCCTCCATTGGCCATGGTGCCGCCCGAAGATGCACCCGGCGCGACGCCACCTCACAAGCGGCGGCGAATGCGCGACGGACAATCACCAAACGGGCGTCGCCCGCCCGACGCGTCGTCAAGACGAGGGGCACCATCAGATCGCCGAGGCAGCGACGACTACTACTCCAAGCCAAGACACGACGACGACTCCTCTTCGCGATCGCCGAACGGACGTAGACGACGCCGCGCCGCCTCAGCATCCAGCAGCTCCGGCGCCAGCACCCGCTCCGAGTCACCGCCACCAGCCCGACGACGTTCCGCGCCGCGCCGACGCTCCTCCGACTCTCCACGCTCCCATTCGCGCTCGCGCTCGCCGGCATCCACCTCGTCCGCGCGCACGCGCACTGAATCCCCGTCTCCCAAGCCGACCATGGCCCCGCACCAACCTACACCGCCGCCGCACGACGACGAAGCCGCCGCGCCGCCGCCGCCGCCGAGGAGACCCAACTACAAGCCGCGGCTGGCCCTGCACGGCCACACCAAGCCCGTGTCGCAGGCACGCATCTCGCCCGACGGGCGGTTCATCGCCTCGGCCTCGGCAGACGCCACCGTCAAGGTGTGGGACGCCGCTACGGGAGCGCACCTGGACACGCTGGTCGGCCACATGGCGGGCGTCAGCTGCGTCGCCTGGGCGCCGGACAGCAACACCCTGGCGAGCGGCTCCGACGACAAGGCGATCCGGCTGTGGGACCGCGTCACGGGGCGGCCCAAGTCGACGGCGCGCAAGTCGCTGGGAGGCGGCGGCGGCGGCGGTGGCGGTGGCGCGGACATGCCGCCGCTGCGAGGGCATCACAACTACGTGCACTGCCTGGCGTTCTCACCAAAGGGCAACATTATCGCGAGCGGCTCCTACGACGAGGCCGTCTTCCTGTGGGATGTGCGCGCGGGGCGGCTGATGCGCAGCCTGCCGGCGCACAGCGACCCGGTGAGCGGCATTGATTTCTCGCCCGACGGGACGCTGGTGGCCAGCTGTTCCACGGACGGGTTGATGTGAGTTGTCCCCTTGTACTCCTCCTCTCTCTCCCTTGCGGGAAGAACTACCGAGAACTAACCTTTGACCTTCCTCCCAGCCGCATATGGGACTCGGGCACCGGCCAGTGCCTGCGGACGCTCGTGCACGAGGACAACCCGGCCGTCGCCAACGTGTGCTTCTCGCCCAACGGCCGCTTCGTGCTCGCCTTCAACCTGGACAACTGCCTGCGGCTGTGGGACTACGCGGCCGGCCGCGTCAAGAAGACGTACCAGGGCCACGCCAACGAGCGCTTCGCCGTGGGCGGGTGCTTCGGCGCGGTGGGCGGCGCGCCGTTCGTCGCGTCGGCGAGCGAGGACGGCGGTGTCGTGCTCTGGGACGTGGTAGACAAGCGCGTGCTGCAGCGCGTGAGGGGACACCGCGAGGGCGTCTGCTTCTGGGTTGACGTGCACGGCGAGACCATGGTCAGCGCGGGGCAGGACCACACCGTGAGGATCTACCGTCACGTCGATGAGGAGGAGGAGGGGGAGGGTGAACCGGCCGGTGAGGTGGAGGCCGCGGCGCTGGTCAACGGCGTCGCCAACGGAACGGGAGGACTGCCGGCGAACGGGGCCGACTTTACCGAGAATCTGCCCATTAGGCAAGAGTACACCGAGATGGAGCCTTGACAACGTTATGAATTCCATCACCCTTGCCGTGCTGTTTTACTCGTTTCTTTTCACTGGGTGTACATTGCGAGGCGCTTGACTTGTTGGTTTTGGGTTTATACGTCGCTGCGTCAGCATTAGTTATTTTATCGGCATGGTAGCCGTGATGAAAAGCACGTCGAAAGATGAAGCGGCGTTGATTGCTTATGCACCCGGAGTCTTGGCTGAATTTCGAGATTTTTTTCATTTTCCTCTGCGCAAGTGACTTGAAACTTGATGACGGTGAAACTAGAGCAGTGAAATATGCGATGGGATGGCTAACAAGCGTAGGGTGATGCAGTGCTCAGGGAGGCGAAGCACAGGGGGGGCGGAAATGCTCGGGAATGGGCGGCAAGTAGGATTTGTCCTATGCTTATGCGTATGCGGCATATTCTGGTGGTCACGTACGAAACGGTCATGCTTATCGCTTCTTGCGGGAGGCCTGTCTGCGGATGCGCATCGGATGAGCCACGGCAGAGGGTACAAAACGGGACTATTCAAGGCAATTCCTTCTGCCCAAGCTATGTTGGATGTCCTCGTGAGGCTCGTCACTCCGCTTCACACAAGATGCTTTGGCCGTGGGCAACCTCTCGGGAGTGATGATGCCAGTAATCCGTGTCAAACCACTTTGCTCCTTTCCGGGAACACGCCTGTCGCATCCTCGTGCGCCTTGAATGCTCTCAGTATGAGCGGCTGAGATTCAGGCTGTGGGAAACCAAAGAGATTCTGGTTGGCCAGTTCTGCCTTGCGTTGCGTCATTTGACCCTGGGACAGCTCGGGCTGAAGGCGACAAAGCGTGTCCAGTACGACATCTCCCAAGAGGTCTAACCGACGATGAATCTTTTCTGAAGCGGAGTGAGTTATTGCTTCCACAAGAAGCACAGTCAACCGACCACTTGGTGAATGAGCCCGTCAACCGCCAGGAGACTAAATGAATCAACCTGCAGGTCAAAGAAGCCAACAAAGCAGCCAATCAACCAGCTGGTAGAGTAAGTTGGTAACATGGTGTACTGTAACTTTAAAACTCAAAGAATCTAACAGAATTACACGCAAGCTGTATCCCCCGAGCTGTGTGGCCGGGCTGGTGACCCTGGACAATGAAGTCAAGCCATACCTGTACAATCCCCCAATAATATCTAGTTGACCAGATTCACTTGTAACTTTCTCGAAGCATCTTTACTTATTGAACCTTGTCCTCTTTCCGTTAGCTTTCTGTGTGGGCTTTCAAGTGAATTTGGTGTATTCGTATATGGTGTGTGTGAGTAGGTTGGCTCGGGATTGAAGGTATCACTGTCCCGCCCAATGGTTTCCCGCTAGCATTTGCACTACGTATATACGGCGGTAGAATCACGACAAAAGGAAGTCGTGATTTCATACACTTTGTGCCACTCATTGGGAGTTGCTGTTACTCACCGGGTTATCTGGTTCTGGTACAGTCACTGACCATTCTTATATATAAAGGGCACATGCCCAATCTCTACGACCCGAGTGGGCAAGACTCCTTTTTTACTACCATAAAACAAGCAAACAAGATCTTGAAGCTATCAACTCCATATCTCTCTGCCTCTCCATTACTCAGAGCACAGCGTGGTTCGTATTCTGAGTCCGTGAATCTTGTGGCAAGAAGTGACCTACTAACCATGCATCTGGAACTGCCACTAGCACACTACAAGATGTGCAAATATACACTTCTAGTTTGCAACCAATGCACAGAGCAAGAGAATGAGCAGCGAGACCGAGACTTCGTCGAGAAGTGCGAGGATGCGATTCACGATCCGACCGAGGAGAACAAGACACTGTATGAGGCCGACTGCGGGGCTCATGACTTGCCGGACCTGACTGATGGTTCCTCTGTGACGAGTGGCTCATCAGCTGAATACGAAGTGGAAGATTTCGGGATTGACACCCTGGTTGTTGAAGCTGAGGATGCTGCAGAGGTGAATACTGTAGTCGAGTCTCTTGGACCTGAGTGATGTTGTTGACGTTTGCCTGCGCGCCGGCCGGACTGGGTCCGTCTACTGAGACTCTTCTCCAGATCTCCAGATCCCCAGTATTACCCTAAAGCTAGGTTACTTTTCAGCCATTTCAGGCAATTTCAGTACGTCTTTGTTGCGTTGTGCCTTGCACATTGAAGACCGTCAATGTGGTCGACGACCCTCCCGATATCGTCTCCTTTTGCTTAAAGAAGACCGATACGTGCGTCAACTCTCTCGTGGCACATAAAACGGAAAGTATTCGTGATCCGTTCATCCACCTCAAGCCTGTACTTAGGCATTCCACGCCAGGGCCATATGTTCATTCGTCGTATGTAGGCTCGGTGTCGTAGGTTGTGTAACCTGGCGAAACGCGGTCCAGGTACGTACCATATCAAGTTGATTCAAATTAGTATTAGTAATGCTTCTTTTGATCCGCCAACGAGGTGAATGTGCCTTTCTTTTCTTTACTTTACATCTCCCTCCCCCAGGATCGCCAAACCCCACCTTCGTCTTCCAACCAGCCTGCATCAAGCAAGCTTCATCACGCAAGCTTCATCATGGCGTCCGCAAGTAGTGACAGAGTCCCAAAGCGAATCCTCATTGATGTTTCGCCATTTAGTGACTACCGAGACGAAGCTTTTGATGACCCAGACAAAGTGATTGATATTGCTTTATCTCTTTTGAAGCGAAAAGGCCTGATTCCGGCTGAAACCCAAAACAACCAGTCAGACGTGAAGCTGGTTATAAAGTTGATCTCTCGCTACGACACCAAGGTTATATTCGACCTGTTTCACGACACCTTCGATGCCGCGCGCGCCCATCTATACGGCCAAGACCCTCCCGTTTGCATCGTCTCGATGCGTCACGGGAAGAGGGAGAAGGCATACCCCGCTAACCGTTCCCAAGAGCTCAAGGTCGACTTCGAGATTAGGTTCCTCCATAATCGCTACGGAACTGGGTGTAAGCCTCCCTTCAGCGAGGACTCACGCCAAGGCTCTGTGTGGTCGATCCCTTCAAGGATTTCCGCGATTATGCCGAGTACCACGCTCAGATACAAGACATGATAAAACTGAATCTCTGAGTCGCACCAAACGGTATCCTACTCAACCTTGTGACAGAACAGACGCTGGGGCGAGGGGCAGCGTCTCGTGGAAGAGATGCACTGCGCTGCCCTCCTCAAGTACCACAAGTCTTGCCAAGCTATCATATTAAAGTTCAATAAATGCCTGTTACCCGTTTGCTAGCACGCCCAGGTCCTCCTATGTGTCACGGAGAATGCTTTCATTGAGAAATAAATCGAGAAGTATAGTTCTGGCTTTGGCCTCTTTACCCTTTTCTGTCTGGGAATGCTTGGTTTTATGCAAACGCATCCGTCTCCAGACTGAGTAGTAGCAATTTATTTCAACTAACACGCTACAAGTAATGTACAGTCTGTCGGCATCTTGGTTTGGGTGGTGGAGGCGAGTCAGGCCGGGAATTGTGGTTCCCAGAATAGAAATCGATGTCTCGGGGAATGCCTAGCTTGGCAGGTAGTTCCGCCTGGTAGGGCAAAACGTGTCGCGGTAATTCTAAGTAAGTCTGGGCATGAAGAATTTGTTGCGCCTCCGACTCGGGATTGATTGACGTATTATTGCGAGGGAATTGCGGCATGGGGCGGTTATAATATTAGCGGCGGCGACATTGACCACGTAATACAGAGGGGGAGGGAGCCACGACAGCAAGGACGAGAAAACTCCCTCGGGAAGAGAAGGAGGTGGCAAGTTGGCAGAAAGGGAGAAAGGGCCAGGATGGCACCATTGGTTTTACTGGCTGATATATAGGTACCTCCCTATGTATGTCTGTATGTACAGTAGAAGCTCGGGCACGATAACTGGTCACAGGGGTGACTGGGTGTAGGGGTTCTGGTTGGAGGGGTCCTGGGAGCTGAGTGGTCCAAGCCAAGCTATGCAGATGGAGGACGGGGAAAAGGGAGAGGGCAAGGGATCCTGGGATACGAGGTGATTATATGAAGGAGCAGTCGCTAATATGAGAGGCAATATGTGCATTTCGTGTATAGAGGACGAAATTGCAGAGATGAGTGTGAAGTTTTTAACCAACCAACATCTGTCAAATAAATATGTACGAAGCCAACAGGTGCACATTTACCTGGGCCAAGGAGCAAGACTGCGCGTGCTAATCGGCACTACAGGTAAGGCTCGGTCCAGCAGTTCAGTGTGGTATCAGTGTGTCAGTATTCGAGCGAGCCCTGCGAGGATCACGGCCAAATTCAGTGTATTGAAGCGCTGTGACAAAGCGCTGTACTTGCAATTTTGCATGCACTCCACTTCGGTGCGTTTGCCTTTTGCTTTGCCAGTCGTTGGTTGGTTGGTTGGTTATTAGCGCTGCGTTGCCTCACTGGGTGGTGTGGTGTGCTCGCTGATGCAGGGCGCTGCGGGTGGCATTCTTTGTGTGCAGCCCTCCAGCTTGCAGCCTGCAGCCTGCAGCCTGCAGCCTGCAGACGGCCAGGCCAAGCCAGCAGACCGAGGGCTGTGTGGGGGACCCATTGTCCCAAAACCCGCCAAGCGAACCAGCGAGCCTGATTTGTGCAAGAAGAATGCAGCCTGCTTATTAGCGAGATTTGTGACTTTTGATCTCGACCAAAATAAGCACCAGTAGCAAGCTGTCGGAGGTAGCATTTCTGGTACCTGAATAACGCCACAACGCCACGCGCCGCGCCGCCACCAGAGTAACGTGCAGCGGTTCTAAACCAATGTGGGAATAGAGGCACACAGCTCTGTTGACCGGGGCGGCCGCCAGCAACAACGCCCGCCCCCTATCCCTCCACCAGCCTCTCCTCTCCTCTGTTTGTCTCTCTTGTCTCGCTCTCTCTCTGCTGCACCAGAGGCACGAATAAACTAACCAACTAATTCTGTTCTTGTCAAAATTTTAGCTTGCCAATTGTCGACGGGTCTCACCGGCCCGCCCACTCGTTGTCTCGACTAATTTGCACCGGGTGGATCATGATTTCTGCACCTGTTCCAAAAGTGGGCGATCCCAGACAATCCTGGCCTTGCCCTGGCAGCTGGCAGCCCAGCTTGGGAATCTGATGCAATATGGAATGTCCAATGTCGACAGACAGACAGACAGCCCAGCCTGCCGCCTGGATGGATGGATGGATGCGACCCATTCGCCCACCTACTCGCCGGTTCGCCTCGTTGACTGATTTCTTCTAGTTCGTCGCCGCCTTCTCTCACCTCCTCTTCCTTTTCCTTTCTCTTCTTTTCTTCTCTCCTCTCCCACCACACACCCCTTTCAATTCTTCCAACCACAGTCACTCTTTAAATACATTGCTGCTTCTCTTCTACCGCCATAGCTCCAGATCTCAGTCACCCTTTCTATTCCCACCAACCACATACAACACCAAGATGCGCTTCACCATTGCCGCCGTCCTGGCCTTTGCCAGCTCCGCCATTGCCGTTGGCGTCGATGCCACCGATGGCTTTGACCGTATCAACACCCCCAACAAGGACGAGCAGCTCCCTGCCGGCAAGCCTTACGTCGTCAAGTGGGAGAACCCGGCTCCTTACACCGAGGGCCCCGTCTACATCCAGCTCCTCGGCGGCAAGGACCCCAACACCCTGTCCGTCAAGACTGAGAAGATTGCCAGTACGTCCTCCTCCTCCTCCCTCCCTCGCTGCTCAATCGCAACCCGCTAACCGTCTTCCCCAGCCGTCGACAACAAGGACCAGCAGTACACCTGGAACGTCGACGCCTCTCTCGGCGACGACGCCACCTACGGCCTCCGCTTCGTCTGGGAGAAGGACGACAACATCGTTCAGTACTCCAAGCCCTTCCAGATCAAGAAGGCCGACGGCGCCGGCAGCTCCTCCGGCACCGTCACCGTGACCTCGTCCCAGGGCGTCAAGACCGTCACCCTCTCCTCCGCCACCACCACCACCACCGACACACCTTCCTCCTCCGCCTCCTCCACCACCACCGTCGTCGTCACCAGCACCACCACCAGCAAGCCCTTCAGCAGCTCGACGGCCAGCGCCAACACCACCGTCGCCCGCAACACCACCACCTCGGTCACCCTGAGCAAGACCACCGGTCTTGCCACCCAGACCGCGTCCCAGACGACCGCTGCCACCACCAAGCCCTCCAGCGCCGCTGCCCACGCCGCTGGCTCCATCGCCGCCGTTGGTGGCATCATCGCCGCCCTTCTGGCCTTGTAAACGGGGACTGTCTTATCACGGCTTGGAAATGGTGTCTTTTGGGTTCTCATCTAGCTTTTTTTTTTTTCATCATCTTGCATCGGTATATACAAGACACGAGTTTCTCTTGCTTTTTCAAGCTCCAGCTCTTCTCGCTACATGGGACCGTCTCTGACTTGGCCTTGCACATATGGCAGCTAATTACTCGTTTGGGTTGGAAAATACATAACGTCGAGGGAAAGGGAAACAGAGCACCACAGTTGGGTACGGCTTGCAGTCGAGAGGCCCCTCTCGACGCCAAGCTGGGTGCTCCTGAATGCCGTGCCGTCTCACCACGAGACGAGATTTCATGTTCTGATTAATGCACGCCACAACTTATAATGCACTTGTACTTTTCTCTACTCTCCGATTCTCGAATTCGTGACCGTCTCTACGCGTTGATGCCTTCAACGGCCAACAGCGATCCATGCGCATTGCTCCCCGCGTTTGTTTGACTTACCGCGGCCCAGTCGCGAGTGAGACAAGCCTGCAGATGTAACCTGTCAGCCTGCCAGCCTGTCGCGCCGGGAGCTGTGAGACAATGTTTTACCAAGTTCGGAATCCTTTTTACGCGTTTCCGAGTGACACGAGACGACTAGCTAAGCAGTTAGTTGGCGCCGACCTACCCTTTTTTTCGTCGGGACGGCAAAGCCGTTACTTCCCCTCAACTGCTCGAGAAGGGGAATTCGATCACCAAGATGGGGTAACTTCGTTTCATCTGTCAGCTTTTTTTTTTTGCATCACAACAGAAACAAAAGAGGTGCCCGACTATGGGAAACTAGGTCCCTGCGCACTGGTTCTGGGCAAACAATGGCTGGTTGTTTACCCTTCGCCTGGAATGCGGCGGCATTCCAGGTCGCTGGAATTGACGCCGTGTCAGCTTTCAGGGCCTCCATCAAGCTCGCATCCTCCGAAACGCGAGAGACCGTTTCGAGCAAGCAGTGTGCGACATGATGGTTAGTGGGCTTCCATTACTGAGGACTGCCCAGCAAAGGACCAGGCATATCCATGTCACAGCGGCGTCTATCACTCAAGCCAAGGAACAGTGAAACAAGATGATGGACTTTTCTAAAAGACAGGGCTAAACTATTAACTATCATGACTCTCATTACAGGACACCGTCGGCCCCCGCTCATCGCCCGCCGACCTGGCCCTTTGGCAGTGGCGGGATCCAGCACACGGCTAGGTTGATCGCGACGTGCAGCACGCCGATGATCCAGAGCGCCGTCGCGTACCCCTTGCCGCCGTCCACGAACCGGAAGATGACGGCGAACACCACGCCGCCGAGGTTGCCGCCCGCGCCCGTGACACCCGACACGATGCCGTTGGCCGCGGGATGCACGTGCGGCACGAGCGCAAAGTTGGCGCCGTTGCCGGCCTCAAGGAACACGGCCATGACCGTGATCAGCGCGACCAGCGCGCCGGCGGACGACCCGTGTGTGGCGGACGGGTCCACGCGCCCGACGACGACGAGCAGCGCGCCGGAGAGCACGCCGCAGACGGTGATCCACGCCTTCTTCCACCAGAGGCTGCCGCCGCTGCGCCTGTACAGCAGGTCGGCGACGACGCCGCCGAGCGGGCGCGTGACGACGTTGAGGAAGCCGAAGATGGCGGCGCGGTTGCTGGCGGCCGTCTGCGAGAGGTGCGGGAAGTTGTGCTTGTAGTAGGCGGAGAGGACCGAGTTGATGGCCAGCTCGCCGCCAAAGGAGCAGGCGTAGGTGGCGACGTGGAAGGCCGTCTGCGGGGAGAGGACGACGCCGAGAGAGTCGCGCAGCCGCGGCTTGACGATGACCTCGCCCTGTGCAATGTCCATGGCCTGCTGGTGCGAGAGGCCGCCCGCGGCAGCACCCAGGCTTGCCGGTACCTTTGAGGCCTTTTCCTCGTCGGACAGGTAGGCGTCCGCGGGCGTGGCCAGCCCCGACTTGGGACTGCCCACCTCTGTGCTGCTGCCGCTGCCACCGTCCAGGCTCGTGCGGAGGCTGCGCAGGTTCTCCTGTATGCGCTCCTCACGCTCCCCCCACGCGCCGACCGGCGAGTCCGGGCACAGCAGCATCATGCCCAGGCCGCACGCCACCAGGCATACCAGCGGCACCACGAAGGTGACGCGCCACGCCTCGGACGGGCTCATCCCCTGGCGCGCGACCAGCGAGTCGAACACGGCCGGCATGATGAAGTAGGTGATGCCGCCGCCGGCGTTGCCCCAGCCGCCGGCGAGCGCGTTGGCGGCGCCGACGACGCCGCGGTCGAAGAAGCCGGTGCACCAGACCTGGCAGGGCACGAAGGTGGCGCCGAGCATGCCGAGGAAGAAGCGCGCGGCGTAGAGGCCCGAGGCGGAGCGCACGAGCGGCGCGAGGCCGACGGGCAGGCAGCCGAGCAGCAGCAGGCCGAAGAAGACGCGGCGGGCGCCGAACTGGTCGCACAGCGGGCCGGTGGCGAAGCGGAGGAGGAGGGTGGCGATGAGGGAGATGATGTTGGAGTTGGCGACCTGCGCGTCGGTGAGGTGCAGGTCCTTTTTGATGGTGACGGTGAGGAGTGGCGGGAAGGTGTACCTGGGGAGGAGGACGGTGTTAGAGGGGAAGGACAACACTCTTTCCACATTGACGGGATGATGGTGAGGAGCGGGAGAGAAGGACGTACCAGGCCCAGAAGGCGAGCATGAAACCCATCCAGGAAAAGAAAAAGACTCGCCCGTACACGTTGACGGGGTTGAGGACGGGGATGCTGCGTGCCTTTTTGCTCACGGGGCACACCTCCGGCGCCGCCCAGAGGGCAGAGAAGCGAAAGCGAGGCATGGTAGGAACAAAGTGTGTATGATTTCGTTACACTTTTGATGACTTGATTTTCATAAACATGAGGAGCACAAGATGTCGTGTGCCAGAGTCGGTCGTCTTGTATTATACTCGTCCGGGCTCAGCAGCAGACTTGATAACCAGTGAGTGATTCATCGCGGCACACCCGAACGGTCCCGGGGGCTGTAGCCAAGCATCAACGGTGTGCGGTTGTGAGAGAGAGCCGCATGGGGTAGAGTCTCAGCCTGGCAGAGGCTAATCTATCGGCTGGCGGGAGATTGGGCGTTATCTCGTCTGGGCTGTTGGTGCGTCCCGGTCCGGGGTGTGGCCGATGGGCTGTTATCAGAGCCTCAAACGGACCTCTACAGTGCACATGTGTTGCAGCTTTTTGGAAACCACTTATCCTTATCACTTGGGCATGCTGACCAGTCGAGATGTATTCTACATGAGGTTGTTGGTCTGTAGTTTCTAACTGTTCCACTCCATGACTTCGAGGCCAGTTGTTTTCAACGGCGACGCTGAAGGTTCCTGGACAAAGCTCCAAGCACATAATAGCAATACAACCAACTAGGCAATTACATCCCTTCACATGACAGCCGCTTCCTTATCAAGTGAAAGGGCGCGTCCTGCGCTGTCGCCCCCAGACCCGAGTCTCGGCCAGGACGCCGCCCCCTTCTTTGCATCTCCGGCGACGAGGGCCTGGCAGCTGAGCCTCCGTCACTCCCAGATTGTCCCAGACCAAATACGCCGCATCTCATTGGACCGACCCCAGGTTGAGATAACCCTTGGACAAGTGTTTGATAGCAAGCGGCGGCTTATCAACCTTTGGGGGGCTCCACCAGACTCGGCGGCAAACGCCACTAGGGGTTGATAAGGCCCTGCCCTCGATGTGTATAAAGGAAAAACCGAGCCGATCGCGTTGATTTTCGTTTTCTATCTCTGAGAGTTCATCTCCGCGGAGCGTCTTCTTTCTCTGACCAGGCTTTCTTTGCATGACGGCCTTGGCTGACTTGGGTTGTGACTGGTTACCAGGTCGAGTGCTTGATAACGGAAACTGCGGCGCTGCGACATACGACTGAGTTTGGCAATCGACGAAATGACGCGTATTCGAAATTTCACCCCTTGCGCCCTTGGACGGTTCGGTTCGACGATTTGGCTTATCACGCGGGGGGGGGGAGGGTTGGAAATCCGAGTTGAGCCGCAGCGCAGAGCTATCGAAAAAGCCTGCAGATAATACACTCCAAGCAAATCACCGGTCGGCAATTGGAACTTGGAGCTTTTGATTCCTGGCAGAATTTTCATAATCTTGCGAATCTGGCGACGTGACTACTTTTTTTCTTTTCTTTGGTAATTGCTGCTGTCCGATTCGGCGACCCCAAGCGGCGGTTGGTCGGGGGATCCGGCAGTGGGCTAGCATCACTACTGCCGCCGCATGGTAGATCCAGTGGGTACGTAGGGCCAAACGCAGCGACAGTCCGTCGGAGGGTATTTCACGGCAGAATTAAAGATCACGATTAAATTGTATATAGTCGAACCTACAACTCCCCCCCTTTTTTGTTATTCCATCCGCCTTTGTCACCAGCCCTGTACAAGGCCCAGCTATGTACGGAGTACTACTGTACATGCGGATGAGAGGCACGGTATGCTAGGCCGAAAACGGTAGGAGGGGCAGCCTGTCCCTGGAGACATCAAGCAGCTCAATTTTTTTTATTGCGCAACTTGGCGATAACTACCCCTCCATCCGCAAGGAGGAAGCACAACTTGTCCGTTTTTTGGCGCCCTCATTTGCGGTGTCTCCTCAGTAGACGCACGTGTCGTCCGACGCTCCGAAACGCCACCCCGTCTACCTTGTGGAACTATCCACGATTGCTACTACGCGAAGCGACCAGGATGGCTTCTCAGACAACCCCCAAGACCTGCAAGGTCATCACCGCCGAGACCATCTCCAAGGGCTACCTACAAGAGGTCAAGGACACGCTCGCCAAGGTACTAGGTGATAGCAGCCGCAAGCCTACGCTCGCAGCGTTCCTCGCCAACAATGACCCCGCGGCCGTCATGTACGCGCAATGGTCCAAGAAGACGTGCGAAGAAAAGTGAGTCACCATAGCGGTGGTGGTGGTGGCGGCACCGCCGATTCAGTGTCAAGTACTCGAACATTGACCAAGTCTCTTCCTTACAGTGGCTTCGACTTTGACCTGCGCACCGTCGACAAGGATCTCCTCGAGGAGGAAATCATGAAGGCCAACGACGACGACGCCGTCGACGGCACCATCGTCTACTATCCCATCTTCCACGGGAACCCAACCCACGACGGGTACGTGCGGGAGACGGTCGCGCTCGGCAAGGACGTCGAGGGCTTGCGGCACCAGCACCTGCAAAACATGTACCACAACGTGCGCTTCCTCGACGCGCCCGCCAACACCAAGAAGTCGATCCTGCCGTGCACGCCGCTCGCCGTCGTCAAGATCCTCGAGTACCTGCAAATCTACAACCCCATCCTCGCGACCGGCAACCGCCTCTTCGGAAAGACCATCACCGTCATCAACCGCTCCGAGGTCAACGGGCGGCCGCTGGCGGCGCTGCTGGCCAACGACGGCGCCACCGTCTACTCGGTCGACGTGACGGGCGTGCAGCTCTTCACGCGCGGCAGCGGCATCAAGAGCCCGCGCCACCGCGTTGAGGACAAGGACGGCTGGGGTCTCGCCGAGTGCCTGCCGCTCAGCGACGTGGTCATCGGCGGCGTCCCGGTCGAGTCCTTCAAGGTGCCGACGGAGCTGATCCGCGACGGCGCCGTCTGCATCAACTTTTCGTCGTACAAGAACTTTGACGGCCCGGCCATCAAGGAGAAGGCGTCCATCTACGTGCCTTCGGTCGGCAAGGTGACGATTGCCATTCTGCTGCGCAACCTGGTTGTAAGTTGACCTTTGAGATTTGCGCCGTGTACGATGTAGCTAACGTTTCTTGTCTCTGCAGCGTCTTATTGCCAACCGTCCGCCCAAGGGTTCCGACGAGGGCTTGGTGCAGGCGAGACATGATGCTTTCAAGGACGACTGAACTGATGACTGGAGATGCGCGATGAGTAAACTTGCGCAGAAAGGAAATGAAAAAAGGGGGGGGATATGAATGCATACATTAGACACTGTTAGACAGGGCCGCAAGCTTACTGTGGCCCGTACATTTCATTTTGATACCTATTGCGAAACGGCAAAAAAAAAAAGTAAAACATGGCTGCTCAAATTCTGCTAGAATTGGATAAATACGCGAAATCAAATTATCCTCATTGGGAATTGCAGATTTTCCGCGTCCTTCTTTGGTCCTGGTGCATGGGGGTTCGTGTTCCGCAACATGGGATGGCGATGTGGCGTCTGAGTCTGAAACGTGGTGAAGATGTGGCAAGCGAGTGGCGCACATGGCATCGGGGGGTCAAGTTGAAAGGGAGATAGATGGGCAAGTGAGAGGGGAGGAGAAGCGGGAAGCGAATTGACAAGTAATGCTGCAACAGCTTGGACGTGCTGACATTGAGAAGGGGAAATAGGCATGTCTGCATGGTGATGGGATAAGCTGTACGAGTAAGGGGCAGTATTGCAGGTACAAGTTGAAGCCTTACATTGAAGCGGCACAAGGTCGGCATTTTTGGAGGATGACCGGCACGCTTGATTACTTTGTCAATTTGCTCAATGCATTGAATTGGCCAGTATTGAGTCAACATTCTGTCTAGAATAGCGGAGAGGGTCAGAGAAACCAACCAGAAAATGTTTCCTTGGTGGGAATGGGGTGAAAAGTAGCGAGTACTTGATTTCAGTCTTCCAGGAGCCGGGGTGTACCTGAGGTAATGCTGTAACTGGGCAAAGTATAAAGTAGCGTCCTTCGGAGATGGATACCCGCCGGAGGTAGCCAGCACTTACCGTCCCAACCCTGGCGATTTGGCTTCGCGATCCCCGGTCGCGCATCGGGCCCCTGCTAATGAGTTGCCTGGGACCCCTGTTCGCCTGAATTAACAGTGACAAAGTGGTCATAATAAACCCGCGGTTAGTCGTAAATAGTCTGCGCAAAATGCCTTGGTAGGCCGGGAACCCTGCGGTCGCTATTGTTCTATCGTTGTATCGATGACCAGCTAGCGCAGGGCGGTACGGTGCAGTTGCAGAAACGGTCTCGGTGCTTTTGCGCTGGCATGGCGTGCGCTTTGTCTCCTGGCCCCCTCTCTCTCCCCTGAAGGGCTTACTTGTTGGTGCGAAATCTGATGTCTTCAAACTTCCAACCCCCAAGAAGGCCGTCGTCTCAGAAGGAAAAAAAATCCCGTATACGGATTTCATCCCAAGAGGCTGCATCGAATTAACGACCAGGCTAAACTATTGGGCTGCGGTTGAGCCAGGGGTGCCCAGCGCCACCAGCACAAACAAAGCCTTCTCCTCACTGCCGTCTGTCTGCCTGCAGCGTCTATTGGGACAAGCCCGGCTCCGATTGAACCACCACCTCCTCACGCCCCTCCCCTTTTGGGGCCGCGATACGATACGACAAGTAATAATTCGCCTTGCGCCTCTGCCCATCTGCAGCCGGCTGCTGCCCATCAACTGGACTGGCCATCTCCGCACTTGCCCTCTCACTTCCACCCTCGGATGGTGCGTGTGTGCTGTGCAACTGACTTTTGCGCACGGGGGTACGAGTCAAATCTGAGTTTGCGTCTGTGTGGACGGAGAGGAGCCTCAAACCGGTTCAGCGTGTGTGCCTGTCTCTCGCTCACTCTGCGCTGAGTCGGGTACCTCTACTAGCCTGGCACCGCAAACACGCTACTTTGCTTCCCGCTCTGTCCATACAAAGGGGAAGGGGAACAAAAAAAAAATCATCATCATTCTTGTGCGCCGGCATTACCTCTTGCATGCGAGGCAAACAACACGAGCGCAACCTCATTGGCCCTCGACCCTGCACTCCGCGGCCCTGAGCCGACCGACCCTCACCACCAGTCAGTCCATTGTGGTTCCTCGCCTCCCCTCGCCGACGCCGAGCCCACAATGGCGACAACACCCACTGCTGCGCCAGCCCGCCGTCATGCACGGCAAGACTCTAATGGAAGCAACCCGACTCTGCGGCCGCAGGCCTCCTCGCCTACCTTGACCAACCCCGACATGATCCTGCCCGACTACGACGACCGCGAGCCACTTCCCCCGAGTCTGCAACACCACCACCAACAATCTCTCGGCTGGGGCGGCGTGCCCCTCAACGACGACATGTTTGACTTTGCCGACGTCGTCGACTCGTCGTCGGCGTCGCCCGCCTACCCCCTCAACACCCCCATCATCTACGGCAACGGCACCATGCTCTCCGACATTGGCGAGGTCACCGAGGTCGAGAGCAACGTCGGCGGCCCGACGCGCCAGCTCTCCGCTCGCTCCCGCCGCTCCAACCACTCCGACGACAACCTCGCCGCCGCCACGCACAAGCAGCTGCTCCGTCGCGCGCCCGGCGCCGGCGCCAACGCCAAGGACAACCGCGCCTCCATCGACTCGGCGCATACCATCCCCGCGCATCACGACGGCGCCTTTGCCGACTTCGACGACACCGTCAGCGTCGACGACAGCAACTTCCAGGGTGACGACGAGGAGAGCGTCGCTTCCTCTTTCTTTGACGGCCACTCGAGGCCGCGCAATGGGCTCGCGTCGAAGCGCTCTGACCTCTCGCTGAACCAAGATAGATACTCAACCTCATCCATCAGCCGAAGGGCCGAGCAGATCCTGGCCAACGCCAAGCGCAGGCTGACGGTAAGCCGCCTCCGTCGCCACACAAAACGCCAACTGCATACTAACGAACAATCTATAGACCATGGAAGGTAATCTGACCAGAGCGCGTACTTTTAGCTACTCTTCAGTCTCCGACGGCTCCACGCCCTCGCCGATACGCACGCCCAAATCGCCTGGATTTAGAACGCCAGTCCACGCACGCAACGGTAGCGAAAACAGCATTGCGACCGCGAACCAAAACGGCATGCCTCCAAGGTCCGCCAGCGCTCTCGGCGCTGCAGGAGGATATCGCCAACCGCTCCCACATTCTCGCAGCGCCGACTCAATCAACCGCCTCAACCATGGCATCTCTCAACATCCACTTGATCTTGCCCTGGAGCCGCTGAGCGAAGACGACGGCACGCAGGACGACGACAACTCAGACAGCACACAAGTGGCTAGATATGCCAGCCCGACCTTCAACGGCTACAACGACGTAGGCATAGCGCGCTCTACATCAGCAGCTCAGATGCGCGGGATCCAAGACCAGATGAACGGCCTCAAGGGCAAAATCTTTAGCCTCCGGGAACAGGCTGCCGCTGACAGTATGAAGCGACGGAGCCTGCAAAGCCTGCGCACACAGAGCCTCTTCACAAACGCCAGAGTCGAGGATGGGGATGAGGACTCAAAGTCGGCGCAAGGACAAGACGTCGCATCGCCAGCTCTCGGCAGTCCTTTCCGTGCCGAGTTTGCCAAAGCGCACAGCGGCGACGACGAGCTACCGCCCCCGCAGAATGAGCAGCAAACGCCGCCTTGGAAGAGATCGGAACGAGAACCCGTCGTCGCACGACATAGCCCCATGCAGAACCTCCACCAAGCCTACTTGCAAGATGAGAATACCCCGCCAAAGGGCAAGGCGGCGGCGGCCAAGGAAAAGTTTGACCGGCTCGAGAAATCCGGTTATGCTGACGAAGACGACGACCTCGACACCGAAAATGGGGATGCTGAAGACCCCGCCGAGGAGCCTGCCGAAGACCCTGCCGAAGAAAATACTGTTGCGGATTTGGAAGCCGACGACGTTAGCGAGAGCGGCGACTCTCTCTACCACGAGGCCTACCAGCATCCCTTGTCGCACGAGGACAGAGAAGATGCATTCGACTACGAACACTTTTTCCTACACTCGGCCATGGGCCATGTTAGCAGACAGAGCTATCGAGCCCCAGAAGAAGACGATTCTGGTAGCGATTGCTCGGACGGCTCTGTGGAGACAACGAGAGCTCTCCCCACGGCGGCTTCTGGACGCCCACGTCGGCCTAGCCTGGATACCATGACATCCGTTGACAGTTTCGCGACAGCACGCGAAGGCCGTGACAGCCGCGCTTCCACCATTGACACGGTAGACGATGGCTACGAGTCCCCGATCATTGGCGTCACTCAAATACACAGCCAGACAAACAAACGTCTCGCGCCTAGTACACAGGAGAGCGGCAGCAGCAGCGAGGATTCGCGTTCCTCAAAGGAGCGATATGGCCCTCGACACGCATTTCAATTTCGACCGGCTGCCATGGCGGCCAATACTATCGGTCACCCCAAGCGCATTGGCCTCCATCGTCCGTCGGTGTCTTCTTTCGAGTCGACCGGTACAAACCGAAGCTTTCCTCTGATCCATAAGACGCGACTAAGCGGAAACACGACCCCGAGAGAGTCACCGGAGCTCATGATGCGGGGCATGCGCAGCCTTCCACAGAGCCGCCGAAGCAGTATGAACGAGACTGTCCTGGCCAGGATGTCGAACGGGTCAATGTCTGGCTCCGTGAACGGCTCCCTCAACGGGTCCGCGAATGGATCCATCACCGGCTCCGTGGGTGGCCCCGTCAATGGCTCTGCCCACGGGCACTCGAGCTCCATGAACGGCGGGGACGTGAATGGATCGCGCAACGTGGCGGTGTCGTCGCCCACGATGCAGCCTCTGAGCGGCGAGGACCAGGTATCCGTCGACCTCTTGCTGGCGAGCATCCAAAAGTGCGCGTTGGGACTGCGCGACACGACACCATCGGGCATCAAGATGCACGATGCCTATCGACGGAGACTGGAAGCTGCCCGGCAAATCCTGGACGGCGCCCCGGACTCCTTTTAATACACATGTGAGGATTTTGCGACACGATGAAAACGGCGCAGGCGGGAGGGATGATGAAAAACAAAGTCGCGCGCACTTGGGGGTTTTACATTATTATAATGCCCGAAACGACACTGATTGCTACTATTACACGGAGTTGCGGAACGGCCTGTATCTTTCGATATCCCGTGTGTTTTTTTTTCTTTGTTTCATTCTTCTTTTTATTCCCATCCATTCCTTTTCTTCTTTTCTTGTACTCTTGGTCGCAATGGAGCGACATTCTTGGCATCTTTGTTGTATTATAAGGGGAATGACAGCGGGATAGTAGTGGCCATTCTGGGAAAAAAGGACCACTCCTTGACCTTTTCTTCCATTGGAAAACTTATTAATGAATGCATTTCTTTAACTAATAATCCATGCCGTGAACGTTGACGCTGGGACCTGGCTTTCACATGTCAAAACGTGTACAGGGGCAGCATTGACAGCAGCAAAGATCTGAAGTAGCAGAAGATAATCGGACAACATGTTCGTGATGGTGAGCTCTGATTGTGTATAGCTAGGAACTGAGAACCCGTAGCATCAGGACATACCTACATACATGCGAAGTAGGGGTTCAAAGTTGTCGTGACCTGTGCAATCCGACGCTGACCAGGCGCATGTGGTGTGTGGGTCCTCCTTCCTTCCCCCCCTCCACGCCCGCGTCCGCGTTCGGCTGGTACACAAGAAACGACCACTTGTTGACATTTATTTACCCTGAAAGCTACCAAGCAACAAGAGAAATCGAGAGCTTTTACGCTGTATCTCACGTCGCGCGTGCCGATCCTCCTTGACACGTTACACGGGTGTGAGGACGCGACGCACGGTTCATCGTCAAGATAACACAGACGGGCACTTTCCTCCTTGGCGCACGCGCCATCATCGTCGACAACCTTGATACAACCTACAAATACACAAAACAGCGGGCGACAGACCGCGAGGCGATACCAACTTTTGGGAATCCTCAGTCCTTGCGCTTCTACGAAACGTGCAACCAACACACCCCGCACACACACACACACACATACACACATACACAAGCAGCCATGGACGTAACGGCGACGCTCTCACACCTCGTCACCTCGCTCCTCCCCGCCGAGCAGGCCGCCTTCGTGCACACCCACGTCCTCCGCGCCGACGCCCCCCTGCGCGTCACCTTCTCCGCCGCGCGCGCCTCCGCCCTCCGCGGCGCCTCCGCCGCCTACCCGTACGTGGCGCCCGCGTGCGAGCGCGCCCTGGCCTGGACGCACGCCTCGCAGCTGGCGGTCGCGTGGGCGGCGGTCGCGGCGCTCGCCGCGTGGGCGTGGCATCGCGGGCCGGCGGAGAGCGCAAGGGACCTGGTGGCCGCGGGCGGGAGGTTGGCGGGGTACGCGGCGGTGGTGAGGGATATCTGGCTGAGGGAGTACAGGAGGTACGAGGAGCAGGAGAACCGTGGGCGGTGAGCAAGAGAGGACGGAGGGAGGGAGGGGGGAGTTTCGTGATGGGTCTTGTGTATGGGGGGCCGCTGCTTTTCCGGGAGGTGTCGCGTCTGCTTGCGAGAGCAGTGGGGTGGAAGATGATTTTACGATGAATGATATGCCTTGTATCTTTTTTGTAATGTTCATGCTCGGGTGGTTTGTTTTTTTTGGATTGACTGCTTGGCACCCGGTTACCTTTGAAAGAGCATGGGAGAAGGCGAGAAATATCAAGGGGATTGCGCTTGTTTACATGCTTCCGGACTCTTACTTGTTCTTGTTATATTGGTCGTTATATTGGTCTATGCATGGTCCTTGGTATTTCAATATTTCAAATACAAATCAACGCCGACGCTATGCTCCTGATGAATCACTTTTCTATATGCGCGCACTCCGCTCCGCATCACTCCTCGTCCTGCTCCTGCTCGTCAGCCTCGGCATCCTCGTTGGGGTCCTTGGGGTCCTGCGCCTCGTGGAACTGGATACAGTCGTCGATGAAGCTGAGGATGCCGCCGACGCTGTCCTCGTCGGTGACGTCGAGCTTGAGGTAGTTGACCATGCTGAAGCTCTCAATCAGCCCGGCCACCGCGCGGTTGAGGCGGCGGAAGCTCGCGCCCTTCATGACCTGCTCGCGGTCGCCTGGAGCCTTGGACTCGTTGCCCGCTGCTTCGTCCGCGCCGTCGCCCGTCAGGCGGCCGCGCTCGAGCGGGTCGTCGTCGAGCAGCGCGACGTCCGGGGTCAAAAAGTTCTTGAGATCGCGCTTCTTGACCTGGCCCTTGATGAGGTCCATCTTGGAGAGGACGTTGATGTGCGGGACCTCGAGCATGAGCATGGCCGACATGGCGCTAAGGGTGCCGGCGAAGAACTTTGCGCGGTCGACGACGAAGGTGGCCTCGAGCAGGTAGACGGCGGCCATGCGGATGTCGAGCGCGCCGGGCTGCGACAGGAAGCGCATGAGGGTGGGCAGGATGGGGATGTGGGTGTAGAGCTCGATCTGGCCGGGCATGTCGAAGATGATGAGGTAGTCGTCGGTGAGGGCGTCGAGGGCGTCGGTCAACCAGTCGAGGTTCTGCATGAGGAACTCGAAGCAGTAGACGAGGCCGCCGTTGGGGCCGAGGCCGACCTCCTCCATGGCGTCGTGCAGCGAGATCAGCTCCTTGATGTCGAGGTCGGGCGTGTGCTCAAACGTCTCGGCGGCGGGGTCGAGGTTGACGTAGAAGGCGGATCGGCGGTTGAGCTGGAGGTGGGTGATGAGGGCGGCGCAAAAGGTGGACTGGAAGGGAGGGATGCGTTAGGATTGATTGGTTTGTGTGTGTAGTCTTACGCTATGAGGGAAAAACAGAAAAGCATGAAGGAGACTGCATGTTTTGCGATGCGCAGGTGGGCGCACGCGGCTGTCGATTCTGCAGTGGGATGCAGACGACGAGAGGCGGGGTGGTGATGGCTGCGGTGGTGTTTGCGCACATACCTTGCCGGCGCCGGCCGGGCCCATTACCATGGTGCCGAATTTGCTCATGATGAGAATGTGACGGCGTGGAGATGAATCAAGTAATTGTTTTCGACACTACGCGAGCTTGGTTGGTTGGTCGCGATGCTTGGATGGGCATAAGTTGGAGCTTTTACGGTGCCAAAAGATTTTATAATAGCCAAGGTGGGGTTGTTTCCGGCCGCAGGCGGCGGGATAGATGGTGGGGGGCCATTGCTTGGTGCAAAGGGAACTGGCTGGCTGAGCCTGAGCACAAAGTAGTGTGGCGTATGATCAATTTAAAATAAATAGGTCGGCTAAGTACCTACATAGCTAGTTAGTACATAGGTAGCTGACAGGAAACCGTTGGTGCTGATGCTGATGCTGCACAGCATTGTCAGCATAATAGTGCATTGTACATGCTGGTGTGCGTAAGCCATCCATCCATCCAGGGTTCTTTGCTTTGCTCCGATCCCGCCGACGCTCCGAGGTCTTCGTAGCTCCTTCCTTGCCCATCCAATACCAAAACCCCTCCCTTTGCCCCTCCGAATGAGGATGTTGCAAGCAGGATGCGCTTTGAGGCTGACCCGCACCACGTTCTCGCGGGCAGCGCTGGTACTGGCGACGTGATGGATTCCTAGCGTCACGCAACAGACGGCAGCACAGCAACAGCCAGCTTATCACTCAAACAGAACACAGACGGGCACCAAAAGGCACAAGCTCAACAAATGGAAGCTCTTCCGTCCCGCCCCGTCCCTTGTTTGATTCTGCTGGGGGGAGGATGAGACCTTGCAAACGAACTGCAGGGTGCTGTGCTCGACATTTTCCTCTGTCCGATGGCGCAATATCCCCCACAGCTTCTGCGACATCCACTTTGCAAGGTACTTGTGGTCTTCAGCTCCCAGCGCCGACAGCTAATTTTGGCTTTACGTTTACAATGCTAGCGAGGTACAGAAGATACTCAAAAATACTACATATGGTTTCTTTTTAGGTAGTTTTCATTGCGCCCATTCCTCTTCATTTTAGCCTTTTGGCTGAGTAAAGTAAAAGATATCTACTTAAGCTGCCTAGCAACCTCATTTTGCTCCGAAACCACCAATGCCGGCTGCCAAGTGGCTTGCTTTGTACATCTTGTCTACTGCCTGTCGGCGCTGCCCCTCCTCGACGCTAGTAGGGTACCCGGGCGACCACCCTAAGCCGCAGCACATTGCATGTACCGTTGCAACACAAAACACTCCCATTTACCCCTCCATGGGGTCCGCCAGGTACATACTGACCTTGTCCCGCCTGTCTTAAGCCGGCCGAATTTTTTTTCTGGCTTGCCGCGAGGTACCTCCGACTAGACCAGCCATTTTTGCAGGGCTGCCCGCTTGTGCAATCTCCCCTCCGCCTTTTCTTCGCCCTTTTCCCTCGTCTTTTTTTCCACTCATCCTCTCATCCTCTCTCATCTTCTTCCCTCTCAACCCAGCGTTTTGCTCTACGAGGTTTGTGCTCGCCGATTTAAATCCTTCCTGCGACCTACACATTGTACTAACCAGCCTTTCGCCACAACAACAGTCTTGCGGTGCCGTCTTCATTGACGACCTTGCCATCCAGATTTTTTTCTGCCACTAGCTATCTCGCTCATCAGCCACCCCGAATCTCTTCCAAACTTATCGTCCCTCCTCTTCCTCCTTTAATCCTCTCAAATCATTCACAATGCCTTCCGCCAACGGTACCAACGGCACCCACTACAACCAGGGTAACTTCCTGTTCACCGTATGTCGCTCAATGCGTCCCCTCGCCAAACAAACCCCGACACGCCCCCTTCTCCGTGTCCTCCGCTCTGCAGCCTGGCTAACCTTGAATTCACAGTCCGAGTCCGTCGGTGAGGGTCACCCTGACAAGATTGCCGACCAGATCTCCGATGCTGTCCTCGACGCCTGCTTGGCTGAGGACCCCCTCTCCAAGGTTGCTTGCGAGACTGCCACCAAGACCGGCATGGTCATGATCTTCGGTGAAATCACCACCAAGGCCAAGATTGACTACCAGAAGGTCGTCCGTGACGCCGTCAAGGACATTGGCTACGACGACTCCGCCAAGGGCTTTGACTACAAGACCCTCAACCTGCTCGTCGCCATCGAGCAGCAGTCCCCCGATATCGCCCAGGGTCTCCACTACGACGAGGCCCTCGAGCGTCTCGGTGCTGGTGACCAGGGTATCATGTTCGGCTATGCCACCGACGAGACCCCTGAGCTCTTCCCCCTTACCCTCCAGCTCGCCCACAAGCTCAACGCTGCCATGTCCGCCGCCCGCCGTGACGGCACCCTTCCCTGGCTCCGTCCCGATACCAAGACCCAGGTCACCGTTGAGTACAAGCACGACAACGGTGCCGTTGTCCCCGTCCGTGTTGACACCGTCGTCGTCTCTGCTCAACACTCTGAGGACATCACCACCGAGCAGCTTCGCAAGGAGATCCTCGAGAAGATCATCAAGGCCACCATCCCCGCCCAGTACCTTGATGAGAAGACCATCTACCACATCCAGCCCTCTGGCCTCTTCATCATCGGTGGTCCCCAGGGTGACGCCGGTCTGACCGGCCGCAAGATCATTGTCGACACGTACGGTGGCTGGGGTGCCCACGGTGGTGGTGCTTTCTCCGGCAAGGACTTCTCCAAGGTCGACCGTTCCGCTGCCTACGTCGGTCGCTGGATCGCCAAGTCCCTTGTCGCCGCTGGCCTCGCCCGCCGCGCTCTCGTCCAGCTCTCCTATGCTATCGGTGTTGCCGAGCCCCTCTCCATCTACGTCGATACCTACGGTACCTCCGACAAGACCTCGGAGCAGCTCGTTGAGATCATCCGCAACAACTTTGACCTCCGCCCCGGTGTCATTGTGCGCGAGCTCAGCCTGGACCGCCCCATCTACCGCCAGACTGCCAAGAACGGCCACTTTGGTACCAACCAGAGCTTCACCTGGGAGCAGCCCAAGACCCTCAAGCTCTAAGCATTTTTTTCTTTCAGAGCTTGATTGGGAAAGCATTCAACAACGCTTTCCTTTATTTGTTTCAAGATAGATGTGTTTAATGTTCTTTTCATGAGGCACAACATTTCGGGCGGCGTACGGTTCTCAACGAAACCAATTTGGTACACAATACACCCCCCGCAGGGACGCGGGGGCTTTTTTCGGGCGGTTTTTAGCATATTTCCTTTGTCATCTTTTTTGCTTAACGAGAGGCCTCTTGGCCATATCATGATATACCAGGAACGAACCCGAATTGCGTCTTTCAACAAAGATTGGCAGCGGGTTGTTCGTGCATTTGGGAAAACATTACTGCGAAGATTTGCATTTGGGATACCCTTTCAGTAGGGGCGCTTAAGAGGCAGCGTTACGAACTTGGCGTTTACGGGAACACAAAAGAACTTCAACATCTTTTAATTTCCCGGTTCTCTGACCGAACATGTGCGGATCAGTCGGCAGGGCGGGAGAGATGAGCAAATAATCTACGCAGATAGTTGGGTCTATCGACCTCTGACATATATGCGGAGGAACCAATGAAAATAATTGGGAAGCAGTGGCTGTTCAGGATGACGATGATTGTGACTGCATGCAAGGACAATATGATTTCGAGGGATATAACTGACAATCAAGCCTGGGCCAGATCTGGCCACTATCGCCGCCCCCGTTCAAGTTCAGCTGGCCGAAGACACAACTGGACCTCCTCGCCACGTCGATCCACTAAGAAGGTTGACGCCTTAGCCGTGCGAGAATGCAAACCATCATTCGTCAGATGGTCGAGGGAAGGACCATGACGATAGGCCAGGCGAAAAAAGAAAAAAAAGAAGCTCAGAAGAACTAGGATGCAGATCAAACGAGGCAGCCAAGCCGCTGCCGACTTGCACTGCCCCTCCCAGCGAGCTGTAAAGACATAAAATTACGGCACAGCACCCCCACCCCTCCAAGCCGCCCCGCCTACGTCCAAGCAGCCGGCTGAGGATCCTTTAAACTCTCCATCATTTGCCGGTTTACTGGTCCATCTCACTATTTTCTTCTTTAATCTACAATATCGGGCAATCAATTGAGCGATTGAGACGCTTTCTCACATTTCTGCATCCTCCCGCAGTCTACCTTGCCGGTTCCGGTCACCACGCATACAATCAATATACCCCTCGCCAACCAGCTAGCGACAAGACTAACAGAACCGCCGCGCGAACCAACTAATCCCATAAATAAAAGAATACATGCCATTCAGGAAACGAGACGGACGAGACAAAATGCCTAATCTTTCCATCCGCAACCTCACCGTCCACCCGCTGGAGCTCGTCGCCGCCGAGCGCTTCGCAGCCGAGCGCGTCAAGACCGTCGGCGTGCTGTCGAGCATCGGCAGCGCCGTCACCAACTTCCTCAACGCGACCGAGAGCGCCTCCTCCGAGCTGCGCGTCAAGGCGGACCTGGCCGGCACCGACCGCCGGGACGTGTCCTTCCGCGCCGAGGCTTTCCAGACGGTCGAGACGGACGTGTCCGCCGCAGACCCGTCGGCGGAGGTCGTCCGGTTGACCTTCCAGACCGAGGACCACCGCTACGAGACGGACGTGCCGAGCCCGTCGTCGCGGTCGGCCGTCATGCGCAAGCTCGACGACGGCCCGCACGACCTCACCGTCGTGTACGTACCCGCCGCGGGGCTCGTCGCCGTGTACTCGTCGGCGCGCCTGGACGGCTGGATGGGCGAGCTGAGCGACGCCTGGCCGCTGCCGTCGCTGTCGCTGCCCGGCACGCACAACTCGCCGACGTGCTACAAGGCGCTGCCGTCGGTGCGCTGCCAGGCCGTCGGCGTGCCGGAGCAGCTGCAGAACGGCGTGCGGTTCCTCGACATCCGCGTGTCCGCCAGCCAGGACGACGACCGCCTCGCGCTCGTCCACAGCGTCTTCCCCGTCTCGCTGACCGGCACCAAGTGGCTCGGCGACATGCTCGAGGACGTGTACCGCTTCCTCGAGGAGCACGGCACCGAGACCGTCATCGTCAGCGTCAAGCGCGAGGGCACTGGCAAGGGCTCCGACGGCGACCTGGGCCGCTACCTGCGCGACGGGTACGTCGGCAAGCGCCCGGACAGGTGGTACACGGAGCCGCGCGTGCCGACGCTCGGCGAGGCGCGCGGCAAGATCGTGCTGATGCGCCGCTTCGGCGTCGACGACGACCTGCGCGGCGAGTGGGACGGCCACGGCTGGGGGCTCGACGCCTCGGCGTGGCCCGACAACTGTGAGGACGGCCAGGCCGGCAGCTGCGCGATCCGCGTCCAGGACTTTTACGAGGTCACCGAGAGCGACAACATCGACAAGAAGGTGAGCTTCAGCCACGGCCACCTCGAGCGCGCCGCCGAGCACGCGTTCCTGCTGCCCGGCGCGGAAGGCTACGACGAGGGCGCCGACAAGCCCCCGTTCTACGTCAACTTCCTCAGCGCGAGCAACTTCTTCAACGCCACGTGCTGGCCGGAACGCATCGCGAGAAAGGTCAACCCGCGCGTGGTCGAGTACCTATGCACGAGCCACGGCGTCGAGGGCAAGGGACCCAACAACCTGGCCATCGGCTCCGCCGGCGCGGGCATCGTAGTGACGGACTGGGTCGGCGCCAACGGCGACTGGGACCTGATCCGCTGCATCGTCGGGATGAATGCCCGCCTTCAGCAACTCCAAAACTAGAGGCATGGGCGGCGGTTGGCCGGGCGGGCAAGTAATGAGCTTTACACAACACAGACGGGTCGACGAGTCATTAAATAGATGCAGCAATGATATTGAATTTCTTCTTCATTATTTATAATTTCTTTTCGCCTCGAGAGCGCACGTATCCGTGCCGTTATGCCTACTTACAGAGCCAGGTTAGCAGTGTACCACAACTCGGTCTGCAGGAACATTGCGTGAAGATTTCTAGAACAAAGTCAGTACGAGACCATATAGCTTTGGGCATCGAGCAGAGCAATTACCAGTCAGAAGTTGTGTATTATTTTCAAGTCTCACAGCTCCAAAAGAGGAACACGAGATCAACCAGTGTGAATACAAATTGAAACATCTCATCACAGAAACGGTGTGGTCCAGAATGGAAAAATGTTCTTATTTACCTATCGTAACAAGACAATTAGTTATCAATTACGCGATAGAGTTCAAAATCCCGCAAGGGAATGTATTGAAATGTTGTGCTCAAGTCAGGTGACGAAGTGTCATCCAGAGATCCCGCCACCCCTACACCACAAGGTTTGTACGCCTTGCTTTTCTAGGGCATAGGGACAGCAGGGCTCGATTATGTCCGCCCGTTCGTTCAAATCTTCATCATAGAGACACGTTGCATGGGTGTGTGCGTTCGTGGATAGTATTTACCTAACGCCTCGAGAGTTAGCCAGATGCACATTCCAAGAGCGCAGAGATAGAAGCGAAGTAAAGAATCCAAGTCAGACAAGGCTGAAACTTAAACAACGGTATCCACATTATGTATTAAGCATGAGGAATCCCTGAGGTGTCGGTTTGATCATCATTCGGAGGGGGGGCATAGAAGAAAACGTGTGTTTATACGAACCTTTGATATTGTACATCGAACGCGTCGGCATGTCGTCAATCATCATGTCATGATCTATAGTACAGTCAGAGATAGCTCAACAATCGACTGTAAACAAATAGTGTCTGCAAAAAATCTGCTCAGGCTGATTAAGATAGATTGCTTCTCACCATGGGTTGGTATGAATTGGATTGTTCAATTGTGATCAATTCATCATTGTGCATCGGACGAGCAAACACCAAGCAGAATATTCCTTACCTCATAATATTACAAAGCCCTTCAGTATCACCACAACCGAGCCGAGACGCCTCTGGCAGTCTGGTCGAAGCTTGGGTGAACTGAAGAGCTTTGGATGTGGTTGAGAGGAAAGAAAAGAAAAGGGAAATTTTCTTGGAGAAGAAATAAAAGGTAGCTTTGTGGGACTAATCTACTTTAGTACTAGCGTTATGCTGAGGCATCCTGTGGCGGTGCAGCGCGGTCCCTCCCGCAATCTGGGTGGCGAAATGCCGTTTCTGTGGCGCAGTATATAGAGTCACTTGCATCCTCAGGGTTCCGAGCTATTGCTGGATGACGCAACCTCCCCTCATCCTGCTCTGGCCGGAGTAAAACAGCATCTGCATAGCTTTATTCTTCGCCCATCATGGCAAGCATGGCGGGGATATGGGGGCCAGCGGCCGTCCGTCTCCTCCGCGTTGCTGCCACGAGAGCGACCGAAGCCGTGCGAGCCAACCTTGCCAGCGCCGCGCGGCCGCTCTACAACGCAAAACAACAATACATTCCCATCCGATCCGGACGACAGCCCATCCACCCTGCCGCCTTCTTGAAGCAGCAGCGGCGCTGGATCTCGCGAATCTCCGGCCAGCACGCCCAGGCGGTCCGCCGATTCCTCAGTACCGCGCCGCCCCACGGCGGTGCTCGCCAGCCGTTCCGCCGATCGCAGCTGCCTTCGTCCGAAACCTATCGACGGGTCGGCCAGTTCTCCGGACGGGCTCCGTTTGCGAATGCCCTGCGGCCAAACTTGACGGGCGGCGCGATGCCGCGCTCTGCTGGTGGGTACGGCATCGGCGGTGGCGGAGCCAGGTACTTTTCTCACACGCCTGCGGCACCGGCTCAGGTCGTGCAAAATGTCTCTCAAGCCATGAGGGCCTTCTTCCTTTCCGGCCAGCGCCTCCAATATGACGGCCTTGGGGCCAACGGCGAGCCGCAGTACCGTGCCGTTTCGGCTCTTGAGGACCAGGCCATGCGCAAAATGGCCAACTTCCCGCGTTTCGCCTCGGGCTCTTTCATCGACTTCAAGCTCACCCCCACGATCACCGCGCTGAGTCCTCTTGCCGCTGCGCTGATCGAAGCGTCTGATATCTCCGGCTTCAAGGGCGCCGCTCCTGCTGATGGCGCTTCCCTCAATACCGAAGGATTCCTGGATGTGCTCTCTACCGACTTTGGCCGTGCGCTCAAAGATCTTACCGCGATATATGCAGATCTTCGTCGACTATCCGTGCTCGGAGACTTGCCCGTTTCTATGGAGAAGAGCAACGTTCTTCGTGTTCGGTTCCCAGGAGTTGATGTGTATACCCTGGAGCGTCTCTGCGACGATATTGGCATTGAGCGAGGTGTTCTTGGCCAAGACCCGCAGTCTGAAAACATGCATATGACGCTTCAAATCCCATTTGCCCCTGAGTCAGAAAAGGCCTTTACGTCGCCTGGTGGTTCTACCAGATCTGTCTGGGGACCCGGGTCGGAATATGACGCTTTGAGCGAGGACTCCTTGATTCAAGAGGCATTTGAGCTTGACGGAAACCCATGGCTGTCGGATCCAGAAGAATATGAAAGCCTTTCACCAGCTAGTTGTTCGGTGAAGCATCGTTCTCAGGAATTCGAGGGTCTTGAGGGCATATATAGGTTCCTGGAGGAGTGCGACAGGGCCAAGGGTCGGGTCGGCTAGCGGTTTTTTTATGTTGAAGTTTTGAGCGCGGGAAGCTTTGCGCTCTGCCACTCATTGTACGGTATGAGATTGATAGTTCATGCCCAACGAATGGGGGTTTTTTTTCCTTTTGTTAAATGATAACTGTTTTAAATAAGTTACCTCTTGTGTGCTGGCGTGACTGTGGAGGCTTTGCTGGTCACCAGTTGAGAGTTGAAGGCATCCGTTGGCTGGCTATTCCGAGGGTTTAGAAGACTTGTATTGGTGGAGAGATGTTGCAGAAATATTGCGAATGAAAAGAGATTGGCGCAGCACACGGCACAGTCGTCTTGATTGTCCATTGTTGGTCGAGTCGGTGTGAAGGGGTGCGTTGCTTGAGGACCACCTGTAGCGTGGAAGTTTCAGTATATCAGACCCACTGAAATTACAGTGAATCTCCTTGTCCACCCTGGACTGGTATGCTCTCGACAACCAATACGTATCTTCTGCATCCTTTTTGTTCGTTTCCCTAAAACTTGTCTACTTTTTTTGTTTCTAAATATTTCCTCGGTTGAATGTGCAGCGGCGCCTAGATTCGGTGTCATCGTTGTTGCACCGACCGGAGTTTTAGCTGCCAAAGACAAGGGCCAACGGAGATTTGGCAGAGTGTGGAGGGTTGGTATCGGAAAAGAGGTCAGGCATTGGATTGCTTTGTTTCGCTCCTCTTGATTCATTTTCTCTTTACCCTTCTCAGAATTCTCTTTCTTCCTTTTTTTTTTATGAAAAAAAGAAGGATGTTTATCGGTGGGAGCGTTCCTCGCGTGAGAGCCTTCGAGCTTCCGCCTCTGTACGTATGTATGTATGTATGTATGTATGTACGTATGTATGTACATATATACATACATGCTAACCGATCTATTCTTGCCCGGCATCGTCTGGCATACACGCAATGCATTTATAATCTCCGGTAGTTCAACCAGACATGTTGTGCTTGATCAGGCTAGCAAGCTCCGGGTGGCTTATGCGGGGTCTCCGGTCTGGAACTACGGTTACGGTTGTACCTGCTAAATAAATTAAGACCGTGGAAGCTTGACCGGCGTCCGAAGCAACCTCGGCAGAGACCCATCTATAAGCCCGCAAAAGCGACACCACATCCTCTGCCATCTTGCCTCCAGCTCTCTCCTCTTTTCATTACCAGAACTGCACAGCGAGCCACCCCTCGTCCTTGACTTTCACCCATCATCCATATACACAGAAATCCAGCCACAATGTCCGGTCCCGGTGTCGGCTTCGAGTATCCTCGCCAGAAGGTGTCCTGGCTGAAGCGCGATCTGTTGCTGTTTGCCAACTCGATTGGCGCCAAGGCTGATGAGCTTCACCTGCTCTATGTACGAATTGGCGCTCGTATAATTATTCAGAGCTCGCATTGACCATGATCATAGGAACTGCACCCCGATTTTGCCGCTTTCCCCACGTATCCCATCATTCTCTGTGAGCGCATGCCTCCAGCCCACAATCGTCTGCCCCAGCGCTAATTGCCTGCGACTTTTACAGCTTTCAAGGGCGACACGCAAGAGGTCATCGACTTTTATGCCAGCAGCAAGGCCACCAAGGTTCCCGGTGTTCCCGATCTCGACTACAGACGCGTTGTCGACGGTCAGCGCAAGATGGAGTTCCTCAAGCCCCTACCTACTACCTCGGCCGGCCGCAACTTCGAGACCCGCACCAAAGTCGTCGGCGTCTACGACAAGGGCAAGCCCGGCACTGTCCTAGACGTCGAGACGGAGCTCGTCGACACTGACAACAACGAGGTCTACAGCCGCATCCACACCAGCTCCTTCTTCATCGGCCAGGGCAACTGGGACGGCCCCAAGGGCCCCGCGACAGTCAGCTACCCGCCCCCCAAGGACAAGAAGCCCGACGTCGTCCTGCCTCACCAGACGACGACCGAGTCGGCCCTCCTCTACCGCCTCAACGGCGACTACAACCCTCTCCACGCCACTCCCGAGCCCGGCAAGAAGATGGGCTTTGGCGGCGCCATCATGCACGGCCTCTACTCGTGGAACTCGACCTGCCTCGAGATTGTTCGCTCCCTCGCCGGCAGCAACCCCGCCAACATCAAGGAGTACCAGGCTCGTTTTGCCAGTCCCGTCAAGCCCGGCGACAAGCTCATCACTCACGTCTGGAAGACGGGTGAGAAGAAGGGCGACTTTGAGGAGATTCGCTTCGTCACCCAGGTCGAGGGCGGCAAGATCTGCCTCAGCAACGGTCGCGCTCTGGTTAAGACTGTCGGCTCCCCGAAGGGCAGCAAGCTGTAAAGGCGGAAGAGGCGACCACAGAGAGCCTAATTTTGTATAAGAGAAATATAGCCAATGAATGTCAATGAATCTCGTTTTCCATAATTTTCTTGAACTATCCGTGAGGTACACACATTTTCACGACGATTTTTTCTAATGTAATTGGAATTGTTGCTTTGGTTGTGGCATACAAATGTAGCCCCATTAGCTGGCAAGCTGGTTCGTGCCCACAATGAGGCTTGACCGGACGACCTGCACCGCTTCTTGATTAATCTGCTGCCTGGTCTTTCACCACCCAGCAACTCAGCAAGCCCGAGCAAAAAAAACCAACATGCATCTCCTCTCATAGACACAGCAGAACTTACCCAGAAATACCCGACAATGGCCGACTCGCACTACCTCGGAGAGCGCATATCCTACGATGATGCCCTGTGCACTGTCCGCTACATTGGTGAGGTCGCTGGCGCAACTGGGTCGTGGCTAGGAGTCGAATGGGATGACGGCACCCGCGGAAAGCACGACGGCTCGCACAAGGGGAGGCGATATTTTCAATGCAAGTGTTTATCTGCCACCATCTACCCATGAGAGCCCGCGCGATTAACCCGACATCCAGGCACATCCGACTCTCCCACCGCGGCGTCGTTTGTACGCCCAACGCGGCCCGCCGACGCCCCCGTGAGCTTCGTGACCGCGCTCAAGGCCAAGTACGTGGAGGCGGAGTCGGCTACGAGCGGCGTGCCGGACTCGCGGATTCGGTTCGCAGGCAAGGTCGCCGAGGAGGTGGGCTTCGACAAGGTGCGCCGCCAGATGGCGCAGCTCGACGAGCTCCGAACCGCCATCCTCGACGGCGTCTACATGGCCGTTGCGCACAGCCAAGGCGAGCCGACGGTGGCGCAGGTGAGCCCGAAGCTCTCGCACATCGACATTAGTAGGAATTTATTTGAGAATCTGGGCCCGGTCGTGGATATCTGCAAAGACTTGCCGGGCCTCAAGAAACTAGCCATCAAGTATGTATGCACTTTCTACAGGGATGAGATGAAGGCAGCGACTAACTCGCGTCGAATTAGCGGAAACCGGTTTCAAAATGTTGTAGAGGATAATGCGTTGGTCAAGGCCGTCACCGCATTCTCGCAGGTCACTGAGCTGGGCATCGGCGACAACATGCTCGGATGGGAAGAGATATGCCGCATCGCCGTCGCCTTTCCCTCGCTCACCAACCTGGCCGCAGGCGCCAACTATCTTTCAAGTCTTCCTGCGGTAAACTACAGCGGTCTCTCAACAACCTTGACAACGCTCAACCTCGAATTCAACAGCTTCGGTGCGCTTTCCGACCTCGCCAGCCTTGCGCCACTCACCTCCCTGCGCAACCTCTACCTCAAGGGCAACAACATCCGCAGCCTGTCGTCCGAGGACGCTCCCTGCCCTGTATTCTCGAAATCCATACAATACATTGACGTGTCATACAATCAGATCGAGGACTGGGACTTCATCGACCGCCTCACCGAGCATGTCCCCGGGCTGACGGCGCTGCGCATCAGCCACAACCCCGTCTACGACGTTGGCGCGTCATCGTCTTCGGCCGCCGCCGCCACCACCGCAGACGAGGCGCACATGTTCACAATTGCACGCATCGGCGCCCTCCAGACCCTCAACTTCTCGCCCGTCACCGCCGACGACCGCAACAACGCCGAGCTCTTCTACCTGTCGCGCATCGCGCGGCAGCTCGCCGCAGCACCCGAGGCCGCAGCGCCGGGCATCCTCGCGGCGCACCCGCGCTACGAGGCGCTCTGCGCCAAACACGGCGCGCCGGACGTGGTGCGTGCGGTGGCGGCCAACCCCGCGTTTCTGGAGGCGCGCCTGGTGACGATGGCGCTGCGGTGCGCGGGCCGCGCGGACAGGATGGTGCGCGTGCCGCAGGCGCTGGACGTGTACGCAGTCAAGGCGCGCGTGGCGAGGGCGTACGGGCTGTCGCCGCTGAGGCTCCGCCTGGTCTGGGAGACGGGCGAGTGGGATCCGGTGGCGAGGAGGCGCGGCGACGACGTCGACACCTCGGACGAGGAGGACGAGGCCGAGGACGGCGCGACCGAGGACGCGCCTGTTGAGAAGCTAGCGCATGACCAGCCGGGGAGATGGGTGAAGCGCGAGGTTGAGCTGCGCGACGGGCCGCGACAGCTGGGATATTGCGTGGACGGCCTTGACGTCAAGATCCGAGTAGAGCCATTATGACTTTCTACAGCAAATGAATGAAAGCTGCTATGCCCAGGAATATCCCGGTCTGATAGCGCAAAAAGCCATGTGACACAGTCCAGAAGAACAACTAAGAGATATACTCTGGGTAAAGGATAGACCCTCAAAACCCAAAAATTGGCACTTCAATTCGATGACCTCTTACCAATAATCTTTGTCATTTCTCAGGTCCGTCGTAATTAAGCACAGAAAGTATGACTGAGCTCCAGGATCACGATGAGAGATTGCTTGGTGAGCATCGCCGAAACGGAGATACGACGAGGAGCTTACAGAGGATGGGCCGGTCACCACAGCACCCCAGTGCCGATCCGTGCGCGTGCCGTGTCTGGCGGGTGCTCGGAGGCTCCGCAGCTGGACAAGGTATGTTTACTGTAATTCTGCTCCAGTTGTAACTACCGGGAATTGAACGCTCGGGATAAGATGCCACGGACTTAAGCCTGGTCAGGCCGCAAGGAGGTGGAGGCCCACCACAGGCATGGCAGACTGCCGGCCCCCGGACTTAAGTTGGTTTGGGCCATCCGACATCCAATGTTCGGGTGCGGACAAGCTAGCGCGAGCTTGGAAAGCTTGTTGAAGATGCGCATTTGCTTCGATGTTCTCGTTGGGTATAAGTAGCGCCATACATTACCATGGAAAGCCAATTCTCGATGCATCTCCATCCCTGTATAGGTATACTCTACCCATCACATCTACATCTAGTTACACCATGGTCCAAATTCTCGGAAAAGAAGTCGGCACTACCGGCTACGGCCTCATGGGTACAGTTGCTCCCATCTCTGCTGAGAAGCCACAAGGCCAGCACTGCTAACGCAACGCTCTCATCCTAGGCTTCGGCTTCGCCCGTGAGAGGCTGACGCTCGACGACATCATCGCTACTATGAAGGCCGCCTTCGACCGCGGCTGCCGCCTCTGGAGCGGCGCCGAGTTCTACGGCCCCCCGGACTGGAACAGCCAGCTCTTCATCCGCGAGTACTTCTCCCGGTACCCCGACGACGCCGCGCACGTCGTCATCTGCATCAAGGGCGGCCTCGACACCACGACGCTCTCGCCCGACACGAGTGTCGCATTCGTGCGGCGCTCCCTCGACAATGTCCTCGCCCAGCTCGGCGGCAAGAAGAAGCTCGACGTGTTCGGGCTCGCGCGCCGCGACGCCAAGTCCGATTTCGCGGCGACGCTGCGGATGATCCAGGAGGAGTACGTCGACACGGGCAAGGTCGGGGGCATTTCGCTGAGCGAGTGCTCGGTGCAGACGGTCGAGGACGCGGTCGCGGTGGTGCCGGTGCAGCTTGCGGAGCTGGAGCTCAGCCTGTTCACGCCAGACATTCTGCAGAACGGTATTGCGGCCGCGTGCGCCAAGCACGACATTCCCATCATGGCCTACTCTCCCGTCGGCCGAGGTGTAAGTCTTCCCCCTACGAAAATGTTGCAGCGTGCAGAAACACAGTAGCCAGGTTTTCTCTGAGCTAACATGATTCGCTGCCTTTAGCTTCTTACCGGTGCGGTCAAGGGCGCTGGAGACATCAAGGGCCGGCTCGGCATGTTCCCACGTTTCCATGGGCCGGCCCTCGATCACAACCTGCAGCTGACGGCGCGCGTGCAGGCGCTGGCCGCGGAGAAGGGCTGCACGGTGGCGCAGCTGGCCCTCGCGTGGGTGCGTGCTCACCATCGCCGCCAGGGGCTGCCGGCCGTCATCCCCATCCCCGGCACGACCTCGATCGCGCGGCTGCAGGAGAACACGGCCGAGGTGTCGCTGTCCGAAGACGAATTCGCGTCGCTGTCTACAATGGCCAACGACTTCGAGACGGCGGGCGACCGCTACCCGGCCATGTTCCCGACCAACACGTAAGGAGGCGATGCGGTGTGTCTAGCTCTGGCATGGACATGTTAGAAGAGGGCACATGTAAGAATAGCCACTGGAAAGAATGAACAAGGATTGACAAAAAACTCAAATAAACAAGTTGCCAAATAATCAGTTGTGTAATTATCCGCAGAATAGCTCGAAGAAAATCAAGCCTCTCAGAATTGCAGAATTCAATTGAAATTGAACCATCATATGAGGTGCAGGGAAATGTATGGAAAACATACTAGAAGTAAAGAAAAGTCTTACCTTGAATAGAACGTGAGCAATCGTCGCTACGACGGCATCACTACATGACGAATCAGGTGTAGAAAGGTGAGAGTCGGATGCAAAATCGACAGGCAAACAGATGGATCTGGACTGGGCTGCGCCACGTGATGAATAGTGGATAGCTGTACTTGGAACTCGCCTTACAAATCAGCCACATCACGTGATAACGCCACATCGCTGTGGCGTCACGCAAAGCTGCTGCGTACAAGCTCAATTTCCCGTGTCACTGAATGTCAAAAAGTACATCCATCCATCACGCTGCATCCTCCAATTCGTTGGTCCTCTCTTCTACTCCTCTCCTCTTTTCTTTCAAGAAGCGGCTGTGATATCTCTATACCACGCCTGTCGCTCCCCCTCGGCTTTCCTTCCCAAACTCCCTCGCGACAACTTCAAAAACCCTGGGCAAGGCGACTTAAGCGCGCCCACCACCACCAGCCATGGCCAACTTCCTGGCCTCCATCTTCGGTACCGAGCAGGACAAGGTCAACTGCTCCTTCTACTTCAAGATCGGCGCGTGCCGGCACGGCGACCGGTGCTCGCGCAAGCACGTCAAGCCGTCCTACAGCCAGACGATCCTGATGCCCAACCTGTACCAGAACCCGGCCTACGACCAGAAGAACGCGAACCGCATGAACCCGTCGCAGCTGCAGAATCACTTCGACGCCTTCTACGAGGACATTTGGTGCGAGCTGTGCAAGTACGGCGAGCTAGAGGAGCTAGTTGTGTGTGACAATAACAATGATCGTGCGTGTGTCCCCTTCCCTTCCTTGAAAACCAGAGCTAACCACCGCATCCTGCAGACCTCATCGGCAACGTCTACGCTCGATTCAAGTACGAGGACGCCGCGCAAAAGGCCTGCGACGAGCTCAACAGCCGGTGGTACGCCGGGCGGCCCATCTACTGCGAGCTCAGTCCCGTGACGGACTTTCGCGAGGCCTGCTGCCGCCTCAACTCGGGCGAGGGCTGCATGCGCGGCGGCTTCTGCAACTTCATCCACCGCAAGAACCCGAGCGACGAGCTCGACCGCGACCTCACGCTGAGCACCAAGAAGTGGCTGCGCGCGCGCGGCCGCGACGAGAAGAGCGCGAGCCGCTCGCCCTCGCCCGAACCCACGAGGCGGCGGTGGTGAAAGGAGAGAAGGAGATAAAGGAAGGGGGAAAGTTGCAGGAAACAGAGAAACAAGAAACAGAAAACAAGGGTCTGGTGCTAGGAAAGCATGGAAATTGTATACTTTGAATGGCGTTTTTGGGGTCTTTCGTATTGGGGGGGTTTGGAACAAATGCGTTTCGCAGCGGAGTGCAGAAGGCACGAAAAGTATTGTGGGATGGGCACGTAAATACCATGTATCAACTGTACTCGCTCAATTTTACAAGGCCATTTATTCCATTAACCCAAGTTCTCTCCAAATCACTACGTGCCTCATCCGTGGCTTGCATCACATGGAGCAACTCAGTTTCAAAGTCATTGTATCATGTTGAATGCTCGCGACCCCGATGACCAGGTATTCTGTAGCCATCCACACTACCCAAGGCAGACCGTAACCAAAAAAGCAAATGCCGCACCGACATAACATGCGTTAAGCGTAAATATCTCTAAGTAATAGTAACTAAATATGATAAAAGGGCCAAAGAACCGTCAAAATAACTAACCCCCGTCATGAACCCACACGATGCGCTGTTTGCATCAGAAGGGCCTTTTAGCTGCAGACAAACCACGTGTGCTGAATTACAGATCAATCAGCGACCCCTCGCCAGGCTTGCCCGTCTCCTTGAGCATGGCTCCAACGTCGTCGGCTGGCTTGACGGGTGGTGCCGCGGACGCATCGTTGCCAATATCAATGAGGTCGTTCCCGGAGGCGGCAGGTTTAGCGGCGGTAGGCGATGGCGCTGCATGCGCTGCGTCGTTTGAGGGAGCGGCCGGTACTTTCCCAGCGTTTTGCCCAGGCAGGACAGGGAATATAGACAGAACCTGCTTCGTTTGTTCATCGGGAGAAGCCGAGCTGTCACTATAACATCAGTTAGCAAAAAAGGCGCGGCATGCAAATTTCAAAGGAAAATATACATGTGGGCGTCAATGATCCATTCTAGGCTCTCCTCGCCCTGTTCAGACTCTTCGGCAGAGGGCTTGACGGCGCGGAATAGTCGGGGCTGCCATTCCTTGTTTTCTTGGGCGCGAGCAGCGGCCTCCGCACGCTGGCGGTCTTCGATCTTGGTCTTTTCGTCCGTGGCTACTTCGTGGTTGCGCTCCTTGACAGCCTTGGCCGTCAACTCCCATAGTCTTTGGGATTCACGCTCCTCTTGCTCGGGAATGGGCCGGGTCTGGGGGTTGCTGGGCTTGGCATGCGTGGCATCAAAAAACATTTCGCTCTGTCCAGTCTGTTTATCTATTAATAACACATCTTTGGCCAAATTCCTCGAGGACGTACGGCAAGATTCTTGATGGACATTTTCTCGTGCCACATGCCGGAGATCTCGTAAAGCACTTCGCCGGTGCTCTCGCGCTTGATGACGCCGCCGACGGCGTTGTAAGTGCCGCTGACCCAGCCTTTGGTCTTGAAGTCGAGGTCGGCGGTGAGGTCGAGTTCGGGGCAGCGAACAAAACTGTGGTCTCCGAGCTCGTACTTCATCTTGCCAAATAGAATGCCACGGGCATACATGTTGGGCTGAGTAACGATGCTGCAAGGACTGTTAGTGTACGATAATTTGCGCACAATGGCATGTAGGACCACTGACTATCTCTCGCCCTTGGTCTTGTCCTTGCCTCTGTTGAGAAGGCTCAAAAAGGCAATACCCTCCATCATACTGGCGGCGGAGTTGCCGAGAAACTTGCTGCGAGGCTTGAGGGTGCCGTCAATGCGAATGTGGTGGTCGGGTGCCATGTAAAAGTAGCTCGACTTGGGTGGGTGGTGCGACGTCTGCTCAGAAATGTAGTATGCTTTCTTGTTGTCCGGAAGGTCCCAGTAGCATGAGAAGACTTCGCCGAGAATAGGGTTGAGGGGCTTCTTGACACCTCTAGAGGAAACATGTTAGCGGGGTTTTTCGCAGCAAAGTCCAAGGAAGGGGTCGTACGGAGGTCGAATGTGCCAGCCACTGAGGTAAAACTTGACAACGGAAACGAAGCGCTCGACGTCATCGTCTATGGTGGGGATGTGGAGGAGCATTTCCGGGTGGCACATGAAGCTGCGAGGTGCGGGTTAGCTTGGGATAAAGGTAAAGAGATTTATGAGGGGCGACCAACTTTGTTATTCTCTCGAGCATACTGCGCGGCTCGAGGATGAAGGTGGGAAGGACGACGCGGCTCAAGTCGGCACCCGGACGTAGCTGGGATATGATGTGCGACAGGACTGCGGGGGAACCAGTTAGTTGGGGACGCTGGCGGACACGGCCCGGCGAGAGCAAGCGCAAAGCCGCGGACCGGTTTAGTTTTATCTTAATTCTTAGACGTACCGTTTCCCTGATCGGGCTCCATGATTTGGGTGTCATCGTCGGGGTCGGATCTGCTGCCGCTGTCTGATCCGGAAGCTCGGCTGCCCGCTTCAGTTGAGCCAAACCAGCCTGTTAGCATGTTGCAGGGATGGGCGCGCGTTTGAGTGTTGGAGTCTGGGGGCAAGTAATGCGAGGCAGATTGGAGCCCAAAAGAATAAATGCTAGAAAAGAATAAATGAGGTAGAAACTAGGAAAACGGTGGCAAAGAGGTTGAAGACTGCGCTGGTGGGACTCGGCAGAGCTTAGCCCAGCATGGCCCAGGGAAGCTCAGCCGGCAAGGTCAACAGAAGAAGAGGGCGCGTTGTGATAGGGACGAAGGCGTCGGTGATCTACCAAAATGGTCGCGTGCGGTTTCTTTCGAGGGATGATGCAAGACGGAAAAGAGGAAAGCTCAGAGTCTGCGTTGAGAGTGACGGGAGCAGATGACTTTGGGGATGGATGGGGTTGATGGAGGGGCCTTTTTCGCGGGAGCCAAACAGTGAGTGGGAAAAGAAGCTGGGAAGCCGCCCGGGTCAGGTAGTGGCACTAGCCTAGCCAGCCAACCAGCCAACCAGCCAGCACATGGGCCAAGCCTGGCCAGCTAATAAAAAGCGGCAGTGGTTGGTGTAGTAGTAGAGAAGAGGCCAGGCAGAATAGCAAGTGAACAACAAAAAGGAAAGACACATACCTCGTTTGCGGCTGCTCGACGATACAAGTCCCATTAAAGTCATGATGAAGCTGGTGGACGAGGACGAGAGCGGGATGGGTAGGGAAGGGAGAAGAAGGCCAGGGCAGAGGGAAGAGAGCAAGAATATATCTGGGAGCGTCGGGTTGTTCGAGGGCGTCGTCGGTAGTACGGCTATGACTTCTTGTCCTTTTTTTCGGCCTTGTTCTGTTTCCTTTTTGACCCTTTCTGATGGAGGGGCTCACAGGCGGGAGGCGGGGAGACAAGAGAAGCACCACTGAGGAGGCGTCCTGGAAGGCTGAAAATCCCAGCGCGCCGATCCGCTGTGATGTGATGCTGATGGGCGTTTGATGCGCTGTGATTTTTTAGTGCTACTGTATGTCCAGTAGGCCGTTGAACCGCTATAAAGCCTGGTTAATTAGTGCGTTGCAACGGAGATGACCAGCTCGCCAGCTTACCTAACGTTACAGGCACTACTGGGCAGCTAAAGATGACCCCGCTTGGCTGGTAAAATGTTGGGCGGGAAAAGTGCTCGCGAAGGTCGTGCTAGTGATGCAATGCAAGGTGCTTGCTTGCCTTCCCGATGCTGGCCGTCCCTCGCGACGAGCTGAATGAAAGAAAATATCGCAGAAAGTGAGTCAACCCAGTTCGTGTCTCTTTCTGTTCTTTGTCCGTCTTAAAACTGCCCGTAAGCTCGCTCGCTTGCTCAGAGGTAGCTCAAGCTGGCTGCCCTACTGAGCGTAGTACGTAGTAGCTTCGCCAAAGCTTGTTCTGGTCGAATGACGTCTTGTGCTCCGTCGTCGCTTTCCTCGGTCGGCCGCGCGTAAATGCTTGTATTCGTCGAGTGCAACAAAAAAAAAAAGGGTGTCAAGAGGAGAAATCGTCAAGCAGACCCAGTCAGTAGAAAGGTAGGACTGGCCACCTTTTCATACAAATAAATAGATGAATCCCTTGTCACTTAACCCAGCCGGCCACCAAACCCGCCCAGTCCGCCAGTCCGCCCCCAGCGCACCTGAGCCCAAAGAAAACGGGCATCGCCCATCCCATCCCATTGTGTCGTCATAGCCAGCTTCATCAGTTTATTATACCTAGGCAGCTGAACGTCACCCAACGCTAACTCGGTATCTTTTCAGCATCTTCCGCCCATCCAGGCTCTCACAAGAAACAGAAATATACTAGTTAGCCGCCCCCCCTCTCCAGGCTTCTTTCTTTCACCATCTAATTACCCCGACCAACTGTAGCACAGTACATCCGCTACATCCGACTGACAAACCAAGGACGTGACAAAGTCATCCCTTCCAACTGCCCGAAACTCACTTTCTCTACTCAACTTCCCAATGCACTTCGCCATCTTCTCACGGAGTCACGGAAAACTACTCAAAGCTTACAACTCCGCCGCTCCATCCCTTGCCACTCCAGCCAGGCACATGCACGCCATCCCGTCTCTGGTTGGGCTCTCCTCCTCCACTGCCCTCAGCCCATCATGCAACAAAGCTTCTCTTCCCTTCCGCTTTTAGTCACGCCCACCTGCCCGCGCCCTGTAAGTCGAATCGATAGTTCGTCATGCTTGAATTCTTTCTTTTCTTGACATAATTCATCCTTCTACTAATGCTATTCCCATCATTTGCTATGCATTTTGTAAAACATCCGGCAATGTGCTAACATATTTGCCAAAAAAAAAAAAGGATATCGCCATGTTGGATTTACTTGCTCTCCACCGCCTTCACCTCTTCCTCATGCCACAACACATGCTTCGGATTCCCTTTCCCTTCTACCTAAGTCGCGATATCGACAGTCGGCCTCCTTCCTTGACCGTTGCTGGTAGAAACTCGCACAACCGGTCACGATCTGTAACCCTTGTTAGTTCGTCCTCGCTTCATCTCGACTCAGCATCATCTCGCCACTTACCTAGTTCCGTTTCAAACAAAATCGAAATATCGTCGTGCTCTCCCGGCAGGTCTGGGAGATCCAGACATACAAACGCCATGTCGTCAATATCCCCGTCCTTGTCCTCTGGTACCCGGGGAAGCGGAAATTTGGCATCCACAAACTTGATCCCCGCCTTGCCGCTCCGCTGAAACGACTCGTACACGTCCGTACCCTTCAGCACAAAGTTCATGCAGTGCCCATGGTGCCAGTTCTCGAAAAACGCCAACATCTGAACCTGCTTGTCTTCTTGTCGCACTACCTGGATCCGCGTCAGGCCAGCCTCCCACTTCTTATGGATAGGCACAACCATTCGTCGCCGGGCAATCGCAAACGTCGTCGCCATCGCATCGAAAACCACCTCGTATCCCGTCACCGCGTATTGAAACTCGTGCAGCTCCCTCAGGCTGTTAAACTCCATCGTCCGTATCGTCGGCTTCTGCCGTATTAGCTGCAGTCCACGGGTCATCTCCGCCGCCAGCTCCTTGGGAACCTGCGCCTCCGAGATGGACACCGTCATGTCCTGCTGTGGCTGACGCAGCATGCGCAATATCAACTTGTTAGAGACATCCAACCGCAGACGCATCTCTCCCGGCGCCACGTTGATTCGGTCAGTCACCATGCCATTCTGATATTCCAGCACCACCTTGAGCTTGTCCGACAGCACAGTCATCGGCTGCTCCCCATTTGGTCCAAATTCGTCATTGGTGACCTGTGCCGCCTTCCAAGGCATCCGCCCAAACGGCAATATGCCCGTCGTGTCACTCATCTTTTCCGATATTTGCAGGCTGCGTAGTGGTACATTGGCAAAGATGCGTTCATCCACTTCCAGCGCCGTTCCTGTGATAAGCGAGTGAAATCGCACTCGTTCCTTCTCGTCACTGAAAGTAAGCACCATGCGCCCTTTTTGTCGATTTCCCTCAAACTTGATAGAAAGGGCCGGCGCTTCGCCGTCACGGAAGAAACCAAACTGCACCGGTAACAGAGTCGGGTAGTTGTGCTGCACTCCATTCAACGTTCTCGTTTTTGGGCCCGTCACCGCTGCGATGCGGAACCCCGAGTGCCAGTTTCTCTGGCCGGCGGGACCGTTTTCTTTATACACTCTCTCAAAGAGAGCCACTTCGCATTGTACCACAGCGTCCTTGGGGAAAACACGCGACTGCGGGTCAGAGTCGATGTACTGGAACGACGGCAGCGTATTTCTAAAAACCACCGTTTCGTCTGGTCGAGGTTTCAACGTTGACCGAACCCGGGCTCCAAAGTCATACATGTTCCAGAGCATGCGGTAGTCTGTTTGCGCCAGTTGTACGGCAAGCAGGAATCCACGGGGTAGGCGCAACTCCAGAGTACAGGTGTCGTTGCGCCAACGCAGATCCTCCCACACTGGACCTCCCTTTTTATCCTGTATAGCCAGTTCAACCACACCGTTCTGGCTAGCAATTATGAAAACCAGCCCAGTCTCAGTCTGCGGTCGTAGGATTGACAGGAAACAAGAGAAGTAAAATCGCTGTGCTTCTCTTCCCTGCTCCATGAGAAAGCAATCTGCTGCAACTCGGCCGTAGCTGAAAAAGTCTGCCGAATCGCCGAGCGGCAGCGCATTCAGGATCTGCAGGTTCGCCGTTGGCTTATGAATAGCCGAAATTCCCGAACCCCAATCGCCAGATAACAACGCAATCATGTCTTGACTCATAGCTGGGTATTCCAGCCAAACTGCCTTGTCGATGGTGGCAGGTAGGAAGGGTTCTTCAGGAGGGAGAATGGCATTTCTCTTCATAGACATGGCCAGCTTTTTGAGCGAGGACATAAGTTGCTCCGTAGCGGCCAAAATCTCGGAGTCGGGAGGAAGGCGGCGAGCTTGCGAAGTTTCCGGTATGGCGTGCTGGCACAGCCAGTACGCTTTGGACAAGTTGGCGTAGGCTTGTTGTTTATCCAGGTCAATTTGCATCTGGGCTTTTGGCGTGGCTTGTGCGTTGGGCTGCTTCTCTCTAATGGCCTGCTCAAGACCTAGGCGACCTTTCAGGAACCACCAGAGCCCGGCGCGACCAAGGTCTTTCAATTCGCAGCTTTGCAGAGGCACGACTGTTTCTGCGTGAAGGCGGAACAGCTCATGAAGATGTGTGGTTCGACGCACGAAAGTGTCCAGAGCCTCTACACCATCGCCACCCATCGTGTCGTTGAGTCTTACGGACGCCATTCTTGCCGCCATGGGCCTTATGTCCTCATTGGGTGGGGGAAAGCCTGGTTGCGCCGTGGCCTGGACGGGGGATGGTAACGACGGTGGATAGGTGCTGGATGCCATCGATGTCAGCGATGTCGCCGGGCTGTAGTCGAGGGACTTTTTCGGAGCATAGCTTTGGGGAGATTCTGCAATTGTCGTAGGCGGTGCTGTAGCGGGCGAGGCTGGATCTTCCCAATTACCATCATAAGCAACACTTGAGTTGCGTGCAGCTTTCGCAAACGCCTGGCCTTCAGCTTTTCGCATCTGTGCTTTTTGCATTTCGATAAAGGACTTGCGGTTCTCGTCGTGGGTCGGGGTAGCGAGGAGCCCGCCCGCGGCAGGTTTGCTAGGGACGTCAAGCTTGGGTTGTGTTCCGGGCAGCGGCGGTGACTCTCGCCACTTGTTAGGGTATTCGGAATCGCCATTGTTCTCTGGGCCCGTTTCTGGAGAGTATATGGAGGAGTAACCGGTCTGGGTTCTAGCTAGACGCTTCGGTCGGAATATGTCGGCAGTTGGTGGAACTGGAACTCGTTGGGGAGGCACAGCAGCAGGAGGAGGGGGAGGGGGCTGAGGGGAGCGTGCCAACTTTGCCCGGGAGATTTCCATAGTTGGGATATCGCATTCATCGCCGCCTTGACCTATGACTTCTGGGCGAGCCTCTGAAAAGCGTATCAGAAGGCCCTTTTTGTTTGGGCGAGGGGCTCGAGTGGCATTGGTGGCAGAGAGATCGAGGTAACCGGCGGCAACTGGACGGTTGAACTGGGCTTGCTGATTGACGGCAGCAGCCTGGGGGTATCGCGATATCGTGGTGTCGAGTTTTGGTAGAGTGGTTGGCGGGGGCGGCGGGGGAGGATGCGTCACCTGCAAGTTGTCGGAGCTGTGTAGAAATGCGTCTAGGCTGGTAGCGTTGGCGGATTCGGAGACCTTGCGATCTTTGCTACCAAAGAGCTTGCCCATGAGGCGGCCCCTTCTGGAGGAGGCTTCATTTTCCATAGCGTGTGGTGGAATAATGGCATAGATTCATGCCCGGCTTTGGGAGGAGGGGATGCGCCGTATCGCCTCGCCAGTTGCTGCGGCCAAGCAGAGGCAGAGGGAGGGGGTGTATGAAGGATGGCCGCAGAAGAGAGAGGCGACCGTTCTGGTCTGGGGCGCGTATACGGACCGGCCAGCGGTACGCGTAATGGGTTGATTGATTTGATTTGATTGATTGATTGCGGGTGTTTGGTTTGCAGAATGAGGTGTGGTCGTCAGGGTACAGTGCGGCAGTGGGTGCACTGTGGTGTTGACAGTGGTGTGCGACAATGACGGGAAGACGGTACCTGGGCAGGCCACTGTCTGGTGGTGCGCTCCAATGTCACTCGCTTGAGCTCGGGAAGGGAAGCTGCAGCAAGAGTGATGCGCCGGCAGAGGGGTAGCAGGTGTCTAAAATATCCCCAGAATGTCTCGAGATGAGAGGCCACCTGCACGACCAAGGTCTGATAGGTAGCGCTTCGTTCGTATCTTTGTGGCTGCGTGGCTCGTTCGCCAGCGTGTCCGAACGGGCTGTGAAGAGAGGAAGTCGCAACAGGAACAAGGGGAAAGAGTTGGTTAATTAGGTTAGGTTAGGAGACGGGGAAACGAGGAGCAGAAGCAAGAAATGGAGAATGGACAAGGCAAAGCAAGGCAAGGTAAAGCAAGGTACGGTAACCAGCGTCAGCCTGGTCTGATCAACAAGGGAGCCCGCCCACTGTCGGCGGCAACACCAAGGCAAGCCGCTGGAAGCTGGAGGTTGGCCGTGGCCTTGGCTGGAATGGACAGATGGGTGAGTGAGTGAGTGAGCCTTGCCAGCTTTCACATTCATCAAGCAAATGGCCCGCAGCAGGGGTTACAAGGCCAGAGAGAGAAACAATAAGAAGGGGAAAAGGGCAGCAGAAACAAGGCGTTGTCCCACTAAATACGGAGGAGGCCAAGCCTCTGCGCGCTGTGGCTCTCAACCCTGCCTTGGTTGCCCTGTGGCATGGAGCAAGTCGAGGAGACCCTTGAATGGAGTGGATATACCAAAAGGAAATCCGGTCTCTTGTTGGAGAGGATTTGTCCTCTGTCGTCTTGGCTGGGCGAAGCCGAAGCTTGTTGTTGCTAATATAGGGTCCTCGGATCACGATAATAGCAGCCTGGGGCGCCGTCAAGGGTCCCGAGTAGAACAGACCCCGTCCCGTGTCCCAGAAAACGTTTTACAAAAGATACGAGCCAAGGAGGGGATAGGATGCACTAGCATCGAGCACAATTCGTACTAACTGACTGGTAAAGCAGGCAGACACACGACAGGAAATACTAACTGGTATGGCGGGACGGGCTGGTTCTTTGTCTGCTCATGGTTCGCCCGGCCAGGAACCGCCCCTGAGACATTGACCCTTGCGGCTGGATTAACATGACGCAACAACTCCTGAGCCCATTTCTTTCATTTTCATACCAGCCTGTGGGTTCGAGGCGCTTATCAGAAATACTGGTAATAATAAATCGCACAGGCAGCTCGTCGTGGAGCGCCCAGCCCAATGCTACCCAGCCAGCCCATGATGGCCAAAATTCAATAATACCAGTTGAGGTTCGTCTGGTATTTAACAACGGCCCCTTGCTAATATCATTATTGCAGGGCTATTAGCTGCCGCCCAGCAACCGTTATTGCCATCTCTGATTTCACTGACATTGAATTCCACCACGAAATAACCTTTGGCATCTGTCCTCTCTCTATTATTACCCCATCACTACCTCGGCACCATCTGGGCCTTCTCCATCCAGCGGGTTCAACGGCCTGCCTGTAGGGCCTCTTGTGCTGCTATTTCGGGCTCTGCCCCGCGATTCAAACTCACCATCTACAGCGCCCCCCCCCTTTTTTAAAAGCCCTAGGCGCATACTCGATACGAAGGTGCCTGCGCTTTTGTAGCGTGGGTACCGGCTCCGTCAGTCAAGGCGCTTACAGCGCATGAACCCTCTATTTATAGCCTCGTGTGATGTCTTGGCCTTTAGCTACAATGACTAGAAGCGACAGCATTATCAGCACAGCAGTCGTTTAACATGCTCAAGCGCAACTCAGTGCCTGCAGCAGACGCTGGCCCCGGATTTACCGCTTTTGGAGGCCTGCCAGGATCTCAGCGAGCCGCCAGCGTTAGTGCCTCAGCACCTAAGGTTTTAGTAGTAAAATAAGTCCCCCTGTATTCCCATCACGATCGAGCGCTGGCTACCGGCCGCGTCCGTTACAGTGAAGCCATTTGAATACGATACGGCCGTCTCTGCAAGGCAGACAGCCCTTGGTTTGAATCGAGTGTAAGGGTCTATCAGCGCTCTGGCATATTATGCCTTGTGATATGCTGCATGCACGACAAACTCTACATCGTAAAGTTGGAGGTACTGCATGTATTGTAGTGGCCAACAGGCGATTAGATTAGATAAGGCGCCGCCAAAAAATATTGCGCGCCCACTTCAGCGTCGCCACTCGCCAGTCATCGTCCGCCGAATCTATCAAGCATCGTACACACAACTGAAGGAGGCATGTGGCTACGGAGAATCATGACGGAGGCAGTAAAAAAAGTTCCCATTCCCGCCAAGGGTGTCGACTATCGCGGCAAAGTCGTCCTAGCGCCCATGGTCCGCTCCGGAGAGCTGCCGTCGCGACTCCTGGCGCTCAAGTACGGCGCGGACCTTGTCTGGGGTAAGTGAAGGTCCATGGATGAATCGGCACATTTATTCATCCCAAGAACAGTTTCTAATGGGAGATCTTTGGAATATTCTAGGCCCTGAGACCATCGACCGCGCCATCATTGGCACCACGCGCACAGTCAACGAGCAGACGGGATGCGTCGAATGGTGCCGCATACAGTCCCACGGCCTGAAGGAACCCCCGCCGGATGCTAAGACGAGTGTCATCTACGCCACGGACCCCGTCAAGGAGGCCAATAGACTCGTCTTCCAGATGGGCACCGCCGACCCGGACCTCGCCGTGCAGGCGGCGCGCCTCGTCGCCGGCGACGTGGCCGGCATTGACGTCAACGCCGGCTGCCCCAAGCCCTTCAGCACCAGCGGCGGCATGGGCGCGGCGCTCCTCCGCACTCCCGATAAGCTCATCGCCATCCTCGAGGCGCTCGTCCGCGATATCACCCCGCACTACGACATCGGCATCAGCGTCAAGATCCGCATCCTGGAGACGGCCGCCGAGACGGAGGCGCTCGTGCGCCGGCTCGTCGCCACCGGCATCACCGGCCTCACCGTTCACTGCCGCACGACACCGATGCGCCCGCGCGAGCGTGCCATACGCGGCCAGCTGCGTATGGTCGCTGACGTCTGCCGCGAGGCCGGCGTCGCGTGCCTCATGAACGGGGACGTCGAGTCCAAGGACGAGGGCCTGCGCCTCGCCGCCGAGTTCGGCGCCGACGGCGCCATGATCGCCACCGCTGCGGAGACGAACCCCAGCTGCTTTCGCGCGGCCGCCGACGGCGGGCTGCTGCCCTGGCGCGAGGTGGTCGACGAGTACGTCGCGACGGCCATGGCCGTCAACAACAAGTTCGGCAACACAAAGTACCTGCTGGCGCAGATGGTGCCCGGCAAGGAGTCCGCGCACAAGGCCATCACCAGGGCGCGCTCGTACGTCGACGTCTGCGAGGGCCTCGCGCTACCGCACCTTCTGGAGCGCGCCCGCGTCCTCGACGACCTGCGCGGCCTCGGCCAGCCCACCGAGAAGCAGAAGCTGCAGGCGGCCCGCAAGGCGGCGCAGTCGACCAACGCGAGCGCGCTGGCCGCCGGTGGGCAGATGGGCCATGCGCGCGCCCTGTCCAAGAATAAAAAGTCGCTGTCTGATCGCCAGCAGCCGCCTCCGTCCTCGGAGTCGGACAAGACACCGGTGGCCTCTGCGGCTTAGACGTGGATTTCTAGAGCTCGTGGCCAAAAGGGATAGACTAATAGGCGCGGGCAGCTCTCTTCTGGGAGAACATTTTGAAATTACAAATAAGCGAGGAATTTTTTGCATGTCACGGAGTTTACAGGATAGACCAAAAAGGATGGAACAGGACGGGCTGGGGGCTCGATAAGAAGCGAGTCGAGGATACAAACCCTACATAGTTGCTTGAACATATTGAACTTGAAGAGACCACAGACAAGGATGCATGGTCCGAAATGCAGTGAAATTATCACTCATGAAAAACAAGAGCGGAAGGTGGGCTTTCCTAGTTTGTGAACAAAGAAAATATGAAATCTTGCTACATCATCTATAAACGTTTTTGATGTGATGGTACAATCAGTTGCCAGCCTTTCTTTCTAGCGTCCCCTTTGCATCCGAAAAGAATGCATATGTCTTTTTATACTTGTCAAGATACCGTTCCCGCACGCCCCTCTTCCCTTCTTCCGACCTCTTTTTTATTTGCCCTGCTTGACCCAGCCCTCGACAATCTCCCTGGCGTCGGTGACCTTGTCGTCGACGTAGCGGACGCCCAGGCGCGCGTGCACCCTCGCGAAGCTCGCGCCCTTCTCCAGCCCCTCGCGGACGCGCAGGTGGGCGTCGCGGACCGCCGGCACGCGCTGCTCGTACTCCCACGCGAGGTCGGCCACGTTGCGCGATGTGACCGGCAGGACCGTCCAGGCGGCGCCGACGCCGAAGGCGAGGGGCGCCGCGGCGCGCAGCAGCACGTTGCGGTTGCGAGCGACGATGCTGCCAGCCATTGCGGCGACGAGCACGTACACGGCGCCAGGCAGCAGCCGCTCGCCCGACTCGCGCGCGGGCGCAAGCGAGGCGAGCGTCCGCGTGAAGGACTGCTCCAGGCCAAAGGCCCGGTCCATGGTCGCGTTGACGCGGTCCTCGGCAGCAACGGCGTACCGGTAGAGCGCGAGGCGGGCCTTGCCGATCTGCACGGCCAGCTGGTCGGTGGGCGTCGGCCCGCGCGGCGGCCGGACGACCGCGAGCTCGCCGTTGCCGGAGGGCGCCTTGTCGCCGCTGCTGCTGTTGCTAGTTTCTCGCTTGGGCTCGATGGCTTGCGGTGCGGACGCCGGAGTCGAGGCGGGGGAGGGCAGGGCCTCAAAGTCGTCGTAGATGGGTTTCCGCTGCGAGAAGGATTGGTTAGCGGTGGGTCGTGGTTCACCGTCGCGCCGTGGGAAAAGTTCCAAGGCTCAAGGTAAATCTATCCAGAGACGTCAAAAGACGACAGGTTCTGTCCTTCATCGTACCTTGTCTACAGCGGGAGACTCTGCCAGAGCCGTTGCCGGCATGAGGGCCACACCACCGAGGGCAGCAGCCGCCAGAGCGCGCTGGTGAGGAGTATTAGCTCATTGGGCTCGGAAAAAGGGACGACCGTGACTCAATTGAATCGAGGGATTGGTGACGCACCCTTTGCAAGAGGACTCGAGCAGCCATTGTTGGGTTGCGGAATTTGATAAACGTGACCTCGCTGGGATAGCAGTTAGGAACGAGGCGTCATTTCTGGGCCGGTGGTGTAGCAAAGTTGTCGGCGCCAGCACATTGTCCGCTTTCCGGTGCGTCCCGTCGAGCCAAGCCACAAGCTTGTGTTGGTGTGGCTTGAGCTCGGAAGGGGGAGCTTCAGATAATCCGGTCAAATGTGGCTGGTGAGAGCTGTGGCGCAGTCAGCTCTGGCTTCTGGTGTAAGTGGCTGGTGACTGAGTAGTATTGTACAATAAAGACAAGATTGAGTAATCATGAAGTAATCATGTCCCATTTCAGAATATGACAAGAACTATTTGAGCGGTTGAATACTGCTTCTGTTTGCCACCTCATTGTTGCTGCGCTCCAACACCATGATGTAAAGTATCAGAGCATCATTCCTCGTAGTCAAATTTGTCGTAGTAAAAATTACAAGCAATAAACTAAGGTGTTAGGGGATTCAATATTAGGCAAACCATTTATGCTTCTCTTCCTATACTTTCTTTGTCAATGTACTGTGTGTGTGCCAACCAGCTTCTGCTTCTTAGCCCGAATCCGAACTTCATGAGCAACCCAGATCAAACTCTGTAAAAAATGCCAACAAAGTACTCGGCAAGGCTGCCGAAGAAACTCTATTCCAAAAATGAGGTTTGAATACTTGTAAAGCCTTTTGAAATTACTGTAGTCAAAAGAGCTGTCCCATCGGATACCAAGAGTATTACTTTCCCCTCAGTGCAGCCTACCCGGCAGACAAGGACGGTGTTGTGCTGTGCTTCATTAAGATGGGGCCCCCTTGCAATGACCAAAATATTGAACGCTATTTATTGAATCCATCTCTGAGGGCTCATTAGTAGACCATCGTGTTGGTAAGTTTGCCTTTGGGCTGGTTGGCCACGTTACCAACTCCCACTCATACTTCGCCCGGGCGCCCCTCGAGAGTTGGACAAACGATTCAGTTGTCAAGACAATCCACAGAGAGTCGGAAACATACAGCGTTAGGCTTACTGACGCCTATATTAGCACCCGTAATACTCAGTATGATAATGAAAAAACTACGGGCATCATTTCCGATGGGGGATATCAAGATGGTTCGCCAAATGGTCTATGTACAAGAACTTCTACGTTGCCGCCGAACAAGCACAGCGCATTGAGAAGTGCCCCGGAGCTAAAATCGGAATATGACGTCTGGAAATTGATTCACCCTGGGAGTTATGATGAATACTGCGGGTAGCCATGTAATGTGAGTGTTTTCTGCGGTGAATGGTTGAACGCCGTGGTACGTCCCAGGAATCCGAGATAATGCCCGCGGCGACCCAGGAAGTGAGGGAATGAAAGAATAAAGGGAAAAAAGGGGGAAACTTTTTTCGCATTGATGGCAATTGCCATGTATCTACGGACTCTGCTGCTATTCAGTACTGAACAGAAAGCAGGCAAGTTGTGTCGTAGCTCGACAGTCAACGGTGCTGTAAGGGATCACCGGAGCGACTGTAATGTCAATAGGTTGAAACATGCCTAGGAATAGGTGAGGCAATTTGCTCCCTTAAAACATGAGCTCGAGGGCCGCTGTGGCATTTATCAGGAGATTTTTCGTCGAGACCAGTGCATGCGAAGGGGAAATTTGCGTGCGGATGGTACCGTACTATCGGATGCGATGCTGAGTGTCCCGGCCATGATGCGCTTTGTCTGGATTCAATGAGGAACGCACTGTATCAGATTAGTACCGCTTGCATAATACAGGAACCGTACCAGTTTGATGCAACAGCCGTGACGAGCAGGGTATGAGGGTCTCGCACGGCTTGTGGGTAGCAGCAAGAGCCGCAAGCACGCGACGGGAACAGGGCCCGGTTCATGAGCGCATCGCAATCTGTCAGCTTGAATAGTCTAAGCCAAGCCCACGGACTTTGCCGCGTATACCCCCTGACGGCATGAAGGGACGGCATGAAGGGAAATGCGGTCGACGACGGACAGGCAACGGACGAGAAATGGGCCTCGCGACGCATCCCCACTGCATCGCAACCGGTATCAAAGCGGCAAATTGCCAAAATTGGTGGGTTAAGTCGGCACGGCATGTTAAAGATAAAAGAACAGCTGATTCTCTTACGAAAATGACCCCAGAGCGCGGTCAGAGTGCGGAAGATGCTCTGTTATTGCGTGACGACCATCCAAGCATCCTTGTGGCTGAGCAACTCATGAGACGCGGAGGTGAGGGGTAGTTGTGTTTATTGGAGATTACCAAGATATGCCAAAGGGCCAGTCGGAAATTTGCTGAATTGGGCGCACATTTTGCGGCGCCGGAGATTAATAAAAATGTCCATCTATGCCCGAGAATTATGTTGTGCTTGGAGTGTTGTATGTATAACAGAGCGGTTATATCCGCAGTGCCTGTAGAACATACCTACATACATAGCTGGGGCTTGGCTATATAGGCTACTATCAATGGGATAGATGGTGCAGTTTAATCAGGACCTGTAAAACATATAAAAATAGAATCTGCAATATTCGGGCGGTCATAATAATACTTGTAGATACCCCCGATTTATACTCAAAGTCTTGGCGGCCATGTTGTGATGCTTGCGGTTTTGTGGCTGTTTTATAGTGATGTGTGGCTGTTCCTGGCGTTCCTGAGTTGACTTGCATGTCGCGGCGAATGATTGGTGGGAAACCTGACTAATCGCCTGATTTGGGCATGACGTCCTCCGATCCACGTGCCAACTCGGACTAGTGCGGTTCCACTGATGAGCCCGCCAGCATAGAAAAACAAAAATCCTTTGCCGAACTCTCAGGCCCTGTTCCTGGCCTTGACGAACTTGTCCCCTGCTAGCTGATCCATTCCATGCGCCTTGACATTGCCCGAGACAAATTAGGGAACCGTTCACGGACCTTGGACGGCGGTGCGCTCAGCCCGCGCTGGATTAAGATTCAGGTCGCCAAGTGTTTTGTTTCTTCATTCTTGGTTTACCCTCCAGTCAGTCAGCCAGTCCCTCCCGCATCGAGAGGCAGTTTGCGCCACTTTGTCAGGGCCCGTTTGCAGCTGTGCCTGACGTTTCTCCCTTTTGGCTTGGGGGCTTTGGGGTATTGTATAGATGGAAATACCACGCATTGACTCGGACCGGTAGCGCCGATGAAGAAACAAACAGGCCCTCGCGTGGCCATGCCTCCGGGCGACCCACGAAACCGCACCGCTAGGTCTGTGTCTACTACCGAAGGGGGCATAGAGCCTCCGTGGACTGTCACTCCTTTACGAGCACAGGTGAATGCATTCGACTCTCTGACTTGGGATCGTATGGTTAGTCAATGCTTCTGCAAGCACACTTACTTGGGACTTCCAGTCAGTGTTTTCTCTCCACGTCCGCGCGCTCAGGCGACTCGGCCAAGCTTGCGCTGAACTGAACTGAGCTGAACTGGATCCGGCCGGCTCTCTCGGGAACTCAACTAGCTATTCGTCAATGCATGCGAGCGAAAATAGATGACGCTACACCCCCCTGGTGGGCTCGCCTCGCCTGCTGTGTGTGTAGATGCGCCTGAAACGACTCCACGCACTACGGGATGCAACCAGCTGCCATGGCACCCTTGGCTTCTATTTTCTGCTCTAGGTGGAGGAGAGATGAATGCCAAGTGGGCGCCATGTTTATGCGAGATAGGTGAAGATGCGCTACGCGGGCGAACCTTAATCGCCATGTCCGTATTCCAATACCCGGCCGGGGTGTTGGCCCGTGGTATAATTGTTCGACAGACCCCGTGTGCCGATCATTGTACTGAGTAGCGAATAAACCATGCAATTCTCCAAGTTATAGGAAGTATTGCAGTCTCTTCAGCTCGTCTCTTGATACACTCTGTTGGTTGGCGTTGCGAACTAATCGCCTTGACGGACGTCGTCTATTAGCACCATGGGGCGGCCAGCCGGGTTACTGCTCGCCCTCCTGGCCGGCATGGTTGCGGGCGACGACCTGGGCCTCTCCAGTGGCAAGACGCAGAACGGACTCATTGGATATGGCATTCGACTATACGAGCCGGCATGTGCCCATGCATGCTGGGACACCATCGCTTACATGACCAACTGCACAGCCGACATGTCAATATCACGATTCCTCAACCCCGACGTGGCCGGACCAGACAGGAATACGGGACAGGAAAATGGGACCGAAACAAAGCCCTACTGCAACGCGGAATACGAACCCTATCTGGAAACGCTGGCGTGGTGTATACACCAGGAATGTAAGCAAGAATCGGAACTCGACCTGGAGCGGTTCTGGTGGGATGAAGGCCCAGGAAAAGATAACAGCTCGATTGAAACATATTCTCAAATATGGGCGCGGGTAAAACATACTCAGATGCATCCGATCGACCAACACGCCACTCTCAACTACACAGCAACAGTGCCCTACGATGCGTGGAAGCCCAGCTACGACAACATTGTCAGTCTGACAAGGATAGAGATTACACACGAGAAATACGCCTTGATTCTATTTCTTTCCTGCGCCCTGATACCCATTGGCATGTCGCTGCTTCGCTTTCTTCCCTGGCCGGCTACCTTCGTCTCCCGATTACACGCCTACGTCATCGATCCTCCCCTCATCGGCACGCGACAGAACGAACTCATCAGCGACGTCTTCATGATGCCTACGCGAGGGCAGGCAATGTTCATCGCGTATATCTGGATCATCAACATCGTCCTCTCTGGCACGGGGTACTGGTTCCTCCCCGGCAGCTACTGGTATAAGAACGATACGCATCAGCAGCTGACGCACGTCTCCAACCGCCTGGGCATGCTGTCATTTGCCAACCTCCCACTGCTCATCCTCTTTGCCGGCCGCAACAACGTGCTCCTGTGGCTGACCAACTGGCCGCGCACCACGTTCCTGATGATGCACCGCTGGATCGCCGTCATCTGCGTGCTCGAGGGAGTGCTGCACAGCTTTCTCTTCTTCTACGCCTACTCGGTCAGCTGGTACGCCATGACGATGAGCGTGCTCGTCACGCAGGGCTACTGGCTCTGGGGCGCCACGGGAGTCATCGGGCTCCTCGTGCTCGTCGTCACCGGCGTGCAGCCGATCCGCCGGCGCGCCTACGAGCTCTTCGTCGTCATCCACATCGTGGTCACGATGCTGGTCATCGCCGGCTGCTACCAGCACGTGGTGCTGCGGTTCGGGCGGCAGCGCGGTTTCGAGACGTGGATGTACGTGGCGATCTCGGTCTGGGGCTTCGACCGCGCGGTGCGGCTCGCGCGCGCGTGTCGGCGCGGCGTCCGCAAGGCGTATATCAGCCCCGTCGACGCCGACTACATGCGCGTCGACATCCCGGGCGTCAGCGCGCGGGGTCACGTCTACCTCCATTTCCCGACCATCAGCGGGTGGCGCGTGTGGGAGAGCCACCCATTCTCAGTCGCCGGCAGCAGCTGCGACAACACCAACAAGTCCGGGTACGGGATGGACCTGGACAAGGCGATCTGGCCGCCGGCCGGGGACGCACTGTCAACGCCGACGCACATGGCCACGTCGTCGTGGGCGCCGCCGTCGTCGACGGCGCGGCGCAAGACGGGCGTCACGCTGTTCATCAAGAAGCAGCGGGGGCTGACCGCGAAGCTCGGCGCGTTCCACACGGGCGACGTCGGGATCCCAGTGCTGATGGAAGGCTCGTACAACGAGGAGGTGACGTTCCTGCAGGACAACCACGTGCAGCCGACGCCCGAGTACCAGAACATGATCTGCTTCGCGGGCGGGGTGGGCATCACGGGGGTGCTGCCGTTCCTGGACAAGTTTGGCGGGCTGACGAGCCGCGGGTCGAAGCGGCTGTTCTGGACGGTGCGCAGCATGCCGCTCGTGTACGCGGTCGAGGACATGCTGGGCGCGTACAGCGGCGCGCAGGGCTCGGAGCGCCGCTGGGGCGACGTCGACGTGAGCGTGTCGTTTGGCCGGTTCAGCATCGGCAGCGCGCTGCGCGAGCACCTCGACTGGGTCGCGGGGGGGACGGTCGTGGTGGTGTGCGGGCCGGCGGGCATGGCCGACCAGGTGCGCGGCCTGGTGACGCGCCTGGCGAAGGAGCCGGAGCGCAGGGACAAGCCGCTGAAGCTCATCGTCGAGAGCTTTGCGTGGTAGATGGTTGATGGGAGACGGCTCTGGAGCGTCTCCGGGCAGATGATGGAGGGGTGCGTATCATGCACCGAAAAACACATTGCCTTCCTTGATTGCATATTTCCTATTTCTCATCACTTTGTTGTTCTCATTGTTACATATTCCTTCCTTTTCCTTTTCTTTTCTAGACTCATTGTTCATCGGCATCAGTCAGCGGAGATATTGTATAATCGTGGCACATACAGAACACAGTAATACATAGAGAGACTTATAGACTAATTCAACACTATATAATTGTTAACAAATGGCGTGTATCTTGTTTGGTTGCAAATCGGCATCGGCGTGCGCTGAGCCGTGGCAGGTGCCGTGGCAAGTGCGGGGGACGGTAGGTGGTCCGCGACGAGCCGACGGTCAAGATCCCCGAGCATTGCCGCTTTAGGTATGCCGGAAGGGTGTGGGGAACCGGCGGAGGACGCAGACCGGGCGGGGGACATATGACAGATGACCATTTGGACCGTGGTAATTGGTGAACTTTTTGCGAGACCGAGGGAATGACCCTGGCGGCCGGTTAGATGCTTGGAGCAGATTATTGCTTAGTAGTAATTATTAGGGCGAGTGTAACGGGTGATGCTGCGCTGACGGGTTTGAATGCCAAGGAAGCTGTGGTGCACTCAGGCAATTTCAACTAGCCGGGAGAGAAGGCGCAGCAGATTTTTTGCAGGCGGCCATCGCCGCCACTGATGGCATGCAGCTGGCCGCTAACGCTGCGCTAAAGGCAGCTAAGGCAGCACTAATAAACGCCGCCTGTCACTCACTGTAGCATCGACCAGGCCAGCTCAGCAGAGGTTGACAGACGACTGTACACTCATGTTTCGACATTTTCACTCTCTTTTCTTCTCCAGAAGACTGCATGCAGCTGTAAAGACTATTGAGATGCTACAACATCCGGGCTCAAAAATCAGAAATGAAGCTGTCCATTACACAGAGGAAGTGCAACCTCAGGTAACATTGGTGCAGAACCCCCACAGCGCCATCGTCCACTGCAGCCCGCTGTACCGACCGACCCTCTCCGTGTGGCGCTGGACAACCCGCTAACACCCGCAAAAAGCCCCCGGCCTGGTCGCTATCCTTGGTTATTATAGGTACTGTACATACTTATCTTATCCGTACTCGGTATCCTTCCTTGCATGGGCATGTGCAAAATCTCCTCCTGATCTCGCCTCTCTATTGCCTCAACCTCTCGCCACCACTCCATGGCGCCCAGTCATCATCATTTCGGCCAATTCTATCTCTTCTTTCACCGTTCCTGTTCCATCCCAGACCGCTTGTTTTATTCAATGATAAGCAGCCCTTCCACCACCCGCCTTCCGCCGCCATGCTGTCGTCTGGCAGCCGTCTCTGGGTCTGTACGCGATGCGTCCGCCGTCGCGTGACCCGGCCGCCTCAACTCCAGCAGCGTCTGCGCCTGTCGACCGCAGCGGCCGCCGACACCCACAGACCCCTCGTGAGCCACGGCGTCAGCCCCGACCACGATGACGCCGTCCTGCGCGACCTCTTCGACGCGCCCTCGAGCACCTTTGCCAGCTTCAGCCTCAAGCGCAGCCAGGGCCTCTTCAAGAACCGCTACCTCACAAGCCCGGACGGCTTCCTCGTCTTTGCCCAGAAGAACCTCGACCGCGCCACCCGCATCGTCAAGCGCGTGCTCGCCGCCTCCTCCACGAACGACTACCGCGCCGTCGTCCGCGACCTCGACCGCCTCAGCGACCTGCTCTGCCGCGTGCTCGACCTCTCCGACTTTGTCCGCATGACGCACCCCGAGATCCGCTTCCAGCAGGCCGCCACCGACGCCTGGTCCCTCGTCTACCAGTACATGAACCAGCTCAACACCATGACTGGCCTCAGCGACCAGCTCAACGAGGCCATCTCCCGCCCTGAGGTGACGGACCAGTGGACCGACGAGGAGAAGATTGTCGCGGATCTCCTCAGGCTCGATTTCATGAAGTCGGCCGTCAATCTGCCAAAGAAGTCGCGCGACCGTTTTGTCGAGCTGTCTTCGCAAATCAGCGACGTCGGCTCTGCCTTTGTCCAGACCATGGGCCCTGAAAAGACAAAGGTCACTCTGCCGTCCCATCGCTTCTACGGCTTGTACCCGAGCCTCGCTTCTACGCTCAAGGTCCGCTCACAAATCTCCATCCCTACTACTGGGTCAGAGGCAGCGGCCGCGCTGCAGAGCGTGTACGATGAGGGCACTCGCAAGGAAATCTACCTTACCCAGCGCACTGCATCGACGAGAACCATTGGCTACCTGGAAAACATGCTAAGGCTACGTGCAGAGCTCGCCGGACTTGCAGGCTTTCAGAGCCATGGCCACATGTCGCTTAAGGACCGCATGATGGCCAAGTCTCCGTCATCCGTGATGCAATTCCTGCTGGCGCTCCGGGAGCACAACGCGCCCATGATCCAGCATGAGCTGAGCGAGCTCCTCGACCGAAAGCGCGAGCGATTGGCCATGCCGGATGCCGAGCTGCACCCCTGGGACAGAGATTTCTACATGGAAAAGATCCGCGCCGAGATGCGATCCAAGGTGCGCCACGAGGACCAGCTCACAGCCTTCTTCTCCGTCGGCACCGTCATGCAGGGGCTCTCTCGCCTGTTTGACCGACTATACGGCATCCGCTTCGTGCCACGCGAGACCCTCCCAGGTGAGACATGGCATCCTGATGTCAAGAGGCTTGACGTCATGTCCGACAATGGCGAGCAAGTGGCGGTGTTGTACTGCGACCTGTTCTACCGGCCGCAAAAGTCGCCAAACCCAGCCCACTTCACCGTGCGATGCTCCCGGGAGATCCTCCCCGACGAGGTGGACGAGGCCGCCGCCGACCTCAACGGTCCCGATATGCCCTATTTTGACTCGCCCGAACAGGCTGCCACTGACGGCATGGAAGTCTCGCGAGGTGACGGCCCCCTTAAGCAACTGCCTACCATCGCTCTAGTCTGCGACTTCCCCAAGAATGACAATGCTCGCGAGCCCGCCTTCTTGTCCTTTTACTCGGTTGAGACTCTCTTCCATGAAATGGGCCATGCCATTCATTCCATTCTCGCGCGCACTTCGTTCCAGAATGTGTCGGGTACTCGCTGCGCTACTGACTTTGCCGAGCTGCCGTCGACCCTGATGGAGCACTTCGCCGCTGACCCGACCGTGCTCTCCCTATTCGCGCGGCACTGGAAGTCGGACCGTCCTCTGCCCTACGACATGGTCGCCGAGCGCATCAAGGTCGCCAAGCGCTTCGAGGGCATCGACACGGAGCACCAGATCCTGCTGGCCATGGTCGACCAGGCCTACCACTCGCCTGAGGTGTCGGAGCCTTCGTTCGACTCGACCTATGTCTTCCACGACATCCACAAGCGCTTCGCCCACGGCCCGCTCGACCCCCCGCGCACGCGCTGGCAGGGCTTCTTCGGCCACCTCCACAGCTACGGCAGCACCTACTACAGCTACCTCTTTGACCGCGTGCTCGCCGAGCGCGTCTGGCGCGTCGTCTTCAACGGCGGCGAGGGCGGCATGGCCGTCTCCCGCGCCAACGGCGAGCGTCTCAAGGAAAACCTGCTGAAATGGGGAGGCGGCCGCGATCCGTGGACCTGCCTCGCCGACACCCTGCGCGACGACCGGCTGGCGGCCGGCGACGAGAAGTCCATGGCGCTGGTGGGCAGCTGGGGCATCAAAGACGCCGTCAAGGCGAAGTAGAGTAGATGCGCCATTAACAGCAGAAAAGCTATAGAAGCTTGTTTTCTTTTCCCTTTGGGCATAGACGAGAATTGTGTAGGATATCTGTTTATAGCATCATATTGGGGGGGCGGCTGTTTTGGGAATGCATACACATAGATGTACATAAACTATATACACTCGAGAGAGAGCACTGCATCAATTAGACTATCGAATGACACCCATCCATCGTGGATCATATACGGACCTCAGAAAATGAATGTTTTGTAAAAAAGGTTTGCAAGAGGTGACGTGGCTCATTTCATTCGTAGCTATCGACCGTCAACTTGAACATGAACAAGAAAAATGGTATCGATATTAAATCTCGCAACTCCAAAACGCCAGAACTTTCCCATAGTAAAACAGCATCACCGCCGTGACGTTGAAAAATAAAGCAAAAAGACCGCTATTAATCAAAATCCCCACCCAAATAAACCATTTTTGTTCATCTTCTACATGACCGCCGTCGGCATGGGACCCATGGTCATCCGCGACAACGACATTGTCCTCGGCGACGCGCCGTCCTCCCCCTCCTCCTGCTGCTTCTCCGCGCCGGGATACCCACCGTTCAACGCCGCGCCGTGCGCCTCCTCCAGCGGCGTCGCGTACACCTGCGACGCTGACTCCGCATCGTCGTCGTCGTCATAACCGACGCCGTTGGTGGCCGCGTGACGCGGGTGCCAGACGTTGTCCGCGCTGCGCGGGGGGGTAGACTCGCTCTCGTCGGCGTCATACTCAAACACCGACACGGGCGCGGAGGGCTTGTGGCGCGCCTGCTTGCCGAGGAGGAGCGTGTTGAGCTGCCGCGTGAGGTGCCGCACCTGCGCCTCGAGCAGCATCCGCGCGGAGCGCTCCGCCTCGAGCAGCCCGAGGATGGCGGCGAACTGGTCCTCGTTGAGCGAGGAGGTGTGGCGCCCCAGTAGATCCTGGCTGTTGCGCGCGCGCACCGTCTGCTCAGAGGTCGGGCGGCCGGGGTCGAGTAACGAGGAGGAGGCGCCGGCGGCGTGGCCGTCGCGGCCGCTGGGAAGGGAGATGGGTTCGGTGAAGACGGCGTCGGACCCGCTGGTGGACGGCCGCGTCGAGGTGGGCGCCATGCCCATGGACAGGCTGTGGTGGGGATTCCTGGCGTTCGGGTACGAGAAAGAGGGCTGGGTGCCGAGTCCGGATGACAGCGTGGCATCGCTGGGTTTCCAGTCCATGTTTGCGTGTGGGTTCGCCTTGTACCTGAGCAGGGACACTGAATCCTCGAGGACGTGCAGCCTGTTCTCGATGCCATTGACCCGCGAGCCTAGCGTGGCCTCGCTGACCTGCTGCCTGTTGGCAGCCTCCTCCTCGAAAATGAGGTCGCCGAATATGAAGGGTTCTTCTGGCGTCGTCGGCTCCGGCGCCGTTGGGCGTGGCGGATCCGGAAGATCTAGATCAAACGTGCCCAAGGCGTCATCCTCTGGGAACTCGGAAGACAGCGGTGAGAGGGGGTCCTCGCCGTAGAAGCAGCTCTCGCGCAACTCCCTCATTTCCTGGCTCCGTCGGCGGTGCTCCTGCTGGTTGGCTTCAAACACGGACATGGCTGACATGCTCATGGAACGGCGCTTCAGCCCGCTGGCAGGCTCGCTGGTGATGGCACGACCAATCTCGTTCGGGTCATCGGTCATGATGCCCGAGCTGCGAAGGTCCCTGTCGTTGACACTTGCCGGGCGCGGGCAGAGTCCGGCCAGCTTGCCGTCGCCGATGTACCGGGCTCCGAGGGGATAAGGACTTGAGCTTTCTGGGTTGCGTTTCTTGGGCAGGATCTGGTGGTCCACGGCCAGAGAGTTTCGCGCGCTTTGAATGGCGATGACGTCGTCCAGGCCGACGGAATGGGAACGAAGCGCTCTGTCATATTCGGTCACTGGCAGGGATGCTGATCGGTTGGCTCCGGAGCCTCGTGACGGATCGACCTTTTCAATTTTGCCCTAGAGCCAGGTTAGAATGGGAGCTCTCAGGCGTACGAGTTGCAATAAAGGTGTAATTACCGTGTGCTGTGGGGGAGCACTTGAACGCTGGGGGGTAGGCTCCGGTGTCGTTGTAATTTGGCTTGTCGTCGTCTTCTTCCGCCTACCAAAGAGACGGCCGAGCACATTGCGGATTGGCGACCTTTTGCGGGCTGGGACGTCCTTTGCCTTTTCTTTTGAGAGGCGCTTGCCAGCATCCTGTGTAGAACTTTGAGTAGCAGATGTATCCATGGTTCCCCTCTGGGTTCCGGATTGTACTTTAGACAGGGCTGCATAGTCGTCTGGGGTCTTGGCCCTTTGGTTCTGGTCAAAGCGCGCATGTCTGGGGTTGCTATTACTGCCAGCTTGCTGGGCTTCATCTGTGAACTGAGGGACCTGCGGCGACTCTGGAAACTCCATGTAGGGATCAGGAACGGGTATAGGTGACGATATTTGCCCACGAACAGACTTGGCACCGGACTTTGATCTCGCCATTGGCATCGGTTCGGCGGCCACGGAAGATGAAGAAGACTTCCAAGGCATGTTTACCCAAGTAGACGGCGAAGCGCGTCTCGGTCCTATAAACATGAACTGTTTAAGGATAGGTATTCGTAGGTCGGGCGCGCGGCTGATGGTGTGAATAATAAACGGCGTTGGAATGGTAAGCAGGACAGGACTAATTGCGAGACATGTCTAGCTCCAAACCTGCTCGAAGCAAGACGCACAGAATCTTGCTCAGCGAGGATAGCAGGGGTAAATAGTCTTGAATACAGAGAGGATTGGGAGGAATTGAAATATCGCAAAAGAAAGCATTTGTAACGGAGTGCACGCGGGGTTGGAGACTGAAGCGAGTGGCGGCCAATAAACTGGCTTGGATGCTAGGCGGAGAGCATGCAGAAGAGGCAGGCTGAGTGGCATGGGAGGGTGATGTACAAGTATAAAATAATGTATGTAAGAGCCAGATATACAATGCATCCCACCCACGCGCCAAGGATGGCCAGCTTTGGCAACAACGGATGCGTGGATAAGAGAACTCTTGGTACGGATTAGAAGATCCATGGATGCATGATACATCGAACATGGGGCTACGCGAGGAGAGGTGTCAAGGGTGAAACAGGGCGGGCGCCAAGGCAGGAAGGTGGGAGAGAGCAGATGAGCCAGTGCCTGCTCAATGCCATCCATTCTCCCCAAGTACCAAGTAACGTATTATAGTCCGGGTGGTGAAGACAAAGGGCAGTGTATCATGGCTCGGCTCAGCTGCATTATGGTGGCAGCCAGGACGCTTTCTTGTGGTTCGGCTTGGCCGTCAAGACGGGGCCATGCTGCACGCCGTCGGGCGCATTCATGCAGCACGGAGGCTAACTAGAGGCGTTGCTTATTCTTGTTTCTTGGTGTCGAAGACATTGTCGGCGCGCATCTCAGAACGGTAATTCGCCCTCCAGCGGTGGGCTCTGCACACGGGGAAGTGTACCCCGTCGCTCCATGAGGAAGCTGGCAATGGTCGTCGGTACTTGCCCTGTATGCATCTTTCGGCAGGTTGATACGGAGTACTCCATATAGGTCCGGGTCGGTAGTTGGTTGGTGCTGAGGAATTGGCTGGCCGCTACAGAATCCGGCTGGCGAGTGCAGTACCAAAATGTGGGAACGACACCGTCATTGTCGACGCATATTGGGGCGAAGAATAATACCTATAATTATGCATCGAGGCCAAAAGCTTGCCTTCTGGTAGTGAACGGGTGGTGGTGATCATGTCTTGGGGCCCAAGGCTTTGTCTGCGGGCCTGGCCCGGCCTCTCTCTACTTTGTTTCCAATATACTAATTACGGCGCTGGCGGAGCATTCATTGCGTTTGCAGTCAGCCGAGCCTGTCAGCAACGAGCCTGGGCCTTTGTTGTCCTTTGTTGTCGGGCTCTGCGTTGTCCGATGGAGACACGAGTTGATGAAGAGGGCCAGAGATGGGCCTGCAGACCAGGGGGCGGGACGAGGAGCTGAATGCGATGCAAGCTAGAAGGCCAGATAGAATCATTAGCGAGGAAGGACCAGACGGGAACTGGAGCAGGGGAGGGGCACGCTGCTGCATGCATGAAGAAGGGAACCACATCGTCAAATGTACCAATAATAATAAAGGCCGCCGGCTTGTGTTTTTCTTTTTGGCCCTGTCCCTTGGTTTGGTGCGCGTCAGGTCTGCCTCACCAGCGTCCCCGTAACAATTGCCCGAAAAGGCCTCGCGGCTTGCAACAAGATCGTCGGTGCTCTTGCAGGGCTGTGCTGTATCAGCGGCGACCGACAGGCTAGGCCAACGGCGTCGGCCGCCATGGTTGGATGTCGGCGACGGGACCATTTGATGTGGCTTGCGAGCCAAAATACGATATGGGCTCCGTCAAAAGCTGTGAGTGGTGATGAGATAGATATGCAGGATACAAGACGGGGGTTGATGAAGGAGGCAAGTCAAGAGTCCGTTTGTCCCTCCTCATTGGCCTTTGCCAGCTGCTTGTTTATTATGTCGGGCCGCCACGCCTCGCAGCCGACACACCGCCGCCAGCTTACGAATGCTTCTTTCTCAACAACCACAACAAACAAACCAAAGATTCCATTATCATCGGCATCTATTGCCTGTCTTCTTTTCTTGTTTTTCTCTTTTGCCGTCCCCATACCAATACCAACATCCAGCAGTCGGCGTTCCAACCAACTACCGACAGGACAGCTACAACACCCCCGCCTGCCGACCTGAAACGCCGACACTTGTGACAGTCGACAACCGCCACAAACCACAACACAACCACACAACTCGGCTCCGTCACTAAAAGAAATCCTGGTCTTCGTTATAACCCTATTAACTTGTACTATAGGTAGCCCGTGCTGGCCGGCCCGCCGCATCCCTCCAGTTTGCTACATGACCTACATACATGACGTACTGGTACAGCTATCATAGCGCGCATTGTGATATCGCATTACGTTGTCCACATTGTTGATTGATACTGCGGCGCTTCCCCCGCCATTCACCATTCGCCGTCCTTCGACCAAAGAATTCCGCTCTTCTAGCTACTCGTGTTCAGCGACGCTAGGTCGGGGTACCGCAGATCTGCATTGTCCTCCAAAAAGCACATCCATCTTTTCAGGAATGAGCTGCCCCTGCTCGTGTGACGGAGAGCAATCATCGTGTTAGCTTCAGCTTCTTCCCCTGGTCAGGCGGTATATTTCAAAACGTCTCACACTGTAAACAATGCCCTGCACAGCCACACCATCCATCGCGCAAAGCGTCTGCTTGCGCGGGAATTGGTGGCGGTTGTAGTGGAACGGGATCGAATTACAGACATGAACAAGGTGCGGGAACTGATGTCATGTGCTTACCTCTTGACGGTTTCTGAATCCCCAATTACCGTCAGGGACCTCTTTGGTCGAGTCATGGCCACTATTGATCCCTGGTTAATTTCTCGTCCGGTCATGCAACCATTTTTCGCATGAATCGGTAACCTGAATAAGGAGAATTCAGGCCAGCCTCGCCTCGAAATGACATACCGTTCAGTCTTCTCTTCTCCCCCAGGAACCCCACATCTCCCTCAGAATTGCTCCGTACCAGGCTCACAATGACTGCTTCCTTCTCACGACCTTGGAAGCCGTCTACGCTGCCAAGCTCGATCCCGGGGAACTGTTCTTTGAGGGGGGCAAGTAAGGCCAGCTTCGGGTGGCATGGTTCGTTAGCATACCTCCTTGCTCAAACGGTGCAAACAAACTCATACCTGCGCATTGTACGGCGTCACCACCGCAATATCATCCGCCTTCAACCCGGCATCCACGAGCCTTGCAACATGCTGCCGTACCAAGGCGGCTTCCATTTCGTTGCTTTTACTGTCTCCATGTAAGCTTGCCTTGCCCTTCTTCGTGCTGTCGGCATCGTCCTCTTCGCTGCGCTCTGGAAAATCGCCGCCCTGCGTATCGATGAAAATGAGTGGCTCATTCGTATCTTCGTTGTCCTCCACCTCGTACTCCAGCTCCTTGAGCAGCCTAGCCTTCACAGCATCAGCGGCGACAAGTTTGGACTCGTAGAGCTCGTCAGAAGGAAATCGCATAATCTTCCCGTGCATTCGATATTGGGTCGTGAGCATCCGCTTGATCGACGGCCCATGGAGTGCCAGCAGTCTGTCAAACAGCGTAGTCTCAAGCGTCAGCCCTTTGATCGGCTTCCCATCCATGCCGTCTCTGAGCTTCAGCGCCGTCTTGGAGTTGCTCGACTTGATCGTGGGCGGTAGCTGCAGGTGGTCGCCGGCGCACACGGCCTTGCTGGCCGACAGGAGCGGCACCCAGCACTGCGCTTCGAGCGCCTGGCTCGCCTCGTCGATGATGACGACGTCGAACTTTTCGTTGCGTAGCTGATGACCACCGGCCCCGTGAAGCGTGGCCAGGACCACCTTGCTGCCGCCCACCAGGTCGCCGACGCACTTGCGTTCTCTTTCCCTGTACTCCTTTCGTAGCTCTCTCAGGTCGCCGTATATTTGCCGGCGCTCCTTGCCGCTCTTCGTCTTCTTTATTGATGCCTGCTTGGCGTCCATCTCGGCGCGCACGTCCTTGACGATCGCCCCGGCTTCTGACGTCTGTGTCAGTACGTCGAGGGAGTGGTTGACGACCGAGGGCAGCAGCCTCGCGGGATGCCCTAGGCGCAGAATCGGGAGCCTGTGCGGCGCAAGCCTTTCCACGATGTTGTCCACGGATATGTTGGACGGGCCGCAGACCAGCACCCGCCTTTTCAGCTTGACGAGTTGTAGAATGAGCTCTATTAACGTGTGTGTCTTTCCCGTACCGGGAGGGCCGTGTATCAGAGCAATCTCACGCGATGCCAGGGCGAATCGAATCGCGTCTTTCTGGGAGTCGTTGAGAGTTGGGTCAAACCACTCGATCTTGCCCAGATCCTCCTCAGCCGACAAGTCTCTCGGGACCGTCGACGGGCTAGAAAGGCCAAAAAGCACCCGAATGAAGCTCGAGTATTCCGCCTCGCCCATCTTTTGTAGCTTCTCCATCGTCAGCTTCATCCTTTTATACGTCACCTCGTCCGCCAGCTTGACCACCCACACCTTGCCCCCGAACGCCACCTCGTCCCTGCCCTCGTCCAGCGCCGCGAACACGGCCGTCTTCTGCACCCTGATCACCACGCCGCGCGCGCCCTTGCTCTCCAGCTCGCGGACCTCCCTCTTCTTGGCGCTACCCGCAGGCTGGTCCGCCACGAGCACGATGTCGCCGGCGCGCAGGCCGTGCTCCGGCAGCTCGCCCGTTGACGAGATGGCGGCGTCCGGGCCCAGCTCCAGCACCGTGCGGCCGCCCAGGCCGGTCCGCTGCGAGGCGACGACGAGGTTGGTGATGGCCAGGCCGGCGCGCTGCAGGCCGGCGGGGCTGTGGTTGGTGATGAGGGAGCTCGTCTCCTGCACCTCGCTCTGCAGCTCGCGGTCCAGCAGAGCTAGCTGCGTGCTTGCGAACGAGGGCACGTCGACTGGTTCCCGGGGAGCCATGGCGACGAGTCTTGGGAATTCGTGTGGTTGTTTGTTGTATGGTGCAAGCTGTGAGCTTGTGTCTTGCGACCCCACCAATGACGAAACTGGAGCTGCAGTGTCGGGAGCTACGAGCAGCTAGATTTGTGAGCTCAACCATCAAAAGAGATACATCATTTTAGAGGGCGGGTAACTACAGATTGACAATTCCGGGGTCTTGGGAAAGAATTATGCAGTCTTAATAACGTAGAATTCATGTTGAGCCTGTGGCTCAGCGTACCAGACTTAGCCGTCGTACCAAATCGACAGGCCTAATAAAATAACCAGATGACGAACTCCCGCAAAACAGATGATGGTAATAATCATAAGCCAATAAAACAAATTCGAGGCCCTGTGTAGAGTACAAGATATTCGCCGGAAATGCCTAATCAATCAATCATACATGCTCTCAATACCAGAAAAAAAAGCCCTTTCCACCATCAGTCATCCGCCGGATGTATCACGACAACCACCACCAGCGACGCGGCCATGATGGCCAGGCCCACGAGGGACACGAGGACAATGGTCCCGCGACTAGCGGGGAACTTGCCCTTGAGAATCCACTCCTGGCCGTGAAAGTAGCGCTTGAAGCCGAGCAGCAGGATCAGGATGCTGATGCCGAGGAACGTCGCGCCGAGCGGCCGGCCCAGGCGCCGCAGCGTGTCCGGCGTGTTCTTGCCGTCGTTGAGCGACGTGTTGAGTCGGAAGAGCTGGGTGACGGCGATGCCGATGGAGGCGAAGGCAAGCGAAGTGCGCAGCCAGGCGAGGAATGTTCGTTCTGCGTAAGTGCAATGTCAGTAGTTGGCTTCCAAAAAGGTTTCTTCTGGGGGGGGGGGGGGGGGTTTATCTCGACTTACCCAGTGCCAGGTGGTCCCTGGCCACGCTTCCTTTGTTCTCCAGCTCAATGGATTGGTATTTGCCCAGTTGCCGCCTCCACCACGGCTTCCCGTCCTCTTCCTCGCCCGCCCTCGTCTCCTCATCGTCGTCGTCGTCGCCTTGCGCCACTGCCGCCGCCGCCACCGCCGCCGCGGTTCTGGACCGTATGCTGTAGATCGACCGCGTCCCGCTGGCCGGCGGCGCGACTTCCGGCGTGCTCACGGCCTGGTAGTTGTGGTTGGACCCGCGCGACACGATGCCCGTCGTCTCGTCGTCAACGGCGTCCTGGTCGTCGGCAAACTGCGTCTTGCGGCCAAATGACGAGTGACGCCGGATGATGGTCGGGTCGGAGCCCATCTCGTCGGCGCGGCCTCGAGCGTTCTAGTAAACGGTAGGGATTAGCAGGACTGTCGTGAAGAGAGAGGGGGAGAAAGGGGAGAAGGGGTGGATGGGGTCGTCGTCTTCGTCCGCTGCTTCTAAAAAAAAAGAAAATGACAAACGTACTTCCAGAATCTCGCTGATCCGCTCGCTCTTCGATTGCCGCCGCTGCCGGTTTCGTCCTCTGTTGGCGCTGCCCGATCTCTCTGGTCGTCCAGTCGAAGAAGCTCCGCCCGAATCTGGTGGTGATGATTCCGCGATGGGTGGGGGAGGTGGTCAGTTATAATATTTCGGTATTAAGGTTTTTTTCGTTGTCTCTCCCCATGCACAGCAGATGACGCGAGCTGGGGGCCCGCCCGTTCGTGGCAGCCAAGGCTTATCGCTTGGACCAGGGAGAAGGACGCCCGAAACCGAAACGGGATCTTGGAATCCGTCCGCAACCAATGTCAGAGGATAGTTGAAGGCGGAAGCCGATCGCGTCATTGCGAGATGGTGGGCTGGTGACCGCAAAAAGATGCAGCTTGCAGGGCCTCTATGGGGCATCGAGAGAGCGCTAGAGGCGATACTCCACTGTACAAGCCTCGGCGATTGAGGTAGCTGCAATTACACGAATGCATGAGCCCATGTATGTATGTATGCATGGTTGGTTATGCGGTGTTGTGTACAACGGCAAACTGTTCTTGTGGCCGTTTTCTTATTCATTTCCCCCTATACCGTAGTCGTAGTCGCCGGTGAAACAAACGACGGGACGGATGTGGCGGCAGTTTCACCTACGCAAGCGCGCCGTCTGCTTGTCTGACATGTCGCAGCGGTAGGTGGTCAAGAGAAAAGAGGTTCTGGAGACTTGCACAAATTCATCTCCTCCTCGGGGAAATTATCCAACGAAACACGGCTTGAAATGGTGTCTCTTTCTTTCTTCTCCCACGGGGTGTTTCGTCGTAATTTCTTTTCTCTCCCTCCTTTTTCTTTTTCTTGAAACATATCAAGCATCTCATCGGACCACCCAACTAAGAAGCGCCGACCGACAACCTAAAAACTGCTACGCACGATGCTCTCTTCCCATCGGCCGTCCAGATAGAGTAACTAGGTACAATTGCACAGGGCAGTTGAACGTCATGCAAAGCCTCGCCCCAGCCAGCCATGCTGTCCTTGTCCACGTACATCAGGTATGGGGCTTCCGCAGTAGCGACGTCGGCGCCGAGAAGACGGATGGCTTCGCGATACTTTGCCTGAGCCGTAGCCGCAACTCCGCCAACCGTAGCCTTGGTGCCGGAATCCCCAACGTCCGCCAGCACCGTGTGTACGAAGACGCCTCCCTCCGCCCGCACCACCGTGCTCCACGATCGCCAGCCGTCCAGCCGGGACTCGTCGTGCGACACCATCTGCGTGCTGGCCTCTGCGAGGCCCGACAGCCCCGCGTGCGCGTGCCACTCGACCGCCGCCCCCCGCGGCAGCTCCTCCACCTCGACCGCGAAGAACGGCGGCACGCAGGTCCCGGGCTCGTTCTGCTGCCGCATGGGGAACACCTCCCAGTCGGGCAGCGGCGCCGGCTTGCTGCTGACCGCCAGGGACGCGTACTGCGCGTTGTACTTGAGATCCCACGGGTCCAGCGCGGCATCCTCCTCATCGTCCGGCACGGCGGCGTGCATCGCGTGCCATGCCCAGCCGGCCAGCCGCGCTCGGCGCCGCATGTCCTCCGCGGACGCCGCCCTGTCGAAGTAGGCGACGGCGCTCGTCCACTGCTGGACCTTCATCTGGGCGCCGACGCGCCACAGGTGCTGCAGGGAGAGCGTGATCTGCTCGGCGAGGGCGGTGCCGGACGGGGCGGGCAGTGTCATGCTGTGCGGTATCAGCGGTATCTGGCCGGCGACGTAGACGGAGCGCGGACCGAGCGCGACGAGGTTCCTCGTGATGGGGATCTCGATGGCTTGACTATAGGGGCCGATGTTGGCTGGCGCCCAGTATGATCTCGACTGAACGTGAAGCCCGTCTCTCGTGAGCGTAGGTGAGGCTGGCGGGGTGGTTGCGTATAGCATCACGTTGCGTCCCTCTGGTAGCAAGTTGCCGCAGGAAATAGTTACCCGAGATGCAGGGTTTGGTGAGTCAAATATGCTGCCATATTCTTGGTTGATTTTGGGAAAGTCGGCCATGTTTCGCAGAACGATGATGACCGTCGTTAGCTGCGCGACGCTGAGACCATTCGTTGTGAGTGCTTCCTTGAGTTTGCGGACTATACTCTTCGTTTCCTCAGCAATCAGGCTGGCCTCGTACGTCTCGTCAGAGATAAAGTTCCATGCCAGTAGTTCTGGGCCGGCATTAGATACAATGCTTGTCTTGGACAATGGTTGGGTCTCGTAGCCTGCGATGACGGGCTCGGACGGCTCATCAGGTCGTGCGACCAAGTCGTCCAGTACTTGAGCAAATTTTGGGTCAAAAAGCTCCGGGACTCTCACGTTCACGGAAAAGTCCGCATCGGAAGCATCCTTGTCCTGTAAATGCGCGCCTCTTGTCAAGAGCCACACCGAGCCACCACCCTCCCGCACCACACGCGTGCCCTGCTCGGGCACGACGACGCGCTTCTTGAAGAGACACGCGGGCCCATCCACGACCAGCGTCTCAAACTCGCCGCCCTCCCCCAGCGAGGCCCCCTCCGCTGCGCCAAACTTGCGGAGAGCCTGCTTCACGCGGCCCGCGCCGGCCTCGCTCGACACGCAGTCCCACAGGTGGCCCTCGTCCAGCCCCGCGCTGGCCACCTTGACGATGCGCGCCTCGAGGCCCGCGGCCGCCATGTCGAGCAGCAGCCGCGACTCGTCGTCCTCGGCCGGCGCGGCGGGCAGCGCCGTGTACTTCCAGAGGTACGCGAGCGGGGTGAGGCCGAGGCGCGCGGCGACGGACTCGACGCGCGTGCGCTGGTAGGTGGACAGGATGGCGCCGGAGCAGAGGGCGTCGGCCTCCGGGTGCCTCTCCTTGACGGCGCACAGAAGCGTCATCATGGACTCGGTCTCGTCGACGACCGGCGCCGAGGCGTCGTGGGCGTAGTCACGCTCGTGGTGCGCGGCGCTCCCGGCGATAGGCTGCCGGTAGAGCGGGATGCCGGTGGCCTCGGCGTACAGTGGGACAACCTCGTGACCGACGGTCTGGTACATGAAGCTGTTCAGGTCCGCCTCATCCTGCTGCGAGTCGGCGGTGGACGGCACGGGGGGGTGCAGGTTGGCGAGGGCGACGATGCGGTGGCCGTGTCGGAGGCAGTGCAGCAGGCTGTAGAAGCTGTCCTTGCCGCCCGAGATGAGCGCGATCACGTTGAGCTTCCCGGTTGCCATGATTTCATCAGATTTACGCACAGAATGCGGGTACTGCCCGCAGCGATCAAGATTGTGGTGATTGCATCGCAAACGGAGGCTGCATTCTGGGTTGTGTTGCAGTGGAGCGAATTTCTCACGTGCAGATTTTGGTTGTGTATGGTAGAACTGTGTGAACACGACTGATTGGGTATTTTTGCTTGTTTTTACGCCTTTTGGATACGAACTTATATTCTTCTTGATTTTGTCAAAATAAAAAAAAAGAGACAAGCAAAGCAACACCTATCCTTTCATGCAACTGACAACTGCATCACAAGTCACTTGCAATGCTGGGCAACGGGAAAAGTGGAACTTGTTCTGGACGACGTCGACAAGCCATTTTTCCACGCAATATACATGCAATCACCGACAGATTCATTAACAGCTGTATATCGGTCATTTTCTTGGCCATCTAGCCCGCGTCTACAAATAGCACAGAACGCGGGTGGGCGTCTGGCTCAGCCACTTACAACCTGCTAGTATTGAAACAAGGCTTACGGAGATTCATGCAAAAGACGGCCGCATAACAGTCCGACGGAGTCGTGGGGTGTATCCAAGGCGGCTCGGTTCCTGCATAAAGAGCTCGATCCCCGTGTAATTCCAGTTGCGACGTAGGGCCAGTTACCAGTTGATCAACCTTGCAGCCGATCACCCTGCATCCATCTGCCGGGCTGAGTGAGGTGTGGCTTGCCCAACCGTTGCCGCCGAGGCTTTTTTCGTGTTGCGCCATCATTAGTGATATATGACCGGGATCACAGGAGCGTTCTTTCCGACATTGACAGCCGATGTGACAGTGCTGTGATGTGATGTGATTTCCATCCGGGTAGCTGTTCTTGTCATGATGGGCCCTTGGTGATGAGTTTCCTGTCCGTGCCCAAGCGACAGCTTGACAAGGCCGAGGCCCGCGTGGCTGATCCGGGATCTCCAACGCTTCAATTTAGCCGGCATTTATGGATACTCTGTTTGCAATTCGTACTGTACTGATACCAAAAGATAACGCCTTGTTTGCTTTTTACACTTTGAGACACATATTAGACACTCGCGCAGAGTTGAGCTGGGAGCATGTCACTGAGACCCGTTGCTCTTACAAGGTAGACCCTTGGTCCCGTTGGGCTGGGCAACTTGAACGAGAGTTCAAAGGGTTGAGAGAACCATCAACTTGCACGTGTGAGTCAAACAGCAAGCACGGTGGGTATACCGAGTCTTTTTTAGCACTAGAATACCGTGCTGATATCCGCAATTATGACAATTCATTCTTGTATGATTATTACCGCGGGATGGCCTATGCCACCCGAATCACATTCATGCGCAATGAAATCTTATCAATGCAGCTGCACCCCAGATCGAGTGCACGGGCAATGCGGCCAGAGCTTGGCAGCCAGCTCATCCATGATTGTGCCTCGGCTCTTGAAGTTCCAAGAAATAACTGTGCATCTCACCCATGCCGTGGACTGATTGCTCTCGTGACTGTGGCGGTTGGGTTATTATTTTGCGGCCTGAACATATTCACGAACTTGGCGGTCAAGAGGTAAAATTTTGCTATTATTGCTGGGCAACGGTCAGCTATTTACGGGCTACAAGGAAGGCGATAAGGCCGCCTTATTACGAGTTCCGTTATTGACATGGCCTTGGTCCTTCCAGAAGCGCCAAGAGCTGCAAAGTGATATTGCTGTTTTGGCCAGTAACCGACAACCATCGAATTGATCGTTTTCACGATTCGTGAGGAAAAACGCAGCGCCATCATTGGCTGGGCTGTCAACCACAGGCACCCGTTGCCGGATCTTGCTAATAAGCGAGATCCAACAGTCTAAATCAGGGAACCCAATGATGCGACCTTGAAAAAATCTTGGTCTGCCAGTACTATCTTTGTGTCCGTAGTCCGTACCAGTATAGCTATCTATGTCAATATCATGGAGCACGAATTCTGGAATAATTAGGCTTGCAAGTGTATATCTGTGAAATCGACATGAATCCGCACCGAGCTGCTTCCATACCCAGTACCACTTACCCGTGCGGACATATCGGCCAGTCATTGTCCAAAATAAGCTTCACGGGCAGCGCAAAGACCACCACGGGACGGATGTCCCACAGCGGCTGCTCGATGCGCGGGCACGAAAAGGAATAAACCGCGAGAAAGGGGTCCCTTGATGGGTCAGCCATGGCCCGTGGACGTCCTCGCCCAATTTCACACCCACTCTCTCTGTTCCGGTGGCGACTCTGTCTTTGGAGAACCTGACCAAGAAGGAAGCAGTCCCCGGAACTGAATTGGATTGCTGAGAGGAGCATGGCTGTGTAATTTCCCGGCCTCTCATGGCCCAAGCTTTTTTGCCTCTCGGTAGGGTATTGGTATTTGTAAGGGGATGGGTCGCTCGCGTGGGTGAGCAAAAACCCACGCCCCTAACTAACTTCCCCCCCTGGGCTGGCCAAGGAAGAAAAAGAAGGTCCGGAATATTTGATCCATCGGCGTTGGAAAGGAATCATGGCTCGGTTCCCGCTTCTCCGAAATGGGCAGCTTTCTTTCTTTGTGTGCAGTACGCGGTTCGATTTGCGCTGCCTAAATCGACGAGGCTGTTTTTTTTTTTTTTTTTTTTTTTTTGGGAAAGAGGCAATTGGCAGTAATATCACCAAGCGACACAAAAAGGTGAGCGAGCTTTCGAATTAGGCCATTCTCCAATTTTTTCTCATTCCCGGGACGGGGGTGGAGGGGAGAGAATCTCAATGAGGAATACCTGCAAGGAACCCTTGAACAAGATTTTGTGACCGTGGTCAGCTCCCCACTAAAGAGATCCAGGCACCCAGGCACAAGGTACGGACCGGGGAAGACTACATGCAGAACGTAACTAGCGGTTCCCCGCCAGGGGTAAAAAGAAATGCCAGGGCAGGGGGGGGGGTATAGAAGTTGGCAAAGAGAGCCACAGCGAGTATATCTTGACAGGGGTGCTTGTTCCTTATGGTCCAGAAAAAGCTCAGACCAAGAAGGAAAGGAAACCGTCGATACGGGTCGGTTGAACGAGTAAGCTTTTTATGGCACCGACGGAGGACGGAGAGGCGCAGACAGGTTGACAGGGTAATAAAGAAGAGAAATGGTCAAAAATTAATAAAATGGAGAGGACGAAAGAGACCAAGTTCTTGCCTGCCTGCCTGCCCGTGAAAGCCGCCCACCCGTAACCAATAACCAATATACGGAAACTGGGTTGTGAGGCCATTTTGCAGAGCTAAACGACAACGCTTCTCGCTTCTTCCATTGCGACCTCTTTACCGCCTCGCAAACACCCGTTCTTTCTTTCGTTCTCCCCTGCATCTTGCATATGCACATGCACACACATGTACAGGGGACAAAGAGAACCAACGGAAGAACGGTGTGATGGCGAGCCGGGATCCCGCTCGGGAGTCGCACAACTCCATGCTAGACCGACGGAATGGCGGCTTTGCTCTGTTGGTGGCGATTGGTGAGGGTACACAAAGATCTCGTAACACCAGCGCAACGATGACGACGGTGACGACGACAGCAGATGAAATATCCAAAAGTTCAGCAGCTGCAGCACGCTTGCATTAACCATTCTCCTTCCCCCCCCCCCGGGGTCCGCGGTACGGGGCCCATATCGACAGGCTCAGGCTCCTCTCCTTCCATTGCTTGTTCCTTTGCTTCCAAAAGGCCCTTACCATGCCAAGATAGGAAGGAAGGTTCGTTATGGGTGCAGGATAATAGCCATCGGGGGTTCGAAACCACCGATGCCAAGACGGAGGCCTCGAAATCGCCATGATAAGAGAGGTTAGCTACCATAGAGTTCAAGAGAAATAACGATTTTTGTCATGTTCTTAACCTTATACTTGACATCAAGCCGAAATGACCAGGCTTGTCAAGTCGATACCCTCATCGCGCCATCGGCAAGCTTCGGCCCAACCTCCCCGACTTCTCTCGGGGCCAAGTCTAGACACGCAACGAGATTCGTCGGGATTGTAGTAGATTTGCCGTTACTACTAGTGACAGAAAGAACAGGGGAATACGAACCTTGTAAGGCAAAATGAGAGGATTCGGACGCCCCCTCTTTCTTCATCACCGAGTGGTACGTGCGACGAACCATCGGGGAACCGGCCGGGCCCATTCCCGCTCCCATGAGCTCGAAACCACGCCGGCAAGGGCAATTTGGCTAGCTAGCCAGGGGATCATTCTGATGGTTCGATTTCGAAGCCCTGGCCAGCTCCTTCCTTCAAAACTAGCCGTCGGCGAACTAGCAAGCTATGGGAAAAGATCGATTTTGACATTTCCGGAGCATCAAAACTCAAGACTACCACCGTACGAGACGCAGACTAACAGGGACGGATGGCCATGATCGAAAGCTAGCATAGACCCCGAAAGAAACGCGCTTCCGGTGCATGACGTTGCAAATGTCACGAGCGAACATGTAGTCGATACAGCCACAATCCAGGTGTAATAGGAGCTTGTCTTGCAGTACAGTCACAATGCAAGTGCAACAGGAGTGTCTTAATTGTCCAATAAAGACGTTCAATTTAGCGGAAAATAGTTCATCTAGTACAGGCCACAAACCAGCCGCAACCTGTTCAAGACAATTACAACGAGAGTAAAGAAAGAGAAGCTACTGTGCCGTGGCAGAGTAGGGAACGACAAAAACAGCAAGAGCGCCCAACACGCCAATGGATCCCAAAATATCTCTTTCCATGCCCCAACACGTTGTCCAACTTTTTTTATGGTCATAAAAACAGCAGTCGCGGATATTATCCGTGCCCACCATCGTATAAAAGGATGTAGGTCAAAACTTGATACAAGAACTGAAGGATGAGTGTTTATGCAGTCGTAATCCGTGGGTTTTGTGTCCCTCTGGAGATAAAAGATGCGGCGAGCAACAGCTAAGCAGCCCAGCCGCTCCCCATCCTTCCACTAGAGGCACGTCAAGCGAAGCCACTGCTGAAGAGACGAGGAGAGAATTGGAAAAAGAAGTCGTACAAGTCGTAATGGGCCAGGCCCAGGAATGTTGTCGCCCTCTAGTCGGAGCGCTTGCGCTTCTTCTTGTCAGAGGCGTCTTGCGACATGTCAGTGACCTCGGCGCCCATCGTGAACATGGCCTCGGGGTATGAGTAGTTGTCTCCCGGAGGGAGTTGGATGGCACTGCCGTCAAAGTGCGAGAGATGGTCCTCATTGAGCTCCAAAGGCACGCTGCCGCCGGAGTGTGTGCGGGCATGCTGCGCCAGGTTGTCGCTCCGCGAGAATTTCTTTCCGCAGTTGTTGCACGCGAAAGGCTTCTCTTGGGTGTGGAGGGAGCGGTAGTGGCGCTTAAGGTGTTCTTGACGACGGAAGCGGCGATTGCAGAGGTCACAGACAAACGTCTTTGAAGGGTCTTCTGTGAGGGACTGCTTGCGGCCGCGACGACTGGGGGCAGTCGCAACAGCAACACTGCCCTCCTCGGCAGGCGAGGAAGGGATCGATTCAGAGGCAGTGCTGGAACCTTCAATGTCGTCCGGCTCGGCAGCAACTTCCGCATTCTCCTTTTGCGATGTCTTCTGCTTTTTGTCGCGATGCTCGTCTTCAGGCGGGAAGTCGGCGTCGGTGCCAGGGAACGGCAGCAAGGAGAAGCCGCCCTCGTCCAACTCGTCGTCGAAGTCGCAATGCCCGAGAGACACGACCGAAGAGGCAGTGCAGGCACGGGGGCGAGTTTCCAGAGTGCTTCCGGATTCAACATTGACGAGACTGGCATATTCATCATCGTCGCAGTCAAGATCACCCAGAGCTTGAAAAACAGGCAGACCATGAATAGCAGGGTCGAAGTCGAAACTCGACTGTGACGTGGCATTCGTGGAGTCACCATCGTTCATGCTGGAAAGACTGAATTCGGGAGAGATGGTAGGGTTGCAGCCAGCCGACACAGTGAGGTTGCGAGGGTCACAGAAATCGACATCTTGCTCAGAGGCGATGGAACGAGCGTATGCAGGCGTAGGCGATGGCGAAAGCGAAGGGCATGATGTCATAGACATGATGTCGCTGGTACATTGCTGCAGTACGGGAGGCTGTTGCGAAGCGATGTAGACTGCGATGTGGTTAACAGGGAAGCTCCACAGCTGAGCATTGCCTTTTGGCGAAAGATTACGTGACCCCCTCTGGGCCAGCCAGCCGCAACTTACCAGGTGTCATGGGAGGAGAAGCACAGCTAGACCAGTCCAGGACTGACGTCTCGACAGAATCGAATAGCTCCTTGGTGGGGAAGGATCCGTCAAGACCGGAAAACATGGGATTGATTGGAGTTTGCATGGCGTCGCAGATCCTGGGGCTGCCAATGGCGCTTCCAGAAGTGGACAGAGGCGGCGTCGAGGGGAAGTGGCTGTCATAGATGTCGGTATCGAGCATCAAGGCCGACTTAGGCGCGCCATTGCTGTAGAGCGTGGGGGGCTGCGAGCCAGATGAGCCGGGGCGGGAGTAGGCAGGCGTAGCGGGCATCTGCTGGTACAGGTATGCGGACTTGCGGGCGTCCGACTTGGAGTCGCGGTTCTTGAGGAAGGCTTGAGCCACCGAGTGTGGGTGCAACATGGTGGTTTCCATTGTGCGCGGTTCTTTTGGTTCTGATCTGAAGAGATAAATGGTTAGTGAGAATGGACTGGCGATGGTTGCTGTGGCGGGGCAGGAAGCATGCGCCGTCGAAGGCAAAGAGTGCGCGGGTGACAGATTGGGCAAACGAACCTGGAACAAGCAAGCGTCAAGCAGAGGCGAGATTCAGAAGATTAGGGTATGGTAGTATCGTAGCATGCGTAGTATACAAGAGTCCGTTGGGTAGAGCAAGCGGACTGCGGAGGGTAAACGTGGACGTTGGCAGCGGAGACGTTAAAGTCTCAGGCGTCGAGTTGTCGGGAAGGAGTGTCGTTGAAGGCCGGTGGGCGTAAGATGAAAGCAAGGCAAGCAGCAACAGGCGATTAGGATTGTAAGTTTGTTGTACAGAAAGATCTCTCTTTGTGAAGCAGCCCGGGGCAGCAAGGCAAGAGCAGCACGATTGAGGGTGGATGGTGCGTTTGCGGGTGGTCTGTGGCGTGTGTCGCGATAGAAGGAAAGTGAGGAAACTCGACCAGAGGAAAAAGAATCAAGAGTCCAAAATAAAAGTTGACAAGAGCAGGCCACAAAAAGAAGGAAGAACCAAGGGCAAATATAAAAAAGAACAAGATTATCCAAAAGCACCGGTTCCAAACAGGATGCCGATCGTATGGCTCACGGACACTGGGGATGGGGGGGAAGATGGGCATAAGTAGTCGAGAGACGAGCAAGCAGCCAAAGTCGATCCAAGAGCAGCGCACAACGACATCCCGGTCGAGCAGCGAGCAGCGCGACCCATCAAGCGACAGCGATGGACAGGCCAGAGTGGAAACGACACCCGTTGCCTCCACGGACGGTGTCTCACACCACACAGCCAGCGGCGAGGCAGGTTGGCAGCTAAAAAGCAAGGGCGCCAGGATATCAAAGCGGGTTTGCGGGCCTTAGCCAGGACGGGCGGGGGGGCGCGGGCGAGGACGGGTCGGGTTCCATTGGCACGCCCCCTCCCCATGTCTGATGGGGCGGGAGGGGGTGAGATGAAGAAAGTGGTGATGGAGGCAAGGAGGGCGTGTGGGTGGTGATGGTGGTGGTATCAACAGTGGTTGGTGGAGTGGGATGGATGGGCGGTTGTAGTGGGTGGCTTGGGTTGGTGAGAAGGAGACACGCCCGCTAAGCCTGGTGTTTTGGTGTGTCTGGGGCAAAGAGGTAGATGGTGTGGATACTGAGGAAAAGCAGTGATAAAAAAGAACGATTTATAAAAAATAAAGACAGGAGGACAGGAAGAGCGAAAAGAGGGAATCCAAGGACATGGAAAACGCCAACGCTAAGTGAGGCCCAGTACCTCGGTGCTGGTTCTGGTGCCAGACTGGCTGGTGGTTATTCATATGGTGCTGCTCTGGAAAGAAACCGGGTGGAGAGAACGGAGGAGAGGCCCGTGGTTGGCTGGGTTGGTCGACACGAAAAAGGATATGTGGCCAGAACATCCGTACCCGTAGCTGCACGGTATCCGTCCGTGAAGAGAGAAAAACGGGAACATCAAGATACCCTACCTACCTACACAAGCATCCCTCTTGCCTGCTGTACCACCTCGATAGCCATACTGACGTATCCGTACCTACATACGTTACATAATCCCGTGCGACTTGCACTTCCATCTGCCACCAGCCTTCAAAGTGGCGGTCCAGTGGTATGCTGCAGCGGCAGAAGCGCCGTTTGTTCGGAAGCGCTGCATTGCAGCCAACCACCAGTAAGAAGCCGTCATGGCCAAGAAGCCCATCACCGTCACCTGCGGGGAGGGGGGGATCTCAGCAGCAAATAAAATCATCGACTGGGCATACATGGTGATGATGGGCTGGCGTGGGCTACTGTGGCGGGCTACATGAACGGACCGACAAGGACCGACGACGACGACGACATGCACTGATGAACGGCGCAGCCACGATGGCCCCAGTACGGATACCGCAGTGCTAATTCGGGACACACACACACCTCCCAGCAAGGAAATCCCAAAGTTGCCTAATAATTCTGCCCAGCCCAGCATGCTAAATCACTTATCAACTACGGAGTGTTCGTAGTAGCAGGTATTTTATGTGCACGCACGCTATTTATCAATTTTCACCTTCCAGGCCGCTGCTTCGCCGCTCTCGTAGCTGTGCATGCACCTCAAGCACCTGTACCAACCTTGCTCTGGGCATGGCTGCCATCCAATGTGGTTGCCGTATTCCCACCGGGCTGCCTCTGGCGGCAAATTAAGGCTCCAACTAACTGATCCAACACTGCCCACAACAGACACTGTCTATTCCTGACCCTGCCCTCTCTCGTCTTCCCCGGGGAGGCTAGGAAGCCCGTGTTAGCGCAGCCCGCATCCCAGCAAGAGCGCCGAGAGAGTGAGCAAAATTTCTTGACACTATCTCACCACAGAGGGTCCCCGGGTTGAAATGAGAAGAGGGGACCGACGGCCATGCCCGTGGCTGCCGAACTCTAGCCAGCTTATTGAACCCAAGCTACGGATATGAGCCCAGCCTTCCGCGTAATTATCCCAGATCCTCTTCATAAAAAAAAAGAATGAACTGAGAAAAATTAAATAAAAATAAAATAAAAATACAGAATCACATCTTTCTCTTGGCGTGACAGGACGATTTTCTTTTTACGAGTGTGGGTAGTTAGTTTAGTGGTCTCGAGTCCCATTCTGTGCGGCAACACCTTCACAACCGGCATTGGCATGCACACACGCACAACCACGGACAAGAATGTGCAGCGCATTACATTTGGGCCGTGGGCGGGCGAAAATATGCACGCACGCGCCGCGCGCGCCCACCCGAGCACGGCTTTACGCGTTCTCGTCCTCTTTTTTCTTGTGTTGTGTGTGCACGTATGTGTTTTGTCCTGCTTTGCGTTGACTCGTTACAGAGTTCAGTTGGGGACTTCTATCCACCTCAAGAGCAGCTAAAAAACGAACATCATCCAAAAATAAAAAGCAAAAGTAAACCGTTGAAAAGCGCAAAGCGCGTGCGTTATCCTCCGCCCCAAGCCCGGCCAACCCAGACCCGTATTCGACGACGCGCACCAGCACAAAAGAAAAGCACAAACTTATCGCGCACTATTGCTCACGCCACAGGTCACCACCTTTTTGTCCTCCCACACACAACTTTTTTTTTTTTTTTGGCATCACAATTCATGCATAGTGCCGTTATGTGATAGGTCGGCGGCTCGGACCACCAACCCCTCCCTCCGCGCCCCTCCTTTGCACATCTTTTTCCGGGGCCAAGCTTCCTCTTTTGCTTTGTGCACCAAAAAAGAAGGGCAGTCGGCTGCGCTGAGACTGCTTGACTTGCGTCAGCTTCTGGCACCGTCTCTGCACCAGTTATGCATCAGCTTGCGACCTACTGGTTAGAAGGTATGCATCCACGGCGCCTGTGCACAGCCTATGGCGTGTCGCACCGACCAATGCCAGGCGCAGACGGGCAGTCATCGGCGTTGGCATCGCTGGCATCACCCTCATGCAAGGCTCTCGTGACGACTTCCTTTCTTCCCTAGCGTCTTCTTTCTTTGCTACCCATCGCAACTCCTACTCGTCATTCGTCTACAACCTCGACGGTTTGTTTCTGGTTTGCCGCTTAGACCACAGCGGCGCCGCATGCCCGTTCACCCCAAAGACGGGGGAGGCTTTCTTCTAGCTCTAGCCAAAACTTGTGGCGGCGCCAGAGGTTGCTGTTCTCTCAGCATGTGCTTTTGCTCTTCTCTTTTGTCTCTGAGAAAGAAATGAGACAATCTTGAGTTGCTCTTCCAGCGGAGGCCTCGGCCAGAGAGGGCGCCCGTAGCCAACTAGCGAGGCTTCTTGGTCTTTCGCCTTCTCACAACGAGTGGCGGAGCTCCGGCCTGGAGAATGCCAATGGCTATAAAAATCTCCAAATTCTTGGATCCAAATACGAAAAAGGCGCCGCCGTCTCGCTTCCTACAGGACCAGGCCCCAATATAGAAACAGGCTGTGCATATGTGCTAGTAATCTCCAAACTAATAGCTACCGCATGCATTGCATGCAACCCACAACGCCGCTGTATTTGACACAACGGCTGTGCCTGCATTGCATCGTAATCATCCAAAACGTTTGAATTATTGAAAAAAAAAATATTTGCATATATATCTGACGAAAGAAGATGATTTTTTCTACTCTATTCTTGAAGCGTCCCTCTACTCACCGTCAGCAGCCAGGTAATGCTGTAAAGCCACAACTCTTTAGTCCCCCACGTTGGGCTTTTCCTTATTCTGAGTAGGCAATGTGGTCATGGAGAACTCAAATACGAACTCTGCCAGGTCAGCGTCATCACGATCGCGCCCACCACAGTCCAGGTCCAGCCCCAGAGACCCGGCATAACACAGCATCCCGCTTTTCCGTACCGCTGCACCGGCATCACGTATCTATCGCCCTCCGCATGAACTTGGGCTATCGGCAAATGGCATTTACTTTCCCTCCTCTCCTTCTCACACACAAACTACACATGTTAAAAAGACCCAGACCAGTGTCTTCGACGTCGATCCCAATTGAAGATGAACTGGGTTGCGGTGCTTCTGGGGGCGGTTGTTAGTGGACAGGCGATTACACTATTGTGCATGACGCACGAGAAAAACTTCATTTGGGGCAAGCTAGCCGAGGCTGGCTTGGGCTGATGATCATCACGAGTGGCACATTCTACTTTGCACTTCCTGATGTGGACTGTCCATCCTGTGTCACTGTCGCTCTGAACGCTCAAAACAGACCCTGCTGCCATCCACGTCTGCGTGTTTCTCATTTTCTCATGCACGACGGCTGGGTCAGGCAGTTTACGCTGCAAAAGCTGCCTTTCTGGTGACATGCGTGTGGGCCGCGGTAGCATTCTATCAGACTATCACTATCACTCATTGACTACCTGGCTGCTCACACTTCGCGCATCCATCCACTCGTCGTTTCCCTGCCCTACCTACATCATCATACCTTAGCTTGCGATGGCACACTGCATGGAGCTAAGAAATACACAATTGCT